TGACAATTCTAATAAGCAAAGCGCTTCAGGGGGAAAATGTCATCTTCCCCCATAAAGTGGAGCCGAGCACCTGCCTCATAGTAAGTAAATATATTTTTTTTTACAAAGCCCTGACCATCTTAGGTCCAGGGTGCCTCAGGACCCTGTTCTACCTCCACAGCGGAAGGCAGCAGTGTTTCTGAAGATCAGTTGCTGGAAGCCCCAGGCGGGGAGAGGGAGAGGGGGAGCTCTGTGCAGGTGAAAGATGGATCTTATTCCCAGATCCAGGAGGCCCACTCTTCTCCCATAGTTGTCAAGTGGGCTGGGCTGGAGAGAGAGCACAATTCAGGGCTTGGTGTGGTGGTGGCAGGGATGGTGTCTCCAGTTCTGACATGCTGTGTGCTTCCCCACAACAGGAAGTTATTGAAGAGGAGCCCCTGGGCTGCTACTTTGTTGCCATCCTGCGACAAGCGATGGACACAGTCACCCACCTGACGGTCACTGCCCTACCTATTCCTGGCACCTCCCTTGCCATACCCTGACATTGTACCCCGTACTTCCCCACAACAGGAAGTTATTGAAGAGGAGCCGCTGGCATCGCTCTCAATCTTACACCAAGCGATGGAAACCATAATCCGCATGACGCAAGTTCGGGGAGGTACTTCTAGTCTCCCTACAGCTTGTCACTGCCCCACCTATTCCTGGCACCTCCCTTGCCGTACTAGGAGCCGTGGGGAGATCTCTCATTAGGAGGTCCCTGATGACGGCTGGAAATGACCCTCAGCCACCCCAGAAAGACCCCTCCCTTGAAGGTTTACCCCGATATGATAGACACCAGTTGGTGCCGTTGGAAGCGTGCAAAGATGACATGGTGCAGCCACCGTTTGGGGCTGCCATTGCTGGTCCGAGGAACTGAGCGGATGCGGCAGTTCTGTGGCCCCTTCCCGATGACCTGCTTCCTGAACCTTCGTCCTGCTCCGTTGGCAAAAGTTTGTGGGGATGTTGACTGAGGTCAGCGATTGAGCGCTCGTTCCGTTTCGCTCGCAGGGAGATGAGACAATGTCGCATCAAGCAAATGCTAGCTCCCCCGTTCCATTCTAGTTTCCCTGTCACTTTTCCCACCACCAAAAATGTCCAATTTGGAGTCGGTTGGGGAGCGGAACTGACTCTGCCGCCGTGCCATTGAATCCCACCTGGAAGGAGGAACTGGAAGCCCCCTGACAAAGTCCCCTGACAAAGAACTGAGCTTTCCCTCTCACCTGCCTCATTTACTCACCCCCCCCTCTCTAGAACTCTCAGAAATCTTCGAAAAGCTCCAACCAGCGCGCCAGGTGTGTGAGATGCAGGGTGGATTTGATTTAAATCAAATCGATTTAAATCACGATTCAAATCACTAGTCTGTAAGACTTGATTTAAATCATATTTTTACATTCTTGCTGGTATAATCTTAATATTTACAAACAGATGAAGGTTTCATTTTGGGAATAATACATTTTCAGAGTAGTTTTTACAGTTAAATCAAAAATTACTGATTTGGTTATACTGTTAGAAGTACATAGACAGATAACTATGAAATTATTGTGAGGTTTAATAAGTTAACTGTTTATATTTGGACAACTTTTCTGCTGTACTTTGTTGGCAGGAGAATAACAATTTAAACAATTTAAGTAAAACAATAACGTTTTAGCATATCTATCCATGTTTGTTAATTGATGGGGTTAAACAAAAAATAAAAACTTAGACTGAGTTTTAGCATATATGAAAAACTTAAAACAAATCCTTATTTCCTGATGAATAGCCTTTGGACTATAATGCAACTTAAATTGAAAACTATCTTTAGAAAGATTTTTCCTCCAAAAGCATTTTATTTCAAAAATCTGATTTAAATAAAAAAATCATGGTCTTTTATATGAATGAGGAACCAGTGATAACCAAGTTCAGTTTCCAATAATAATGGATTCCAAACAACAAATGTTGATCATGGAAAATCCATTATTCATGAGAGTGAAATTACCTGCCTCTCTGCTCTATGTTTGGGTGCCTCAATTTTAAAAAATCCCTTCTCCTTTTAGGACGAGGCTGTGAAGAGCACTTTTATGAAGGCAACAATTCTAATAAGCAAAGCGCTTCAGGGGGAAGATGACATCTTCCCCCATCAAGTGGAGCCGAGTACCTGCCTCATAGTAAGTAAATAATTTTTTTTACAAAGCCCTGACCATCTTCGGTCCAGGGTGCCTCAGGACCCTGTTCTACCTCCACAGTGGAAGGCAGCAGTGTTTCTGAAGATCAGTTGCTGTAAGCCACAGGCGGGGAGAGGGAGAGCTCTGTACAGGTGAAAGATGGATCTTATTCCCAGATCCAGGAGGCCCACTCTTCTCCCATAGTTGTCAAGTGGGCTGGGCTGGAGAGAGAGCACAATTCAGGGCTTGGTGTGGTGGTGGCAGCGATGGTGTCTCCAGTTCTGACATGCTGTGTGCCTGGTTCCATAATTATGCTCCACAGCTGCTGAATTAGCACTTTTTCTGTGAGCTTTGGATCATTTCCCCTCCTCTTCTTTCTCATTCCTCTTCAGTGCCTTGCAGCCACCTCTGAACGCACAGGTTAGATCGGAGCTGGTGGAGAAAACCATCAGGAAGGTCTTCTCTCTGCCCTCCCAGAAGCTGACGAAGCTGAGAGACGGGAGCCCCATGCGAGCAACAGAGATGCAGGTAACTGGACCTTCTGCTTCTAGGGATCTGAACGGAGGGAAATGGCTTGCCGGTACAGCCTGGAACTGTGGCCAGATAAAAAAAATTGAGGGGAAAAGGTTGAGCCGTGTAAGCTACAAATAATGCTGCCAGAGATACTTGGCCCAGCACAAGGATGTAACAACCAGAGACCATGGGTGTATATTCTTGATTCTCTCCGAATGTGTGTCACTTAAAAGGGTGTCCCCTCACCTGGGTAATGGACAGGTGGTATAGAAATAAAGTCTTACCACAACCACCACCCCTGTGGCTCTTTCCCCAACTTCAAAGGATATCTTGCCTTCATTCTGGCTACGGGCTGCAAAAAGGTTTTCATTATTTGAAAAGAAATAGAGTTGAAGAATGTGTCCTTCTCCAGGTGTGCTGCCATTGGCCCCAGTCAGCATGGCCAACAGTCAGGAGTAGTTGGAGTCCAATAACCAGGCATGGGGAACCCGAGGTGCTCCAGAAGTAGAACAACAGAGCATCTGTTTTGGATCCACAAGGTCCCAGGTTCAATCCACAGCATCTCCAGGTGGGGGTGGGAAAAGACTCTCTGTCTGAAGCCCCAGAGGGCCAACTGCCAATTATCATCTGTAGACGACACCAAGGTTGGAGGATCAACGGCTGGGCTTGGTCTAAGGATGCTCCCTGCATTCCATTGCTATGGCTGTGGTGAGGTGTAGGTTGTATTATTGCATTTATCATATAAACACACAAATGACAGATCACAACATAAAAATACAAAATCAGAACACAAAATGCTTAATAAAACAAAAACAACTCAAGAGCCAATTAATATCTAATTCTACTAATGTTTTTTTTTTAAATTAATGGCTTCTTTTTTCTATATCTTTATTTCTTATTTTGTTTATAAGCTGCCTTCAGTCCCTTTCAGGGGAAAAGGTAGGGTATAAAATAAAAATAAAAATAAATAAAAATAATAAAAATAAATAAAGTAAAACAAATAGCAGCAAACTTTCTCCTTTACAAAACAACCCCTTTTTGCAATTTGTCCCCTCTATGGTCCCAGCATGATTCATCAAACTAGTAGCCCAAGCTTTATGAATTTGCAAACCTGGATTAATGGTGGTTCTTCCATACGATGATTATTATTTCTCTCCCGTAGCCATGGCTGGATTGACTCCTCAAAGACCTGTGAGCAGGAAAGAGCTGTACCAGCTTCCTGTTGAAGTACGTCTCTCAACATTGAACCTAGATGTGAGCAAGCAGGTGTCAAGCTGACTTCTGGACCAAGGCTTAACCAGATCAGGAAGCTAGTGAGACGGAAAGGCTTCAAGTATTGTTTGTGGTTGTTGTTGTGTTTGTTTTTATTTTTGTTATTGAAAATTTAATAAAATTTTTATATATCTATATAAATTTAAACCTTTTTCAACAGACACACACATTATAGACACACATCTAAGCATGGGTATTTCTTAGATCCCAGCCCTTGTCTAGGCATTTGTGCCTGCTTTGTGCAAGGGTTGAAAACAACCATCCATTTCTCTGGTGACATAACAACTCAACCCTCTAATAACTCGTATAGGGTGATCCTACAGCACAGGGCCCCAGCCCCATAGCTGTACTCCTGCCAGGACAAGAGGAGCTCCACAAGGATGCAGCAACAGTGCTCCTTCCACCTGCTGCATCCATTTTGTACACAAAGGGGAGACTTGGCCGGGAAGAAGGGTACTTCTTCAGCCAGCCTTACAAATGTCAAAAAGTTACTAGCCTGCAATATTTGTTTTGCCCCCTCCTCCAAAGTCAGCATGGAAACGCAGCAAAAAAGTGGCTTCTTCCATGAAGGATGGTGGAGGAGAGACACTCTGATAGTCCACTGTGTTTCTGTGATGACTGCGGATGAGACAAGACTACTCTTCCTTTACAGCTAGCCAGGAAATCAAGTGAGCTGGCTGCTCAGTCACCTGCATGAAATTCCTGGTTGCCTGGGGCTACTAGGCAAGTCGTCAAATACAAGGCATTCTTCAGTGATTTTAAAACCGATCCCTTTCACCTTTTGAGTCTTCGAACACATGGATGTCTCCATCCCCTTAGGTGCCACTTTGAATTGGCGAAGGCTAACAATACAATACTTTTCCCCTCTGAGAGCTTGCCATTTCTTGCCAACAGAGGCCTGTGGCACAGATCACAAAGAATGAGCAAAGGGGTTGTACCCCTTCTATGTGATGCCTCTTGAAGAGCTGGGAGTTGTGGCTAGACATTACCAAGAAAACATGCCCTTCTGGGTTCAGCTACTCCTTTCAAAGAAGTCTTCAAAAGCTAATAAACTTCTTTTCTTTGTAGTGACCTGCTGCCCAGGCACTTGTCCTGTACTTTTCCAGGCATCCATTGGGGCAGGAGCAGCAGCTGCAGGCACCTTTGCCTTCACTTCCCCATTTTGATCTTTCAGCAGGTGTCTTGCTCAAAAATTCCTCTCTTTGGAAATTCCTAGAGATTGAGCAGACAAGATCAGAAAAACATCCAAGTTGTTCTTACAAAGCACTTCCCAAACTGAAGCTTCCCCCCAAAAAGAGGAAATGAAAGCAACACCAAAGGAAAAAAAGCTTAAGCAGCCCAGAAAGAAACTCTTAATGAAGAAAAACAAACCAGCCCAGACTTGAAAAGGCCCAAGGATAACCCTGCCCAACACCAAGAAACCTGCACCTTGGGGACTTCCGGGGTGGTGCCATCGGTAATGGCTGCTTCTCTCTAACTCGGAGGGAACCGGCTCTACGGAACCTGGGTCTTACCGCTACGGCGCAGCAGGGACCCCTTAAAAAAAATCACAGGTGGGTGAAGCCTGTGGCCGTGGGACTCAGCGGGCACCATTTGCGCCCCCCAACTGTTAAAGGAGCTCGGCAACGGGCTCTGGAGCAGAGCGGGGGTGGCGTGGTGCTGTGAGCAAATTGCTTCTTCCGTGGAGCGAAGCCGCGAAGCTGTTACCGGAGAGCGCTGCCTTTTTCCTGGGATAATCGGACTTTGAAAACAACTACCCGTGAGTAGGATTAAATTAGATCTAAAAGAAAAGCGTTTAATTTGGTACTGAGCGGGGAAGGTACAACCAGGAAGTCTGCCTTCCTTGTATTGTAAATAGATCAAAGCAAAGAGACTCTAAAGCGGAAACACAGAAAGTTACCCGAAAAAAGAGCTAAATCCTAACATCTTGAAAGTGGTTCCCCCTCCGGATTGCAGGAGAGGAGGGGGAAAAAAGACTGAGCTGAATTTTCCTGCAAAAAAAGAAGGGGAAAGGAAGATAAAATTTACTGTTTAAGATCTGGAACGGACTGCCTTGAGATAAGGGTTGCATAGTGGAAAGTTTATTTCTGACAGCTAATCCTGCAAAAGGGATACAGTGTTTCTGGACTGCTCCTGTTTTGAAAGTAACTGTTTAAGTGCATTGAGACTGTTCTTTCTAAAGTGAATTTGGGGGACTTATAAAAACTATTTTTGCTTCAAAAAGTTGCAAGTTCTGGCTGTTACTGTGTCCCCCTAGAGGAAGCCGGACATTGCTACAATAACAACTGGCTTAGAGGAAAATTCCACTCTATTTCAAAACAATTGTTTGACTGTGGGAGCGACCTTGAATTTCTATGAGACTGTTATGGCAGATGGCAAAGGGAAGATAGAGCCGCAGAAGACAGAGCCGCAGGAAAAAACTACTAGGTCTGGCAGACATTATCGGATAGACACTGCGCAGCCGCGAAGGGGTTCAACATCTGGAGCATCTGGAACATCAGGGGCCGCACTCCCACAGGTTAAACCAAAAGTTATGTCGTCGGAAGAAGTTTTGGCACAGGCACTGGCAAAAATTAATGAATCTTTGGAAAGTTTAAATAAACAGGTAGCTGAGACAAACAGACAAGTAGCTGAGACAAATAGACAAGTTGCGGAAGCATCAAGCAAAATTGATTTAAACACTGCAAGTATTAATACCTTGGGGCAGAAGGTGAATGCCAACACAGAGACCATCGAAAAACTACTACAGGAATCTGCCTCGACTCGAAAGATAGCAGAGGAAGCAAAAGATATTGCAACTGCTACTCAAGAGAAAATTCCACCAGTATATAAGAAATTGGAGGACCATGATGTGACATTTTCTATGATTGAACTGAAAGATAGACAAAGAAATTTAAGAATCAGGGCTGTTCCAGAACGGGAGAAAGATAACTTGGCTGACTTTCTTACACAGGAATTTATAGATTTTTGGCAACTGGACTTGGGGAAGGAAGAATTCAAGATAGTGAATGCATTTAGACTCGGAAGAAGACAAGGCAAGGACAAGGTGAGAGACTGTTTGATTACCTTTCGAACAAAAGAAGAGAGGGATAAAATTCTGAATCTGCACTATCAAAAAACCTTGGAAATTGACGATTCAAGTGTGGTGATTTTTAAGGACATCCCAAAGCATCTGTTGGACTTAAGGTCTAAATACGGAGATCTAGTGACCTTGTTGAAAAGAAATAGAATTCTTTTCAGGTGGGAATTTCCTCAAGGCCTGTCCTTTAAATACAAAGGAAGAAAGATAAAAATAAAATCAGTTGAGGAAAAAGACAGGTTCTTGAAAGACCACGAGGAAGATCTACTGAAAGAAGTGGAATCTGAAGAAGAGCCAAAAGGTATATTAGACATATCAAATCTATCTTTTGGACTGCACGGTCCAGAAAAAGTGATACTACCCACAGAACAAGAACTGACACTCGGAGCAGTTGGAGGTAAAGTGAAGTAGCCCCATCATGGCTCTGCAACTATTAAGCTGGAATTGTAACGGTTTGAACTCTCCTCGAAAGAGAAAAAGTGTGTTCCATCTATTAAAAAAAGAACAATTGGACTTGATTTGTTTACAAGAAACACATATAACAAGGGTACATAGGAAGCTATTGATTAATAAAAGATTAGGACAGGAGTTTGTTTCATCTGACAAAGTCAAAAAAAGAGGAGTTGTGACTTATGTAAAGGAGAGACCTTACCGAAATTTATTTTTAAAAACGAACAAGGAAGACTTCTGGCAATTGAAATTCAAGTACAAGGAGAGAAATTTTTGATTGTGGGAATCTATGCACCGAATGAGGGGAAATCTGAATTCTATAAAAAGTTGCATGAGACTTTACTGGATTATTTGGATTACAATTTGATCTTGATGGAGGACATGAATGGAGTAGTATCTACAAACATGGACAAGGCACAAAGACAGGTAGTTACCAAGGATGGTAGATTACCGAAAACATTCTTTGAGATGACAGACAACATGGACTTAGTGGACATCTGGAGGGTAAATAACCCCCTGGGAAGAGAGGAACCTTCTTTTCTGAAGCCAAGATGACATGGACTAGAATTGACCAAATATGGATAACTAGAGGAATGGCACCAAAGATAAAGAAAGTAGAAATCTGCCCAAAAACCTGCTCCGACCACAACGCTGTAAGGATGGAGATGAAACAAATAACAACCGGATCCTTTAGATGGAGGATGAATGACACCTTATTTAGAGATGAAGAAGTCTATAAAAGGCCCAAAAACTTTGAGAGATTATTTTGAAATAAACATGAACACCAATGTAGAAAAAGAGTAATCTGGGACGCAAGCAAAGCTGTTATGAGAGGGTTTTTGATACAACAGAATGCAATAAAGAAGAGAAGTCAAAATGAAAAGAAAGACAAAATCTTGGAGAAAATAAAAGAGGGTGAGAAGAAATTGAGAGCAAAACCAAAGTCCCAGGAGATTTTGAGAGAAATAAAATTATATCAAGTACAATATATGGAAATGATGAATCAGGAAATAGAATGGAAAATCAAACAATTCAGACAAAAACATTTGAATCAGCTAACAAATGTGGGAAATTGTTGGCCTGGCAAATGAAAAAAAGACAAAAATTAAATACCATTATAAACTTAGAAGTGGAAGGAAAGAGTATACATAACCCAACTGAGATCAGAAATTGCTTCCAGAGGTACTTTAAACAATTATACACACAAGGGCCACAGAAGGAAATGGACATAGACCAATTTTTGAAGACAAATGGCCTACAAAAATCTCTCAAGAAAGTAAATTAATGTTGAACTATAAAATATCTGAACAGGAAGTAGAAGGTGCCATACAAAATATGCAACTGGGCAAATCTCCAGGACCGGATGGGCTGACTTCCAGATACTACAGATCTCTGAAAGAGTGGTTATTGCAACCTTTGAAGGAAGTCTGCAATGAAATATTGGAAGGGAAAAGGGCGCCAGAGTCGTGGAAAGAGGCGTATATTACACTTATACCGAAAACAGAGACTGAAAAGACCCAGCTTAAGAACTACCGCCCTATATCGTTACTTAATGTGGATTACAAAATTTTTGCAGATATTTTGGCCAAGAGACTGAAAAAAAGTATTGATGGATGAGATCCATAAAGACCAAGCGGGCTTTCTCCCAGGGAGACACTTGTCTGATAATCTGAGGAATATAATTGATATCTTGGAAAAATTAGAAGTGAATATAAACACTAAAGCAGTTTTGATATTTGTGGACGCGGAGAAAGCTTTTGACAATATCTCTTGGAGTTTTATGAAGAAGAACTTACATGGGATGGGGGTAGGCCAAGGTTTTGAAAATGGTATAGGTGCAATATATTCTGAACAAAAGGCCAAATTAATTGTAAATAATGTGGTCACAGAAGAATTTAAGATAGAAAAAGGGACACGACAGGGGTGCCCAATTTCCCCACTACTTTTTATATCGGTCCTGGAGGTCCTGCTAAACATGATTAGAAAGGACCGGTTGGTTAAAGGTATACAGGTCGGAACTAAACAGTACAAATTGAGAGCATTTGCAGATGACTTAGTATTGACGTTACAGGAGCCAGAATCTAGCACTAAAAGAGTTTTAGAATTAATTCAAGAATTTGGTCAAGTGGCAGGTTTTAAATTGAACAAGCTAAAAACTAAGGTTTTAGAGAAAATTTAACACCGATTGAAAGAGATAGGTTTCAGAATGAGACAGGATTGACTGTGGTAAAGAAAGTGAAATACTTGGGGATTAATATGACAGCCAAAAATGGGAACTTATTTAAAGATAATTATGAAAAATGTTGGACGGAAGTGAAAAGAGATTTAGAAATCTGGTCAAATTTGAAGCTTTCACTGCTGGGCCGTATTGCTGTGATAAAAATGAATGTATTGCCTAGAATGTTGTTTTTGTTTCAGACATTGCAAATTGTGGACAAGATGGACTGTTTCAAGAAGTGGCAGAGAGATATTTCTAGATTTGTCTGGCAGGGCAAGAAGCCCAGAATAAAATTTAAGATATTAACTGATGCAAAGGAAAGAGGTGGATTTGCCCTGCCAGACTTTAAACTTTATTATGAATCAGCAGCTTTTTGCTGGTTGAAAGAATGGCTACTTCTTGAAAATACAGACATTTTGGATTTAGAAGGTTTTAACAACGTATTTGGATGGCATGCATATTTATGGTATGATAAGGTCAAAGCACATAAAGCATTTAAAAATCATATTGTTAGGAAAGCACTGTTCAATGTTTGGATAAGATACAAGGATTTATTGGAAAATAAAACCCCAAGGTGGTTGTCACCGATGGAAGCGAAAGCTCTGAAAAGGCTCAATATGGAGGCCAAATGGCCGAAATATTGGGAAATTTTGGAACAAGATGGAGACAAATTGAAATTGCAGAGTTTCGAGAAATTAAAAACAAAGTGAGAGATTGGCTTCATTATTATCAGATAATGGAGGCATATAATTTGGATAAGAAAATTGGCTTCCAGGTGGAAAAATCAAAATTAGAAACAGAATTGTTAGAACCCAAAACTAAGAATTTGTCAAGAATGTATAACTTGCTGTTGAAATGGAATACTCAGGATGAAACGGTGAAATCTGCTATGATTAAATGGGCACAAGATGTTGGACATAATATTATGTTTGCTGACTGGGAACAGTTATGGACCACAGGTATGAAGTTTACGGCATGTAATGCCTTAAGAGAGAATATTATGAAAATGATATACAGGTGGTACATGACCCCAGTCAAGCTTGCAAAAATCTATCATTTGCCCGATAATAAATGTTGGAAATGTAAAGAAACTGAAGGTACATTCTTTCACCTTTGGTGGACGTGCCCAAGGATTAAGGCTTTCTGGGAGATGATTTATAATGAAATAAAAAAGGTATTTAAATATACCTTTCTGAAGAAACCAGAGGCCTTTCTTCTGGGCATTGTCGGCCAATTGGTGCCAAAGAAGGACAGAACCTTTTTTATGTATGCTACAACAGCAGCAAGAATACTCATCGCAAAGTATTGGAAGACACAAGATCTACCCACTCTGGAAGAATGGCAGATGAAGGTGATTGACTACATGGAATTGGCGGAAATGACTGGCAGAATCCGAGACCAGGGAGAAGAGTCGGTGAAAGAAGACTGGAAGAAATTTAAAGACTATTTACAGAAATATTGTAAAATTAAGGAATCTTAGAAGGATGTTGGATAGAAACTAAGAGGTTTTTAGCTGTAATGCTTTAAGAGATATGAAAAAAGGTTTACAACTGGGTAAAAGCTTAATGGTAAGGATTTGCTGAACTAACAAACTGAACTGGAATACAAAAAAGGGAGGTACGAGGAGGTCCGGGGAAATAAGTGTAGGGAAGATAGGTTATGGAAAATTAATGTCTTTTTAACTGTTTTATTTTGTATGTTTCTTTTTATTTTTTACTTTTTTGTTATATTTTAAAAACTTTATTCTTTTTTCTGTATTCTGTATTTCTTGTATTTTTTGAAACTTTAATAAATATCATTAAAAAAAAAAAAAGAAACCTGCACCTTGGACTTACTCTTCCCATCCGGAGACAGGGGCCGAACGCTTGCTTGAAGAGTCCTGCAGGGTTACACCACAGACCAAAGATTAATAATCTTTTTATAGACCCCCATTATCACATCAGCTGCCTGACTATTCTCAACACTCTTATAAGAAGAAGCTCAATTATTTTGTATACCAAACAGATTTTTAATGGCTTTGGAGGTACTTGATAAAGCTTTATAATTCCATGAGCAATTAGCCTATGCTCCTCCCTACAATTTCTTAGACAATCATGAAGTCAACAAGTCTTATTCCAAGCCATGTTTCAGTGGCTAGAACAGGATCAATCACGACACAGAACCAAAGACCAGAGAGGAGGACAAGCATAGTTTTTGCTGCCTTGTTCCTAAACTCAGAGCAAGTTTCCACACTTCTGTCATTTGGGGCTGGAACATCCTATCGTATGTAATTTACTACCTATCAATGTGGGCTGGCTGCTTTGGCATAACCCCAGCTTCTCTCTGGATTTGAAGGGCCCAGCCAGGACCCAAGGAGTGGGTGGGTGGCAACAATTAGCACAATACAAAGAGACTGCAAGCTGATCAAACACTGCACCAGTACTTAGCCAAATAAAGAGGTTGAAATCCAAGGCACAGGGTCAGGAGTAAATGCAGGTCAGCAGTCACTGCTAAAGACCCGTTGGGGGGAGGAGGTGCAGCAACAGTTACGTGCACCCGGAATATGACCACATGGAGTTAATCGTAAGCTGCTCATCTAGCTTTTTAGCTGGAGATGCAAGATGTGTGCCCCCCCCCCTTAGAGATGTTAGAATCATAGACCTGCAGAATTAGAAGGGATCCTAAGGGTCCTCTAGTCCAACCCCCTGAAATGCAGGTGGCCGTTAGGAAGATCAAACCTGCAACCTTGGCATTATCAGCACCAGCTCTAACCAGCCAAGCTAACTAGTGCAGGGGGGCCTTCTTTTGTAGAACTGCAGTGCGAGGCCTCCCAGAACCTCCTAACTTTGCCTGTGGGAGCCTGGAGGTCGGAGCCTCCCTTTCCAGCTCCATAGAGAAGGAGGACCATTGGGGGCAGGGACCGTCAGTCTGTCCTGTGGCGAGGGGGACGCCTCATTCTGGGGCCGAGAGGAGGCGAGGAGGCTCTGGCTCTGTTTGGCGGGTCTCGGGCTCGGGGGTCCCGGGGTGAGAGACTATGGAGACACACAAGATCATGCAGAGGACCCCTCAAGGGCCACGCAATACACGTCTCCCCCCCACCAGCCCGGTCTTCGTCCCAAGGAGCGGCGGGGAGGCTCTGGCTCTGTTTGGCGGGTCCCGGGCTCGGGGGTCCCGGGGTGAAAGGGAGAGGCTACAGAGGACCCCTCCAGGGCCACGCCATACCCGTCTCCCCCCCACCAGCCCGGTCTTCGTCCCCAGGAGCGGCGGGGAGGCTCTGGCTCTGTTTGGCGGGTCCCGGGCTCGGGGGTCCCGGGGTGAAAGGGAGAGGCTATGGAGACACACAAGATCATGCAGAGGACCCCTCCAGGGCCCCGCAATACACGTCTCCCCCCCCCCCCCCAGCCCGGTCTTCGTCCCCAGGACGCGAGGAGGGAGCGGCGGGGAGGCTCTGGCTCTGTTTGGCGGGTCCCGGGCTCGGGGGTCCCGGGGTGAAAGGGAGAGGCTACAGAGGACCCCTCCAGGGCCACGCCATACCCGTCTCCCCCCCGCCAGCCCGGTCTTCGTCCCCAGGAGCGGCGGGGAGGCTCTGGCTCTGTTTGGCGGGTCCCGGGCTCGGGGGTCCCGGGGTGAAAGGGAGAGGCTACAGAGGACCCCTCCAGGGCCACGCCATACCCGTCTCCCCCCCACCAGCCCGGTCTTCGTCCCCAGGAGCGGCGGGGAGGCTCTGGCTCTGTTTGGCGGGTCCCGGGCTCGGGGGCAACAGCCGAGATCTTGAAGCAACGGCCAACGGCCCCCCGCCCTGTCACGCCCCCCGCGCCCGACTCTCGCCTCCCATTGGCTGACAGGACCCGGGCTTCGCCCAGATACAGAGTCGGAAGAGCCGGCCAATGGGGAGAGAGGAAAGAGGGGTTGGAGCCGGCTCGCCCACTGCCTTCTGGGAGTCGTAGTACCTGCCCTCTATTCTTCCCCCCAGAGAACGGAAATGAATGACAGGGAGGACTGCATTTCCCAAAAGGCACGGCGGTGCGGCTTCTGAGCTACGGGTCGCGAGAAGAGGCAAAAGCCCCCCCCCCGGTGCTGTTTTCCCTCCCAGGTGTGCAGGTGGTCAGAGGCTGATGCGGGAGGGAGGAGGAAGGAGAGGGAGGAGAAGGCCCTGCGCAGCCTCAGCAGCTCCAGCCGCACCAAGCCCGACCTGGAGAAGCTCCCCCGGCATCCCTGGCATCCCTGGTTGGCATGGAAACTGCCCAGAGCCTTTCTTCCCTCCCTTGTTCATTCCATGGCGCTTCCTCCCAACACAACTCCCAACAGCCCTGGGAGGGAGGCCAGAAGGAGAAGCACGGAAAATGCTCCAAGGCGACTTACTTGATTGCATTTCTATCCCGCCTTTTTCTCCGAGGAGCCCAAGGTGGCACAGATGGTTCTCTCCCTCCTCGTTTAATCCCCACAGCAACACTGAGGTAGGTTACTCTGGCAGGCACTGATTGACACACACACCCGACGTCACCCTTAATGGCCGAGGGGGGATTTGAACCCTGGTCTCCCAGGTCACAGTCCAACACTCTAGCCACTGCACCACACTGCCTCTCCTTCGACTTTGCTATGGCAGAAAATCCTGCCTGGAGCCTCCCATCTTTTGGACCTGACCTTCGGCACACTTGCCCCCCCAAAATTAGTTACCTTTGTTTGGAGGGAAAATATCTGCTACTTTCCCTTTTTCGTCTTCTTTTTTAAAGGCATGCCTTCTCCAAAGTGTACATGTGATCTTCTCTTTTGCCCCTGGGATATTTCTAATCTAACATCCAGGCTTTTAAGGCAGAATTTCCTATTTGATCTAGGACAGGGGTCAGCAAACCTTTTCAGCAGGGGGCCGGTCCACTGTCCCTCAGACTTTGTGGGGGGCCAGACTATATTTTTTTGGGGGGAAGGGTTGAACGAATTCCTATGCCCCACAAATAACCCAGAGATGCATTTTAAATAAAAGGATACATTCTACTCATGTAAAAACACGCTGATTCCTGGACTCCATGGGTTGGATTTAGAAGGTGATTGGGCCAGATCCTGCCCCCGGGGCTTAGTTCACCTACCCATGATCTAGGATTTGGTTCAAGTCCCCACAGAACCTGCCACTCACTCATCCCTTGAAACCTTCGTGCAACTGATGCAATATGCAATCTCCCTTCATTCCCCATCCTGCCTTTTCCCCCTATGATCTCAGGAGAACTTAATTTATTCTGTTTATAATTTGCCGGCTTGTTAAATGCCTCCCATGGCAGCGGTGTGGAGGAGGAAGGCCCCGCTGGAAGATTGGTCCTTTGCATAAAGGAGATCCGTATTTTTGTATTAAGGCTGGACCTAAATTATTTTAGGCGTGAAGCCCAGGAGACAGCACCACAGGCTGTTCTGCCGGAAGCCGAGGGGGATGAACTACATGACCTAACAGGATTTCCCCCATCTTTTACCTTTGATGCTTCAAAGGGCTCCCTAAAGGTGGGACCCCCTATCTGCCCTCTTTTGTTTTCCACGCAAAAACCTAAGATCTGCCTGCTTTACAGCTTCCAAACATCGTGTGCTGTGCGGCATCTTTCTTCCTCTTAATTCTGTCTTCCCGCAGCCCGGTGACCTGTAGGAGTTTTGCAGCTGATGGAAGCTGTAATGCAGTGGTGTCATGGACTGGCTGGATGCAGAGAAGCTGGGGAACCCCCAAGGGAACCCCCAGGGAAGAAGGGTCTTAGAATCATAGAATCAAAGAAAAGCCCCAAACGACTAGGACCCCAATTATCTGCATAGGTACAGTATGCACAACTTTACCTCTGTAGATGCATTACTGTACACACCACTTTCTCAGAAAACTGCAATGCAAAAATTGGAGGATAGTTGTTCTTCAGTTTGTATATTGTTTTGGGAAGTGTGAATTGGTAGTGTTGCCTTTCAATGCAAACTGAATCATATTTCTTCCCCCATCTCTAGTGCTAGAACACACAAATTTGTTCTGGAGCGGGAAATAGCAGGGGTTGAAGTGTTAAAGTCTCCTGCAGCACCCCCAAGAATCCGGACCTGGATTGTTCCCCCCACCCACAGCACCCCAGCAACACCCACAGAAAAAACCCCACCCACAAAATAACCCCACCATTCACACTTTTGCTTATGCAAGGAACTTCTGCTCCCTGGTGGTACCCGAGTCAACTCCGAAGCAGAGAGCATTGGATTGGGCAGCCTTAAACTTCAGCACCGTGGCAATGCACTCTTGAGAATAAGGCATGCAGATTCCTGAACAGACCACACCACATGCGGTCATTCAGCAGCACTGAGAGCTCCATAATCATGGCACTCTTGGGATGCAGAACCCAGGAGACCTTATCTCATTGACTGTCTCTGGATTCACCATCCTGGGAATTTGTTCCTCAGACCACCTTTCTAATGCTGGAAGGGCGGAAGTTCAACCCAAAGCCTTTCTGGGTAACATGCCAAAGCTCTGGGGCAGTAATCTAGGTTTTGCTCTTGCTCTGAAGCAACTCCCAAAAGCAGCAACTGTCCAAAAAACTAGAGAGGCTGACAGCCAGCCAGAGAAGGGCCAGAGGGAGGCAATAGCTGGGGCTTTTTAATTACCACATTTTTCGCTCCATAAGACACACTTTTTTCCTCCTAAAAAGTAAGGGGAAATGTCTGTGCGTCGTATGGAGCGAATGTGTGGTCGATCGCTGGCTCCCTTTCCGGCCCCAGCCTCTTGCCCAGGCCTCTATTTTTGAATGTTCTGCAGATGGAGGCTGTTTGTTTCCCCAGTGACATGTAACTGGCTGATTAGATTATCTGTCTGGAAACTGTAGAAACGACTCCCTTTCCTTTCCTAAAGAAGCTGCAGAACTGAGTTGAACCCCATAAAAACAGGATTTTTTCCCTTTGCAAAGTAAGCTCAACAACTGTGAGTTGATCCTCAAAAAAACGGGGCTTTCCCCCTTTCCTCCTCTAAAAACTAGGTGTGTCTCATGGAGCGAAAAATATAGTGTGGTGAAAGCAGATAGGAAGACCTTTATCATCTTCTTCTCTCACTTAGTGGGGTGGAAGCTGAATGTTGGAAGACTGAGGACCACCAAAAGGAAATGCTTCTTCATGCAGCACAGTTAAATCATGTTTACAAGGCATTCTGCTTATTTTTCAGACTCAGACCCAGACCCCCAACGCAGACCCCTAAAGAGAAACCAGTACCAGGCAATATAAATTGTGAATGGTTTATTCACAGTTTGCTAATATATTATAGCATACAAAGGGTATATGACAAAAATTTGGCTACAGACAAAAACTGAAAGGCATAAATTCCACAGCAACCCCTTCTCTCCAATACGTACAGACTAAATCCACTTACATCTCACCTTTAATAGATCACTTTAAAAAAAAAGTAAACAAAAAAGTAAACACCAACCGAAATATGAATGCGTTGACCTCAGTTCCTAATTTGGATTCTGCAATGTAGCTTAAAAAAAAGGGGGGGGGGGGTTCAAACACACTCAAGTTCCTGAGCATAACTAGGATGTAAACTCCCAATATTTGTGTAATGAAACTAAAATCACTTTTAAAAAATCTGTACATGGTACCCCAACAGCTCCAACAGAATGCTAGTGTAAACCTGTGTGTGGAAGGTACACCATGCAGAGTTCTTCATAAGCCAAGCACTTTGAATACATATGCATTTTAACTACGGCACACCAGGTTCTGCTCCAACCCCCCCAGCCTTCCCAAGTGAGCTGGAAGGCCAGATTCCAAGAAGCCTCCTGCGCCCTTTAAGAGCTGCATAAGGTTCAGAATTTCATAAAAATGGCTCTTCAAAGAACAAAGAAACCCTGGCTTGCCCAATGCAGCTGTTCAAAACCATTTACAGTTCTTAAAGGCAGGAGCCCTTGGGTCTGGACTTTGCTACCCCACAAGCAGAGATGTGTCCAATCCTCAGCACTGGGGGGTGGTCTTGTGTTTAAACATGCAAGAAAGCATTCCCTCAATGCTGGCATGACAGTCTGCAGAGAAACTGTGCCTGGACTTTAGTTCAATGAAACCCATGTACCGGACTCACCTCTACTTCTATGTTATCCACAAAATGAATTTTAAAAATACATCCAATGTTGAAAAAATATAATCTTGAAAACAAAACTGGATATACATGTAAATATATATTATATTCCTCATTAGGAAATATTTACAGGTCCCAAATGCTAAATGAATTCTTTTTTTAAAAAATTGCACAAATAAAGGGGTAAAGGTGAACCCTGGTGCACAACCACTGAAGGCAGTGGAGTTTTATCAAGGCTATAACTGACCCTTAACATTTGCAAGTTCAGCCTGAAAAACAAAACCCAGAGGCATTACCCTACATGTTAGCCCCCATGTAATTATCATGGATTTTACGGATGTGCTATTCACATTTAAGGAACATGTCCAGTTTAGTTAGCTGCATTTTTATCTTGTCTGAAACTGGCAAGAAACTGGTAATGATTCTCAAGTGTAGCCTTCCCTTGGGCTCTTTTAAGAGCCACAGGAAAAATGCCAAAATTATGTTGGAAACCTTTCAGATATGCATAGGAATGTACAGATAAGGGGTGGAAGCTGCATTTCTTCTGCTACAGTGTGTAAGGCCATTTTATTACTTTTCTCTCTGTGCAGCAAGGGCACTTGAAATAAAAAAGTCATGAGAACAAGACTCAGCTTTCTAGGTTATCCAGCTGTCCATCAGTCTCTGTCTTTTTCTCTGGGGACGTATACAGGAAGTTGCAGCAAATATACAGAGGGAAAACCAGCAGTCGGCTGTCCAAATTCATCACTACCTGTTCCTGAAAAGCAAAAGTAAAACTGTATTTTTTGTAACAAAGGAAACAATATTTCCCCCTTATAATTCAGAGAATTCATTCTGTCCTGTTCTCTGTTCTTCTTCCTGCTGTTGCTCCCTGGAAACACTTTTCAAGGGAAGAAGAGCCAGTGTTTCCTTGCAGTAGCATCTGAAATGAGCCAAGGTGCTGAAAACACATACCTGATCTTTTTCAAGGGTTAATATCTGATATCCTGCTGTTCTACTACAAATAAGCTTCCCACTGCTATCAAAAGAAGCCAGACGCAACCTAAGGGCAGATAAAAAGTTACACTAAGCAAGCTGAAACCAATTTGGGAGAGGGGGGAATCAGAAGAACTGTTTGTATGGGTTTTGTTTGGTGGGGGTGGGGCCTTAGGAATGGCAGGTAGAGAAAAAAGGCCAACTGGCATCTTTTATAGTCAGCATTACAGTTGACAGAAGCTATACAGTCTCTTCCAATATATAGGGCGATATGAGGAAGGAAGGAAGGAAGGAAGGAAGGAAGGAAGGAAGGAAGGAAGGAAGGAAGGAGAACAGAATCTCTAAAGCTGCCAGCAGACACTGGCGACCCTTACAATGGTAAATGTTGTGCCAGTGTTATTATGTTGGTATACATTTTGCCCCTAAACACAGGCTTCTACGGACTGGAATTGTCTGTATGACTTGGCAAGTGGCATAATATTGTATCTACAAACCACCTAGCAAATTCCCCACTATCTATATACAAACTGGAACCCAGGAGGAATTTGGGCAGAGGGGAGAAAGGGTGCCTTAATCCATTGCTCCCAAGTCATGCTCTTCATCTTTCTTTCCACGCTTGATCTTTCCTGCCTTTTCTCTGAAAAAACTGTGGGGTGGGGACAGCTTGGATACATGCTACCAAAGGACGCTAAATGGATATATTCCCCCCTCCCTTGCCTAGCACCCATATTTTGGGATGGAGAGAGGCTAACCCTAGTCAAGGAGCAGCAGCAAGGGGACTCTAATAGATCACACTAAAGGGCAATTTCTCAAAAGTTGATTCTTTAAACTCCTGCCAACAGCTAGGACGTGCAACACTGTCCTCTACAGTCAGAATATTTCTCAGCGGCATCAGGGAAAAAGTACCCCCTCACTGCAGCAACACAGTATAGGGTGACCCTGAAACAGAGTCCAGGGTGGAGATAAGCAGGCAGAACCACAGTGCCCTCACCTGAAAGCAATGTTCCTCCGGGGCTGCAAGCTGACTGAGCCACTGCACGGCTGATTCAAAGTGTTACGCTTGAAGATGATGTAGCGGTTGGTGTAAGTCACCAGCAGATCAAAGCCAAAGTTGAAACCTGTCCATCGCCAACAATACTTGAAGAAATAAAGGAGGTCATTGCCCCACATATAGTTACATACTAAACATATGCTTTAGTTTTACACCTGAATAGTTTGCCACAGATCTATTTTGATCTCAGTACAGAAAAACTGTAATATTCTATCAATAGGTTTATTGCTAAAAACGCTCTATGGCGCCATCAATAGCGATGGCATGTTGGCATACCACCTGTATATCTAGATGTCAATTAAGGTACTTAAGACTCGTAAGAATTTGTTTATAAAAACACTATTTGAATTATAACCCAATTTTCAGCAAACCACTCACAAAAATTGTTAATGAATTACCCGCTGTGAAAGGGCATGGAAAAACACTTGTGCTTACGTCGCCATCCTTTGCAAGTTTCCTGCCACACCGCATGCTATTTGCTTCCAGCTCCTCCTTATTAATTTCTTGAGGCCTTTGGACATACAAAAGAGCCTTTTAAAAAATGTCATCTTTTCAGATAAAAGAGCAAGAAAAGTAGCCCGTGAAATCAGGTACATAAACATCCAAGACAAACTGCAAATGTGTTGAAAACATTTCAGGAGGTTCTCCCTTCTGCTAGCATCGAAGTTCCTTGCTCATCCTTCAAAGCAGTGCTGGGGAATGAGTGTTCGGACCCCTGGGCGGTCACCTGTGGGGTACCTCAAGGCTTTGCCCTCTCCCCCATGCGTTTTAACATTTTTATGAAGCTGCTGGGAGAGATTATCAGGGGGTTTGGGCTCGGTGTTCACCAGTATGCGGATGATACCCAGCTCTACTTCTCCTTTAAAGTGGAACCAATAAATGTGGTGAACATGTGGTGTGTCTGGAGGCGGTTGGACGATGGATGGAGGTTGAATCCTGACAAGGCAGAAGTACTGTTTCTGGGGTACTGGGGGCAAGCAGGGGGGGCTCCCTGGTCCTGAATGGGGTAACTGTTCCCCTAAGGGACCAAGTGTGCAGCCTGGGGTCTTTATGAACTCAGCTGTCCATGGAGGTGCAGGTTAATTCTGCGTCCAGGGTGGCTGTCTTGCTCCATCTGGTATGCTGGTTGAGTCCCCACTTGCCTGCGCACTGTCTTACTTTTTAATGGTTGATGTTTTATTATGTTTTTAATATTTTGTTGGGAGCCACACAAAGTGGCTGAGGCAACAGAGTCAATGGGTGGCATATAAATAATAAAATGATAATTAAATTATTATCAGTCTGATCCATTCCTTGGGTTTATATACGATAGACCAGGATAAGATTGCTACTGAGCCGTCTTGTGTTGGTAGAGGCCGAAGATTATGCAGGTAGATCAGCTTCTTGCAGGATACTGCCAGCACAAGGGAGAAAACTAGTTGGGTGACAGTCATGTTGTGGTAGGAAGGTTTTCAGCCTAGTCTGATCTTGCTCAGAACTCACTTTCGACCCTTTCATTTGTATAACATTACACAAGTAAAAACACTCCTGCTAACGAATGCAGAATGTTTACGACCCTCCAGGCTGGCCTAGTTCCAGTGGAGGGGAGTCCAACAGAGCGAGTAGATGAGTACAGCACACACACACCAGGAGCAGAAGCACCCCAAGAAACAAACACAGTTCTCACATTTACACATTTTACAATATTATATCCTACCTATTTGGACTCAACAATGAGCCACACCATTAAAATTGTGAGTTATGCAACCATTACTACAAAAAACCTAAAAATTTGAGTGTGTCAAGATCCGTAAGAACAGGAGTGAGAACCATCACAACAAGGGAGCTACATCACTAACCCCAAATCTGCAGAACCACAATTCCACAAGCAGGAACTTGGCAATGGGGAATGTTGGTGAAATGGTGCTTGATACAAACAGAAGAACTGCCAGTCAAGGCCAATAAAGCAGGAAGGACAGATGACCAACACTTGTGTTATCAGAACGCTTACAGCTACCCTGCCTACCATGCACTTTGAGGAGTCACAATTCCATCCTTACCACTAGAGGTTGCAACAACAAAGAACTCCAGAGTTAAGCAGATGGGGGGGGTAATAGCTCAAAATACGCCCCCTTATTTGAGGGATCCCATAGCGTACTTCCCTCCCTTTACTCCTAACCTCTGGTTCCTGCTCTGTAACAAGGCATTGATCCATAAAATGACCCCCTCCCTTTTATCCCATGCCTGCTAAATTTATTCAGTCTTTGGAGAAGTACTCTTCAAAAGCTTTTCAGAAGTTTTAGCATAGAGCGTTCTTCTTCTTCTTTGGCGATCCCTCATAGCTGAGTAAGATTGTCTTCCATGAACACGGTCTTAACAGTGAGTCTGTAAGTGACTGTGTAGGGTTGTATCCAATTAACCACTACTCGGAGCAGACCCAATGAAATTAAATGGACCCAAGTTAGGCACACCTATTCATTTCAATGGGCCTACTACAATTATGACTAGCACGGAATACAACGCATTCTAGCTGACGGCTGGGTTCCCTTCTGGGCACTGCATGCCAGAGGGGGAAGTAAAAGCAACAAACACACACACAATTCACACAAACCACACATATACATGTCCTACTTGTGCATTCCCTCCATCCTTGTCTGATAAGTTTCATAATAAACCAACTTCAAACAACAGGTTACAGAGCTGGCTGATTAAACTTTGCTTTATGCAAGGAAGCTGGTTTGTACATAATGCTAAGCTGAGGCTCTTTTAAAAGTTAAATTACACTTGGCAGAAGTCCTCCTTTTGGCTGTGTGAGGAGGAACAGGAGGAACACACAAGCCCAAGAGCAACCTCAGGTTTGTGGAGGCTCATCCACGTAGCCAAAACCAAGGCTTAGCATTCTGTGCAGCTCAGATCACAGTCTAAAATCTATAAAACAAATGTGTATATATATATATACACACACACACACACACACACATACACACACACACACATATCTTGGGCAGCATAAAAGCTTAGGCAGGAAACCTTTCGTAGGTAGAAAGCAAATAACTTAAAACTGTAAATGACATATTGCAGAAGTTACTACTGAAAAGTTGGAATTCTGGATATTATCTTTTCTGACCATGTATTTAGAAAACTTTATCCTGCTTCTCTCAAACTGAAATAATTCAGTTTAATGATTTGCTTGTTTCAATGCACTGTGCCTCAGTACTAAGTATCTTTGTAATAGACTGAAGCTGCATTCTACATAATCAGGCCACTGGTTGATCTAGAGCAGTTAGAGAATAAATGCCATTAGAACTCAGAGAGACTAACTTCTGGGTGAATATGCACAGAGGACTGGACTGCAAAGGTACTGCTGGGCATTTGATTTTGGAATCTGTATACTGCCTCGTTTAAGCTAACAGGCAAGTGGCTAAAAAGGGCAACACTTACAAAGAGTGTGAATCAGTGCAATTCTTTATGGGGAAGGTTTGGGAAATGTTTTTTAAATAAAACAAAAACAAAGCTACATATGTGAAGGGCAAGCTTCAAATTCATGAGCATCAAGATTAAAGCACACAGAGAAAGGCAAGTTCTTTCCCAAAGAAAGCATTACTTACAGGATCAACTTGAGTGGCCAAACGTTTGACGCTCATGAAGTTTACATTTGTACTATGAAAGCTGCTCTCTACAACATAAAAGCACAACCAACCCCTAACATCACAACCAGTTATGTAACATCTTCAGCAAAGTGTGTGAAAAGGCTTTCATTCATATCATAATGTAAAAGCCACCTTAATGTATTAATTTTATTAAATAAACTTCAACTGCACTAAAAATAAAAGTCACAGAACCAGGCCTCCAGAAATCCACTCATTAAGGTGCAAATAGCAACAGAATTTCTCTCAAGTACTCTGCAAATTGCAGAAGCATTGAATTTTCGCTGTTTTGGCTTTACAGAAGGAACACACAGTGCAAGCAATGCTGAAAAGGCCCTGGGCTACTGGAAACCAAGACTAAGCTTGTTCCCTAAATCTCTAGGACATACAGAAGCCTCAGGGAGAGGGGAGGGTCCTTTCATCCTTTGCACCAGGCTTTGGAGAATGAAAAAAGCAGCCACTTCCCTCTTTTCCAACACTGCCATAGGCATGATCAGATGACTCTGGGAATGATGGCAACACCAAGCATCTGTTGAACACATAAAGCCAAAATTTCTGGGCTGCTGCAGATAGCCACCCCCAAAAGACTGGAACTCTTAAATTTAAAATGTTACATTAGCCACACTTTGTTTTTCTCTTTCATTTTGAGAGCCACATTCTGAGATGCCTGTACCGGAGAAGGGGGTGCACTAACAAACTTATAGGAAAAGGGGTGTGCTATACATACCCAATGTCATTGTCTTGTTCTGCTCTGAGCATGGCAAACCACTGCTGTTTGTAAACAGAGGACAGCCATTCTAAAATTTAAAAAAATCAAAGTGGGTCTTTTACAGATGGGGAATATAAGTTAAGCAGCACTTTAAAAAGTCTTATAACTTACACAAATCTATGCATGTTTCTAAACTATAGGATCCCACCACTCTGCACTAAACGATTCAGCTAGTGTGATAGAAGTAAAGAAAAAGAAGGGGGGCGGGCGGTCCACTGTTTGAAAGAACATGCACACAATCACACACACACACACACACACACACACACACACACACACACACACACACTACTATGGTTAAAATGAAAAATGGTCAGTCATTAATTTGCACCTAGGTAATCCAGTTTCAGCTAAGACCTTACCTGGAATGGTTTCTATAAAATTTGGTGCTCCGAGTATTTAATTCATCCATCCTTTTTGCCACTTCAGTCCAACTTAAACAGGCCTCAGTTCCAAATCACTAATTTCCTCTCATCTCAACATTTGCCAGTTCACCTCATTCTCATGCCCCTTCAGCTTACCTTTCTACCATTAAATCTCACTCAGTTTAGTTTTGCATTTTTCTGTAAAATCTTCCACCTTGTCATGTTGACACAAAACCCCAGTTCCTCCCAACAACTTCCAGAGAGTGCCAAATCTTTCTTGTTTACTAAACTAGAATAAACTCTACGGCGACAATCGCATGGCGGCATTCCCAAGACATGCAGAAAACACAAGCCTAGAACATACTGCAACCAAATAAGCCTTTCACTTATGACATTCACCACATATGGAATGTGAGCCCAGGACGTTCTATAGCTACGGAAGCGTTTTCACCAGTCCCTACATTTTGAGGGGACGGGGAATGGTATTCCTAATCCTTCCATTAGAGATCCTGCAATCCTGCATTAAGCTGTGGGAATCCTTTGCACCCAAACCCCACTTGATCCACACCACTTTCACATTAGTAAATTGGATCTGAACCCCCTCAGCATGCCCAGATATTCAGTCCTGAACCCACCTTGTCTGCGGCCAAGGGGGAAAGAGAGAGCTGCTCCAATCTTACCTGCAGGTATCAGACCATCTCGCTCAACAATTTTTGCTGATGCCAGATCGCTGACTATGTACTGCAGCCGTAAGTGTCTGAAAACTGCCAAAAATGCACTTCCTGGTTCTGATTCCAAGAATGAGATGCCATCCCCAAAATCTGCAATGTGATAATAAGCAAGCCGTTATGAGTTCAAAAACTTTTTTGTTAAGCTTGCACAGTTGAACTGGCCCTGCCCCTCCTCCCAAATCTGCTCTGGGGGATCACTCAACCCTCTGTAGCCAATTTCGGGGGCTGTGGCAGCACACATCAAGAGAAGTGCTGTTGCACTCACAGAAGTCATTCTGCTAACAATGACTTCATAGGATTCCACCCAAACGATTTATGGTCAATTGTACAGTAACAGAAAGTAGGAAATGCATTCTGCAGGCAAAGCTGAAAAATATCAGATTTTCCTTTAAATTGGAACAATTTTATTTTCATTTACTCAATTTAATTTCACCTGTTTTAATACAACTAGATCCTGCTTTTTTTTAAGTGCTCAGGATCACACATAGAACTATGGATTATGAAGCTAAATAAAGGATAAATCCTTTCCAGCCCACATTAAATAGGCCAATTGCGTATTAACATCTTCAAGGTACATCTTGCACAAAGAGAAGATTTTAGATTTCCAACATGCACAGTCATTACCTTTTTTACGCTTGGAAAACCAAACATCTGCTTCATTTAAAAGATGCTTTAGAGATCCATTCCAAGAAGGCACCAGTTGAAGGAACATCCACTGGATAAAAATAAAATGGTGTAGGTTTAAAATTTTCCATTGGAACATTTTTCAATCAGTGTGAAAACACACACTCACCCTTTTATAAGCAGCCCCATTTACACGCATTCAATATGAGTGTGACAATGTTTACGCGCATTGTGCCGAACCTTGAAGTAACCCAGAAACATCATAACATCTCTGAAACGCTATTAAAAGAGTGGAAAGGGGGGCAGGGCAGAGGCAGAATGGGGCGTTTGCAGGCTTTTTCAATGGGTTCCAATTACAGTGTCACCTTGGTTCTCAAACGCCTTGGTTCCCAAACGCTGAAAACCTAGAAGTAAGTGTTCTAGTTTTCGAATGTTTTTCAGAAGCCGAATGTCCAATGTGGCTGTGGGCTATTGTTTTCAGGGTGCCTGCACCAATCAGCTGTGCCTTGGTTTTCGAACATTTCGGAAGTCAAATGGACGTCCGGAATAAATTAAGTTTGATGCTTGGCCCTTTTGTTTTTGATATTTACCATATTTTTCGCTCTACAAGACGCACCTAGTTTTTGGAGAAGGAAAACAAGAAAAAAAATATTCTGAATCTCAGAAGCCAGAACAGCAAGAGGGATCGCTTCGCAGTGAAAGCAGCAATCCCTCTTGGTGTTCTGGCTTCTGGGATAGCTGCGCAACCTGAATTCGCTCCATAAGACGCACACAAATTCCCCCTTACTTTTTAGGAGGGGAAAAGTGAGTCTTATAAAGCAAAAAATACGGTATTTTGTGTTTTTGAGGCCTTTTTGGTTAATTTGTTTTGGTGACTGTGTGGAACCCAGTTCAGCTACTGATTGATTTATAGTGTGACTGCGGAAATGGATAAAAGTCCCCCATCCAAACAATGACTATCATCAGTGCAGGTAAGAAAAATAATAATTTAAAATTTTATTTTATAGTACAGTACGTTGATTATTGCTTTCATTTTATGGATCAATGGTCTTGTTAGAGAGTAAAATTCATGTTAAATTGCTGTTTTAGGGGTTGTTTTTAAAAGTCTGGAACGGATCCGTTTTGCATTACAGTACTTTCTAGGGGAAAGCGCGCCTTGGTTTTGGAACACTTTGGCTTTGGAATAGACTTCCAGAACGGATCAAGTTTGAGAACCAAGGTACCACTGTATACACGATTTCACTGATGCACATGGTGCCTTCGACATTAATTGCCTTGTAAACAAGGGCTGCTTGTACTAGAAATAATAATGTTTTATGACACAGCAGCACCCGGACCAGAGCAACTGTGGATTAAGCCTGGTTTGGTGCAAATCCAACAATAGGGCACCTGTTTCACACAAACAGGACTATCGGGGCCTTGGTTACTACCTTTTTCAGAGCAGTGTACACATCCATCTCCACTTGCATGACAAACAGGTTAGAGGAACTGATCAGCTGCTTCATGAGGTTTATACTGGAACAGAAGACATGGCACATGAAATGTCAAGGTAATGAACAGATTCATTTAAATTTGTATAATTTTAGGCTAAACATCTCTCAGTATCTCAGTTAATCCAAGATAGCTGAAATCTCAATACCTGAGTTCTTTGACGAGTTCCACACACTGGTGTGTCATCAGGTTGTTTAAGAGCCATTCAAGGCACCTAGATTTAACATATATCAGTCTTATCAGAGTGCACAGAAAGATGATTTCCCCAAACAATTAAACATCTGGGAAGAACATTTTAAACAACTTGCAGAGTAGATACTTGCTCCGTATTACCAAATATCACTGTATACCATGAAGTCCCCACATGCAATGCCCGCCCACCCTGCTATAATCCCCTTCACTCCCACCATGGATCTTACATTCCCATTGCATCCAACAATATAAAGCAGGCTTCCTCAAACTCAGCCCTCCAGATGTTTTTGGCCTACAACTCCCATCATCCCTAGCTAGCAGTACCAGTGATCAGGGATGATGGGAATTGTAGTCTCAAAACATCTGGAGGGCTGAGTTTGAGGAAGCCTGATATAAAGTATCACTCTGAGCTTGCGTCATCCTTCCAATTTTCTGATTCTCGGATACCACAGCCCACAATACTCAGAAGTCCCAACTGCACTGTATTGGGCAGAAATGTTTTCAGAATGTCAAGCCTACTTTAACTTACCTAAAACTTATTTTCTATAAGAACATACATATCCCAAAGAACATACTTTTCAGAGTAATGTACAAAACAGGAAGATGAAAGAATGCCCATGAAGGAGCCACATTAGCTGCTTCCCAAAGCGATTCCAAGGGGAATCACACTATTTTTAGAAATGCCTTCTCATTAGATAAAGCTCATTTCAATGCAAAGAAGATACTTGCTTTTTTTTCAGGGAATCTAATCCATATGTTCCTGCAGAATTATAATAGCTGCACACAGTTTTTGCATTAATTGTTTCCTTCATTGTCTCACCACATTGCTGTATTAAGCCATCCTGAAAATACACAATAACAGAAAAAAATCTCCAATGCCTAAATAGTATGTGTAATCTACTTCCCAGAATAGCCTAGGAAGAAGGTGAACTCAGTAGATAAAGTATTGATAATGCCTAAAAGCCTGGAAGAAACCTATATATACCTCCAGTTTAATCATCGTTCAGTTGCCCCCATTTTGGAACATAAGAAACTATTTATGCCAAGTCAAACTAGTTATTGTGTGCATGAACTGCTAGCAGCAGTCCAAAAAGACACTTTTCTAGCTTTCCTACATGAGAGCCCTTGGAACAGGAGCAGGGAACCTGCAGCCCTCCAGGTGCTGTTGGTCCATTATTCTCAAATCCCTAGACCTTGACCATGCTGGCTGGGGCTGAAGGAAAGCTGGGAGTCCAACACCAACTGAAGGGCCAGAGGTTCCCCACTGCTGCCTTAGAGGGATTGAACATACAACCTTTGAGCACGTATATTGCATATATAATACAGAGAAGCAGCAGAAGATAGAGATTGTTAAAAGAAAAAGTTACAGGGCATTCATAAAATGTTCAGCTTTGCATTATGAAATGAGTCTTTTTACATATTATCATCATTTATATTTGGACCCCTTTTGTCAGGAAAATGACGAATAAAGCAACTTACAAAAATAGTATGAACACAAATCTGTTATAACACACACAATCAACAAAAGCCTAAAAACACAAATTACAAGACAGGTCTCACAAATCCTGCCCCACAAATCTCGGAAAACCCTCAAAATGAAAGGCCACCAGCCCAGGTAAAACAAAAAAGTTTTACCCAGGTGTCTAAAACATATAAAGAAGGAGCCAGCATGCCTTGCTAGGGAGAGAATTCCACAAGCATGGAACCACCACTGAAAAGGCCCCTTCCCATGTTGCCACCCTCTAGACCACCTATGGAGGGGGTTCACAGAAAAGGGCATCGGATGATGACTGGGTCTTTTACCAAGTTAAACATTTTACAAATGCCCCATAGCTTATAAACTGAAGGGGGAGGGTGCCAAATAAAGGCAGCCATTTCTACTTACCAATTGCAGCATGCTGGCTGCCGCTAGGAGTGCAATGACTCTGCTGGGATTTATTAACACTTCATCTCGATAAAGTGACCCAAATGCTACCTGTAAGGCTGGGAAACAAGCATCCCATCAAAGCAAATGTAGAGGATGGGTATATTACACACAGTTAAATTATTAGTGTTTTTAGTTAATTAATTCCTTTCCATCCAACGCAAGTGTTCAAAGTGATGTTTAAAAATTTAATGTCCGGAAACCCTCTAAGAACTTTCAACACATCAACAACACTTAAGAAAGCAAAACAAATTGCAGAACTAACAACTAAGAAACTTGGAGGAGTATATCCTGTGCAGGAAAAGCAGTCAAATGCATTAAGAAGTATTAAGCAGCAGGGAGAAGCTGCTGAGAAGCCAAACCGCTCAACAGAAACAGCTATTATGACAGGTCGGGAACATGACAAATATAAAATCCTACGTTACGCCAATGATCCATAATAGCCAACCTAACCTAAAACTAAGGGGGAACTCTGAAGTCACTGGAACAGAGTAGGCAGACTGTAGCAAACAACTGTTTGCTACATCAACAAATAAAAAACAGATTTTCAAATGCTCTGCTCCTTTGTAATAAAAATTCTGGTGGGAGTGGGACAGTTCATCTTGTGTTTTTAAGTTTTAAAGAAGTCCCAAGGTACCTGGCTACTTTCTTTAACACTTTCCTCCCAAATGGAGGAACCCATTTTCTAATGAGTTCTCTAGAATCTTCTCCCAACACATTCCCCAAATTTCCAACTGTAAATGTGATTCAAATAATGTTTTAATAAACAACTTTTCATAATTAAAAAAAAATCTTAGCTGACTTGACAAGTACCCACGTCTTCTGTAAAAAAGGAACATCATCCTTTGCTTACCTTCTACATCAATATTCTGATCAGGAATTTCCAATTCTATTGTATCCATTTCCGATTCCCTCCAAGAACCGCTGAACATACTCGAAAAGTAGCCAGACTACACACACACACACACAAAAAAAAGACCCTGAATTTAATTCAAATGCTTAAAATGTAAGAATATATGCAAATTAATATGGTACAAAGTAAGTAAGTCCATATCAGGAGGCATTATGGCAGATCTCTTCCATTCCTAATAAATTTCAAGCAAATTCTTTATTAGCCTTTATTTCAAGCATGTTTGATCTCTAAGGTATCAGTCTGAACACACTCAACTTTATACGCCATGGTTTATGACACCAGAAATGAGTGTTCAGACTATGTAGTACCCACCACCCCATGTACCTACTCTAGTGTTTGATCCTAGTTAAACCAAGCTATGGTTTCCCATTATCTCTGAAATAGATTCAGGAACAGAAACCAGGATCAAACAAGGCTTTCATTCCTGGTTAGTACATCACCATTAAGTCACAACTTCCTGTTTCAGGAGTAACGGAACACTGGTTTTAACCAAGTTTGGACAAAACACAACTAAGATTATGAATAGTTTTATCCAAACAAACCTAAACTACCAACTGTAAAACAAGAGGGGGAAGAAGTAATTAAAATAATATTGAATACTGCCTGAAATTTGAACAAAAACTCCCATGGGTAGCAATTTAGAAGGGTACTGGAAAAGGAACCACATGCAAGACATACAAATAGATGTACAAGGGTGGTCTCATGCTACAGACATACATACATTGCTGTATCCATACAAAGTTAGGTGTAGGTAAATTAACACACACATACACACACCATGTAAGTATACCTTTGCATTAAAATGTAATTCATATAAAACTAGAAATAGCTAGTTTTCCATCCAAGGAAGTGAAAATTACTGCTCTACTAGAACTTTCCATCACAGCAGGAGGTGACCCCATTATGAGATGCTATCACTCACAGAAGTTTACCTGAGAGATCAAAAGAATAAAGTCTATTTGTACAGTAGTATATTCCCTTTGACAACCTTATTTTTTCCAAGGGAAACAATATGTTATGTTTAATTTATTCAAGCTAAGCTAAAGTATGCTTTGTTAGCCATTAATGTACACCTCACTGCTGCTCTTGAGAATTCTGGACATAGCGGCAGGCAAGGGATAAAGAGAGTGCGTCTAACGGCACTATCCCCTGCATGCTTACTCAGAAACAAGTTCCATGGAGTTTAGTAGGACTTGCTCCCTAATAAAGGTATTTAGAATTAGAGCCCAAGATCTGCCTGGAAAAAAATATTTTATTCTTACCTGACATAAGTATATCTTGTGCAAGTTCCATTCTTCTCCCAGAGCACAAATCTTAATATCACTGTTTTCACCATTTAGAAATAAAGTCTGATATATATACTTGGAAGTGCTTTTTAATTTTTTCCTGGATTAAGGGGGGGAAAAAAACAAGTGTTGAATTCCAGCACGTAACACTAAACATAACATTTTGAAAGCTTGTTGGACAGATGAACCTTCCTTGCAAGCATCCCATTGAACCAATTTGATCCATTTTCCATGGTTTTTACCAAAGTCAATGGTTACAAGGTTGGTTTCAAGTTACATTTTGTTTAAGGAAGCCCCCAGTTATCCCAACATCATGCTTCTTTATGAGCTGAAGCAATCAGGAGTAATTCTAAAAGCAAACATGAGGCTTCTAATAAAGCCTTTAAAAAGTGGATACTACAGAGCATATCCTGGCTCAGCCAATGCCATTTACTGATCTTTTACCTGCCTGGAAGCTCTCATAAGGGACATAATTTTTTTGCATTGTCAGCTTCATCCTGCTGCTGAGGATCATATCTAGTTTAGCTTTAAAACACAGGCTCACCTAAGGCGCCAGGAATGTATGTCATTTACCTACTTTTAAGATGTTGCCAGGCATGTGCATGTTCTGTTGGACGGGGACGAGTTTATGGTGGTAAGGTAAAGGGACCCCTGATCAGTCGTGGCCGACTCTGGGGTTGTGGCGCTCATCTCGCTTTATTGGCCGAGGGAGCCGGCGTACAGCTTCTGGGTCCTGTGGCCAGCATGACTAAGCCGCTTCTGGCGAATCAGAGCAGCGCACCTTCCCACCAGAGCAGTACCTATTTATCTACTTGCACTTTGACATGCTTTCGAACTGCTTAGTTGGCAGGAGCAGGGACTGAGCAATGGGAGCTCACCCCATCGCGGGGATTCGAACCGCTGACCTTCTGATCAGCAAGTCCTAGGCTCTGTAGTTTAATGTTTGGGAACCACTGGCCCTGTAGAAAGCACTGAGCAAGATGGGCTGATCACAGAATGGTAGGAGTTGGCAAGGTCCCGATGATCATCTAGTCCAACCTCCTGCAACGCAGGAATCGCAACGGCCTGACTCGGGATGAAGCGGCTGCCTCGGTTCCCCGGAGGGGTCTGCAGAAGGCCGATGACCCCCCCCCCTGCAGCCCTGCGCAGTTCCCCGCAGCGGCCCCCGCTTGCTCCGCAGCACCTGGCCCTCGGAGGCTTGCTGCCTCGGACGCTGGAGGCCTCAACCGGGTCCTCCAGGGCGGCATCCTGAGGCAGCGAGTCCCGCAGGCGAACGCGCCGCTGCCCTGAGGCGAAGTACCTCCTCGGGGTGTTGAGCAGCCGCTCCTCCCGCTCGCTCTCGTCGTCGCTGTCCGTGTCGCTCGGGTACGCGCCCAGGTCGCCCCGCTTCCTCTTGGCGGCGACGGCAGCCCCGCCTCGGCCTCCGACGCCCCTCAGGCCCGCCGCCGCCGCCGCCACAGCCGGACCTTCGCCGTGCGGGGCAGCGGCAGCGGCCGCCGGCCGGCCCCGCCACGCCCTGCTGCTCAGCAAGCCCATGGCCGCTCGCCTGCCTCCTCCTCATGGGGCCCACGCCAAGGCCGCGGCCGCCGGCGACTCAGCGACCAGCGGCAGCAACGGCCGCCGCCATTATACCCACGGCGGCCGGCCGACGCACAGCGCATGCGCCGCAACGGCACACGCCACAGTCCCGGCTGGCCCCCACAACAACACAACGCGCATGCGCGGAGCCTTTCCCGGCCGTACGCCTGGCAAGGCGGAGGGAACCTTCGAGAGGACGGCTAGAGCGGCCCACAGACCCGGAGGAGGTCAGAAGCAGAGAGCGGCCATTCTCGGCCCGGAGGCGGGTCTTGGTTTGTGTTAGCGGAAGCGTAGGCACGTCACTTCCTGCCTGGCGCCCAGGCGAGGGGAGCGCGTGGCCATGGCGAGGAAGAGCGGAGGCGGCGGGGCCCACCGGGCCGGGTCCCTGAAGCAGCAGAACAAGCCGCACAAGAGCGGGAGGCACAGCGGGAGCAGCGCGAAGAAGCAGGGCGGTGAGGAGGCCCGTCTGTACATGTATATGCAGTCCTGTCCTGCGTGAAGTCGATGGCATCCTTCAGCTCAGGCACAGGCAAACTCGGCCCGCCAGATGATTCGAGACTACAATTCCCATCATCCCTCACCACTGGTCCTGTTAGCTAGGGATGATGGGAGTTGTAGTCCCAAAACATCTGGAGGGCCGAGTTTGCCTGTGCCTGCTCCAGCTGGTCCGTCGGGGGGGGGGCGGCAGCTCTTCCGAGACAGGATGCTGCCGATGGCTGTGCCAGAGAACTTTAGCTGCGAGACCCCCTTTTACCCCACGTGCGCCCTCTTGAAACCGCTTCGATCAGCGGAACTGGCAAGATTACAGGTGCCACATAGCGCTTCTTTCTGCAGCTGTAAGAAATTGATCTTCCCCTGTGGCAGCGCCTGAGCTTTGGAACTCCCCGCCTATTGATACCGGGCAGGCGCCTTCACTGCACTCTTTTCAGCACCTGCTAAAAACATTTTTGCTTAAATACCCAGGTATCTAGAACGCTGGTGTGTTTTTAGTTTATTGCTGTTTTTAATTTTTGGAACGTTTTGATTGTTTTTACAGAAAAAAATTCTCGCTTTATTCATAATGTAAACTGCTTTGAGGTTTTATTCAATCAAGCGATATATGAATTTGATTAAATAAACAAACAAATAAAATGATTGGTGGGCAATGAGTCATAAGGATAAGCTTGGCTCAGCAGTGTGGGTGCATATGATCAAGACCAGTATTTAAACAGTTTCCCTAACTCCATGTCTTCCTCTGAATTCTGTTATGTATAGCGTAGCACCATATGCATTGAGAGCTTTTTCTCTTCTCTCTCCGCCCTTTCCTTAGGCCGGGTCCCTGCTAAGACACTCAGCCAGCAGCGGCACCGCAATTTGGCCAAATTGGACCGCAAGCATCGGGCCTGGCAGCTCCGCCGGCAGTGCAGGGAGATGGTGAGTCAGTGAGAAGCTGGTGGGGTGGAGGGCAAGCCTCTTCCTGCTTCTACAGGGGAGGGAGACAAACATAAGAAGGGCATCTGCTGGATCAGGCCAAAGGAGGCCATCTATTCCAGATGCCTATGGGAAACCTGCAAGCAGGATTCAAACAAAAGTGTCCTCTCCCCTCCTGCAGTTTTCAGCAGTTGGCATTCAGCAGCATTGCTGCCTCTGATGGCAGAGCATAGTCGTTGTGTTTAGTGGCCATCAATAGTCCTCTCCTCCATGAAAGGACCTGTGTTTGCTTTTTCTTGGTCACAGGTGTTGGAAGAAAAGCGGAACTTGGGTCGCAAGGATGGGCCACCCCACTTGGTGGTGGTAGTCCCGCTGCATGCTGGCGTCGCTATCCCAAGAGCCTTGAGCCTGTTTCAGAGCAGTGCAGCTTCTACTGTGTGCCAAACCAAGATGGGCCCACCAGGTTTTGGCCTGCTGTGCCACCAATCCAGACTCCGGTGGCGCTTTGTGGTGGCTGACACAGGTAGGGACACCTTAGCGTACTGAGACACTGTCGTTACAACATGCCAGCCTCCACCTTCACATGTGCCTTTCTTGTCACCCAGGGAACCTCCATGCTGTGCTGGACCTGGCCAAGGTAGCAGACACCCTCCTTTTTGTGCTGGATCCTCACGAGGGCTGGGATGCCGCTGGAGACTACTGCCTTTCCTGCATCTTTGCACAGGGCCTCCCCAGCTATGGTGAGAACAGTGTCGAAAGCTGCTGTGCTAGCAGGAGGGGGCTCTTCCTTTACCAAATCCCTCCTAGCAGAACAGTGTTCGGATGCCAGGGTTTGAAGTGGCGAGACCAAACTGCATAACTAGGAAGAACATCTGAATTATAGACTGTGTGAGGGAGCCAGGTAACCTCCAGTTAAGACACAGGGGGATTTACTGTTCTTTTTATCCTGATTTTCAGACAAAGCGGCTCAAGTTAGAGAGAGGCAGGCAGGCAGGCAGGCTTTGCCACTGGCATATAAACTAAAAATGCAACATGTAAAAGTGGAGAGCGACAGGAAAAGGGAGAGGAAAGAGTCCTTCAAGGTCAGAATGAAGTGCTGAGTTACAAACATTTACATTCAGTTCAGGCAATGCTGATCCTCCCTTGCTGATGTTCTTGTCTGAGCAGTGGATTGTGGCTCTTTTCTCTTTGGCCAAAGGGTGGGGCCAGAAGGTTCTTTCCACTCCCTTGGGGCAAATGATAGCTGGAGCCAAGTGTTATTTCTGGCTGGGAAGGCGGGTGTAAGCTTGCAGCTCATGTTTCTTTGGCTGATAGATGGGGATGGGCTGATCTCCTCCTTGCCATGGTGTTCTTCCTGAGAGGCAGGGGAGGGGGTCCTTGATCCTGTGGCTGGTGGCAGAGGTCAGAGAGAGCTGCCCATCAGGTCTCATATTAAAATGGATTAGACCAATTCACAAAGAGGGACAGATCTTTTGCAGCTGCTGCCCGTGAGTGCTAAATTGAGCAACTGTGTTAATTAACAGTCTCTCCCCAAGCCACATATATTGTACACAAACAGGGCAGGGCTGTTGTGTCTGTTTATCAAGAGACATTTGGCAGGCCTGAATTGGAAATGCGATGGCAGATGAGACAAATTTTGGATCTGATCCACTATGCCTCACCCTGTGTTGTTGAACTTATACCAACTTATGGAAGGGATGGGCAGTGGGCTTCCAGTCAGTGCTGCAAGGCTGCTTACGTTTGTAGAGCTGGAAAGGACCCCAAGGGTCATCAGGTCCAATCTCCTGCAATGCAGGAAACTTTTTGCTGTATGTGGGGCTTGAACCCACAACCCTGAGATGAAGTCTCATGCTCTACCAACTGAGCTATCTCAGGGATACCTTGCTGGCATCTAGAGGTTTTGGTCCACGCTGCCTTGGGGGGTCCCCTGAGCTTCACAGCTGCCTGTAAGCAGACATTAAAGCCTACCCAGCCATTGATGCTTCTCTCCCGTTTGTCACCTGCAGGCCTTGCTGTTCAAGGTCTTTCTGACCAGCCGCTAAAGAAGCAGATTGACTGCCGCAAGAAGCTGAACAAAGCCATCGAGAAGAGGTTCCCTGAAGACAGGCTCTTCCCCCTCGACACAGAGCAGGAGTCCGCCCTGCTGCTTCAGCACCTGGCCAGCCAGAAGCAGCGGCACCTGGTCTTCCGAGACCGGCGGGCTCACCTGCTGGCCACTGCCGCCACTTTCGTGCCCAGCACAGACAGCGCCTTGGTGGGGACCCTGAAGGTGTCTGGTTACGTCAGGGGACGGAGCCTGAACGTGAACAGCTTGGTGCATATTGTGGGACACGGGGACTTCCAGATGAGTCAGGTGGATGCCTCCCCAGAGCCCTTTGCTCTAAACTCCAGAACTGCAAAAGTACACCCAAGGAGCATGGGGGACCAGGTAGGTTCTGTTGCCTGGCTGGTGGGGTGGGGGGCAGGAACTGGAAGGTAGGAGGAGGCAGCAAATGCTTGTGGGGGTGGGGGAGAAAGCATCTCCTTTGCCCCCAGGTGGCCATGCTTGAACTTCTCTCCCCTGGTTTCTAGGATGACCTTGTCAGGAGAGAAGAGGAGATGGAGGAAGACGTGAAGGTGCTCAGCAAGGCTGATGCCAGCAAGCAAGAGTCTCTGCAGTCAGAAGTGACCCCTGACCCCATGGATGGAGAGCAGACCTGGCCCACCGAGGAGGAGCTGAAAGAGGCTGAGGGTCAGTCTGAGCCTTGTCCATCCTACCTGCCTCCTACTTTAGACCAGCTGTCTTTTTGTCGCTTTGCACGTGGGCTGGGCTGAGGCTCTCCTTCTCTTTCAGGCTCATTATGGTCTGGGTTGGGCTTCAAACGCTGCTTCCTTGTTAAATTATATATTTCATTAACATTATACCCTGCTTGATTGTAAGAAGAAAAACCCTCAAAGTGATTTATTTATTTTTGTAAACCCAATAGAATTATCACTAAGAAAAATCATCAAGAATTATTTGAGACATTCAGAAAGTCTAAATAACAATATACAAAAAACAGATTGCAGCTTGAGCTAGCTTTTTAAATGTCTGGGTAGGTTTATAGTTTTTGGCATTGCAAATCGTTTTATCGCTTCTTAACGGTAGTGTGTAAAAGCACCAGCAGTGTGTGCTTTTAAATAGTTCAGCTTCACTTTCCTGGTGCTGTAAAGCAGCCTTTGCTGTAACTGCTTCAGTTTGGCCAGATGAGGAGCGGTGAGCGCGCTCTCTCTCTCTCTCTCTCTCTCTCTCACGCTGGCTAACTGCGCTTGCACTTCCAGAGTCCTTGGCACAGAGGAAGAAGATGACCAAGAGGGTCCCAAAAGGCACATCTGCCTACCAGGCTGCCTGGATCCTGGACAACAATGACGAATTGGAGAGTGGCAGTGAGGAGGACGATGAGGAGGAAGACAAGGAAGAGAATATGGTGGAAGAGCCCATCTCCCAGGTAATGGGATTGGGGTTAGTGCACAGCAGGAAGGTGTCGCCGGCATCTGATGGGCAAGTGGGGAAGGAGGAGAGCTGGGGAGAATGGGTTCATTGTAGGTATTCTGGACTGTTCAGGAACAGCTGGGTGCAAGAAGCGGGGGACTTGATGTGCAGGAACCCTAAAATGTTGGCTTGGCTTACTAGCTGGACTCTATGCTTGCTGCCAATACTGTCAAAGTCTTTTGGCATGTGTTCAAAGGGTAGGGTAGAGAGGCAAAGGGAATCTCTTACTTGATTTGTGTTAGGAAGAAAGTAGGAAACTGCTGGAGAGAGGCTTGAACCTTGGAGCTAGCGGGACCCAGCAGAAGGAGTCATCTCCTGCTTGGCATCTTCTCTTGAGAGCCAGGAACATGTTTTGGTAGTGAGATAGATTAGTGGACCCCTGCTGATGGTGGAATGAAGAGCGGCATTGTGCGTGCATAGCACTGAGAGGTCAGAATTCGGGGAGGGGGATAGGAAGCCGCCATATGCAGAGTCAGACCATTGGTCGATATTGCTCGATATTGTCTGCACTGACTGGCAGAGCTCTCCTAGCCCTACCTGGACATGCCATCAGGAATTGAATCTGGGACCTGTTGCTTGCCAGGCAGATCCTCTTCCACTCAGCTGTGGATCTTCTGTGATCCATAAAGAGGAACATGGTTGTAAGAGCGTAGCAAAGAGAGATGGCAAGCCATGAGTGTCTGTCTTGACTGCCAGCCTAGTATTTTATTTTATTTTTCATTTCATGTCATTCTTCAAGTAGTAGTATACCAATTACGTAGACATGGTGCCTTTTTCCTTTAAAAGGTTTCTTTCTTCAAACACTTTCTCTCTTGTCTCTCACAACCCCATGTGGGTTGCTTTTTCGTATGCTAGGATGGGAGTGGCAGTGAAGAGGAGGAGGAGGAGGAGGATGAAGAGGCCACAGAGGAAGAGGAGGGTCCAGACATGACCCTCCTGGACGATGAGAAGATGGAGGACAACGAGGCAATTCTGGAGAAGTACAGGCAGGAGCGGCAGGAGGAGATGTTTCCAGATGAGGTGGACACACCACGAGATGTGGCGGCCCGGATCCGGTAAGAGCCTCCTACATGCAGGGTGAAAAGGTAGGAGTGCCTGCAATGGGATGGCGAGGTCTGCCCTGGTTTGCTACATTTATCGCGGCCAGTTGCCAAAGCGAGGCCGGGTCTTGATGCCCAGGTTCATGTTAGACTGGGCTTTGGGAACAGAGGAGCCTTGCAGCTCCTCCTGAAGCTGGTTCACAGGCAGCTCCTCTGCTGAGTGTGGGATAGGCAAAGGCAGGAGGCCGGGTCTCTTGGAGCGCTGACTCCCTCTGGTTGTCTCCAGGTTCCAAAAGTACAGAGGACTAAAAAGTTTCCGGACCTCTCCATGGGACCCCCAAGAGAACCTGCCCAGGGACTATGCCCGGATCTTCCAGTTCCAGGATTTCTCCCGGACGAGGAAACACGTCTTCCGGCAGCTGGAGAAGGAGGAGAGCAGTGGAGCTGAGGTAGACCTTTCCTCCAGGCTCCAGATCTGGTCTGGTTCTGCCATACACCCTGAAGGCTCCTTGCTCCCATCGGTCCTGTTAAAAAATTGCAGAGCTGGAGGGCAGAGGAGTGGGAGACAGCTGGGTGCAGTGATCCCAGGCATGGGATCATTTGCACCCAGCCTCCCCTGAAACAAGCTCAGGGCAAAACAAGAGCAAGCCAAAAGAGCCTGCAGGGGCAAGAGCTCCATGTGGCTTGAGCTAGTCCGTGCCACGGTGGAGGGCAAAAGCCATGTCACCTGGGGTTGCCTGTGGCCTGCGATTCCTTGGTTGTGTAGAACCTGCAACAACTCAGCACAGAACTGAGAAGCTTGAGCACCTTGTGGGTTTTCCTTCAAACATGAGAGCAAGTTTGCAAAGAGAAGCTGGAAAGTGCAAGGCGCCTGGTCTTCTGAAATCTTGGAAGCCAGAGATGGGCCTGAATAAAGTTTCCTCTGGGCAGGGGCAGAGCCTCAGCCCCCCTTCCTTGCTCCTGGCTTCCCTCCAGGACAGTCCAGAGCAGCCTCCCCCATCTGATGCCTGCCAGGTGTTTCGGACTGCAATTCCCTTTAGCCCTAGCCTCATGCAGAAGCTGACGGGGTCTGAGAGCAGCCATGGTGCAAAACCTCTGGGGGGCATCAGGTTGAAGAAGGCTAGTCCACAATAATGGGCTAGGTTTTTTTTACTATTGCTTTTATTGAAATGATTTCATGGATAACAAAGGTACATAAAAGGTCGTGTTTCTTTTTTTAGTTCATAAACTCCTATCTGCAGGCGTGTTACATTTGGTGTGAGATATTTCTGTCATAGACATTGTGAGTGGGGGAGAAAGCTAAGGGGAGAGAGAGAGGTGGGAGAAGGAAGGGGGTAATGATTTTTCCGTCTTTTGCATAGTGCATGCGTTGGGTCTTGTGTCAGCGTCACGTGGATAGGTTCTTCATCTATTCAGTTGTTAGTTTTTGTTGGCGGTGAGAGAAATTGGGGAGCCCAGAGCATGGTTGGTTGCATTCAGCTGCTTGCAGTGCGTTTTGCTTGTGTGTGAGTGGGGGTGGGGTTGCTGGATCAAATTACCGTATTTTTCACTCCATAAGATGCACCGTTGACCATAAGACGCACCTAGCTTTTAGAGGGGGAATGCAAGAAAAAAAAAATTCTTTAAAGGGAGTGCTGAGCAGAGCCTGTATGCAGGCGCAACGTGTGTGTGGCGCTTGCAGGCTTTTCCCCCAGGAGGGAAAAGGGCAGCCTGTCACTGACGGGTTGCCCTTCTCCCTCCTTGGGGAAAAGCCCCCAAGAGCTGCACACACGCTCAGCACGGCTCTTTAAAGGGAGCGCAGCTCTTGGGGGCTTTTGCGGGAGATGGGGGAAGGGACTGAGGAGCTAAGCCAGAAACTAGAACAGCAATAGGGAGCGCTGCGCAGTGAAAAATACGGTAGCCATATCAATTTGTATGCTGTCCGGGGTGTGTGTGGGTTATGTTGTTGTCTTGTAATAAAGGGGAGCTACACTGGGGTGAAGGCATCTTGTTTGTCCCCCTGCTAATTTCAGTTTGCTCAGTATTGGGCTAGTTGAACCAATGGTTCGATTCTGTATAAGGCAGTAGGGTGTGTTCATAACCTCAGCTGGATAATCAGTGTAGGCTTTGGAACTTGGAGCTTCATTTGGCACAGGTAGGTAGTTGTGTTGGTCTGCCGTAGTCGAAACAAAATAAAAGAATTCCGTCCAGTAGCACCTTAGAGACCACCGAAGTTTGTTATTGGTATGAGCTTTCGTGTGCATGCACACTTCTTCATTTGGCAGCCCTTGATGTGCGACCTCAGCTTATTATTGAGATTTCTCAGTTTGGGTGAAACTGCATCAGGTGAAACTGCATCAGAGCTTGCAAACTAGGCCCAGGGTGGCGAGCCCATGGCCCCCGATGCTGCTGGGCTTGTAGCTCCTGTCAGCCGCAGCTAGTAGGCAGGGTGAATGGGAGCTGTTGGCCAGCCACGGTTGGAGGGCCTTAGGCTGCCCACCCCTGCTTTATCATAGAATCATAGAATCATATGATTAGATAAAGCGGGGGTGGTGGGGCCTTGCCCATCCTGATCCATTGCTTGGGGTTTCACACGCAATGAGTCTGTGCACATTTAAACCAGCTCTTGGCATTTGGTTGTCTGGGGCAGCCTTTGCCAATCTGGTGCTCTTCAAATGCTTTGAAGGACAGCTCGCATCAGCATCGTATGGCCATCTTGGTTGACCAGCTTGGTAAAAGCTGGTGTTTCCAAATTGCTTACAGTCCTTTTCTGGTCTCCAGTACCTGTTTGCTGATGGGCAGAGTTTCTGCTCCTTCCTGCTTTCTGAACCCACCATTTCCTACTTTGCTCCAGGCGCTGCCAGGTTCGCTCTTTCACCCTGTCTTCCCTTCCTGCAGGTCGGCTGTTATGTCACGCTGCACATCTGCAGTGTCCCCGCCTCGGTCATGGAGAGTTTCCAGCAGCAGGCGCCTCTGTTGCTCTTCACGCTGCTTCCTTACGAACAAAAGGTGAATGGGGAGGGGAGCAATTTGGGGGTTCTGGCCACACCCAGCTGTGCTGTGCCCCCTTCACTTAAGCTGACAGCTTTTCATCACAATGTCTGAAACTGTCTAACGTTGAAAGGGCAACCAAAATGATCAAGGGGAAAGGTTGCAGCATCTGGGGTTTTTTAGTTTAAGGAAAAGGCAAGTAAGAAGAGACATGATAGAAGCTTGTTAAATTTAGCATCACATGGAGAAAGTAGATAAAGAAAAGTTTTCCCCCCTCAACACAAGTACTTGTGAACATCCAAATGAAGCAGAATGTAAATGTAAATGAAGCAGAATGTAAGATTTAGGACAGATGAAATAAAGTCCTTCTTCATGAAGTGCATAGTTAAACTGTGGAACTCCCTCCCACAGTGATTGGCCGCTAACCTGGATGGCTTGAAAAGAAGATTAGACAAATTAATGAAGCAGAGGGTTATCGATGGCTACCAGCCACAATGGGTCTGCTCTGCCTCCCCAGTTGGAGGCAGCAGTGCTTCTGAATACCAGTTTCTGAAAACCACAGGAGGGGAAAGTGCTCTTGTGCCCAGGTCTTGCTTGCAGGTTTCCCAGGGCCGTGTGGCCGCTGTGAGAACAGAATGCTGGACCAGATGGGCCCCCTTTGGCCTGATCCTGCAGCCAGGATCTTGTTCTGTTCTTATGACACCTGACAAGCATTTGGTGATTCTCTTGCCTGCCTTGGGTGTGAGTTTGGGCTATTCCTAAGGCTCCCTCTTTTCCTCCCCTTTTCTTCTCCGTGCTCTCTGCAGATGTCTGTGCTCAACCTCCTGGTGAGACGCCAGCCGGGTGACACTGAGCCCGTCCGGTCTAAGGAGGAGGTGATTGTCCATTGCGGCTTCCGCCGCTTCCGAGCCTCCCCGCTCTACTCCCAGCACAGTTCAGGTGAATGAGCGTTTCCCCCCTCCTGTGCCCCAGGCTTCCTGTTTGGGCCCCTGCAGTTGGTTCTGTGAATGTGTGTGTCCAGAGAAGTCTTGGTGAAAGTCCTATGCTGAACATGTGGAACAGGGTAGCGGGTCTTCAGATGCCCCAGCCCCGTGTTGTGCCGTCGTTGAATACTTTGGGTGATCTGGAATGTATAGTGCAAACACATCTCACATGAGGCTTCTGTTCCAGGAACAGCACATGTACACAAAATTGCACATAGCCAAAAGCTGCTGGCTGGCAATGGGGGGAACCCCATGTGGAGGACCTCCCTGTGTCTCCACTTGTCAGGTGACTAAATGCTGCTCCCTTGGCTGCAGAAGGGAGCAAAGAGGCAGACAGCAAAGAGGCAGCAGCTGCTGCAGATCCATTCCAGCCTTTATCTTCTGCTTGCACCTCCATCTGTCTGCCGAGCAGAGAAAAATATTTCTTCTTCCCCTGCCTGCCTCCCTCCTTTGTTCTGTCCTAGTCTCTCTCCTTCCTCCACTGCAGCTGTTGCCTGGAAGGGTGCCAGCAGAGTGCATGTAATTCAATTTTTGCAAGTAAGGGGTGGGTGTGAGGTGCAATTGCACTACATTGTTTGCCTGGACAAAGAAGTGTGTTTGTGTGTGTCTGATGTTTGCATGGTTGGAATACTATATAGGCTGCTAGCCAATGATAAGCCAAAGGTAAGACTCACACCTGTTGCTCCACCTACCACTGGAAGGTAGACCAGGTGGACCTTCAGGCTGGAAAAAAGGCCCCTGCTACCTTTCTAGCTGCATCATCCTGCTTCAGTGCTGCCTGGGACATCACACAGCTACTTGCCCTGAGCCAGACAGACGCACTTGCTTGACCGGTCTGAGTGCCAGGCAGCTCCTTCCTGATGCTCCCAGGAAAAGTGGAGCAAGGTGAGGCTGGTCCTTCAGTGGCAGAGGCTGCAGCCACAGCTTTCCATTCTGTCCCTGGGAGCTTTCCTGGACAGAGCTCTGTAGCCTTGTAATTCCACAAAGGGGCTGAGGATTGGTGAAAGAGACCTTTCTGCGGCTCCAGGGCAGGGGCTGACGGTGTGCTTTCCTTCCCTCAGCGGACAAGCACAAGCTGGAGCAGTTTCTGCGGGCAGACACCGCCACGGTCGCCACCATCTACGGCCCTATCACTTTCCCACCTGCTTCTGTGCTGCTCTTCAGACAGAAGAGCAATGGTGAGTTTGGTATTAAGGGGAGGGCCTTTGGGGCAGGTGGGTTGTCAGCCCTGGGCCTTCTCCTGCTGCTGCCTCAGTTCCTGCCCATGAGCAGCAGCCTGCTCCAGCGTGCCGCCCTCCCAATGCTTTGGACTACAGTTGTGCTGACTGGGGATGATGGGAGGCGTAGTCCGAAGCAGCCAGCAGGTGATGGGCTGGGGAAGGTTGTCTACACCAGTGGTGTCCAAGGTGGGCAAGTCACCCCCTGGGGGTGGGGTGGGATTACCTGGGGGGCACTAAGAGGCAGAGGTGTCCCAAGACTTTGAAAAGCTGGTATCACTGCATCAATTGGTTTTGTTGAATTCATTGAACCAAATAGTTTGAATTGGTTTTTTGAATAAATGTGATTTGAATTTTATTGTGTTACTGTCTTCCTTACTGGTTCATGCAGTAATGATTTTTGTAGCTTTGGGGACACTGGGGGGGTGAGTTTATGGAACAAATGGGCAGTGGTCCTGAAAAAGTTTAGGAACTGCTGTTTTGACAGCAACTTGGAATCTACTTGGCTCGTTGAGAACAGCTGTCTGTTTGAACTACCCTGTCTTATTTACTGGTGGCACTGCTGCAGTTTTTAAATATTTGTGTTGGTGCTGTTGAATGGTCACTGTGATGTGTGGGTGGGTGTTCCTTTTCCTTTCCTTTTTTTAGCATGGGTAGCAGAAAAGGATTGACGACTTTGGCTTTGAGCCAAGAGCATTTCCAGCCCCTCGCCATAGATGCCAGCTGGTTACTATTGATATCTTTTCCCACTTGAAAAGTGGTGCAATGCTACTACTGTTTTGCTGGCTGGGTGAAGCCTGCATTTATTGCACAGGCTGTGGTGAGCTGGCTCCTAGAACTGAGCGCTGTTGCCCATCCAGCAGCACGCTTGATAATTGCGTTTCTCTGCAGGAGCTCACAGCCTCCTGGCCACAGGCTCCCTGCTCAGTGTCGACCCTGACCGGCTGGTGATCAAGCGGGTGGTGCTCAGTGGCCACCCATTCAAGATCCTCAGCAAGATGGCAGTTGTGCGCTACATGTTCTTCAACAGAGGTATGTCGGGACCCAGAGGGAAGAGTGTCTGGCAGAGCTGCTGCTTGTTAGGGAGGAGTTGGGGAAGTGCCCTAGACTTGGGTCTGCAAGGCAGCACAGGCCTTGCCTGTCCACATGCTGCCAGTCTGGTGGGTTTGTCTATGGGATGGCAAGCTAGCTGCTGTGGAATAACCCAGACTCAGATCTTCGGGGAAGGCTCTTTTCTCAGTGGCTGCTCTGAGTCTCTGGAGGGCCCTAGGGAAGCTAGACTGGCTCCCTTTCTTGTCCTTCTGCTGGCAAGTGAAGACTGTTTTAGTCCAACAGGTCTTAGGGAACTGGCTGCTTTTTAAGGAAAGAGCTCTAATAGTGCCGTGCTGTTTTTATTATCTGTATCTTAATAGATTTGTTTTATATAGTTTCAATTCTAATAAAGCTCAATTGCTTTTTAGCTTTTTGTGTTTTACCTGTGTTGTTTTGTGTCAGCTGCCTCGAGACCCAGGGAAAAGGTGGGATGTAAATAAATATAATAATCTACACTCATTTCCCCCTGGGAATGCAGTGCTTGAATATTGAGCCAGAGGGAGGTTCTGCTAGTTCTGCGCTATCCTATGGACACCTTCCACCCCACTGTATTCCAGAGCACCCTGTGAATGAAAGCAAGGCCTGGGGAAATTCATTTTGGAATGTGCATCAGTGGGCAGCAGCTGAGTTCCACTTAATCTTCGTTCTCTCTCATATCCTACAGAGGATGTATTGTGGTTCAAGCCAGTGGAGCTCCGGACCAAGTGGGGGCGCCGGGGGCACATCAAGGAGCCTCTGGGTAAGTATACGGGCCCAGCTCTTGAAGGGGATGGGGGCGCTTAGCTTATGATGAGCATGCCAGCAGATCTCTCTTTCTGAACTGTGTTTTAAACTGCTGCCTCCCCCTCTCTTCTCTGCCGGCAGGTACCCATGGCCACATGAAATGTCAGTTTGATGGGCAGCTGAAGTCCCAGGACACAGTGCTGATGACCCTCTACAAGCGGGTCTTTCCCAGATGGACATACGATCCCCACGTGCCAGAGCCACCGCGGGAGAGTTTGAGCAGCCTCCTGCCTGGCCAGGAGGAAGAGGAAATGGATTAGCAGCTGCAGGGGACCCAGTTTTGTCTAACTTTGCACTTTGCCTATGTTCATTTGTATCCTATTTATTTTTGGAGGAAAATACTATTTCCAAGGCAAGCCTTGGCCTCTGAATTGTTTATTTACGCGTGTCTTTAGTGGCCCAGCAGTCTTGGTCAATATGATGCCCCAGAGAAAGTGAGCTGTCAGTGGCCAATTCCTCCAAAGAAGGGATAGTTTGGGTTTATTTATTAAATGTATTTCCAGCTTGACCTTCATCCTAGGGCATGACACAAACAGTTAAGAATAGGAAGAGTTTTCATGCCCTAGAAATTCAAAACATTGTTAAAATTGCCACCCAGGGGAAGAAACACCAGTTGCTGCAGCACACTGAAGACCTAGTAGCCAACAGAAACCCAGGCAAGGAGGGGCGACTTTTCCTATTCTGCATCTGTACTACTTGTACTCTTGAGGGGGGGGGGGCATTCTATAAGCAGCACACTACAGTGGAGAGGGCCCTGTCCTTTGCCATGATGTAAAGGCACTCCTTTCAATGTTTGAGAATGAGAAATGCTTGTCTGTACCCTTGCAAGGAGGGGGATAGGGAGGAGGCGTCTTTGTTCCTTCAGAAATCTGGATCCGAAGTTTAGATCTTAAACTCAACTCTCAACCTTGGCAGAGTGGGGCGTTCTCTAGCATCATGTCCTCTCGGGGGCCTGAGTCGCTGCTTCTCTAAAACGAGTACCTTTATCAAGGGCTCTGAACTAACAAACAATATGGTTGCAGATGATAAAATTCCCATAAGCTCCTCCCCAGAACCTTACAGACCTGCATCTTTCTCTGCCGTGTTTTGATGCTCCCAACTTTCTTGTTGGCTTTTCTAGTTTCTTGGATGTTGTGGCTGCTACTCTCCAGCTGAGTCTAGAGCCTGTTCTCTCTTTTGGGATCAAGCAAAGATGCTGCTACGCCCAGGCCGTCGTAAGGCTTCCAGGAAAGAGGCGTTCCTTGATTCTAAACTTGCCAGTTCCTCACCAGTTGTGGCACGGGCAGCTGTAGGGATGTTTTTGGGAAACTTAATCACATTTGCTACCCTCATTTACTACAATACCTATGGCTTTAAAAGGTTAGACAAATTCATGGAGGAGAGGGCTATTGATGGCTACTAGCCTTGATGGCTATGCTCAGCCGACAGTCAGAGACAGCAATGCTTCTGAATGCTAGCTGCAGGAAATCACAGGTGGGGAGATTGCTCTTATGTTCCAGTCCTGCTTTAGGCTTCCCGTTGGGGCATCTGGTTGGCTACTCTGAGAACAGGATGGGTCACTGGCCTGATCCAGCACAGCTCTTCTTAGGTTCTTAGCAAGATTCCTTTGGTGGGTGAAGGGACACTACAGAATATTTCTTTCCTAGGGTGCTTGTCCAGAGCCTCGTGTTCAGTCCCTACACCAGACTCTTGTCCATCTTACCAGGAGACTTCTACCCCATTTTTTTAAAAAAGCAAAGTTTACAGCAAACACATCTTTGGTTTATTAGAGTGGAAAGCAAGTAGCATGATGCCATTTCAACCTCCTGTTGCACTGCCACATTTTTGCAACGGCTTTACAGTTGTTTCCCATTTAACCAGAAGTCTGGGTTGTCTTCTAAAGGAGAACTAGTTTTAGAAGACTGAAACTTGACTCAAATCTCAGGTTCAATTCCCACTCTTTTAGAAGCAAAATAGAATTCACACAAACATGAAACAAAAGTAAATCACAACCTGATAGGTTTTTGTTTTTTTCAAAGCACAGATGAGAGGGCTTTCTGAGCAGTGAGTGACATTTGGACCAGCTGCTGTACATAAATTGTTTGCTAGATCAGAATTGCTCTCTAGTGGAAGAGTGGAGGAGACGATTTCTCTTCATGCTTCTGCTCCAATCAAAGGCAGAGCTTCCTGCACTCATATCTATATCACATTCAGAAGAGTCAACCTTTATCACTTATGCTCTTGGTGCTGAGAATTCGTATCAGACTGTTCAACTTTTTGCATTTCACAGGAAAGGCACAAAAAGGTGTTACATTTTTGGCAGCAGAATATATACAGACACAGCAATTTACAACTTGCGATTCTAAAGGCACCACAGAAGACAGCAGGGGAGGATTGTTTTGTTTTAAATAAGTGCTCTAGCATTCTGAGTAGGACCCAAATTGCATTCATTTGCTGTTAACATGTTTTGTTCTGGACACAGATTTTCTGTTCAGAGCATGTGTGAAATGTTAAGCCATTGTGCATATTTTTTTTAAAAAAAATGTAAAGCAAAGGGGCTAAACTTGGGAGGAAGGCAGAAGCATTGTAGAGAGGTGACCTCCCTACAGCCTCAGTCAAGCTGAAACTGCCCTCCTCAATTTCCCTCCAGAAGCACTTGATTTTCTTAAGAAGGGCAAAATTCTTGAAATCAACTACACATAAATGGGAATGAGGCACAACCCCCTTTGGGAACTAAACAAGAGGCTGGACTTGGCAATATCCAGATTTACTAAAAAGAACAATTTATAAAACGACTCATGCAAGCAGCAGTTCCCATATACATTGATTGAAAAGCAAGTCTCCCTTGCCATGCGTACAAAGGGTACTGTGTAAAGGTGGTATGGCTGGGTCATTACAGGGAGCCCCGGACCAATAAGGCAAGCACCAGGCAGTGCAGCTGCTGCCATTGCCCTTTGCCCAGAATGCCTTGGGGCCTTATTTGTTGAGGCCCCAAAAGAATTCTGGGGAAATGAAGACAACAGGAGAACAAGTCACCTGGCTCGGGGGCTCCTCTTCAAAACACCAGACCCTAAGAATGTTAAGAAATGAATAAAACGTGTGGTTGGCCTCTGGGGGATTAGGGTAAGAAATACAATGTACAGGGCATTCTGCTAGCAGTTATAGTGAGGCCAAGGGATGAAATCCTGCACTGCCCCTTCATTATGCAATATTTGTTCCTGGCAGATTTTGGTGGGCATGTGAAGCTAAGTAACAATGCTTACGTAGCCTCCTGTATATGAGGGTGTAGTTGTGTGGGGGATGTACTTTGGGGAAGGGCCACAGAGCACCTGCTTTGCATACAGAAGGTCCCAGATCCTGGAATCTCCAGGAGAGACTCTTCTCTGGAATCTTTGGGAGTTGCTGCCAGTCAGTGTAGACAGTGCTGAGCTAGATGGACCAATGGTCTAGCCCAATATAAGGCAATTTCCTCTGTTTCACTTCAGACTGCAAGGAAAGCCTATGTTTCATTTATAAATCTACAGCAGGCATGTCCAACAGGTCAATCATGATCTACCAGTTGATCGCGGGGGCATTCCGGGTTGATCACAGGATCAAAGCAAGAGATCTCTGTGGTGCTCCTGATCAATCAGCAACCCCTCCCCCCAAAAAGCTCAACAACTCTTGGCAATGACAATGGGTAGATCACTGCCAGTATTTTTAGAGTGGGAGTAGATCACAGTCTCTTGGGAGTTGGATGTGCCTGATCAACAGAATACTAAAGCTAGCATTCCCTAGCCTGATACAGCCCAAAACCTCTGGAGAGTAACACCCACCAACTCCAACCAGTCTGTAGTCAACGTCCAAGGATGGAGGGGGTTATGGTTTGGCAACAGCTGGTGGTCACCAGGTGAGGAAGGCTGACTTAGGTGGTCAGCAGTCCCTTCTGTGCAATCCCTTCAGGAGTGAGGAGTATAGGCAAATGAAACCTAGTCAAGAGGACCTGCAGGAAATTTGAGAGTTGCCAGGTTTTGTGGGGTTTTTTTTGTTTAAATCACAAACACGTTTGCAGGTCCAATTTTAGAAGCCAGGGCACAAAAAAGATTCAGAGCTCCCCACACGTATATTATCTGCCAATGATTCCAAGGAGAAATTATTTCCAAACCTATTATAGTACACAAAATCTAGGTTAGCATGATGCAAAACTGGCATAAAAGGATTACTGCAAGAGATTGAGACTGCAGGCAGCGTGGGCAAGACGTACTGCCTGGGTGCAGGAAAAGGCAAGAGGCCATTTGGGCTGTTAGTCTTCCCCACCACAAAGGAGGAGCAGGACTTTCCTGTAGTCTCCTGAGGTGTCGCCCTGAAAGAGAAATTTGAAGCCACTGTCAAGTCATGCTTTTGATTAATGGTTTAAAGCAGTCTCCCCCAACCGGGTGCTCAACAAAGGTTTTGGACGACAGCTCTCATCAGCCCCAGCGCCATAAGGCCATGCTGACAGAGACTGATGGGAGATTTACCTTATTTATTTCATAAAATTGATACACTACTTGACTAAAAAAGCAAAGCTCAAAGCAATTTACAAGGAGACGAAAACAAAGTTATCAGTAAAAGCAACACTTTATCTTTTGAATGTTTTAAAATCGACAATAAACTAAAAGGAGATTAAAACATACACCCACATTCTACTTGTCTAAACAAAAACCATTTAGCAGCCACCGAAAAGAGTGCAGTCAGGGTGCCCGCCTGATTTCAAGAGGATGTGAGTTCTAGACTACAGGCGCTGCCATGCGAGATGTAGTTTAACATATCTGGAGAGCAACATTGTGGATGGTGGTGGTTTGTATCTGGCTTTGCTATGGCCATTAAACACTGCTCCAGGCTGCTCACATGAGTGTGAGCCTCTTTGGGGACATTGTTCCTGCAGGGAATTCTCCTCACAGCAATGAGAGAGAGCAGCTCAAAGCTTCATTAGGCTTGAGGCCTACATGGGAGTTTAAAGGTGCTGGAATTGGATGGGGAAACAAATGAACAAAAAATGCAAGCTCACCTTAATGAAGGAGTAGAGGGATTTTCCATACATCCGCTTGAACTCTGCCTTGATATCTATCATGTCTATCTCACAGCGGGAGACCATTACTCGAATGAGGGTGTCGTCATTTGTCCCTAAACCCTTGATTGGGGGGAAGGAGAGAAAACAAGCAACTGGTCACTCGGTTTTTGCATTCAAACAAACAAACAAACAAACAAACAAACAAACAAACAAGGCCCATTCAAACCTTTCTCTCTCCCCTGCCCCATTTACCTTCATGGATTTGTACAGCCTTTCAGCAAAGTAGGCATGCCTATTTCTTATACAGTTTACTGCAAGGAGAAAAACAAAGGAAGCGAGGTTAGCAAAGCTAGAAAAGAGAGCTGGAACCAGACAAGCTCGTGATCAAGGAATATAGTTTTTCAAGCAAACAGAGGGCCTGCATTTTTGAAGAAAGAAAGTGTGGTGTCAACTGTACTTGGCCAAGAGAAAACTGCCCAACATAGGAGTCCCTTCATCAGCAGCCATTATCCAGTGAGAAAGCATGAAGAATAAGGGTGGGGGAAACCTGTTGCCCTCCAGAGGTTGCTAGACTACAACTTCCAGCATCCCCAACCGGTGCACATGCTGGCTGTGGCTGCTTGGAATTGGAGTCCAACTTTTTAAGCAGAGGTTGGATGGCCATCAGTCATGTATGATCTAGTTGAGAGTCCTGCATTGCAGGGGGCTGGACTAGATGACCCCTGGGGTCCTTTCCAATTCTACACTTCTATGAGTCTATGAGCTGGAGGGTCAGACCTGGCCTGGGAAGTCATAGCTTCAAATCCCTGATCAGTCATGATATTATTATTGGCCAAGTTCAAACATCACATTGAACTACAGTTTAAAACAAAAACTATGGTTTTATTTTGAAACAGAAGCGTTGATTCAAACTTCTCGCTCTGCTGCTGCTTTCTTCCAAGGAAACAGGAGTTTGGCTTGTCCAAGGAGCTCCGAGGAGTCTGGGTTGTCACCATTTATTATTTACTATTATTATATTACAGGGACATGGGTGGCGCTGTAGTCTAAACCACAGAGCCTAGGGCTTGATGAGTGGAAGGCAGTTTGAATCCCCGCAACGGGGTGAGCTCCCATTGTTTGGTCCCAGCTCCTGCCCACCTAGCAGTTCAAAAGCATGTCAAGTGCAAGTAGATAAATAGGTACCGCTCCGGCGGGAAGGTAAACGGCGTTTCCTTGCGCTGCTCTGGTTCGTCAGAAGCGGCTTAGTCATGCTGGCCATATGACCCAGAACTGTCTGCGGACAAACGCCAGCTCCCTCGGCCTATAGAGCGAGATGAGCGCGCAACCCCAGAGTCGTCCGCGACTGGACCTAACGGTCAGGGGTACCTTTACCTTTATTATTATACAGTGGTGCCTCGCAAGACGAAATTAATTCGTTCCGCAAGTCTCTTCGTCTTGCGAGTTTTTCGTCTTGCGATGCACGGTTTCCCATAGGAATGCATTGAAAATCAATTAATGCGTTCCTAGGGAAACCGCCTTCAGACCAGGTCCGGGGACAGTCTGTCCCCGGACCTCTTCTGAAGGCTGGGGGGGGGGACAAGGGCTTTTCTTCCCACCCCCAGCATTTTAAAAAACCCCGGGACAGCGGAGGACTTCTCCGCTGTCCGGGGCAATTTAAAAGCCCCTGGGAAGGCAGGCAGGGGGGACAAAGACTTTTGCCCCCCGCCAGCCTTCAGAAGAGGTCCAGGACCTCTTCTGAAGGCGGGCGGGGGCGAAAGTCTTGCTCCCCCGCCTTCAAAAGCCCTCCGGGACAGGCAGGCAGGGGAGCAAAGACTTCGCCCCCGCCCGCCTTCAGAAGGTCTTCCCTCCCCCGCCCGGCTCGGAGCACCGCTCCGAGCCGGGCGGCGGCGGGAGGTCTTCCCTCCCCGCCCGGCTCGGAGCACCGTTCCGAGCCGGGCGGCGGGGAGGTCTTCCTCCCCCGCCCGGCCGGAGCACCGTCCGGGCCGGGCGGCGGGGAGGTCTTCCTCCCCACCGCCCGGCCCGGAGCACCGTTCCGAGCCGGGCAGAGGCGGGAGGTCTTCCCTCCCCACCGCCCGGCTCGGAGCACCGTTCCGGGCCGGGCAGAGGCGGGAGGTCTTCCCTCCCCCGCCCGGCTCGGAGCACCGCTCCGAGCCGGGCGGCGGCGGAGGAGGTGTCCCCGCCCCGCCGCCAGGCTTCGGAGGAGGTCCGAGGACAGTGGGGAAGACGCGCTGCGCTCCCCGCTGTCCCTGAGATTTCCCTATGGGCTGTCGTCTTGCGAAGCAAGCCCATAGGGAAATTCGTTTTGCGAAGCGCCTCCAAAACGGAAAACCCTTTCGTCTAGCGGGTTTTCCGTCTTGCGAGGCGTTCGTCTTGCGGGGTACCACTGTATTTATTTATATCCTGCCTTTTCCCCAGACCAGGATTCAAGCTGGCTTACACAAATTAAAACAACGCAGATAAAATACAAAAAGCTAAAAATACATAAAAGATAATTGCTTAAAAGTAATTAAACTCTTAACAGAATTAAAACAACACAGAAAACACATCCATTAAAATACATACGGTATATTATAAAATGTCCGAACCCATTTTGCCTCAAGTGCTAGTTCTCTCCAAACAAACCATGATCTGTAACCCAGATTTGTTCCAACTTGTTCAGCATTAATTTTGTTCACGTTAAATCATAGTTTGTTTTTTTGCTACGGTTACGTGAAAGTCAGATCATTATTTGCTAAAGGGGGTGAGTTATAAATCATTCTATTGCAACGACCCTTTGCAAATACTAAATTCTAACAGATATTGATGAAATCAGTAAAACAAAGAAATGCCACAGTATTCGTTTGGAGACAAAAACAGCTTTACACTAATACACCTCAGCCCAGCAGGCCAAAACACCTTCAGCAGACAATGGAAGGTCAGTGTGGGGGGCAAATTAACCTCCCAAGACAGGGAGTTCCAGTCTGGATGTGACCAAAGAAGCGATTTCTCACGTTTGAACAAACTGTTACCAGAATGCGGGGGAAAGTCTCCCCTGCAGATATTAAGGAGCTTCGAAGGCTCACATGGAAGGAGGCATTGCATTAGCTATCCTGGGCATAAACCATGAAATTCACCGGGTGACCTGAGCCAAACTATCTCAGTCAAGCCTATCTCACAGGGCTGCTGGATAATCTTCATGTAGAGTTTATTGGACTTCTTGAGAGAAGGGTGCAGAAACCAAGACCATCATTGCAAGGCACCTCCATAGCTCTTTCAAGTTGCCCCACAAGACCATCCCATCCCCCGTTTCATTTCAGCAGCTCAGTAAATGACTCACCTATCGCTAACAAGGCATCCTCAAGATCTCCTGACATTTCAGATTTAATGCTCTCCGTAATGTCTTTGTTAGCAATCTTCCTGTAGTCATCGAACACTGGAAAGCAGGAGGAGGGTTTTACTAGCAAATTAAATGTAAAAAAAGGTGCCAAATCTAGAAGCCCACATATTTAGGATTTTATTCAACTAATTTCTACTAAGAGTAGACTCACTGAAATTAATTGACAAAAGTTAGCCATTGTCTATTAGTTTAAATGACTTTACTCTGAGTAGGACAAGCACTGGCGACAGCACTTAAAATTGCCCTCTGTTTTGCTGCTTAGATGAGCTAGAACATAGAACATTAGGGGAGTTCCCAGGTTTCTGATATTTGACGTATGATTATTTTAAAATAAGAAAATGGCAGTTCAGTAGAAATATTTTCCCTTTACTCCTCCACAGTGCAGGTTTAAACAAACTCTGACATTATTTACACAACCTCAGCCACTCCCAAGGGATTTGTAGAAATTTCAATTCAAGGAATGCAGAATCCCTTGGTTGCTGTGAAAATTTGATACACCAAACCACATCAGTTTCCCCTTTGGATTACAGTTGAACTCTGCTAAAGAGATAGAACAGATTCTATTGTCTAGACTGTATAACGTGTTGATCCAAATAAACATGGACATAGCATATGGTTTATAGGAGATATGGGAAGCTGATTGGCAGATTAGCATCAGTAAAGAGGTGTGGCTTTCAATATGGAGAAAATTTCCTTTTACCGTATTTTTCGCTCTATAGAATGCACTTTTTCCCCTTCAAAACTGAAGGGGAAATGTGTGTGTGTCCTATGGAGCGAAGATGCCATAGCCCCGTGACCCTCTCCCGGCTGGAGAGGTGACGCTCGGCTATGGCAGGAACCTCTACAGCCCCGTGTCACCTCTCCAGCCGGGAGAGTGCGCACGCGGGGCTAAAGCAGCCCCCCGCGACCCTCTCCTGGCTGCAGAGGTGACGCGCAGCTATAGAGGCTCCTGCCATAGCCGCGCGTCACCTCTCCAGCCGGGAGAAGCTCGCGGGGCTATGGCTTTAGCCCAGCGCGCTCTCCCGGCTGGAGAGGTGATGCGCGGCCATGGCAGGAGCCTCTACAGCCCCGCGTCACCTCTCCAGCCGGGAGAGCGCGCGCAGGGCTAAGCAGCCCCTGCGACCCTCTCCCGGCTGGAGAGGTGACGCGCGGCTATGGCAGGAGCCTCTCCGCTGCACCTTTCCAGCTGCTGCCTGACCTGCTCTTTGGGGCTGGTGGTGGGCTTCCCCGCCAGCCCCAAAGAGCAGGTCGAAGGAACCTGAAGCCTGGAGAGCAAGAGGGGTCAGTGCACACCGACCCTCTCGCTCTCCAGGCTTCCATGGTCGCCGCCTGCACGCACGTTAATCGGCACCTTGTTTTAGAGCGGGACCCGAAGAGGGGGAACGTGCTCCCCCTCTCTGTGCAGCGCCTCCTGCTGCTTCACTGAAGGGGCGCTGGGCAGAGAGGGGGAAATTTTTTTTTTCTTGTTCTCCCCCCTCTAAAACAAAGTGCGTCCTATTGTCCTGTGCGTCCTATGGTGCGAAAAATACGGTAAATTGGTCTTGGCCTCAATGATAGAGGTGTAAAAATGGCATGTCGCTCAGTGGCTCAGTTCTGGGATGAAGTATTTGTTCAAATAAAACCACTTACTGGATAAAATGTCTCTGGCTCTTCTCAATCCATTTATGGGAGACAGTATTAACTTATACAGTTTTAACTTTTAGTAAATTCTCTTCTCCTAGCACCCAGGTGCATAACAACAGGATTCTGGAGGAACTTAGTGTTTCTCTGACAAATTGGTAGAACAAAGTGGCAAACAGCACTTGTAGAAAAATAATAAAATTGGCACAAAGCTTGAAACATAAAGTCTCTTTTGTAAATGAATAGCACAGTTTCATTATGTACATAGCTAAAAACAAAAACAGACAGCTCCCCTCACATTATAAAACTTTTTGCTTAATAAACTATTTATTGCCTTCTGTACAAAAAGTAGTCTGGGATAAGAACTGCACGTATTGCCTAAACACCAGCTTCTGGTGATATATTACTTAATTTATCTCTGCGATGTTGTATATGTTTAAAGAATTAAAGAAAAAGGAAAAAAGAAATATTGTGTCGTGGCAAGTTGGGTTGAACAGACACGGGGGTTTCTAAAACCGTGTGTGTGAGGACTTTTGTTTTTTTAAAAAAAGGTTTCTATATATTGTAGGTATTAAAAGGAAAGACAACCTTCCATATTTTGCCTTTTTTCAGTCTACGTTAGTGTAGTCTCAAACTGTGTCCTTACTTTACAGCTCCATCAATTAATTAAGGTTTGGCCAAGGCAATCCATTTTTGGATCGAGCTTAAAGGCAAAAACGCAAAAGGCCCTCAAAGGTTCAGGAAGCTGCTTGTGTTTGCACATCTTCTGAGCTACAGTGCTCTGCATACTGCTCACTGGGCTCACAAACTTTCATTTATCTAGAAGGAGGAGAAGGATTAAAAACCCACAGAGTGAATGAAAGACAAGCACCAACAGGTGGTAGCAAAGCAAATGCAGCAGACTTGTCTTGAAGCCAACTCTTACTGTAAGAACTGGTGGAGCAAAAAACAGGAAGATACAGATCTCCTTCCCAGGAAATCCGTGGGGTTCATGTCAATGCAAGTTTCCATGGGCATGGAAGAAAGACACTATGGCAGCATATAAATGCTGTATGAATTTTGCAATCCGGAAGAGCATCTCATGTACGCTCCTCCACAGGAGAAAGAAATTAAGTTGGAAAGAGTCCCAAAAGGAAACTGTAGTAAGAGTATCTGTCAGGGCTGGTTACACATCCTTAGAAGTCACGCCAGGGCTGGCTCCACCCTTAAGAGTCATGTTACTGCCTTTGCTTAGACTACAAACCTCCAACTGTCATGTGGCAAATCACATGCTTGCTTTTTAGCTTCCCTTTTGCCATTGCTAAGAAATGGCCTCTGAATGTTCTGTATTTTATTGTTAGACATTGTTTCAGTGTTTATTAACATGAGATCTTTGTTTGCCTGATTGATATTAATGTGATTTTTTAAAAAAATTGTGTTATGTTTTGTCATTGTTGATGCATTACCTTGAAATGCTGTTATATTTTAGTCTGTGTGTGGTTCTGAACCTCTTTGAGCTTGGTTTTACCATGGAAAAACAGCATACAAATAAACTTAGGTTGACGATGATGAAATTTCCTACACTTAAGTGTGGTAAAGAGACACTTTAAATTCCTACCCTCTTGGCATATGTACGAGAAAGGGCTCCCTCCCCTTTGCACATATTCTGAAAGCATCCCAGATGCCCAAGGGGAGTCTCTGTACAACAACCATCCAAAATGTTCAGCCTCTTACCCCTCAACAGGTGGTTTCTGCTTCTTGAGCACAGGATACTCATGAACTGGGCCTCATCAGTGCCCCACCTTTTCTCCCCAGCTTCGTACAGACACTGAAAATGAGAAGTGCAGATAAAAAGGCATCAATTTTTAAAAGGTCTGTGCAGAAGGACAAGGAAACCTGGGAGGGAAGCAGAGCCTGTGAGGGGAGAAGGGAGGTCTAAACAAGAGCTTGGCTGCGGCATCCAATAGCCCAGACAAGTTCCAAGTAGGTAAAAAGGTGGTGCTTATGTCACACATTGTTTAAAATCACAGCAGAGAGAAATAGCCCTGGGTTAGAAGAATTCACTCCCCTGAAGGAGGCAACTGTGATATAAGCTGCTGCCCCAATGTGGTATTTTTCTGCAGTAAGATCTGTTCCCCAAGTGCAAAGAGCTACAGACCTGGGCATCTTGCACGGCCAGGCCCTCATCAACATAGCTGCTCTCATCTCTGTTGCCCTGGAAACAAGAGGCATAGGTTAAATTCAGTCTAATGCAGGGGTGGGAATTTCCTAGCGGGGCACTGCAGGTGTCAATGACTATCAGACTTTGAAAAACTGGTATCACTGGATCTGGTTCATCAATTTTGCTGAATTAAACTAAACAGTTTTAATTGGATTTTGAATAAGTGTGCAATTAATTGTTACTGTTTTGAATTTCATTTTGTTATTATCATCCTTTGGTCATGTAAACCACTATTCTGAATAATGCTTTTTTATAGGGTAGGGTAGGGGGCACTGGAGATGAGTTTATGGAACTCATTCCCCAAAAAAGTGTGTCCCAAAAAGTTTGGGAACCACTGATCCAATGTATCCAGCTTAAATGAGGGGAGATTCCAAGGCAGCAAAAAGGCCCTTGGATGTAAACAGTACCAAGGGGTCCCAAACCAATGGACAAGCATCATGCAAGTGGTTCATAGCATGTCTGCCTTAAATATTGACAAAGAAAGAAATGAGGGAGAGGTGGTTGTGAAAGCTTGCCATAAGGCAGCCTTTGCCAACCTGATTACTTACAGTGGAAAGAGACACCAGCACTCTCCGGAGAATGGAGGAGGTGTCTGAGACGATGTCGTCCTCAAGGCTAACCCCATACTCTGTCAAGAAAGCCAAGACACAATGGGTTACTGAAAATACTCCAGAGAGTACTGAGAAATTAGAGTCACGTTCACGTACCCACCACACGACAAGGTAACTACCTCAGGCAGCCGATTCAGGAAGGAAGATTAGACAGATCTGGGCACAACCTAACACCAAGTTCTCCCACACAAGCAAACACCACAGGAAGAAACTCACAAACATCTCTTTATACTCACGATGTTTGTAGGTTTCATTAATCCGTCTGATTTCCGGGTTGGTACGAGAAGCTAATATTTCTATGAGGCAGCCCTCATCTGTCCCAGCCCCCTGAGAGAGAGACAGACAGACAGAGAACATGAACAGAATGACCACCAGGGAGAAAGGGAGAGTTCTCATCCCAATGCAGGCAGGATTTAAATGCTGAACCTCCCTGAGGAGTCCTTTCTTTGAAAAAAACCAACAACTTAGAGAAACACCAAGATGGAGGGTGGGAAAGTACCCACTGGCCTCAAAACAGATGAGAATGCAGCAGTGCTCATTCTACAGTGGTTTTCATTCTGCTCAGAGGGTTCTGCCCTTTTTATTGCACATTAATGATGGCGCGTGCCTGCAAATGTTTTGGGGTGGTCACTGCGCTTCACTTCCAGACAGTGCAACAACCTGCTGAAATCAGATTACTTTTTATACCAAAAACATTCTGGTTTATTCTTCTCCTGTTTCTGTTGTGCCATAGTCCAAGATGCATGGGGAAGCACCCCAGCACAGACAAAAGAGGAATAAATCCACCACCAGGGCACTATTATTGTGTCAACAGCACGTTGCAGAATGCGCCCGCTCTCAAACACCAGTGTGGTGGGGCCCTGTAGCCGGAATTCATCACACCCAAAGCAGACCCATCCAGGTTGCTCCAGGGCAACTTTTCTTTGGCTGCAACATGGTTTTATCTGAACCCTCTGGAAGTTCTGTTTCCCTTCCCATCTCTCCTTCCTGGCTGTGATACCTGCATTGCACAGGATTGGACTATCTGATCGGTTGGGTCTCATTTCCAAGGCTACCATTCTATGATTCCATGATCCTAGTACCACATACTCTGGAAACCAGGCCCTGTCCAGCAAAATGTGCATATGATTCCATGATTCCAGTTACATGATCTGTGTGCAGACCCCAGTTATGTCCCACCCAATTTTACATGACAATACTGTAGGAATTATGCTTATTGGGCAAGAGTCCACTCATACTTGGGCTTCTGTTACAAGCCTTTGCAAACCTTGACAGCTCTTTTCAGCTCCTGCACGTCATACAGAGTGATGGGTGTCATCAGTCCAATGATAACCCTTTCAAAATTCCCACTCAACTCAGACTTCAAGTCGTCAATCAAATCCTGTTGGGGAAAGACATGGTTTGGGTGAATATCTCACAGAGAAGCAACTGTGAAAATGTGCTTTTAAGCACATCAGAGGTAAGAAAAGTTAGTGAGAGTGGAGCTCCTCCACTTGGCTTAACAGGAATGCAATAAGGTGATCAACCCCCCCCCCCCCTGGATTCACAGAGGTTTACTTAAGACAAATATTTGTACTACAGGCTGAGAACGTCTGCCAATTATTAACATCACTGCCAATGGAGGGGACCTGTAAATTCATTTTTATGGATGGTGACTGATGTATGCATATTAAACATTTGTATGCATCACTGGAATATTCCTTTATTACCTCCCAAAGCCCTCAGAACTATGAGCACTCACTGCTACCTTTGCTACTTACTTTTATTAAACATAGTTCACCATACTTAGAATCTGATAAGTGCTTTACAGGCCTCTGAGGTTAAACTGCCCAAATGGGCAAACGAAACTGCACTTGTGTGACTTGCCAAAGGCCAAAGGCCCCAGAGCACATGCACGGCTGATGAGACACTTAACCCCTGCTCTGCTGTCCAACATTCAGCCCAGCCTTGCAAATAAATTCCCCCAAATTAGATACGTTTTTAACTAGCCCGCCTGCTGACTTCCAACTGCGCTAGGCCTATGTGGCCGTATGAGCCTGCCATTTTCCCTGGACCCCAAGCAGAGGAGAAGGTCTTTTAAGTGTTCATGCTCAGACTGTGGAACTCCCTACCAGGATGAGGTCTGTTTGACCACCCCCTTGCTTGATCTGTAGTCAGCTAAAGAACAAAAATGGCCTTTCCGCTCCTTCACATTTTTGGACTGCCAGCCTGAAGACTCGTTAGCAGGCTCCTCTTCTGTATATGCTTTCAACTGCAGAACTTGTTTTTCTTCAGTACTGGAGCAGTTTATTGTGTCTTTGATTTTAATGACTTTTTTTGTAATATTGGGATTTAAGATGATTTTAAATAAAATAAGCGTGCAGAGGACTGGGGAAGAGAAAGAAATCATGCTTTTTCTGGTTGCTTGAAAAGTATTCCTATTCATCACAGGTGACTAAGTGAGTGGCTATTTAAAAGTTGGGGAAACCACAGGTGAGGGGGAAGCAGACTCAAGGGAGGACATAGATATGTCATTTGGGCAGGTGAAGTATTATAGGCTGATCAGTACAAAAAATAATAATACTTGCCATGACAGATTTTAAACTATAAAACTTCTAAAATCTCAAAAACTAGAGGTGGGGAGCAGGGAGAAGAGGGAACCAAGGAACTAGATAGTTCCTATTCAATGTACCTACCCGCCCAATAGTGGATTTGTAGGCTATCTTAATCTCCTGCCGTTGGGCCAAATTCCTGTTAACCAAAATGTCAATAATGGCATCTTCATCTGTACCTGAGGCAAGAAAAGCAACCAACTTATTTGAAATTCAAGCAAGAAAACCCACGTGGGGGTGGAGAGACAATGACATCAATTTACCATGGTAACTACTGACAAGCTAGGAAGCAGCAATTACACTCTAGAAGTGTAAATATGCTCACAGACACACATGCACATCCACTAGTTTACACACTGATGCACATGCAGCCTAAGAAGGTGGATGTGAATGAAGGGGACTGAGCATGGGTCAATATAGAGACTAGTGGGGTGAGGTTGTGCAAGACCACCAAGGGAGCTATTGGGAACCCCAGCTCTGCTCTCTTCCAATGGGAAAACACTAGTCATTAAATAGGGAAGATACATTGTTGCCAGGTTATTAGGGCATTTGGCAATTAAATTTCCTCTCTTCGTTTTTTCTATACCAAGTCGCAAGCTGTCATGTCCTAGATCCATTAGGATACAGATTTCTATGAAATCACACTTATCTTCTGTGGAGCTATGAATAAGCTATTCTCTAGTCCTCCTTGAACCCCGGTGGTTCAGTTTATTTTTTTTTTAAAGGACACTTTCAGTTTTGAGAGCCTCAATGATAAAGAAGACTCTTCTTTAAGGGTGTGGCTTGGCCACCTTCCTGGAAGTCACCTGCAAGTCCACCTAGGTCTTTGGTGTGATGCACCCTGACCGTTTCTAGACTCTCCTTACGGCACAATGGGGTCCAAAATTCTGCTGAGCAGATTGGTGGAGGGGACACAGCTTGGCAGGCAATTCCTGCCTTTCCACTGCAACTCTAATCTGTAGAACTGAGTGGCAGATGTGAATGCTCTGTGCTAGAGTGCCTGCTTTGCATGCAGAAGGATCCAGGTCTAATCCATCACGCCTCTTGTTAAAAGGACTGAGCATCAAAGAAAGGAAGACCTCTGCACAATACCCTGGAGAGCCAATGGCGATCAGAGTAGACAGCGACCATGCTAGACGGACCATTCTCTAGGGATAATTTCTTTTTATGTACAGTGGTGCCCCGCAAGACGAATGCCTCGCAAGACGAAAAACTCGCTAGACGAAAGGGTTTTGCGTTTTTTGAGTCGTTCCGCAAGACGAATTTCCCTATGGGCTTGCTTCGCAAGACGAAACGTCTTGCGAGTTCTTGCAAGTTTGTTTCCTTTTTCTTAAAGCCGCTAAGCCGCTAATAGCCGCTAAGCCGTTAATAGCCGCTAAGCCGCTAATAGCCGTGCTTCGCAAGACGACAAAACCGCAAGACGAAGAGACTCGCGGAACGGATTAATTTCGTCTTGCGAGGCACCACTGTATACAGTACATAGATGCAAGATAACCAAGGCCATTTTGACAGCCCTTGATACAGAACTAATGGCTTGCTCTGTTAAAACTGTTTAAATCCCATGGCTATTAGCCCAAAGCCTGCAGAACCACTGACCTGAGACAGAAGAAAAATAATGAGTGTTTCATGAGAGACACAGAACACTTTCCAGCTCAAGGGCTGCATTCCCTTGTGGAGGCAAAAGCATTCCAGCCACAATGTAAAAGTGAGAGACTTATATAAATATATACCTACCTCCATCCACACAAGCAAGAGGTAATTGTCACAAGCCAATGACACACTCCAGGCAGGCAAAAGCATCAGGAAGGGTACAGAGCAAGGCTGGCGAGAGTTGTGGTCTGTGGAGAGCCCCAAGGGCCAGACAGAGAGGTCTGGAGGGCCACTGGTTTCTAATGCCTGGTCTTGAAGTTCCCCACCCCATCAGAGAGAGGGGGGGCCAGAGACTCACCTAGTCCTTTCATGGCCTTACGAAGTTTCTGGGCATCCTCGTCTGCCCTGAAGTTGGAAGCTCCTTTGATAGTTCCCCGGTTTCCTGCCTAAAGCCAAAGAATATCAGCTGTTAAATGCCATCACAAAAAGGGATATACCAGTGGTTGTGGCTCCAAATAACTCAACTGGGCTCCAAATAGCTCACTGAAAGCCATAGTAGCAAAAGCACAGAGATTGTGAGGTGTGCTATATTTCTTCAGAATGGTGGCTATTATGTCTGTTGCTTACCTGTTGCCAGCGGGCAACACCAAATTCCAGTAGAGATTGGGAAAGCTGCAGCTCAATGCTAGAGCACACATGCGGTAGGTGGAAGATCCTAAATTCAATCTCCAGTTAAAGGAGGATCTCAGGTGGTGGGAAAGATCCCTGCCTGAAAGCTTAAGGAAACTACCACAACTCAAGGTAAGGCATGCTGGACTTTATGAACCAATAATCTTCACTTGGTATAAGAGAGCCAGTGTGGTGAAGTGGTTAGAGTGTTGGCTAAGGACCTAGTCAGGACCTCCTCAGCCATGAAGCTCTATGGGTGATTCTGAGCCATTCACAATCTCTCAGCTATCCTACCTCACAGGGTTGAAGTGAGGATAAAATGAGGAAGAAGAGAACCACTCTATGTATACCACCTTGAGCTCCTTGGAGGATAGGTGGGATGAAAATGCAATAAATATTCTCTTGTCTTGTTTACCTAACCAAAAGGGTGTGGGGTCTGACTCCTCCCCCTACAAAAGCATATATAGGTTAAGTTTCCACAGGACAGAAGTGGGGAATTATGATACGTAGAAGAACAGCCTTTGCCAACCTGGTGCCCTCCCAGCACACTGGCTGGGGTTGATGGGAGTTGTAGTCCAACAACACTGGGAGGGCACTAGGTTGGCGAAGGCTGCAGAAGAGGATTTATGAGGACCCAGCAGCCCTGACCTTTCTGTTGCCAACTGTCAGCTCTGTTGGAACCTTCCCATGGCACTATCATATAATTCTTGCTCTGATAAGAGTGAGTCTTCCGTCTGTTTTATTTCCCCAACTCAATGTCACAGAACAATGGCCCTGTTTATTGGGCTCAGAGCGTACCAGGCACAGCTTGGTACATGCTGTGGAAACAGGAATCACTCACCATGACAGCCACCTGGTCTGGAATTTCCCAAGCCAATGATTATCTGCAATAAAACAAAGAGGTGATTTAGATAATATTTGACTTCAAAAGCAGTGATCTCCTGGCATGGGAGAGAGGGGCTGCTAAGCCACCTGGTACCACCCAGTACTAGAGAGGAACAGCCCTGCCTACTTTGGGGGCAAACCTCTAGACACATCCTTTCCCCAAGGAGTTGCAACACCCCCACCACATACGTCTCAAAACTAAACTACAACAAAATCCTAAGATTTTCAAGCGTACATGGGCAGTTCTGCACAGCCTGTTCTCAGTTAAAACTCCTCAAATGCCATCTAGTTTAGAGAAAAGGCAAGAGAGGTGACATGATAGAAATTTATAAAATGATGCATGGCATGCAGAAAGAAGATAGAGACATGTCCATCCCCCCTTTTTTCATAACACTAGAACTCATGGATGACCAATGAAGCTAAATGTTGGAAGGTTCAGGTCAGATAAAAGTAAGTACTTCTCCATGCAACGTATGGTTATTCTATGGAACTGACTCCCACAGGAGGCAGTGATGGTCACCAATCCGGATGGCTTTAAAGGACAAGTTCATGAAGGAGAGGGCTACTGAAGGCTACTAGCCACAATGGCTATGCTCTGCCTCCATAGTCAGAGGCAACACTGCTTCTGAGTAACAGTTGCTGAAAAAGACAGGAGGGGAGAGTTGCTCGTGCTTGGATCTTGCTTGTGGGCTTCCCACTGAGGCATCTGGTTGGCCGCTGTGACAACAGGATGCTGGACTAGATCCAGCAGGATCTTCTCATGTTCTTAACTGCTATGAACCAGAGATTCTGCAATCAGTGGAAATCCTCTTTTACTATGCTGGCATCTTTAGCATCAGCACCCCCCACCCCTGGAATGGTCTTGAACCTGGGCTGTGTCCGAAGAGGTGGCCCCACACAGCCCCACATGCCCCTATTATAAGTGAAAGTTTGTGGGCATTTTAATTGTAAGCTGTGTTGGGAGACAAACTTGGTTGAAGAAGCAAACAATGACAAAACTCATCTTGATGTGAAGCAGAGATCTGGCACCACAGAGCAACCTCTGGACTTGAAGTGCTTTGATGGATTTTTCTACCAGCCTTGCCTGTCCCAGAACAGGACACATGACAGCAGAAAGCACAAAATAACTTAAGAAGAGTCTGGCTACTGGGGGCCCATCTAGTCTAGCTAGCATCTTGTTCTCACAGTGGCCACCAAGATTCCTGTGATAAACCCGTAAGCAGGAAACTGTGTTCCAGAAACAAGTGGTTTGTGCCAGATCAAATGAATGAACAAATCACTCCAGTGGTGGCCAGCCATGTGTGATGTCAGATACAGGGCCACTCTAATGACTGAGCGAGTGGGCAGAAGCCAAATTGTGGATAATAGGTGGAGCACCAAACTGACTGTGGGGATTCTACTGATTCAAGAGTTCCCCAGAAGAGACAGCCCCACCCAGCCAGAATCCACAGAAACAGCACCACTCATGCTGTCTGAAGAGGCTTGGTCTGAGCAGGCTTCACAAATCTAGGAAAATACAAAATGCAAATATACACATGTGTGGTATTGCACCTTCTACAAACACGAGGCAAATCTAATATTTAAATTTGTCATACGCAAAAGATGAAGCTTTTAAGCCGGCACTTTTTAGCCTCATTCCCAGGTTTGTGCCTCAGTCATGTCAAGCTGCCAAGGAAACAAGGAGCATGGTTTTTCAGTCTGGAAGAACCAGGCAAAGCCTGCTTCAAAACTCAGCTCTTCAAACAAAGCTTTGACTCAGACTGTTTTAAGTCTTCCTCCCCCCCAGTAAAAGCAAAACCAGAGTAATGTGGAACTGAAATGGTTTCCAAGCACATGGTTTTCCAGTCTCTCTTCTCCAAACCCAGGCTGTGTGGGGTTTTTTGGTTACAGCTCATGTTTAAGGAGAGAGCTTAACCCCAAGCCCAGGTTCCAGTAACACAGACATAAGAACAGACTCTGGATCAGGCCAATGGCCCAGCCAGTCCAGCATCCTCTTCGCACAGGGGCCAACCAGACACCTCTTTTGGGAAACCTGCAAACAGGATCCAAGCATAAGAGCACTCGTCGCTCTTGTGGTTTCCAGGACCTGGTATTTAGGAGCATTGCTGCCTCCAAATGTGGAGGCGGAGCATAGCCATCATGGCAATAAGAATAATAATCATTTATTTATACCCCGTCCATCTGGCTGGGTTTCCCCAGCCACTCTGGGCAGCTTCCAACAAAATATTTAAATTCAGTAGTCCATCAAACATTAAAAGCTTCCCTGAACAGGGCTGCCTTCAGATGTCTTCTAAATGTCAGGTAGTTGTTTATTTCTTTGACATCTGTTGGGAGGGCGTTCCACAGGGCAGGTGCCACTACTGAGAAGGCCCTCTGCCTGGTTCCCTGTAACTTGGCTTCTCCTCGCAGCAAGAGAACTGCCAGAAGGCCCTTGGTGCTGGATCTCAGTGTCTGGGCAGAACGATGGAGGTGGAGACGCTCCTTCAGGTATAATGGACCGAGGCCGTTTAGGGCTTTAAAGGTCAGCACCAAAACTTTGAATTGTGCTCAGAAACGTACTGGGATGGCTAAGAACCATCAACAGTCCTCTCCTCCAAGAATTAGTCTAATCCTCTTCTAGAGCCACTCAAGTTGGTGGCCGTCACTGCCTCCTGTGGGAGTAAGTAACTGGCTACATGAAGAAGTCCTTTCTTCTATCTGTCCTGAAACTTCCAACATGCAGCTTTATTTGGATGTCCATGAGTTCTAGTGTTTAAAAAGGCTCCAACCACTTCTGAGGCAGTTCGTTCCACTGTCAAACAGCTCTTTCTTAATATAGCTGCTCCCAGTGGAACCATGAGCAGAATTTATGACTTTTGGGGTTGAGGCATAAAGTTCTTGGGCACTGTCAACTGGCCTATTGCCAAACTTCAAGCTCACTTAAATTTTGATGTACGTTAAATGAGTTGTCACTCGTTGCTTCTCTTAAGTGTTATGTTAAAGTGAGATTATTATTATTTAATTAAGTGTAGTTATTGTGCAACTTTACTTGCACCATTTCATATGTGACCCTCTTTGAGCACAGATGTATTTGGGTGTGATGCTGTATACAAATAAGTTGACTACTATGACTAACCAACAGCAGAGCTCGTCTTATGAACATGCAAGACATGTTTCACTGAACTGCCAGGCACATCTCCTGATGTAAATAAGGACTCACATAGGAGAAGCAGCTTCCTGGGAAACCAAACTCTCTTTCACAAAACAATACGTGGATTTTTTAAAAAGTAAAGATCTGGTGGATTCTAAGAGGGAACTAACCAGATGACACATTTTGCAACTGTGGCAAAGCCACGATTCCAAGGGCTTGTTTCTGAGTAGACATGGGTTGGATTGCGCTGTACATCTTGCAATATAACGTTCAGATTCCAGTTTCTGTACCCAAACCCACAGCTAAAAAAAAAAAAAAGTTCCAGAGACAAACCACAGGCCTTGTAAACTGCCTGGTTTTCAGACTACTTCAGAACCCAGCTCTCCTCAAGAGTTCTTCAAGAAAAGAGTGTGGTAATAAATTAGTAGCTGGGGCCCAAACCAGCTACCACTTTTATGGTGTAGTTAGAAATCACTAGATAATACTAGGCCGAAGAGGTAGAAATTAGGAGAGGAACCTTATTCCCTCCATTCTCCAGCTCTGATCCTTATGAAAAACTCTCCTCTTCCAAAGCTGCAAATAGCATTGGCTTCAGTTGGAGCTTCCACCCACCCACCTCCTGCTAACGTTAACTGCAATGGATTATAGGAGAGATAATTTGACCTCATGGAATCATAGAAGATGGAACAAGCTTGTTTTCTGCTTCTCCAGAGGGGAGGACCCAAACCAATGGATTTAAATGACAAGGAAGGAGATTCCAACTAAAAATTAGGAAGAACTGTCTGACAGCAAGAGATGCTCGATAGTGCAACGGACTCCGATGGAAGGTGATGGACTCTTCTTCATTTGAGGTTTTTAAACTGAGCTTGGATTGCCATCTGTCAGGGATTCTTCAGCTGTGATTGCAGGAGGTTGGACTAGATGACCCCTGGGTCCCTTCCAACTCTATAGTTCTATGATGCTATATCATTGCTGGCAGAACTCAAGTACAGGATTTCCCCCTTTTAATTTCTCTTAGTAGTCTTAATAATTAGTTGCACCCACCCCCCAGCTTATCCCTCAAGGAAATAAAAAAGCTAGAAAACAAAGTATCCCAAAGAGCTCTACAGATGTGTAAATGTAATGATTTACTCTTGGTTTATTTGCCATGAGGCATAGTCAAATAAGCAGCATGGGATATCATAATCATTTAGAATCATTTTCATCCGTTTTGCATGCCCCATGCATAGCAGTGGAAAACACAACATCAAAGCCGCGTTGACTGCTCTGCCCCTCTGCTACATTTCATTAGGAAAAACAAGGTCAGCAACTTTCCTTAAGCGGATGGTTTTCATTTGCCAGCTACAAGCATAACAAGGTTTATTCATTCAAATCTCTACTTCCTGCTTTTAGTTCTGTAGGAGACACTGACGTTGAGATTCGCTTTGCAAATCTAGTTGGCACTGCAAATCTAGGGTTGCCTAATTTTTATTTTTTAAATCTAAGTCAGTGGCGTCACAACATCAAATAACGGCAAAGGTTACCAACTGACCTGAAAAGGCCCGCCCGGGTTTCCTAATACCATTTCACACCCTAGCAATGCCTTCAACATCAGCTGGACCTACAGAAGAAGCCATTTCACACCATGGAAATGAGATCAACCCCTGCAAATGTCAGTGCACATCAAACTGCAGTTAAAAGGCACAGATACAGAGGCTGGCTTGGAAGCTGGCACTCCCACATGGCAGTGATTTCCATAATCTATTATATGTTGAGTGAAGAACTTGCTGTCTTTGCCGATGGTTCTGAATCCTGAACTTGTGGACATCCACAAGCTGAATGATGGAAGGTTCAGGACTGACAAAAGAAAGTCCTTATTCATGCAGGGTAGAATCGATGGAACTCATTCCCACAGGAAGAAGTGATAACCACAAACATGTGTGGCTTTAAAAGAGGATTAACAAGTTCATGGAGGAAAGGGCTATCAATGGCTACTAGCCATGATGGCTATGCTCTCCCCTCCACAGTTGGAGGCAACGATGCTTCTGAACACCAGTTGTTGGAAACCACAGGAGGGGAGAGAGTTCTTGAGCTCTGGTCCTGCTTACGGGTTTCCCATTGTGGCATCTCGTTGGCTATTGTGAGAACAGGATGCTGGACTGGATGGGTCAACTTCACTGGGTTACCCCAATGAGAACATCTACCTCTGAAATACATTTTTGGGCAGAAAGGATGGGGATTTAGTAAAATAAAGTAAAATAATAAAAAATTATGGGTTGAATCCGTGTGTCAAATCTGCTGCAGAAAGTTGTGGGAACCCTCAGAGCTAATTTGGAGGCATGTGTTCAGTTCTTCTCTCGCCTCTACGAAATAGCCAGAAGAACAAAAAGAAGTGGAAAAAACAACAACTGCCCATTTAGCATTTGGTCTGGTCTTTGTTTCTGTCTTGCTGGTTGTAAATTCAACTCAATAGACCTGTACTAGTTGTCAATTTGCTACTAGGCCAAATTCAAGGTGTTACTGTTAGTATATAAAGCCCTTAACAACTCGGGGCCAGTTTATCTGCGAGAATCACCTTACCCCATCTATGTCTACTTGAGGGCTTCTATCTGCAGAACTGGCATTGTTACAGGTGCCACATAATACACATTGGCAATATCTCGATTTTGCACCTACACTTTGAAACTCTTCACCTATTTACATCAGGCAGGCACCTTCATTGTATTATTTTGGGTGCCTGCTGAAAACATTTTTGTTTTGACAGATGCTTAGAAAGCTGATGTGAGTTTTAATCTTTTTTTAGTCTATTGTTGTTTTAGCTTTTTGAAGGTCTTACATCATTGTTAAATCTTACTGATTTTATTTGTAAACCACTTTGAGTGTAGTTCTGTTTACAATCAAGCATAGTACAAATTTTATGAAATAAATACAATGTTTTAACTGTTCACATTATTCACCTGCTTTACCAAGTAATGTGCTTTTAGAGGATATTATTTTTATATGGCTGTTTTATTGGATTGTCAATGCCTGCATTTCTGCCCTGGGCAAGTGCAGGATGTAAGGCAGGAGAAAAGCACAATAAATGAATAAGTAATAAGACAAGACGCTCAAAATTCAAGCAGAACAATCCCAAGTTAATCAGAGCTTTGTTCTCAATTCCTTTCTTTAAGTCTTCTCAAACAGACTCCCCTTGGCAAAGGCCTCCCTACAAGCTCTGGACATGTTTCCTAATCTACCCAACCATGGAAAACTAATTATAACAAAATCTTAGAGTGGAACAAAACCTGATTTGTATTGTGACTCTTTCATCTATTTAGCCCCATGCAAAGAAAACTGGCTACCAATTCTGGAGTAGGGGTGGAAAAAAGTTTCCAAATCCTAACAGCAAGCATCACCTTTTAAAGACTAGGAACTTAAGTGTTTTCCCAACTCCTGTCCCAGTAGGACACTGTTTGACGGAAGTCATCCCATACATACTCAAATGCACTAGCTAGACCAAAACAGCATTAGCTGGAGCAAAGACCTTTAGCAACCATCAGACAAGCACCCATGCTATTGAATGTACCATAAAACAATCCTCTAGAAAGGCTTTTAGAAGCCAGAGCAGCAATGCATGCTGCAAATCTGCCAAAATGCCTAAATCTGCCCCTCCTTTTCAAAGGGCTGTTTATGGTTGTGAGGTGTCTATGCACCACACCTGGTGAAATCTCAGAAGCCACAGAAACTGTGGAATATGGTTTTCATTAGTAAGGAGGGAGAAGGGAGGTTTCAATGCCCAATATCAACCTTCCTCAACCTGGTATCCACCAGCTGCTTTGGACTAAAACTTCTACAGCTCTCAACAGCAGCACTAGTAGGAGCTGATGGGAGTTGTAGTTCAGGCTGGGGCAGGCTACTCATTATGGCTCCTTTGTACAACTCCCAGAAGCAGAATAAATTATGCAAAAAAAGAAAAGTTGCAGCATAGGGAATTGTGCACATCTGCTTAATTTTCATAGTTCACTCAAATGAGAGAAATCAGCTTCTCTTGTGACAGAGTTTTTAGCATGGAATCTGCACAGGTGATAAGAAGCAGGTCGAAAATGCTACTTTAGCCCAAGCAGTTCCCAAAGTACAAGCTAGAACAGCTTAGGAAACACCAACTTCAGCTCCTGGCTCTTAATACAGAAATTGATGGACTTGTTTAACTGGTTCTTGTTGCAGCACCAATTAGAATATCATTATTCGGCTTTATTATCCTGCAATTATCAAACTAGCATGTTAAATGAGACACCTTTACCCTTCAAACAAGAACACTGAATCAAGCTTTAAGAACCCAGGTGTGGCCTGTTCATACAAAGAACAAAAAGAGGCACAAACAACCTGTGGCTGGAGGGGGACCTCTGTTCTCAGGACCAAACCAGCGTGTCTCATGGTAACCAAACACAGACATGTGTGCCTGTGATTTTTTAAAAACTGAACGGAGCAGGAAGATATGAGTGAAACTCACCTCCCCATCATGCAGGCACCCACCCCCAACCCAGACATAAAAACCTCTCTCCTACCTGCACACCACTGTTTGAAGCAATTCCCAGTCCAAACCAGCTTTCCCAAACCTGATGCCCTACAGATGTTTTGAATTACAATTATGATCAGGAGCAAATGTCAGGAGAGTGGTGCTGGATCTTGGCCCTGAGGCTGCTTTTCCTTTGGAGTAGGACTGCCCTCCACACACTCTTAGGTGAGGGATGCTGGTCAGCAGATCCTGAGGTGAGGCACAGCACACTGGCATCATATGTCCACATGCACCAGAGTAAAAACATATCTGCTTCCTAGTCAGGTTTTGTTTCACGAGACTGAGGGAGGAGGCTGAGAGCTAACCGCTTTTTAAAAAAGAAATCCCTTAAATTCCCCTTAAAGGCAAAATAGGGAGTGGATACCAGCACATGTAGACTGTCTAGACTAGGGTAAATGGGGCTTCTATATCTTTCTATTATCCAACAACTGCTTCCCCCCCTCTGGTAATGATATTAGATCAGGGTGTGGGGGCAAACTACCTCCTCATTCTATTATTATTACAGGTTGATTTATATTTCAGCTTTCCACAAGTTACTCTGTTTGCTTATTTCATAACAACGGCATGTCACTTACCTGCACAAAATGTCAAACTGCAGTTCAGTCAGAAAACAAAACATCCCTGAACCCCTAAAGAAGTCTTGGTCTACGCCACATCCTATCTCCGTGAACTTCAAGACCCCCCCAATATTATCACCTTCAAGAGCTACAATATTTTTCTTCCATCAAAACTGTCATGTTCATGGAAATGCAATTTGACCCTAAATGACAACTGCAAATAAGGCTATGGGGGCAGTCTTGCACCCCACAGTAAGTTTCAGAGCAGGGTTTCCCAAACCCGATTCTCCAGGTGTTTTTGGACTGCAAGTCCCCTCATCCCTATCTAGCAGGACCAGTGGTCCGGGACGATGCAAATTTTAGTCCAACAACAGCTGGAGACGCATGTTTGGGAAGCCCTGTTTCAGAACCCCAGATCATATAGCCACACTTCCAGAAACAGATATGGCAGCATGGGAAAAATAGCTATTTTTTCAAGTTTTCAAAATGAGCTGTGGTGGGGAGGAGAGGAGCATGGCTGTAGCCAGGATTTTTGTTACCAGGGGCAGGCCTTTTGTTGGGGCGGGGGCAGAACCTCAGTTTGCTATGTATTTTTATTAAATTTCATTGATTGGGGTGGCAACCCCCCCCCCCCAGCTATGCCCATAGTATTGGTATGCTTTTCTCTTGTCCTTAATATTAGTTTCTTGGTTTTTATCCTGTATTTTTATTCTGTGAACCGCCCTGAGATCTACGGATGAAGGGCGATAGGCAGATTTCACTATATTATTTATTATTATTATTATTAACTAACTAACTTGCGAGGCCTAGCAGGCAGCAGCCCATTTCTGCACCGCAGCGGAAAAGTTCAGGCGCCCCCCTCCCAAGACGGTGCCCGGACTTTGGGCCTCTCTCCGTCCGCCGCGCCCCAAGCGGAAGGCAGGCGGCACTCTGCCCGCGCTCAGAGGCACTCTGCCCGCGCCAGGCGGGGGAAACTGAGGCGAGCCCTCGCTCGGGTCCCCAGGGTGGCAGCGCCCGCTCCCGCCGGCCCAGCAGCCGGCCCGCGGGCGAGGGGAAGGAGGCCGCCGCCCAGGCACCACCAGGCTAGCGAGGGCCCGCTCTCTACGGAACACGTCGAGGCCTCCGCAGCCCCAGAAGTGACACAGACCCGCCCGCCTCGCCTCACCTGCCGAGTCCGCGCCGCTGCCGAAGCCGAGCGCCGCCTCGCCTTTTCATAGGCGCGGAAAACCCGCCCTTGGAAGGGGCGGACGCCGCCCGGGAGGCGGCTGAGGCGAGCGGCTCGGGTTTCAGCTCGGCGGGGAAGCCGGCGCCCTCCGTGAGGCGAGCGAGCGAGTTCTCCTCAGGGAAGCCTCTTTCCGCCCTCCCGAGACGGCACCGAGCCTCTTCCCCGACGCCCGCCGAGGTGAGCCCGGTCTGATGGGGCGGGAGCCTCGGACGGGGGAAGCGGCCTGAGGAGGACGCCGCGGCTGAGGCGGGATTTGAACCCGGGGCCGCCTCCCCCTGCACTAACCACGGCGGCACCACGCTGGCGGGACGTCGAGCTTGAGTAAGGAAAGCTGGCGGCTGTTTTATTGCTATATTAAATTAGGGTATGTCCGCAGCATAAAAGCACAAGATGAAAACACGAAATACGTAACGAAAACCAAAGCAAAACAAATGTATAACTCACCCCCCCATCCCAAAAGCAGGCAACCCCCCGGTAGCAAAGCAGATAGCAAAGGTGCCATATAGTGTGCCATCCGCACTATGCATTTAAAGCACTATGGTGCCACTTTTAACAGGCACAGCTTCCCTCAAAGTCGCCCGGGAACTGTAGTTTCTCAAGGGCGATAGGAGCTGTTTGTTAGGAGACCCCCTAGTCCTTTCACAGAGCTACGATTCCCTCAGAGGGTTTTAGCCACCAGCCCCTCTTCTCGAGGAACTTTTTTGTGGGTCAATCTTTGTTGAATTTGAGATGGGATGCTGTCTAGGGTCAGAGTCTCTGGCCCCCTTCACATCATACATTGAAGAATTCTAGTAGCTGCAGTTTCTTAAGGGTGCTGCAAGTTGTTATTCCCCCCCCCCCCCCAGCTGCTGTTCCTAGACTTCCTTGGGAAAGAGGGGTTGGTAAATCGCTCTGCAAATTGGGGGCTCTGTGGAGGGAATTGTAGTTCAGCAAACTACAATTCCCAGGATGCTTTTGGGAAAGCATTGCAGGGGGTTGACCTAGATGACCCTTAGGGTCCCTTCCAGCTCTATAATTCTGTGATTCTAAGCCATGATCATTTAAAGTGGTACGATACTGCTTTCAACAATATAGAGGGCAGATTGCGCCTTGGGCCCAGCAAAACCAAGGTAATGGAAGCACCATATGAATTTAAAGCCTGACTCCTGCCTGAGCCAACCTCGGTATAGAGCAGTATATAAATCCAATCAATCAATCAATCAATCACTCAGTCAATCAATCAGTCAGTCAATCAATCAACCAGCCCCTCTGGCAACCCATGTGACCAATCCATCCACTCTGCACTATCCATCCCACTGCTGCAGCCAATGTTGCTTGGCAGAAGGGGTACAGTGAAAAGGATGGAACTTTGGAAAAACCCCAGAAGAAAGGGGTTCAGGTCAGTAGCTGCTTTTTTTTTTATTTTTTAAAGGCATTCTCTTTTGTAATTTTTATCTGACCTTCCAAATTACGATAAATTGTACATTTAAGTAAAAGCAAAGTGTAGGAGACGAAGATGGACTGGAGATGGTGGAATGAAGCAGAATATGAGTTGTTCTGCTATTTTTTCTTTACTAGGGTGTGACTCACAACCATTCCTTCCTCCTTAAGAAGCCAAAGCAGGTTAAGAATTGGGAGTGGGAGAGAGAGCAGTACTGTATTGCAAGGATACAGATTTAAGGAGGAAATGCAGGACACTCTGGTTTTCATCCTGCTGCTCACAAGAGGTCACTATTGCTCCACAGGTGGGGCTGACCAGCAGTTCTGGATAATCTTGGCGTTTATGAGATTTCTCCAAGTCTGGCAGATTTCCAGTTACAAAACGCTGAACTGTCTGGAAAGTTTGGTCAATAAGGGAGCAAAAGCGGGTATTGTATGAAGCTGCTGGTGCCCTGATTCTCAAAATGGGGGCCTCCCAAACAAAATGCAGGCTGCCGCTAGGATAGGCTCAGAAGCCTCATTCCTTAGGCTTGCTAAGGCTCATGGAGTTTTATGAGCTTAGGAGGTGAGCTAGATGTTTTCCTCCACCCAAATTTATCTGAAGATAAAACAAGTTTGCTTCCCCAAAATTGTATTTCCAATTTGCATGTCAAGCATCCTCTGAGTACTCAAGTATTTACTTTCACTTGGCATCCATGAGAGACAATTTCAATATTTGATAGTGTTTAATAGTTCACCCAATCATAGCACGCCACCATCAGTGTATAAGTCAGTTAGAAACCTCCACTCTGCCAACAGGGGGTGCCGGAGCACCGCCACCCAGGTAGGCAAGGGATGTGGGGAACAGGTGCTATCTAGTCCAGCATCCTGTTCTCACAGTGGCCAGCCAGATGCCTTTGGGAACCCACAAGCAGAATCCGAGCACAAGAACCTCCTCCCCTCCTATGGTCTCCAGCAATTGGTATTCAGAAATTGCTGCCTCCAGCTGTGGAGGCAGAGAATACAGATACTCTTACTGCCCATTAATTTGTATAACCCCGTTTTAAAGTCTTATAGCGAAAGAACATGTTTTTCCCACATGCCCTGCAATAAAGACTTCACTCTTGCCATGTGTGTGCTATACAGTGGTATCTCTGATTACATACTTAATTCGTTCCAGAGGTCCATTCTTAACCTGAAACTGTTCTTAACCTGAAGCACCACTTTAATGGGGCCCCCTGCTGCTGCTGCGCTGCCGCCGCGCGATTTCTGTTCTCATCCTGAAGCAAAGTTCTTAACCCGAGGTATTATTTCTGGGTTAGTGGAGTCTGTAACCTGAAGCGTATGTAACCCGAGGTACCACTGTATATTTCTTACTAGGCAGGGACCTCACTGCTCTGTCTCCATTTGCCTTCAGGGTGAGATTCTGACAGGTGGGTGGGGAGCTTGATAAGTTTGGAAACATGATGGGCCCTCATCTGTTGCAGGTTACCTGGACTGTGGGGAGGCAGACCTCTCCAGGTGCTCAGGTAGGATGCATGCCAATGCCAAAGTGTATGAGACACTCAGGTGGGGGGATGACAACCAGGAGAAGCAATAAGCAAGGCCTCTTGGTCCAATGTGCTTCATAAGACACCAAGTGGCCTGTTGGACAATGTATGTAGTTTGCCAGAGCATGTGTGCATATTAAAAAACCCTACCCATTGATTTATTTTTTATTTATAACATTTAAATACCACCTTTTTTCCCAAGGAACTCAATGTGGTGTACATGGTTCTCCCATCCCAATTTTGTCCTCACAACAACCCTGTGAGGTAGATTAGACAGACAGGCAGTGACTGGCTCAAAGTCACTCAGTGAGCTTCATGTAGCTGAGTGGGGATTTGAACCCTGGTCTTCCAAGTCATAGTCCAATGCTCTAACCATTACACTGCACTGGCTCTCCTGCCTCAATTCGTTTTTTAATCAACTAATAATTCATCATAAGAACCACTCCCCACTCCTTTTTCAAAAGACATCTGGGGGTAGAAAAGGCTTCCTTATAGAGAGCCAGACCAATGGCCCACCCAGCCCTCTGACAAGCAACAGTTGTCCATGACCACCTCTTACCTAGAGATGCCCTGTAGAAGCCAGGCCGCTGGTCAATACAGCACTCGTTCCAATTGGTTCAGCTATGGCTGGATGGGCTTTGCCTCTCCAGCTTGCATGTTGACCCTCTGAAGCTTGCATGTTAAATGCAAAGTATCTTGCCCCCCAAGCTTCCTCTTGCACACCCTGTGCTGCTTGCTGCTGCTATCTTGTGACAGGGCAGGTAAGAAAAATGCTTTGTGATGTGGTTGACTCCTGACCGCTGCTGTGGCTGAATAGCTGAGGAACCACTCTTCAACATTCGTTAAATTGGAAATATTAATGTATGTTGCAATTTTTCTTGTTTCTCTTATGATAGGATTGTTTAATTGCTTATTAGTCCTGTTTATATGATTCTGTAATTTTTGTGTATTATTTTCTCTATTTTTATTACTTTGTTCTCTGCTCTGGAATTTAAAACATTCAGTGAAGAGGGGACTATATGTACTGTAAATAAATAAATGTTTGCAGTTTAGATATGAGTCAAAGGACACAGCACTCAATGTTTAATGTTAATTACAGGTGAGTCTTAATTGTTTGAGGTTTTTTCTTCTCAATTGCCATATGAAATGATGCCTCTAGAGTCCTTCAACCCATCTCATTCTGTTCAATATGAAACCAGGAACAAGCTGTTTGTTTACCTACAGCCCATACTAATAAGGTGTTAACTAATCAGCTATATAATCAGAGTTCTTGATGTGGAACAGTTGGTTCTCTCTCAAGTATCATACTTTATTTAAATGCAAGCATTGGAAACAACATTTGTGCAATGTTTTTGTTTCAATATGGAAAAAGTTTTGTTTGACCAGAAAAATCCATCTTTCTACAGCAGAAAATCTCCATATTATAGTAGCCTGTATTTCTGGAATGAATATCAATTGGCTGGTGTTTTTCTTTTAAAAACAGGAAAATGAAGGGTTGTAGTAAATGCTAGTGCTACTCAGAGTAGACCCATTGAAGTTAATGGACACGCCTAATTAAAATTCATTAATTTCAGTGGGTCTGCTCTGAGTTTGGACTTAGCTGGATACAAGCCCAATGTCTCCATTTAAGGCACAATCCTGTGCCATGGTTACACCAGCAAGGTAGCATTTGGAGGTGGCACCAATGTAATCCAGCTGGTGGAAACAAGGTACAGTGGTACAATGTTGCATAACCTCCAGCTTACGGAATCTTCAGGTTACGGCCGCGGCACACCCAGCAAACCCGGAAGTGTATCCGCCGCTCACGCATGCGCAGAAGCGCTCTATTGCGCCGTGTGTGTGTGCAGAAGCGCTCTATTGCACCGTGCGCATGCACAGAAGCTGCACCTCTAGTTACAGATTTTTCAGGGTGTTCACGGCACCCCAAAACGAATTAAATCCGTAACCAGAGGTACCACTGTATTCCAGAGTAATGACAATTGCACACTAGTGAATTCTCTCCTCCTTGCCTGTGAGGTTCCAAAAATGGAGTGTAGCTCTTTCTGTCCTCTATTGTTCTCTGTAGAACAATCTATTCTTCTCTGTAGAACAATAGACTGTAGAGTTGGGAGGGACCCAAGGGGTTATCTAGTCCAACCCCTGGCAATGCATTCTCCCATTTCATCTCTCTCTCTCTCTCTCTCTCTCATTCCTTCCACCTTCCAGACTCTCACACCTCCTTATATATCTAGAGTGCTTTTGTGTGGATGTCTCTTGCTTGCCTCCTGCCACAGCAATGGCAGCTTGCTGGGTCAACTAGAGAGTGGGTGGTGCATCCCGCTTCTGTCAAAGAAGGGGGCTGCCACCCCACAGCTCCTCTGTGGCACTCCTTTACATCTTCTTTTAAAGGATAAGGTAATGTGAACAGCTGTTCACCATGCTATTGTTATGGGCATCCCAGTTCTTCAAGCAGTGAGGTTTCAAGGGGTGTGGCACTAAGCCTGGGATGTGGTTTATTTGGAATGAGGTCAAAGGTGGATTTAGGGGAGCGCAACCGGTTCTCCCGCACTGAGTTGAGAGGGCGCTGCAACATTGACTTAGAATGAAAGGTGAGAGGGGAGGTGGGGGGTGGCAGTGCATTGCATAGGTTGCCACTGAAATTTGAAAGCCCAAAGTCCACTACAGAATAAGGTTGCACATACAACTTAACTCCAGCAGATAGGAACATGGGAAGCTGCCATATACAGAGTCAGACCACTGGTTCACCTACCTCAGTACTGTCTACAATACTGGAGATGTTCTCAAATGTAGACAACAATGTTGGTAAAATCCCACAGACTGACTCATCAGTCTCTGGCTAATCCACACTGATAGTCCTATTTATAGAAATGTTAAGAGTTGAGGATCCCAGCATTGGAAGTGATCCCTAGGGTGCCCTCCAGATGTTTTGTCACAGCATTCAGTGGCTGTACAATCATACTTTGGGTTAAATGTGGTTCAGGTTGAGTGTTTTCAGGTTATGCTCCGCAGCGACTCAGAAGTAACGGAGTGCGTTACTTCCGGGTTTTGCCGCTTGTGCATGCGCAGACGCTCAAAATGACATCACGCACATGCACGGAAGCAGCGAATCACAACCCGCAGATGTGGGTTGCGTTCGCTTCAGGATGTGAACAGGGCTCCGGAACGGATCCCGTTCGCATCCAGAGGTACCACTGTATTAAATAGTAAGGAACTGAGGTGGGTGGTGGTCAAACCGGAAAGATTTTAGAGGCATACAACGGTCTTGCTCAGATGGGCATCTAATATAACGGTTTTATTTCTCCTAGAATTTGTTTAATATCAATATAACTTCGTCAACACCAACAGTGTTCTTCCTCGGACATGGATCTGATACCTTAAACCATTTTTAATTTTACTACTAATACTGTTAATCAAATCCATTCACAGTCCTGATCGACAATGAATTTTGGGCAATTTGCTAATCCCAATCAATCATGAGTTTGGGGTAAACGGATCCCTGCCTGAACGAATTACTATCTAAAAACTGTTGATGTATCAGGTGCTGTACAAAAGATGTACAGTTTTGTGTTTGTGTGTGTGTGTGTGTGTGTGTTATAACAGTTTGTGTTTTGTAACATGCAACAATTATATAAATAAAAAATAAAACAACAATAAACAGATAAACGGTTCTGAATATATTAACAAAGCTGTGTCAAAGTGTATATAGTAAATTTATTACACTTATTACAGCATATGATTTCATATGCATATGCATTGCTTAGATTGGTGGCCATATGTAAAAAGTATTTTGTATCAATAACAATTAGAATTTATAGGAAGGGAGCAGGAAGGAAGGATTTTTTTAAAAAAAATGTACTTCATGCACTCCTCTGTGTGAGTGTGACAGAGAGCGATAAATTAATACAGTAAATCCATTACTCACAAGCTCCCACCCAACAACCCTCCGCCAGGCGTCATCTGGGACTTGTAGTCCTCCGAATCGACGAGGTTGCCAGAGATCCCGCAGGCAGGGAGGAGAAACTACCCTTCCCAGAAGGCAACGCGGCTAGAACGTCTGTTGCAATTTATACGGGGGGGGTGAGAGGAGGAGGAAGGGAGGAAGTAAATGTGAAGTCCCCTTACCAAAAAATAAAACCCCCTCTAGTTTTGTTGGTGGAATTATTTCACGGATCCGTCGCTTCTGTTTGAGGACAGAGGGGGAGGGCTGCGTGCTTGCCTGGCTTCCCTGGCTGGGAAGGGGTTAAAAGGGAAGGGCGGCGCGTTGAGGATTCCTCCTCCCTCTTCCGCCCTCTTTCCTCTCGCCCGCCGACTCCCTCCCTTTCTCTCCTCCCCCCCCCCCCCCAGCTTTTCTGGAACTGGGACTTCCTGTGGCAGTTCATTTCCTGGTCGGCGGGGGCCGCGAGCGGAGGAAGGCTCGGCATGGTCTCCCCCCGGCCAGCCCCAGCCTCCCTTGACGCTCTTCCACCTCCTCCTCCTCCTCCTCCGCAGCGGCTCCCCCTCCTGCTCTGCCCGGCCGGCGGCGCTCCTCCGGCTGCCACTTTGTAGCGATGCTGCAGGGCCGGAGCGGCGCCCGCAGCGGAAGCGGACATGGTAACAGTGTGGCCAGGCCGGGTCTCTCTCTCTCTCTCTCTCTCTCTCTCTCTCTCTCCCCCCCCCCCCGGCTCATGCAGCCTTAGCGGCAGGGGCACCAGCTGGGCACCCCCTCTTCTGCCTTGCTGGGGCGGTGGGTCCCAAAAGTAGGCTCTCCCCTCCCCACCACTCTTGGCGGGGGAGAGAAGGGGGCCGTCATCATCACGACGCGTACCCTTTCCCCGGGCAAAGGGACCCCCCTATTTTCTTTGCGGGCACCTCAAGAGTAGAAAGAAGGGATGCTTTTTCGGGGGGGGGTGCGAGTAAGGGATTCCTCCCCCCCCCGCCCCGCCTGAGGGAGATATTTCTCTCCAGAGAGGGTGGTGATGCTGTTTTTAATATTATTAGACAGTTGGAGCAAATGGCAAAAGCCTCTAATTCTGTCTCTTCCTCCCAACAGGTCTGAATAACACCCAAGCTCTGCCTTCCTGGACTGGGCGAGAGGGAACAAAGCATATGACCTCTAAGGAAAAAGAAGATATTTTGCCGCAAAGGGATTAATTTTTGTCTTGCTTCAAGACGTCAAGAGCTGTGTACATAGACACACACACACACATATATAGAATAGACACACAAACACACAATTATATATATATTTGGGGTGTTTGTGTGTCATACTGGACTTGCTAAGCGAAAAGTGTTTAGGCTGCGCACTCTTGGAGCCATGAAGAAGTTTTTTGACTCCCGGCGAGAGCAGGGTGGCTCTGGGGCCGGTTCTGGGACCCTCGGAGGGAGTGGCAGTAGCACTGGGCCTGGGAGTGGATACATAGGCCGGGTGTTCAACATTGGGAGGTGTCAGGTGACTGTGGATGAAGTTCTGGCGGAAGGTAAGATGCAGCTGATGGGAGTTTTGCCTCTCCTTCCCCTACCCCCCCTCCTCTCTTAACATCTCCACAAATGAATGGAAGCAGATTCTTAACCCTTCTTTGAATGTTCACACACACAATTTCCATTCTGACTTCTTTCAAGAAAACGTGCCGCTTTACATGGGTGCCACCTTTGCTTATTAAAAGGACTAGAATGTTGTGTCAAGGCAAATTAATAAATGGTAGCATTGGTGGCTACTGTCTATTCTGTGTTTTAATTAACAATAAAAAAAATGGTTTGGAACTCCAGTTTCTACAAATGCAAATAAATAGAGCCAGCTAACAGGGTTAACAGTATATAAGTTGGAAAACTCCCCCCCCCATTGGCAACAATATTATGTAATATGGCAGGCTGCATTGGTGCATATATTAAGGGAGTGAATTGTTTCCTTTCATGCTCTCCCCTCCCCCCCTCGTTTGAGTGCTATTAAGTAAAGGGATAATTGGATGCATAGGGATAAATTTGTCATTTATTCATGGTGCCTTTGTGTAGCAAGCGCAAAGCACACATGTAAGATGCATGCTTACCTTGGGGGTTGTGGCCCACAGAAATCTGGGTGACATTTTAAGGACTAAAGGAGATTCCTACAGGGGTCCATAAAGATCACCCATAAAGTTTGCAGTGCAGAAAGCCCTTGGCTTTTTACTTCAACTTGATTTGGTGCAGTCTAGCTAGAACGTTGAGATACCTCAGGGAATCTTTGTCTTCCCCCACCACTCCCCAGTGTAGAAAAAAACCCAAATTATATATGGAACTTTAGCTTTGACCTTCACAATTGTAGTATTATTTAGGCCTTGTATGGAGTCAGTAATTGGACAGCATCTCTTTAAAAAGAGGGGAAATGTACAGTTTAGAATTTATAATACATTGCATAAGACCTGAGTTACTAAGAAAGAAAGACCCTTATTAGCAGAACTGGGCAGAGGTAGGTATTTGAGAGGGTTGTTGTTGTATTTACTGTATCCTTGTGCCAAGGTAAATTTTATTGAGCTTGCTTTCCCGAAGGGACAGTGTGACTGCATTTACAAAGAACAGTGTTTTTCACGAAGCGTTTGCTTTTTTGGAAAAAGATGCTTGAGTGTGTTGAATCCAAGGCTGATGCTCACCTAGAGCAAGCCAAAGGCTGCTGGTTATGGTGAATTGCCGCAGGCATTTTTCTGAGTAGAGATAGGGAGTGGGCAAAAAGCCAGCCCTCGTCATCTCTCTCCAAAAATAACAAAGCCAATAAAAAATGGCGAGGCACTATTTTGACTGAATTGTCTACTGTGTACCTGCCTCTACTGGCTTCTGACAAGGCCCTGGCTATGAGGTGCTCTCAGGACTACGCTACAGATACGCTCTGCCTTCCTCTTGCTTACTACGTAAGTGTTCCGCAGGAAACAGAGGACCTCATTTGAAGATGGTTAAATAACTTGCCGGCAGATCCTCCATGTGATGTTGACAGGAGCAGGAAATGATCTGTACCTTGTACTGGGAGGATTCTCTCCTCCAAAATTTGTTGAACTGCTCCTCTTCCTTTCCATGGCGTCGTTTGTGCCTTCCTCCCTGGATCTCTCCTGTTCTCAGGGTGGTGCTTTAAGAGGAAGATAAATGTTGTGACTGAGATTTCTGGTGCATATTTGAATTGGAAAGAGCAAGGTTGGGTGCATGTGCATGGATAGATAGTAGTTCGTGTGTTTTCAAGGCATGCTTAGGGGCTCCTGAAATGGTCCCAGAATAATGGGGATTAGGGGTGAAGAACATAAATGAATAGCACAAAGACAGTTTCAGGTGGCTCTAATGGGTGGCTTGGGAGCCATGGTGTTTGGGGATGTGTCTTAAACTGTGGTCTGAGCCTGCAGAATTAACTAAGCTTCAGTGGACAGGGCAGAATCACCTGAAAGTTTTTATTCACTCACCCCAGGTTTGGACACCAAAAGCATTTCTCAGAAAATGTGCACCCTCTTCTATGAGGCCACCCATAAAGTAGATGCTGTGTGAAAGGTAGGAGGGGTGACTGTAAAAAGTATGTTTAAATCTAGCTTTTAATGCATGGTGTCTAATCAATCGTTAGGCAAATATATGTATATATTCTACAGTGTCCTCTGGTGACCTCTTTTGATGGAGAAACTCAACACACAAACTATGGTCCATGTGGGCTCAATTGGTGTATTGGTTAGCATGTTGAATTTGGGGCTAGGAATGCCCAGGGGCTCCCATTTGGCCATGAGATTCTCCAGGTGAGCCCTTGGTCTAACCTACATTGAAAGGGTTGCTGTGATAAATAAAGGTGGAGAGGATATCTGTGTATACCATCTTGAGCTCTTTGGACGAAAAGTAGGATTTAAAAAATTAACCCTTCCATGATCAGCTCTGAATGTTCTTTGTGAGCCTGGAGGAGGAAACACGGTCCTGCATTTTGACCTCTTACCTGTAATGGGCTTCTTGGATCAATGCATGTTATAAAATGGGGGGAAATGGTTAAAATTCTAAGTTCACATGTTTTATTACAGACAATGGCAATTAGCATTGTATGGTGTATTTCAAATGTTGATTGGAGCCCATGCCCGTCATTTTACGTAATCCCCAGAGCAGCTTCTTAAGGCAGGCCAGTTCTATTTGTTAGATTTCTATGTCCATCTTCAATTGTAGATAGAGAGCTGAGACCAGGAAGGCAATGCCTTTACTGAGGCCACCACATGAGGATAGGGTGGGAGATGAGATTTGAAACAGGGACTTTACAGCTTGACCTCTAATCTACTGCATTACAACCAGCTTGACCCAGTTAAAAGCTTAACCTGACTTCCAGTGTTGGGTCTGGGGAACTTGTGGCCCTCCAGATGTTGGTGGACTCCATCCGCTACAGCCAGCAGGGCCCAATGATGAGGAATTATGGGAATTGTGATTCAGCAGTATTTGGAGGGCCAGAGGCTCCCCAAACCCGGCTTATATAAACTATCTCATGTGAAAGACTCTTGCACAAAGGACTGCTCTAGAGCAGCCTTCCTGATAGGCTGGACTACAACTCCCATCAGCCCTAGCCAGCATTAGCTCTGTTGGCTTGGATGAAAGTTGTAGTCCAGCACATCTGGAAGGCAGCAGATCAGGGAAAGCTGCATCTGACTTTAGCAGGCCTTCAAGGTTAAGGTTTTTTGATAAATCTGTGGGTAAGTGTCTCCCAATGTTGAATGGATTTTGTGTTCTGAAGAAACCTGATTCAGCAATAGGATGTTCTCATGGACAGAGGTGAGGGGCCTTTTATGGTCCAATGGCTGCATTGGCTCATGAGCAACCTTTGGGTGGGGACACATGCCAGTGGTGGGTGGGACCTCCAGAGGCAAAAGTTGGTGGAGCTACAGAGCTAACTCTTAGGGTTGTGTGGTAGATTACATTCCAGCCATGCAAAAATCCAACTCCATGCAGGCAAGCAAGAGATATTATTGCAGTTCAAGGACACACTTCCAGGCAAGCAAAAGCACTGGAGGAGAGCAATGGAACAGGGTATGTATGTATGTATGTATGTATGTAAGTAATATGCCACCGATATATGCCCCAGTCATTCTGGGTGGCTCCCAACAAAATATTAAAAGCACAATAAAACAGCAACCATTAAAAACTTCCCTGAACTGCTTTCAGATGTCTTCTGAAAGTCAAATAGTTGTTTATCTGTTTGACATCTGGGGAGGGCATTCCATAGGGAAAGTGCCACTACAGAGAACGCCCTTTGCCTGCAAGGTGTGGGAGCAGGAAGGGGGAAGGGGTATATGCCTTGGAGAGGGGCAGGGCCAGATTAAGAACTTTAGAGGCCCCTAAGCACTGAAAAGATTATGGTACTTCCCTTCTGTAATTTGAGACAAAAACAATACTAAACTTTAAAATAAATAAATCACTGGATCTGATTGCCTCACATTATTTTGACATACGTTTGTAGGACGTGCCCTGGTTTAGGTGGGGATTAAGTAATAACCCAAGAACATAAAATGAACCTAAGGAGCATAAAAATGGAGGAAGAGTGTGGAGTGGAGGGTAAGGAAGTCTAACAAGCTCTGATTTCTCCTACTGTGACTACTTTGATGTTTTTCTTGAAATACCAAATGTCATTGGAAAAACCCTCATTGTGTGCATGCCCTTGCTTTGCTGGTGCCTTAAGCATGTACTTAGTTTGCCTGTTTGGCCCGAGGGTTCCCCACCCCATCTACCTTATGGGAAAGGCACAGAAAATGGTCAGTCACACATGCTCCTCTGAGAGTTTTGCTCTCTTGCTGTGATCTCCTTGCTTTGTGTGTGTGTGTGTGTGTGTGTGTGTTGTGTACCAGAACTGTGTTGGCTAAACAGGATAAAGTGCCTGCTTGGGAACAAACTACTGCTGAGAGCTCATTATGTGTTCATTATTGCCTTGTTTTTCCTCTTCAAACAGTAGTGAAATTAAGGCCATACTTGAGTTGGGTGGCAGAGAGGCAGGCCCTGGGCCTAATTCTAGCCAGTGGTTAGGGAGCTGGACCTTTTGCCTCTTTGCCTCCAGGCTGAAGGTGTTGGTGTCATCTCCATGCAGAGTGCTGCTTCTTGGGAATCAAGGTGACGGGGAGGGAGGTTTCAGGTTAGCTGACATGCAGGCTTCCTATCAGTAGTAATTTTAATGCCATTATACAAATCTATGCTGCAAGTGCATTTGGAATACAGTGGTACCTCGGGTTACATACGCTTCAGGACTCCACTACCCCAGAAATAGTACCTCGAGTTAAGAACTTTGCTTCAGGGTGAGAACAGAAATTGTGCTGTGGTGACGCAGCGGCAGCAGGAGGCCCCATTAGCTAAAGTGGTGCTTCTGGTTAAGAACAGTTTCAGGTTAAGAATGGACCTCCGGAACGAATTAAGTACGTAACCAGAGGTACCACTGTACCATGTACAGTTCTCACCTCAAAAAGGATATTGCAGTGTTGGAAAAGGTTCAGAAAAGGGCAACCTTAATGATCAAGGGGGTGGAGCGACTCCTCTATGAAGAAAGGTTGCAGCATTCAATACTTTTTAGCCTATGGAAAAGGCAAGTAAGAGGCAACATAATAAAAGTTTATAAAATTATTCATGGCATGGAGAGCGTAGGTAAAAGTTTTCCTTCCTCTCTCAAAACACAATAATTTGTGGACATCCGATGAAGCTGAATGTTGGAAGATTCAGGACACACAAAAGGAAGTCCTCCTTCATGCACTCTGTAGTTAAACTATGAAACTAGCTTCCGCAGACATCAGTGGTGGCCACCAACCTAGGTGAATTTAAAAGAGGATTGGACAAATTCATGCAGGAGGCGAGCCCTATCAAAGGCTATGAACGCTATGCTCTACCTCCACAGTACAGGCAGCAATGCTCCAGTTGCTGGAAGCCACAGGAAGAGAGAGTGCTGTTGTGCATGGGTCCTGCTTGCTGGGTTCCCACAGGTTGGCCATTACGAGAACAGAATGCTGGACTAGATGGGCCATTGGCCTGATCCATCACGCTCTTCTGATGTTCTTATTTAATGGAGGAACATTTCATTATCATGCTGGGACGTGGGTGGCACTGTGGGTTAAACCATAGAGCCTAGGACTTGCCGATCAGCAGTTCAGCAGTTCGAATCTCATGACGGGGTGAGCTCCCCTTGCTCGGTCCCCGCTTGCCAACCTAGCAGTTCAAAAGCATGTCAAAGTGCAAGTAGATAAATAGGTACCGCTCCGGCGGGAAGGTAAACGGTGTTTCCGTGCGCTGCTCTGGTTCGCCAGAAGCAGCTTAGTCATGCTGGCCACATGACCCGGAATCTCCCTCGGCCAATAAAGTGAGATGAGCACCGCAACCCCAGAGTCGGCCACGACTGGACCTGATGGTCAGGGGTCCCTTTACCTTTGCCAGCACGCTGTCTGAAGTGTTGAGGTGCTGGGTTACCTGCTCTTCAGTTTGTGAGAACTAGGTCTAACATAAGGGGAGTCTCACTGCTGTGTCGGTCCAAAGGCCCATCTAGTCCATTGTCCTGTTCTCACAGAACCTGAGTGCAATAGTGTGCTCTCCACATAAGGTTTCCAGGAACCGGTATTTGGAGACATGCTTCCTCTGACAGTGGAAGTAGAAGACAGCCCTTGCAGCTAGTACCCATCAATAGCTCTCTTCTCCATGAATTTGTCTAATCTTTTGCAGCCATCAAAGCTGGTGGCCACCACTGTCTCCTGTGGCAGTGAGTTCCATAGTTTAACTGTGTGCTGCACAAAGAGGGACTTTCTTTTCTCTGTCCTGAACCTTCCAACATTCAACTTCATTGAACGGTCCTGAGTATTATGAGAAAAGGAGAAAAACCTTTCTCTATCCACTGTCTCCTGACCACAAATAATATTACACATCTCTATCATTTCTAAACTAAAAAGCCCCAAGTGCTGTAACCTTTTGTCATAGGGGAGTCGCCCCAACCCCTTGATCATTTTGGTTGCCATTTGCTGTACCTTTTCCAGCGCTATAATATTTTTTGAGGTGAGGTGTCCAGAACTGTACACTCTATTTACCCTTCCCATGCCTTCTGCTTCTCGTGAAACTTAAGGCTGGATTACCTGTGTGGGTTCCCACATGCATTTCCCATCGGTTGTACCTGGTTTTCACATGCATGTCTGTGGCTTGGTTTCTCAACATAACACAGTGTTTGTGGTTGCAAAATTCAGTGTTCTATCAATGGTGTTAATCTAGGGCAGGGAGATTTTGGAGAATTCCATTTCAGTATTGATTGTGCCCATGTAAGGTGTGGAGTCCCTAAGACTTTATATGTATTGTGTGACTTGCATTCTGATTTGGGACTTTGCCATGTTTACACATCATGTTAAGCTGTGGCGTTTAGTTTGTTTAGCAGTACTTTGCATGAGATCCTTGCTGGTACCTGCATCCCAAGCTCCTGGATAAGATTGGTTATGCATTGTTTTTTTCTGGCAAGATTCCATATCTTACTGAGCACATGACTAACTTTCAAAAACTGCTGTGCACCTAAGAGTTCAGCTGACTGGCTGCATTAGTTAAACTGGACAAACTGGATGTCTTTTATTCCTTGTTAATTTAGCTCTGCATTTTAACCTGTACAGATCATGTGACTGTAATAAATACTGGCTCACTGGCACTTGATTTCGGTAGGCTTGCTGACTAGCAGTGAGTGTTGTGACTGCAGAGTTCTCTTTGTATTGATTTATCTGTAACCTCTTTCACATGTGCAAGTTGCTGGATGCAACATTCAAATGTGTGTGTGTGAACCTGTCCCTCATCATGACTTCAGTATTGAGTAACAGCTGTGTGTGTGTGTGAATGAGCCATTGCAGATGAAACACCACAGAAAGAGCCTTTCTTTCTCCCAACATCCTTTCATATAAGGTAAAGGACCCCTAGGGACATGGGGGGCGCTGTGGGTTAAGCCACAGAGCTTAGGACTTGCCAATCAGAAGGTCGGCGGTTTGAATCCCCGCCACGGGGTGAGCTCCCGTTACTTGGTCCCTGCTCCTGCTAACCTAGCAGTTCAAAAGCATGTCAAAGTGCAAGTAGATAAATAGGTACCGCTCTAGTGGGAAGGTAAACAGCGTTTTCGTGCGCTGCTCTGGTTCACCAGAAGCGGCTTAGTCATGCTGGCCACATGATCCGGAAGCTGTACGCCGGCTCCCTCGGTCAGTAAAGCGAGATGAGCGCCGCAACCCCAGAGTCGTCCACAACTGGACCTAATGGTCAGGGGTCCCTTTACCTTTACCTTTACCTTTAAAGGACCCCTGCACGGTTTAGTCCAGTCAAACTTGACTGTGGGGTGCGGACCATGCGGTGCTCATCTCGCTTCAGGCCAAGGGAGCCAGCATTTATCCACAGACAGATTTCTAGGTTATATGGCCAGCATGACTAAACTGCTTCTGGCGCAACGGGACACCGTGATGAGTGCCAGAGCTCACAGAAACGCCATTTACCTTCCCGCCACAGCGGTAACTATCTACTCGTGCTGGTCTGCTTTCAACCTGCTAGGTTGGCAGGAGCTGGGACAGAGTAACTGTAGCTCACCCCGTCCCATGGACTCAAACCGCTGGCCTTCTGATTGGCAAGCCCAAGGGGCTCAGTGGTTTAGACCACAGCGCTACCAGCTCACTTCCCTTCATATACGTTGCACTGAAGCCCATTTGCACACTGAACTGTCAGTCATCACATGAAGAGAAATCAAGCAGTGCATAGTCATGAGTGAACAAATCTTGGCTTTCTTGCTGATATTTACAGCTGGATAGGGTTGCATATTAAAGCAACTCTTCTAGGCCCACTCCCTACGAGGAACTGGGCTCCATAAATCAGAGGTGGAGCACCTGCTTTGCATGTAGATTCCAGGTTTCCTCCATGGAAAATTCAGCTTAAAGATCTTGTGTAACAGGGCTGCGAATGAACTTCCATCTGAGACCTTGAGGAGCCACTGACAGCCAAAGTTGTCAGGGGGTGTGGTCTGGGAAGAGCACCAACAGCCTGGCAGTTGCTAGAGCAGCGGTTCTCAACCTGTGGGTCCCCAGATGTTGTTGGACTACAACTCCTATCATCCCTGAGCTCTGGCCTTGCTAGCTAGGGGTGATGGGAGTTGTAGTCCAACAACATCTGGGGAGGGTCACATTCAACCCACAGAGCAGAGGCTCCCCACCTCTAGTTTAGAGGGTGAAGCTAAGAATGCATGATAGCATGGTCACATCTTATGCAGAAGTTCTGTTCCAAGGGTTCTGGGTTATACATGAAAATCACATGTACCCAAACCCTTGGAGCTGTTGTAGGCTAGTGGGTGGGTGGGGGGTACAGAGAGAATCCACAATACTCCCAGAGCTCTTGTGCCAGACGGACTTTTCCCAGCAAGCAGGGCAGAGAGGTTAAAGCTCTTTTTGCACTGGATAACGCCTCTCAGTGCGCCGGCTCCAGAAAGCTAGGGTTGCTCATACGAGATCACACGGGAACCTGGATCTCTGCATGTGATCTTGCAAAAGCATAACAGAGCTGGAAAGCTGAATGGGCCTTGCCCCCGCAAGCAAATCAGAGAGCATAGCAACTCTTTTCGCACTGGATAACCCCAAACGGACTCAGTCCAAAAAGAACTTGCAAGCTCTCCGGCTTGCTTGGGTTTAAGTTGCACAATTTCAGCAAGTCTGCCTTCAACCACACATGGTTGAAATCACGCAAGTTAAATGCACATAAGATGCAATCATTCTCTCTCTCTCTGTCTCTGTCTCTCTCTGTGTGTGTTTGTAATCAAAAAAGATAAAGTTCACTGCCAAGGGACTCTTTCTGGGAATGGGAGAACAAGCAGTCAACCAGACTGATGTGTCTGACAAGCTATTTCAGGCCTGTCGGCAACCATTTTTCTTGTTGCTTTTAACGAATTCTTACTTTGCTACAGGTAACCAGGAAGGAGTTTTTCCACAAGTTATGTTTCTGGTTCACACATGACCAGCATATTGGGGATGTTCAGACAGACAGGCTAGAAAAAGATTAGTGGGCCAGCAGTCTGTTGACTGGTTTATTCCTAATAAATAAATAACCCAGGGTAGTTGAGTGTCAGTCCTCTTAAGTAACTACAGCGGTACCTCGGTTTAAGAACAGCCCTGTTTACAAACTATTCAGTTTAAGAACTCTGCAAAACTGGAAGCAGTGTCCTGGTCTGTGAACTTTACCTCGGTCTAAGAACGGAAGCTGAACGGTGGAAGGGCACCGGCAGTGGGAGGCCTCATTAGGGAAAGCACGCCTCGGTTTAAGAATGGACTACAGTCATACCTCATGTTACATCTGCTTCATGTTACGTTCTTTCGGGTTATGTCCTGCGGCAACCCGGAAGTACCGGAAACGGTTACTTCCGGGTTTCGTTGCATGCTCAGACGTGCAAAATGATGTCACGCACATGCGCAGAAGCGGCGAATCACAACCCTCACGTGCGCAGACGCGCTGCTGCAGGTTGCGTTCCTTTCATGTTGCGAACGGGCCTCCGGAACAGATCCTGTTCGCAACCAGAGGGACCACTGTACTGGAACGGATTAAGTGCATAAACTGAGGTACCACTGTACTGAGTTAGGAGCGGTAAGGACTTTCTCAATTGCTCTTAATGCCCTTAAAAACAAAAATTCTGGGTTTCATGGGTAGTGATGGTTATGATCCCCTCCCCATTTTTTTTAACTGTTACTATATTTTTTCCATGGAGATCTTTCCAGTTTTAGAAATACACCCATTAATAAAATTAATTACATAATGACTGAATCAATTGCAAGTGAAATTAGGCAACTGGAGCAGCCACAATACCAACCCAATCTAATTTTGTAATGTCCCCCCCCCCCCCGGGTGACTTTCCCTAGGAAGCACATAACGTATGTACCCAGATTTTCAGACATCTCTAAAATTTGTAGGTTAACAACTTTCAGTGTTCCCATTTCTTAATATCTAACGTAGGGGAAGTATGTAGTATTGAGTATTCCAGTAAAAATAATTTTAAAGTAACCTTTGATTTTGAATATAACATTTAAAGTACACTTAAGTGCACTCTACTGATTTTTTCCCCTTATTCTTAAAACATGCTTCAGCTCAACTATTTCCAGATATAGGAAAAAACTTACCATATTTTAAAGTGTAGAAAATGAACATGACTGACTCATTCAAAAGTTTTGATTACTAGTTTTGCTTTCTAAATAGAAATGGCACATGTGAAAATAATATCTCTATTGATTTCCTGCAGTGGAAAATGCTTAAATCAAAATATTCCAGAACGCACCCACCCCCATCACTGGTCATAGTCTCAGGTTTCCTCTGGCTGCCTGTTCTAGAATAGTGCCTCTCTCTGTTCCCACCCCGCCCCCCAAATTAACATAGATATACATCATACTTTTGCACCTGGGCTATATGTAGAATTTTCAACATCTATGTAGAACTGCAGAATTTTCTCTAACTTTATATTCCTCTCTGAAAATGCCATTTCCCAGAGAGGACCCTAAACTGAAAGATGGATAAATCCTTATTAGTCTTAACCACAAAGGATAAAGTAGCCCACCCACCAGGAAGAGGGGAGCATGTGATCTCATGGTCTTCTCATGTTTGCTTGTCCGGAGTTTTGGGCTGGGTTGCCATCAGTATGCCGATGACACCCAACTCTATCTGTTGATGGATGGCCATCCTGACTCGGCCCCAGACACACTGATCAGATGCTTGGAAGCTGTGGCTGGATGGTTACGTGGGAGCCAGTTGAAGTTAAATCCTTTGAAGACAGAGGTCCTCTGGCTGGGACGGGACGATATGGGATTGAGGGGGCAACTCCCATCTCTTGCGGGGGTGCAATTAGTGCCAGCACCATCCGTTAAGAGTTTGGGTGTAATCTTTGACACCACCCTTTCCATGGAGGCGCAGATTGCAGCTAAAACAAAGGCGGCATTTTTTCATCTCCGCCAAGCTAAGCAGTTGGGTCCTTACCTCTCTCGCCCTGACCTAGCCACTGTGATCCACGCGACAGTCACCTCCAGACTGGATTATTGTAACTCGCTCTACGTGGGGCTGCCCTTGAGACTGACCCAGAAACTCCAGCGGGTGTAGAATGCCGCGGCGAGACTCCTTACGGGGTCTTCGCTGCGAGATCACATTCATCCGGTGCTATACCAGCTGCACTGGCTCCCGGTGGAGTACAGGATCAGGTTTAAGGTGCTGGCTTTAACCTTCAAAGCCCTATACGGCCTAGGACCCTCGTACCTACGGGACCGCCTCTCCTGGTATGCCCCACAGAGGAACTTACGGTCTTCAAATAAAAACATCTTGAAGGTCCCAGGCCACAGAGAGGTTAGGCTGGCCTCAACTAGAGCCAGGGCTTTTTCGGCTGCGGCTCCAACCTGGTGGAACGCTCTGTCACAAGAGACAAGGGCCCTGCAGGACTTGACATCTTTCCGCAGGGCCTGCAAGACAGTGCTGTTCCACCAGGCCTTTGGTCAGGGCGCAGCCTGACTCCCTCCTTTGGCAATCTTTACAGAACTTTAGTATGGTTGCCATCAATTTTGATCTTAATTAATTTTTATAATGTTTTTAGAATGTTGCACTATTTTAGTGTTGTTAGCCGCCCTGAGCCCGGCTTCGGCTGGGGAGGGCGGGATATAAATAAAATTTATTATTATTATTATTATTATTATTATTATTAGGAGGAGGTTTAGGGGTGTCTAGAAAGGAAATGGTTCAGATAATGAGGAGCAGCAAACTTTTTCAGGCACATCTGTGAATCTAGGCTTTCTCTTGACTGATTCTCTAGGCTGAGTCATGCTTTTGCGCACTCTGACACATTCCATGTGTTTCTCCTTGTAATTTAAATGCTATTTATCATTGCTATAATGGAGAAACTTTGTTATACTGTATGCACAGTGAAGATGCCTGTTTTATTGTTATTGTTGTTATTGTATTCCACAGTGCAGTTTCTCTCTTTTTTTTATTAAAGATTTTCTTGATTTACAAAAGTGTTTGCAATGTCTCTCTCTCGTATTTCCCCCCCCCCCCATGTAACATTTTTACAAATCAGTTTCATTTGTTGAGACATTAGGAAGAAAAGGGGGAAAGAGGTGGGGGGGAGATGGGGGGGTCGGGTGGCGATGTTTCTATTTTACTTACTATATGTAGGGTTTGGTGTCAGCGTTGCTTGTGCACGTTCTTAGCTGTTCACTTGTGTTCCTTTAGCGGTGAGAGAGGTTGGGGTTGGCCTAGGGTGTGGCTGTTCATTTGTGGTTGGCTGTGGTGGTCTTTGTTTTCATGTGTGAGTGGGGTGGGTGGGTGTTTTGGATCAGGTTAGCATTATTGAATCTGTATGCTGTTGGTGGATTTTTGTCGTTGTCTTGTTGGGCTGTGTATGTGATAAAGGGGAGCCATAAAGTGTTTTCTTCCATTTGTCCCCATGTCAGTTTTAGTTTATTGGTTAATTTTTCTAGTAAGGCTGTTTCCCATATTATTTGGTACCATTGGTCCATGCTTACTCCTGACAGGTCTCTCCAGTGTTTGGCTATGATGCTTCTGGCTGCTGAAAGTAGGTGGGTTATGAGTTCTTTGTGGTGTAAGTGGGCAGGGCAGTTTCTCTTGAATTGAAAAAGTTAAAGCATGCTTTGCTCTTGCACCTCCCAAGTGTCTGTGTTTTGAAGTGTGAAAGCTAAGGTCCGGCCCTCCAGTGAACCGCTTTTCTTTCTGTGTGAGTGAGTGTTTTGTGTTATGATTCATTGTTTTGCGTGTGCCTCCCAATGGGAAAAGCTAAGCCCAGAGAGTTGACTCGTGTAATAGTCCGCTTCCTCTGGAGACAGGTGATTCTGCTGAGTCTGCATCCAAAAACAATGACACCCAAGACTGATTCCTGGCAGAATTAGTCACTTGTCAGGGTCAGGCAAGGCCAACACAGCAAATCATTCTGAGGGACATGGGACAGCCTTTGTGTGGATTGGTACGCGGGTGGCGCTGTGGGTTAAACCACAGAGCCTAGGACTTGCTGATCAGAAGGTCGGCGGTTCGAATCCCCGCGACGGGGTGAGCTCCCATTGCTTGGTCCCTGCTCCTGCCCACCTAGCAGTTCGAAAGCGCGTCAAAGTGCAAGTAGATAAATAGGTACCTGTCAGGGGTTCTGGGACAGAGGCACAGGGTAGGCAGGAGATGGAGAGCGATGGGGATGAATCCCAGGACAGCGAGGAAGAGGATGACAATGACTCAAGAGATTCCATGAGTCTTTCCAGCGAATCAGAGGATTCCCAGAAGGGGCGCCGGTGGTCAAGCCCAGGGGAGCCCCAGGGGGGAAGTGTCAGGAGCAGGGGGCCAGCTGGGCATCCCAAAGTGGCAGCTGGGTGTCAGGACCAGCCTCCCCGCCAGAGTGCAGCGAAGGGGGTGGAGGTTTCAGTGTGTCAGGGGAAGCGGCTCCGGCAGTAGAGAAAGGAGGGAGGTCGGAGCAAGCCATCCTCCCGGAGGGGAGGGGAGCAGTGAAGGGAGTAGTGTAGCTGTTGAAAGGAAGGTTAGAGGCTGGGCGCGCGCGCCAAGTTCAAATGTAGAGGCGCGCGGAAGTACAGGGAGCCCGGAGGAGGGGCCAGGTCCCAAAGCCCGCAGGAGGGGTCAAGAGCAGTCTGATTCCGCGTCAGAGGAATCTAGGAGGGGCGAAACCCCAGCGGGCAGAAGGACCCTGCGGAAAAGGAAAGAGAGAAAGAGGTGGAGCAGCGCAAGCCTCTTAAATTGGTGTAGGGGAGGGACGGATTCAGAGGGGACTTCAGCGGTCTAAGCGTAGCAGACGTAGGGCTGCGCGCCTAGGATGTCAAGCAAACAATGAACTGCAATAAACACTTTTGTATATAAGAAGACATAGGCGTTGGTCTTTTGTGAGCTGAGACTTGAGGCAGCCCTGACAGTACCACTCCAGCGGGAAGGTAAATGGCGTTTCTGTGCGCTGCTCTGGTTTTGCCAGAAGCGGCTTAGTCATGCTGACCACATGACCCGGAAAAGCTGTCTGTGGACAAACGTCAGCTCCCTCTGCCTATAGAGCGAGATGAGTGCCGCATCCCCCAGAGTCGTTGGCGACTGGACTTAACTGTAGGGGTCCTTTACCTTTTTTTACCCAGTTATTGGTATATTGTGACAACTCAGAATTGTAAATACAAGCAATCGTGACCAAAGAAAATAGATTTGAAAAATGTAAGAGTAGTATAACTTTAAATACAAAATGAATGTGTTTTGCTCTAGGCTCTAGCATTGTCAGTTGTACATAAGTGAGCAACATGTTTGGAGGAGCCCAATCTCTCCTCCTGTTCTGGGAGCTCTTGTAACAATCCAGAGTGGATTGGGGTGCTGGCAAGAGCAGGAAGCCCCATTGCAGCCGCAGGAGTTCTTATGTTGGCTTCTGCTAGGGCACCAGGGTTGGTTGCACAATGGCAGTTCAGTGTGAGTGAGTGGAAAGTGATGGAATTTGGAACAAGGGATCTTAACTCCTCATATACAAGGATGGGTCAGAACCCGCAGTGCCTAAACAGTAAAGACATAGAATCCTAGAACTGTAGAGTTGGAAGGGACCCCAAGGATCATCTAGTCCTACCCCTGCAATGCAGGAATCGCAACACATGGTCCCCCATCCAGTTTGAAACCATACTTAGCCCTGTTTAGTTTTGCAAGTGTGCTAGCAGTTTATCATAAGATAATGCTGGGTATGTCAATGAGATGTCAGACAGTTTGGAATAGCTCAAAAGAATTCCATTGTATGGATCATTAGGAAAATTGCCAGTACCATAATGCAATTATATAAAACTACGGTACAGCCATTTCGGCTGCTCCTTGCCTTGTTGGCCTTTTTCGACCTGGCCTGGGAGGGCGGGGCCCTGACTGACTCCAGCTGCAAAAGCTGAGGCTGCTGAACACACCCTTTGGGTATTGTTTAGCGGGGGTTGTTGGGGGCGGGGTTGTTGCTGTTATTTAAATCTTTATTCTGTATCTTTATTTTAGATGTTATTTATGTGGAAATTATTTCAATTTAGTTGTGTACATTTTGATTTTTTATTATTGTTTATGACCACTATTATGTTTGTAATTATTTTTTTCATGTTGTAAACTACATTGAGCATGATTTTAACTACGCAAAGGCAGCATACGAATAAAATATGTATGTATTGTGTGGTACTGTATGCAGTTCTGGTTCCTGTGCTTCAAAAATAATATTGTAGAGCTGGAAACTGTGCAGAAGGGGGCAGCTAAAATTCTTGAGGAGGTGGAGAGCCTTTCCTGCAAGAAAGGGGCGATACAGCTGAGAAAAATGCTACTAAGTGGGAATGTCATGATGGAGGTGGTACAAAATTATGGACAGTGAGGAGAAAGCCTTTATTTTACTAGCACCCAGTGGGGCTATCCAATGGAGCTGAATGGCAGGAGATTCATGACAGAGAAAAGGCTGCTAGCTGTGATAGGCTGAAGGTCACGGGCAGCTTGTCTCTTGAGTGCCAGTTTTTGGAGGCTGTTGCTCTCATTCTTTGGTTGTGGGGTTTCTAAAGGGATCTCGGTGGTTCGCTGTGTAGAAAAGGATGTTGGTCTTGATCGCTCTCTGGTTGCTGTTACGTGTTTGAATGGGCTTTGCAACTTTTCTGCATAGTCCCAATATCACCTGTAGTGGGATGCCTTGTTTTGTTTCTGAAACTTAATATCCAGTGTTACTCAAGGTAAAGAACAATTTTATATATATATATTCTTGTCTAAAACATGCGTCGACCATCTTTCCATTAGATCAAGTGTTCACATGAAAAATGCATAACACAGTAGCCTTGGGATGCTTGTGTAGAAGGCGATTAACAAATTGAGAACAAATCATTAAATGACAGTGCTCATGGCCAAGTACTCCCTCAACAGGAAGCCCCCAGCAGATGTTCTTAAAGAGGCAGTGAAGTAGTTCCAGCAGCCTTCCCCAAATGGGTGCCCTCCAAATATTTATGATTACATCTCCCATCTGTCCTAGCCAGCATGACTTTCTGGAGGGCAGCAGATTAACAAAGCCTGGGTTAGAGTATTGGGCTAGTCTCTAGAACTGGGGAGATGTGGGTTCAAATCCCTTCTCAGCCCTGAGAATGCCAGTCACTCTCTCAGCCCAGCCTGCCTCTGTAGGGTGGTTGTGACTTGTGGACAGTAAAACAGGAGAACCTGTATCTTTGGAAAGGTAGGATAAACTATAATAAATAATATAAAAATAAGTAGAATATTATTATAAATTCATGTCTTTGCTAGGTTCACAATTTACAGAACTTGAGATGTACGCTTAAGGAAAGATATTGGTGGAAAAACATTTAAGAAAGCAGAGAGTGTGCTGCACTAATTGATATTATGGAGATAATCAAAACTACACTTCTAATTGAAGCTGGTTGCACAATGGTCTAATGCTGCACCCAGCAGGTTTTCAGGTGTGCTGCAAAAGTGGGGGTGGACTGAAGGTGACTGCCTCCCCTTAGCCAGCCTCTGATCTAGCACTTAGTTTTCGCTTGAGCAGAACAGGCCAGCTTTGAGAGCTGCTCTTTGAGCGTGCAGAGGGAAAAAATCTATTGATGATTCAAGACTCTACTTCAGACCTCTCAGGCAGCTGGGAAAGGCCTCTCCGTTCTGAAGACTAGTTGGGGTTGAATTTTAGTGCCTTGCTATGCAGTAGTCAACAATCCCAGTGATGAGTGGCCCTATTAATTCTGTGTTGCAGACTGCTGAGGGATGTCCTTTGATTGCATAAGGCACCTCTGGCTTGGGGGCTGATGATGGCCCTCCAGGCTCTTCCAGCTGGCCCTCCGTGGGGGGCTCTCCCCAAGCCACACCCCTCACTGACCCAGGACTGCATCCTTTGCTGTGCTTGGAATGCCTTTGAACTGTGATAAAAAGCTTCTTGCTTGTCTTGGTGTGTTTATGTAAACACACATGCATATGACTCTTGCATGGCTGGAATAACCTATAGCCACATAATCCATTGCATTGCTCACTTTTCCTCTGCCATAATAATAATAATAATAATAATAATAATAATATTAATATATTATTTATACCCCGCCCACTCTGGGCGGCTTCCAGCAAAATACAGTGGTACCTCGGGTTACATACGCTTCAGGTTACAGACTCTGCTAACCCAGAAATAGTACCTCGGCTTAAGAACTTTGCTTCAGGATGAGAACAGAAATCGTGCTCCGGCGGCATGGCGGCAGCGGGAGGCCCCATTAGCTAAAGTGGTGTTTCAGGTTAAGAAAGGACCTCCGGAACGAATTAAGTACTTAACCCGAGGTACCGCTGTATTAAAATACAGTAGTCCATCAAACATTAAAAGCTTCCTTAAACCGGGCTGCCTTCAGATGTCTTCTAAAAGTCTGGTAGTTGTTTTTCTCTTTGACATCTGGTGGGAGGGCGTTCCACAGGGTGGGCACCACTACCGAGAAGGCCCTCTGCCTGGTTCCCTGTAACTTGGCTTCTTGCAGGGAGGGTGTTGTGACGTGGGGTTTGTGATTTCAGCTCTCCTGATATAACATGCTGGAGACAGTTCTCTAGTAACACTTCTTTATTAAAGCAACAAGACTGACTACTGGGGAGAGGAAAGCTACATTTATAGGGACAGGGAACTAGCAAGAAAGGATACATTTTGGAGGGAACAATATCAGGCAATCACAGTCCTGCCTTTTGGAGGGAACCAATAAGACAGAGGATCCAAATACAGCAGCTTAAATGAACCAATAGTAGCTGTACCCTCTGGAACCAAAGGGCAGTTACTTTACCCTAATGCAAATACAGACAATAATAATACAGATATAAAATCCTTTGACTCAATACACAACAGAGGGAACTGCCAGAAGGCCCTCGGTGCTGGACCTCAGTGTCCGAGCAGAACAATAGAACAATGGGATGGAGACGCTCCTTCAGGTATACTGGGCCGAGGATGTTTAGGGATTTAAAGGTCAGCACCAACACTTGGAATTGTGCTCAGAAACGTACTGGGAACCAATGTAGATCTTTTAAGACTGGTGTTATGTGGTCTTGGCAGCCGCTCCCAGTCACCAGTCTAGCTGCCACATTCTGTTCCTTATGCAGCTCTTAGTTTAAAAAAGCTTCCCTAACTCAGACCTCAAGGGTAGAATCTGGTTCTCAGGGGTTCTTCCAAGTTTTGCTACTGGAGACTGTTTTAACTGATGGCACTACTGGTTAATCTTGTGTCCCCTGCATGTCAGGTGTGTGTGCATGCAGGGGACCCAACTAGGACTCCTTTCCATTCTGTAGGCCTGCTTTGCCTCTGGCACTAACTTGGCCTCTTTGGACAGCCAACAGAAATGAGTGGCTTCCAGCTGCACTGGAATATCAGGGTGGTCAGCTGTGGCTTATTCACTTCAATTTGTTGTTGGTGCAGGTAATTCCAGGATCACCTGTTAATTCTTCCTCAGGTACTTTACTGGATATGAGAGAGAGAGTCTGGGGCATCATGTGCTTGGTGAGAATGGCAAACTGCTTTCAGCGTTCCCTGGGTGAGGTGACTTGTTTTCTCCAAAAGAAGTGGCAATGTGGGTCAAGGCCCATATTTCCTTGATTCTTATGTTGTGCCAGCGTTTATTTTTTATCTTTGACTCTTCCTTGAAACGAATGAGCTTGAAGGGATTGTCATCTCGGCATTGCTGAGCATGTAAACAAGCCCTCTGCATTCTGCTTGAGTAGCAGTCTGAACGGATTGGGGCTTATTCATGGGCTTTATATTTGCTGCTTCCAAACTATTGTGACAGCAGAGGCCTCTCTCTGTGTTGCACTGGATTTTGAAAGCTGAAAAGGTTATTGCTGGCTTAAGGGGGTATTTACATAGATCTGTGTTAGCATTTTAATACAGGCCTTGGAGTTTTGTGCCTTCATTCAGTTTTGCCTTTTCATCGTGGCCATGACAGATGCAGGCATTGTTGTAGTGCTTGTTTACCTGCCACTCACCCCAATCAAAGGGAACTGAGTAGTTCAAATATCTCCTCTGATAAGAATTTGCCAGGTGGATGAAGATATACCTCTTTGCTTGCTCTACTAGATTGGTTTACCTTTCTGGTGGTGTGTAGATGAGCTGATAGTAAAGATCACTGAGGAAATGTATGTACAATGCTTGAAACACTAAAAAAAGAAAAGGAAGGAAGAACTATATTTTTGCCCAGTTCACACATCACAGTAAACCATGGTCTTTGGCAAGCTACAGTTTACTGTGAAGGAACAGTATGATGGTGCATGCTGCTGAACTATGCCCGCTTTGGTCCTCCCTTTCCCAACCTGAGTGGTTTAGAGTTGCATGTAAATCAGTACTTGTGGTTACCAAGGTTTGTTCTTTGCTTGTGGTTCGTTTGGGAGGATTGCACATAATGGAAAGCCAGCTGCTCTGGGGTTTATTTCTGAGCTTGGGACTTGGGAGAAGCAAAGAGGGTGTGACTTCATGCTGCCTGTTCCCTGTAAGCCATAGTTTATTTCAGACCAAGGCTTACTGTGATGTGTGAATGAGACCAAATTACTACTGTTTAGTTACCGCCTCCCTGACAACAGTGAGCATGTGGAATGCAGTTTGTCATTCTGATGATGCAATTCCTTTTTGAGATTTCCATCTTCTCTGCTTTGCCTTGTAGCAAAGGTTGCCTGCCCTACATTGGCTTCTGCAGTTTCTTGCTGGCTTGGCATCCGTGCTCCGGACCACTCTGCAGCCCTGTGCTCTCTGCTGCTTATGCAATTGCCTCGCTTCTCCTCCTATGGGCTTCTGATGCTGTTAAGCTGCCATTTAGAACGGCAGCAGCTGAAAAGGGCTTCTAACAAGCTGGCCGTGTGTTTGGGTCGTAGAGAGTTTTATTTACTACGCATTAGAATTTTCTTCTCACACCGAGACTTAAAGAGCTGAAGTTGTCACAGGGTGGACAATGCTTGGAATTGCCTTTTTCACCGTGAAATAATTGAGGAGGCAGCACAGAGAGCAGTAAAATGGTTCTGTGACATTCTCTAGTCGTGTAACCTTCTGAAACAAGGGGCGGTTCAGATGCCTCTTGCTCAAAACTGTAAGATAAGGGCCGCAAGCACATGTTTGCTGTGTCTGATTTCTGCTGTGATCTTGCTATGCAGCAATACAGGGGGGTTCTGAAGAACTTCTGCTTTTCAGAGACCCCAGTTAGCAATTAGATTTTAACAGGGGTCATGTTTTTAACAAGGACTGAAAGATCAGTACCACTGACTGCTTGCTGACCTATATGCATTTAAATACACCCTCCCCTCTGGTATAAACAGTGGTGGGGCCCTCCCCTTATACTGCTTGGATTTCTCCCCAAAACGACTGCCAGCTTCAGACAGATTTTTCACTGGACCCCATCAGAGGTAGAAATATTTAAATTCCTTCTCCACAGATTCCCTCTGGTTTTTATTAATATTACACAATAGTAAACACACACACACACACACACACAAGAGAGAGAGAGAGAGAGAGAGAGTTAAATAGAACTTTGCACCTAACATGAAGTTGCATTAAACATCACTGTAGTTTGGCCCTGACTTCTAATTCTCCAGAAATGTGTTAACTTTATACATGTTGTTTCTAGTGGTGGTGTTAATTATCCTACTTTTCCTCTAAGGAGCTCAAGGTAGCATACATAGTTCTCTTCCTCCCCATTTTATCCCCACAACAATCCTGTGATGTAGGTTGGGCTGAGAGTAAGTGACTGGCTCAAGATCACCCAGTGAGCTTCATGTCTAAGTGGGGATTTGAACCCTGATCTCCCAGCCCCAGTACTAAGAACTGCACCATTTTGACTCTCTTAAATTATTCTGTCTTCTGTTGTCACCCAGAGATTTAGTTGTTCTTAAAGCTTTATCCCACAAATTTATTGGTGAATCAAATACAGGTTATAGGTCTGTATGACTACGTACTTTTAAAAAAACCAAAGCACCTCCAAGTCTCCGAAACCAGTGCTCTTCACAATACCACAAGCTATTTTACCTCCTGATAATAAAACCAAAGTGAGTTTTTAGCAGCTGCTATCTCTTGAAGCAGTAAGGATGTGTTAAAGCACTGGGGGGGGGGGGAGAAAAAGTCTCTGGTATGTGATGTTGTGATCTCGATACTGGAGTGAGAAGCTTGGACATGAAGACGGGATGTCATGCTGTACTCTTTGTACCTGAAGGGACATTGCGTCTCTCTAACACAGGGATGGATTCTCTGTAATTGGTTTTGAAGTGGTCTGCCTGTCGCCCCCCCCCCCAGCTGCTTGCCACAGTCATCGTGATGACCCTTCTCTACTCCTGGTGAGTGTGAAGTTGAGCATGAAGGGGAGAAAGCTGCTGCTCCAGGTTGGAGCTGGGAAAGTGGTTGGGGTCTCTTCCCCCTCAGTCACCTTCAACAAAGTCCCCCATGGTATTCTTGTGGAGAAGCTGGTAAAATGTGGACTGGATGAGGTATCTGTTAGGTGAATTTGTAGGTGGTTGACTGACAGAACCCAAAGAGTGCTTACTAACAGCTCCTTGTTATCCTGGAAAAAAGTGACAAGTGGGGTGCCACAGGGCCTGTTGTTGTTCAACATCTTTATAGACTACTTGGACAAAAGGAATTGAGGGGATGTTGTATTCTGCCTTGGTCAGAGCACACTTTCAGTATAGTGGTACCTCGGGTTAAGAACTTAATTTGTTCCGGAGGTCCATTCTTAACCTGAAACTGTTCTTAACCTGAAGCACCACTTTAGCTAATGGGGCCTCCTGCTGCTGCTGCTGCGCCGCCGCCGCACGATTTCTGTTCTCATCCTGAAGCAAAGTTCTTAACCCGAGCTACTATTTCCTGGGTAAGTGGAGTCTGTAACCTGAAGCGTCTGTAACCCGAGGTACCACTGTACTGTGTCCAGTTCTGGGCGCTACAGTTTAAGAAGGATATTGACAAGCTGCAATGTGTGCAGAGGAGGGCTACCAAGGTGATCAAGGATCTGGAAACTAAGCCTCATGAGCCACAGTTGAGGGAACTGGGTTTGTTTAGCCTTCATAAAGGACTGTCACATGGAAGATGGAACAGACTTGTTTTCTCTCCTGCTCCAGAGGCTAGGACTTGAACCAATGGCTTCTAGTTACAGGAAAGAAGATTCTGACTAAACATCAGGAAGAACTTTCTGAAAGTAAGAGCTGTTCAACAGTGGAAAATATTCCCACAAGAGGTGGTGAACTCTCCTTTGGAGTTTTTAAGGCAGAGGTTGGATGGTCATCTGTTATGTATGATCTAGTTGAGATTTCTGCATTGTGGGAAGGTTGAGCTAGATAACCCTTGGGGTCCCAATGCTACAGTTATATGATTCTATTATTGTGGTCAGATGTGTCACAAGAAGGCCTCTCCTCCTCCCAGAGGGGAGGGGTTGTGAGCGAGAGCAGCTTCCCGCGGGGGCAGTGAGGCGTGTACGGCTCCCTGCTCCTGATTGCTTCTGCTGCCACGCCCAAGCCTCCCAGCCGACCAATAGGGCCGGCTGGTGGGCGGGGCTAGCCACATTTAAACAGCCGCGGCAGCGCTCAGCTCCCAGCCTGTTCCTGCTTTCTTCGGATCTCCCTGCCTCCCTCCCTCCCTCTTAGGTCAGCTTCTTTTGTGTATTGACCTTGCTATGGATTTCGTTTGGTTGCCTTGGTTGCCCAAGGGGCCTGGTAGGACTTTTTTCTCCATTTGGCAAATTGGCACCAGCCTCTTGGTTTTTTCGCCTGCCTCGTAGCAATTCATCACAACTTTCTGGTATTGGCAGTTAGGCATTGGAATATGTATGCTGTGTTGGAGGATTGGGTATGTGCCATCATCTACCCCTCCTCTTCTGGGTATTCCGCTAAAGGAATCCGGCGGTCGTGGATCCTGTCCGATGCCTGGCTAGGGCCATGGCACGACGTCATGGGGGAGCTTCCAGTTGTATTTGCATCAACAAGCTCCTCCCACTGGTTGTTAACCCTGATATGACTCCTGTGGAGTCTTGTATTGCTGTTTCATCCAATGCCTAAGCCAATACAACTCACATGCTGTAACCAATAACAGTTGTGGCCTAATTTTGCCCATTAACCAAAAATAATGTGTCTCTATGTCTTATTATACTCCTATGCGGGTGGCGGGTCCTCGACTCACAACTGATGGTTGTTGTCCGAGTTTGGTTAAAGGCTGGACACAGACGGACAAATGGCAAGTTGCTTGGAGTAAATGCTACTTGGAGTGTGCCATGCCCAGTGACTCCTTCTCACTCTGCCTTGGTTGCCTAGTTCCGTTTCCAGATGATATACAGGAAGACTTGTGTGAATCTTTATGGTTTAGAAACGTATGCTGGGATGGTGCAATAGAATTTTCCATGCCAGATCAGTTGACCCTAATGGGGAGGGCACAAGTGCCACATTGTGTTGGCTGTGAAGTATTGATGAGGCAGGGGCAATGCAGAGAGAAACAATAAAGGGGAGGAGCTTTTCTCTCCCATATCAACAGCTGGGCCTCCTTAGAGTTCTTCCTCCACCAATGTTTTGTGCTACAACTCCCATTAGACCCTGACAGTATGTCTGTATGAGAGAGTAGTTCCAGGGGAACTGTAAAACAAGAAAATCCTTAATAAAATATTAGAAAGAAAAAAAAAATTCCAGGGGAAGACTGATCTAGTTTAAGTCTCTTGCCTTGGTACCTAAGAAGTAGTCATAGTTTCGTCTGCTAAGGAAGATTAATTTGGAGGTGCTATTTATTTCCTCCTTTCAGTTGACTTGTTTGGCTGCCTGGATGCTTCTGAACAGTTTATGCTTGAAAGCTGTTATTTTCATGTGGAAAAAGCTGTTTGTTCAGCATACATCCAGCCAAGGAAGGACTGTTATTGTGTGGGTGTCTTTAAAATCGACCCAAAGGAAAATGGAAGCTGGGTATCATGTTTTGAAGTCCTGACAACTGATGTATATTTTAGAAAGCAATGTTTTGTATGGGCTTTTTCTGCTTCTGGAAAATGTATTAATAAAATGAAGTATTAATAAAATAAAATGAGCATGTTGACAATAGATCTGTGGAGTCATTTTCCAGCTACAGAAACACCAGTGTCTTGGTGGAAATATTAGGGAGAGGCATAAAGATAGACTTGGAATGGAAGAAAGTTTAATTGGCTTCCCACACAGTGTTTATCTGCAACCCCATGAAAATGGGTGAGTGCATTGTCCCTGGAGCCAGGCTGACAGGCCTGGGGAACCTACTTGCCTCTTACATGGGGCTCCCAGAATGTTGCCCATCAGGAAATGTGGCCCTCTGGCTCAAAAAGTTTCCCCATGCCCTGATTTAAACTGATGTATTCTGAAGGTGGCCCCAAAGAAGGTGACAGTATGAATCATAACAAATTCTTAAGCATATGAGCCAATAAAATTACAGTTAAACCAATTACATTGCAAGTTCTGGCAGCAGACAGAGGGGCAGATCCCTCTGTCCAACCAACCTTCGGGAATAAAGATCCAAATACACCTCCCAAAAATAGATGCATTCTTAAATGGTAGCAACCCTCAAAAATCCTCACTACCACTAAGAGAGCACCAAACTGATCACGCAGCTTGAGGCATGGCCACGGTGAAGGTGCTCTTCTATGTTCTCACCAAAGGTGTCTCTGGCACTGTTGAAACATGTAGTAGAGCCTCCCTGGCTGATCTCGAAGGACGAGCAGGCTCAAGGAGGAGATGGTGGGCCAGCATGTATCCTGGCTCTATCTAAGGCCTTTAGCATCGTTGGGGGGCGGCTACAGCTATCCCACCTACTACCTCTGGAAGCCTTCCTGGTGATGCCAAAGGGGGCACTGATCATTGGGGATGCTGAACACTGTAAATTTAATCAGGCTAACTTGATTCTTGGCTAATTTGTCATGGATTTGATATCAGTAGCTGGAGCATCTGGGATGAAACTCTTCAAACCTCCTTGTTCTTTTTGCTACTGCCAGGAGGTGAAATGTTGCTACGCTGATTGTACTCAAATGATGTTCTTTTGTGTGCTGTTACCTTTGCTATTAAGTTGCTGTTTTGTTGTTGCCATTATTTTTATTTATTTAATTTCTATACCGCCCTTCCTCTGAGGATCACAGGGCAGTTTACAATATAAAAGCACAAAAATGCACAACATAGTAACAAACAACCCTTCCCCCACCACAGTATTAAGAAATTGTTTTTGCAGCTGCTGATTTTGTGATGCAGTGCTATTCGCTTTGTTGTAAGCAGCTTAGAGCGCGGGTGCGGGTGCTTTTCTGTGTGTGGAAAGGCAGCATACAAAAATAAAGTGATGAGTAATGATGACAAAGGCAGCAAGCGGGGCCTGCAACAGATCGTATGGAGTGCAGCTTCCTGCTTTGTGCCACTGGGTCAGGAGCTGCCTAAGACAGGGGTTGGGGGAAGATAGATTATTTCTTGTTTTAACTTGTTTACCACTTGATTGTAATAAACCTTGTTGTTGTTTCTTAAGGCTTTGACTCATTGTATTTTTACAGATTGCCACATCCCTTCCTGGCAACTTTTGCCAAATTTGCCTTCCTCTCCTCCATGCCATGGCAGTTGCTCCCTCCTTCCCTTCCCTGAACTGTGTATATTGTTGAGCCTGTAGATAGGCCTGACCTGAAGGTGGGGATTGGGGTATGTTAGGCTATAGTTCCATTCCACCTTTAGAACAGATGTTGTGATGGCCTGGGAATCTGATTCAGAGGCTGAACCGGAGGAATCCCAGCCTGCACAGGAATCCCCGCCTCCAGGGCCGGCTGAACTGGGGCAGGGCCTTGATACTGAAGCGCCTGCACCTGTGCCGGATCTTGCCCCGTTTCTCGCTGTGGACCCCGCTTCGCCCGTGGAGGACTGTCTGCCGACCCTCGACAGTGAGGAGCCGGGCAAGGACAGGAACTCTGGGGGAACCGGACTGGGTGCTGGCCGAAACAGCTCTTCAACAACGTTGCTCCCGCAACCTGGGACCGGGCTGACTGGCCTTTATCTTCTCTGAGGCCAGGGCGGTCCGGCCCCAGGAACCCGCCTCTCCTGGCCTTAGGTGAGCACTCCTCCTGGGAGAAACCAGTTCCCTCCGCCTCTCTGCCCTGAGCCTCTGCAGTTCAGGAGAGGCTGAAGGGTTACTGGACCCAGGGGGAGACTCACCTGTAGGCACTGAGTCCTCAACCACCTCTGGAGCCAGAGTGGATTCACCTGGTGCCTGCTCCTGAGGATCCGGCACAGGTGCAGGCGCTTCAGAATCAAGGCCCTGCCCCAGTTCAGCCGGCCCTGGAGGCGGGGACTCCTTTGTAGGCTGGTATTCCTCTGGTTCAGCCTCTGAATCGGATTTCCAGGCCATCACAGATGTGTGGATTGTTGAACGTCATATGTCTGTTTACTTCCAGCACAGTCTGCTGGGAACTTCCGTTGTATATTGCTTTTGCTATACTGCTGTTTGCTTGGACACGAAGGGAAGCAGACATGTTTTTCCCTTGTTCCTGATGCTGAATAAACGCCTGTAAATATGCTTACATATGCTTCTGTCCGCCACTTCTGTTGTGAAAAGTTATTCACTCTGCTGATTAGAGCGTGCTCAGTCTCTGAAGGCTTCTGAGGCTCGAGTCGCTGATAGATGCTGTTCCGAGAACCGGAGTTCGCCCGGCTGCCGGCCGGTGGCTGGAGCCAGCTGGGGGCCTGCCAAATGCCCCCGTCTCCCCGGACGCATCCCAACAGGGTAATGGTGGCTGATGTCAGAGGGGCGTTGCATTTCCTAGCGGGAAGCAGAGTTTGGGCGTCCTCCTCTCTCATGAATGGTTGCAGGTTTCCCAAATGCCTCTCCCCTTCTTCCTTTCAGCTTTCCAATGGTTCCTGGGAGGTTGGGCTTGATGCAAAAATCTTCATTGAAATGTAGGCTGGGATTATGCCGTGAGCTAGATTTCGTTAGCATATCGTGCCTCTTTCCCCTCAAAATCTGTATGTCTTGACCACTCAATTTCTGCGTTTGATCTGAACAATGTCTAGCTAACGCTCCGAGGTGGCCTTGACACTGAATGTAGATGACATTAGCATCTGGGTGTTTTTCTTTGTAGTTGAGTGTAGTAAGCCCTGCTGCATACTTGGCAGGATTGAGAGTGGACAAGGATTATGAACAGTGAGAGTATGTAGGCTGCTGGGGCCTCTTCTGAAGTGTTGTGTTCACCTCTGGTACAGCCACATCTGAAACAGCTGTGGTGCATCAATCGTGGTGAGTCTCTGGCTGGCTGTGGTGATTTGAACTGGTGGTTTCTATTAGTCTGCACATGACAACAGCTCTTCAGTAAGAAGTTCTTATTTCAGTTGGAGGAGATGTGTAGGGGGTGCTGTAAGGCAAGTGTGGGCGTTCCTGCCTGTTGGCACTTTGAGAAGGTAGCTTCCATCCAGGATAGGCTGCAGGTCCCTTAAGAGTACATAGGAAGCAACCTCATTACAGAGCCAAACCATTTATCTGTCTAGCTCAATAACATCTAGCAGTGCCTCCCCAGGTTTTAGCGCTACCTGGAAATATCAGGGATTGAACCTGGGATTTTATGTGTGCAAGGTAGATGCTCTGCCACTGAACTATGGTCCTTCCCTTAGCAGTAGAACCTCCATGTTGTGAGCTATAGATGATAGTGGAAATGATGCCATTGTGTTGCCCTGGGGAGGTTGATATGCATGGAAATCCACCATAGCATTGGAGAACTGTAGAGTTGGAAGGGGCCTCAAGCATCATCTAGCCCAACTGCCTGCAATGCAGGAATTACAGTTAAAGAATCCCTAACAGACGACCACCCAACCAGTGTTTATACTGCAAACCTCCAAGGAAGGAGAGTCCACCACCTTCCAAGGGAGCCAATTTCACTGTCAAACAGCTCTTAACACCAGAAAGTTCTTCCTAATGTTTTTTGTCGGAATCTCCTTGTAATTTGAATCCATTGGTTCAGGGCCTATAATCTGGAGCACCATGGATTGAGCTATCTGCTAACATGGATAAAAGACTGGTATTGGCAGAATTGAGGATGTCCAATTTTGGGTTTCTTTGTTGCTGGTCAAAGCAATGGAAAAAGCAATGGGAAGATGCTCAATAAAATCTCCAGGGCGGCTCATCAGGGGGAAAGAAAACTCTGGCAGAGATTGTGAGTTACCAGCTTAATGGCATATGCACCTCGTTTGGTGCCCTTCAGATGTAGTTAGACTATGTCCCACAACCTCTCACCATTGGTCTCCCCTTTCCTGGGGCTGATGGGAGGTGCAGTTCAAACATTTGGAGGGCACCAGGTTGGGGAAGGCTGGTATAAACAAGACTACTGTACTGGGTTCCTGGTTCTTGCTGAGAGATGATGCTTCCATCACATCTTGTGCAGCAGGTTGTTATAAACATGGTGCACTGTAGGAATGTTGATTGATTGTGGTTTGGGTATAAAAGTTGTGGCTTGTGGAGTGAAATTAATCAGTGTCCTTTCACTGTGATGTTGTATGAGTTTTGTTCCGCGGTAATATCAACCAGAGAAGTGCTAGGGGTTATTCTGCTGTGGAAGACCAAGCTTTTCCTCTATGTGTAGAAATCAGTTGCTGTCTGCTCCTTTCATCAGCAATGAAGCTGAGAAAGGAGGAATGCTTGTTCAAGACCACCCAGTGAGTCTCTGGCAGAACCTTCCAAGTCCATGATGCCTGAGGTCCTGTCCACCTGTCCTTTACCGTACACCATCCTCCCCTAACCTGGTGCCCTACAGATGTTTTGATTAAAAACTTTGCCCTTCAGACTTTCTCTCTTTCTCTTTCCTGGCATGGCTTTGTGATTCAGTTGCAGGGGCTCTGCAGAATTGCCCACCTTCAGAGAATGCTACCCATTGCATTGCTGCATGAGTCATTGTTTTAGATGGCCAGGACTTCCAGGAGGCACACCCAGAACAGTGACTCATGCAGAAATAATATAGGGCAAACTACACTGAGCAGAGGTGGATTCTTGTGCTCACATTCTCTAAAAACAATTCCTCTCCAGTGCGAGAGTTCCTCCAGTTTTAATTCAAGGATGAAAATTATCTTGGTTGCCTAGATAGCCATATCTCCTTCCAGAGCGCTTGGATTGATTTTCTGCATGGCTCTCCAAGGTCAGGGCTGCTTAATTTCAACAGCAAAATTGCTTGCCCTCAGATTTCAGACAATCCTCTAAAATTGCTAGCTGAACTTTTGCACATCTTGTGTCCGCAGGTGGGTTTGCTATTGTTTTTCTGGTGAGAACCAGCAATGGAATGAAATGTGCCCTCAAACGAATGTATGTCAACAATGAACACGACCTACAAGTCTGCAAACGGGAAATTCAGATCATGGTAAGCCAATGCAGGACTCAAAACTCTGGGAGTTCTTGCAGAATGTTTCGGATAGATACTATTGCATGGATTGGAAAGTTGGGCCCTCCTGTTTGACAGATCTAGGAGGGAAAGAAAACCACTCCTGTTAGCACGGCTACAAAGCCAGCTGTTGTTTTAAAAATGTGCTTCTTTAAACTGAGTAATGTGAGTGAGGGTGGGAAGTTCAGGTATCGGAGCTTGGCCAGGATATTCTAGAAATACAGAACAACCAAAAATCATGTAGCAGAAGTGAATTTGAATTTGAAAAGTTGTTGGATACCCAGAGAATGAGGAGAAGCAAAGTAAAAGGAAGAGAGTGATAAGTGTCACTGGCATAATATGTGCAGGTAGCTTAATTCTGTTTCGAAGTTTGTTTACTTAGATGTAGATTTTTCTGGTTGTGACTTGCAGTGAACATTACCTCTTCTCTTACTTTTTCCAGAGGGACCTTGTGGGACACAAGAACATTGTTGGATATATTGACTCCAGTATAAACTCTGTGAGCAGTGGGGATGTCTGGGAAGTCTTGATCCTCATGGATTTTTGCCGAGGTGTGTACTAGTTCAGTGGAGCCATGTTTACAAACCTGTATGGTATGACTCCTGTTCTCAGAAGGCCGGCACGATGTCCAGATATTCAAAGGTTTGTCTAGATCGGAGTGCTGTTCAAATGCAAGAAGGTGCAATGGAAAAAGATTCTTGCCTTAAAAATAAGTTCACAAACAATACTAGCCCACAAGATTTACCCCACCTTGCAACTAGGCAAGCAGTCATTACCAAGCCATGCTTAGAAGAGAACCTTGGAGGCTCATCACAACTCACCTCAAGGAACAAGCAAGCTCACTGGATTATTTTCCATCTCAGATTGAAATAGGGATTTGGAGAATAATTTTTAGCCCTTCCCTATTCAATGTGTTAGAGCTGTGTTGCCCCATTATGTTACGCAGGAGGAAAGTCACGACTGCAGGCATAGTTCTGCATAGGGTGCTGGGATTCTAGGGCAAAGCTTTTGGGTCATGCGGCTGAAACCTCTTGAGGCACCAAACGTTTCTTAGAAGCAGCTGTGTTCATTTGCAGAGATGGGAGCATTCACACTCCCTCTGAGCTTAGAGAGAGGACCATAGCTCAGCAATAGAGCATTTCCTGTGTATGCAAAAAAAGCCCTAGGTTCAATCCTGGCACCACCAGATAGGGTTGGGAAAAGAATCCTGGAGAACCCCTGCCAGTCAGCGTAGGCAGCAATGAGCTAGGTGAACCCGTGCTCTGACTTAGTATAAGGCCGGGGCTCTTCGTTCCATAAACTCACCCCCAGTGATCCTACCCTGCAAAAAGCATTATTCAGAATAGCAGTTTACATGACCCGCTAAGGAAAATGACACAATAAAATTCAAAACAGCACACTTACTCAAAATCCAATTCAAGCATTTCATTTAGTTAATTCAAAATAGATGAATCTGATCCGCTGATACTAGGTATTGCCTGAAAAAGATCTTTATGCATAAAACATTTATATATAACTACTTATTAAACTGGGACGCGGGTGGCGCTGTGGGTAAAACCTCAGCACCTAGGACTTGCCGATCACATGGTCGGCGGTTCGAATCCCCGAGGCGGGGTGAGCTCCCGTCGTTCGGTCCCAGCTCCTGCCCACCTAGCAGTTCAAAAGCACTCTTAAGTGCAAGTAGATAAATAGGTACCGCTTTATAGCGGGAAGGTAAGCGGCGTTTCCGTGTGCTGCTCTGGTGCCGGTTCGCCAGAGCAGCTTCGTCACGCTGGCCACGTGACCCGGAAGTGTCTGCGGACAGCGCTGGCTCCCGGCCTCTAGAGTGAGATGAGCGCACAACCCTAGAGTCTGTCAAGACTGGCCCGTATGGGCAGGGGTACCTTTACCTTACTTACTAAACATGCACAAACCTTCACCTACCACAGATGTGTGGCAACTAATTTATAAGGCAATTGATAGCTGCTAGCCAGTTATTAGGGACATGGGTGCTGCTGTGGTGTAAACAGAAGCGGCTTAGTCATGCTGTCCACATGACCCGGAAAAACTATCTGCGGACAAACATCAGCTCCCTCGGCTTATAGAGCGAGATGAGTGCCGCAACCCCAGAGCTGTTCGCGACTGGACTTAACTGTCGGGGGTCCTTTACGTTTTTTTACCCAGTTATTGGTATATTGTGACAACGCAGAATTGTAAATACAAGCAAGCGTGACCAAAGGAAATAGATTTGAAAATATAAGAGTAGTATAACTTTAAAAACGAAATGAATGAATGAATGAATTGCTCTAGGCTCTAGCATTGTCAGTTGTACATAAGAGAGCAACATGTTTGAAGGAGCCCATCTCTAGTGCCTCCTGCCACCCCCTTGCTTCTTAGCCCGCCCCCCAGTAGTCCCACTGCTCCCCAAGGGGTGGTACCACCCAGTTTGGGAACCACTGGCACAGGGCACCTTCTGATACCCTGTGCCAACATGCTGCCATGTTTCCTTGCGTGCCTTGTGGTTAGTAAAGCCTCTTAGAAAGCTCAGTGTCTCACCACTGATATTGGCTCTCCCTCTCTCTTACTCTGCCTTTGCTCTTTCCAGGAGGCCAAGTGGTGAACCTCATGAATCAGCGCTTGCAGACAGGCTTCACGGAAAGCGAAGTCCTGCAGATCTTCTGTGACACCTGCGAAGCCGTGGCCAGGCTGCACCAGTGCAAATCGCCCATCGTCCACAGGGATTTGAAGGTAACTTACAGTGTCCTTGTAGAGATGCTTGGCGTGTGGATAGTATTCTGGTGCCCAGAGACTCTCCTCGATATTAAAGCAGTGATAGGTCCTCATGACTGGGTGTGTTACAGGCAGTTCCTTTTCACTACCTTGCTGATATTGGAAAACAAGAGTTTTGTGCACAGGTATCACTCACATTAGGGGCCGCGGGTGCCGCTGTGGGTTAAACCACAGAGCCTAGGACTTGCCGATCTGAAGGTCGGCGGTTCGAATCCCCGTGACAGAGTGAGCTCCCGTTGCTCGGTCCCTGCTCCTGCCAACCTAGCAGTTCGAAAGCACGTCAAAAGTGCAAGTAGATAAATAGGTACCACTCCGGCGGGAAGGTAAGCGGCGTTTCCGTGCGCTGCTCTGGTTTGCCAGAAGTGGCTTAGTCATGCTGGCCACATGACCTGGAAGCTGTACTCCAGCTCCCTCGGCCAATAAAGTGAGATGAGTGCCGCAACCCCAGAGTCGGTCACGACTGGACCTAATGGTCAGGGGTCCCTTTACCTTTACCTATCACTCACGTTTGAGCTGTTAGGTTTTTTGCACCACCAGTTTCTGACTAACCTTGAGCTGTCGTCAGTGGGCAGTTGGTGGAACCCCACTTGGTAGGTATTGTCTTGCCTCTCACTGACTGCTTATAGCAGCCATCCCCAACCTGGTGCTCCCCAGATGTTTTGGGGGCGCGTGTTTGACTTTATCACATTTATTACACAGTGTTTAAGGCTCTCTTCCAAGTTGTGTGAGCACTCAAAGTAATCAACAGTACAATTACAGAAAAGTGGTGTGCATGGATTTGTGCGCTTAGAAATCTTTACGGTGGGGGCTGACCCTGTGTCCCCAGCCTCTCAAATCAGGGGATCATAATCTCTTTCAGGGCATTTAAGTGATGTCAAAGGTTCTGCTTATCTGAGTTTCTCAGTGAAATATATTTGTTTCTCTTAAGGCAAGGCCAGAGGATCTGGTGCCATTCCAGATGCTCCCATCATCCTGATCATTCACCTTGTTGGCTGGGTCTGATGTGATTGTAATCCAAAACATATGGAGGGACACAGGTTTCCTGCCTTTGCTCTTGGGAAACGATTTCTCAAAATCAGAATTTCTCAAAATCAGAATTTCTCAAATTTCCCACCAAGCAAATGAGGAGTACCCAAGATGAATGTAGAAACAATCATTTATTACTATGAATGTGTTGAATAGTTGCTGTTGTGTGCCTTGGCATCAGTTCCATTTATTGTTTTTAGGAAGAGGGGATTTGTAGCTTTGTGAGAACATAAAAATAAATGCTGGAACATCTGTAGAACATTACGGAGGTAATCCTTTGTGTGCAGTGGGATATGTAGGGAGTCACATTTGCAATGCTCTGCCAGAATCTTACACCCACTGTAAAATTCCTAAATAGTCCACAGCAGCCTTTCCCAACCTGAGGCCATCCAGATGTTTTGGATTACAGCTCCCATCAGACACAGCCAGCACCACTGTATGGTGGAAGCATGGGGGAGAGGGCTGATGGAAGCTGTATTTCAAAACCTTTGGAGGACCACAGGTTGGGAAAGGCTGGTCTAGGAAGTCTCAGGTGACCTTCTCCATTGGCGATATCTCAGTCACCACGGGAAAAGTCTTCAGGGAGGAAAACCAAGTAGGACTTGATGGCTAGGGGATTGTGGCTTTCAGAAGTCAGGGGCACTTTCCACAGTTGCCACCACTGCTCCCAAGTTCACGTTTCCGGTTCCTGCTGGTGGAAAGAGAAATGTTTATGCAAAGGAATTATGTTTCTCCTTTATCCTGGTATGCACACCTTTTCTTTCCAGGTGGAAAATATCCTCCTGCACGATCGTGGCCATTATGTGCTGTGTGACTTTGGAAGTGCCACCAACAAATTCCAGAACCCTCAGCTTGAAGGAGTGAATGCAGTGGAGGAAGAAATCAAGAAGTGAGTGAGGGATGGTTTAGTGGGCCTCTCCTGTCTCTGGCTTGGGGCTGCTTTTGCATGAAAAGCTTCATAGCTGGTTGACTATGCAAAAGAGAGAAAAAGAGCAGCCTGTTTCTGTGCTTTTGGAACATTTGTTTAAATCTTAATAATTGTGGTTTCAAAACTAGAAGAGGGTTATTAATTACCTGGGCTGCTTCTAACCTTTACCCTGACACTTGAAGTGGTATGTTTTTAGGGCCCAACTTATTTTTATGATTGTAAGTTGTTTTAAATTATTTTAACTATTGTTTTTAATGCTATAACCCACCCTAGAACCTTAGGGTGAAGAGCAGAACACAAACAAACGAATTATAAATTTATTGGCTTTCAACAGCAGCTTTTTGTGGTAGTCTGTGATGCGATCTTGAAATCTCTTTATTTCTGACTGCCCTGAGCTGCTGTCAGTTCTAGATCTAGAATTCATTCAAGGAAGAGTAAACGTTGATGTGAGTTGTAGAGGAAACACCACATAGTTTATAAAACCATTTTGACTTATCCGGCTACCCTGTGAGTTTTGGTTTCCTTGTAGGTACACCACACTATCCTACAGAGCACCAGAAATGGTCAACCTCTATAGCGGCAAGCTGATTACTACAAGAGCAGACATCTGGGTATGTAGAAGGTTCTGTGAAGTTACTTGCCTGCATGTGGCTTTCTAGAAATTGTACTGAGAAATCTCTTGCCCTGGTTGCCCGTCCTTCTCTGTGGTCTTCTGTCTGCCATGGTTCCCAGTCCCTTACACCTGCCCCTTCACTCGGTGGTGATCCTGCACGTTTTGCCACTGAGGCAAAGCAAGAAAGTGCCACTCCTTCCCCACCAATGCTACCCTTACATTCTGCTGCCTTCTTCTCCCTCACCCACAACAATGACAGTCAGAAAAAGGGGAGTAAAAGGAGGCTATTGGGAAGAGATGGCAGTGGCAGTGGGCAGCGGTGTTAGTGGTGTCAGCAAAGGCAGCAGGTGGCGTGCTCTTTATGGGTCCAACTCTGCCACCACTCCCAACTGTCCGGTGCCTGCCACGCTGAGGCAATTGCTTCACCCTGCCTCACGGCCAGGCCGGGCCTGCTTCCACTATAGCATGGCCGGCTGGAAGCTTGCAGGTCAGTCACTCTCTTGCCTTCCTCAAGGATAGAAATGGAATCAAAGTGGCTCTTTTACAACCCAAATTCCCTCCCTCTTTTGATCTACACAAGCCTTTGACATCTCAGGGCAGCAAACTTTCCATTTTGGGCAACCCTTTGGTTACGTGGGGTATATTTAGCCGTGCAATGAGGCATACTTAGCAGCATGTTTTATTAATGTGGTTTTATATATACATTTGTTTTTAAATATTTAATTAGCAGTGAATTTACATTGCAATTTTGATTTGTTCTTGTGCCCTGGTTCCCCCACCCCCTTTTCATCTTTAGAAGTTGTAACCCGCCCCAGAGCCCTTGTGAATAGCATGGGGCTTAATAAATCAAAATGAGCAATTGGAGATTATTCCAAGAGGCTGCTTCCTGAGTTGCATTTCAGAAGAAAGGACTAGATGCACTAAGGGCCTGATCAGCCACTGTGCTAAAGGCAGAACTCTCAGCCCAGTACAGATCTCAGGCCCACCACCCGGGTCTCCTCCCCACACCCCACCCAATCTATTCTTGCAGACAAAACCAATAAGTGAACTGGACCATATTGCATTTATTTGAGTAACTTGTTTGCCTGGAAAGACTAGAGTGGGCGGAGGGCTGCCTCTGTGAGAGTTGCATACTTTATCCTGTGAAACAGCTGGATTTCCCATTTTTTTGGTTTCATTCATGAGGTTTGCTTCATCATCTGCTCCTGTAGTTAATATTCTAGACAAAGTTTTAGCAGGTTTATTTCTCTTTTCCAAAACATGTATATTCCTTGCAAAAGCATGCTGATCTGATTTAACTGCTTCCCACACCACCACAACAATAATAATAATTGCATTTTACATTGGTGGGTGGGCCAGACCCTGCCTTTTCTAAATCTCTGGGTTTCATAAATGATGACTGGGGATAATGGGGGTTGTAGTCCAAAACATCTGAAGGGCACTTGGTTGGAGATGGCTGCACTATACCTTTTTCTTTCTGTATTCACTTCCCAGTAACTAGGATGTGATCAGCATAAATTCTGCTTCTGAGCTCTTTTTACATCACTAGTGACTTCGGAAACAAAAAAATTAATCAGTTCTCATAACTGCTTAAGGCAGTCCACTGCAGCCTTTTTGCATGGGTGTGGGTAGGTGGAAGTGACATCAAATATTATTCCTTTGTTTTCTAATTGTGCTAGAACATCCTTTCGTCGGGGTGCAAAAATAGCACTTAGTTTTTTTTTTTAATAATTGATTGTTCATTGCTCTGTTGCCATCTCTTGCCAAAAATATTTTCTTCTGTTACTGATTTCTCCAGTTCTTTGATAACCCATAGATAACTAATTATTGATGTTTTTTCTTTTTATCAATAAAAAAACCCAATAGCATATAAATCTACACAAGTTAGAGAAACTGCATTCAGAAAGCAGACTCCTGAGCATAAACAAGTCATAGCCTTCAAATAAGCAGATGGATGGAGGGGGGCATCTGGATGCATGGATGTAATGTTCGTATCTTGCAGTCATGCATTTAAAATTCCAAGACGTACAGTGGTGCCTCGCAAGACGAAATTAATCCGTTCCGCGAGTGTCTTCGTCTAGCGGTTTTTTCGTCTTGCGAAGCAACCCTATTAGCAGATTAGCGGATTAGCGCTATTAGCGGTTTAGCGGCTATTAAAGGCTTAGCGGCTTAGCTGCTAAAAGGCTATTAGCGGCTTAGAAAAAGGGGGGGGGAGCGAAAAAAATCTCAAGACTCGCAAGACATTTTCGTCTTGCGAAGCAAGCCCATAGGGAAATTCGTCCTGCGAAGCAACTCAAAAACGGAAAACCCTTTCGTCTAGCGGGTTTTCCGTCTTGCGAGGCATTCGTCTTGCGGGGCACCACTGTACTGTGCTGAGAATTTCACCTCCATTCTTTAATCTCAAACCAAACATGTAGAGCAGGCATGGCCAAACTTGGCCCTCCAGATGTTTGGGACTACAATTCCGGTCATCCCTGACCACTGGTCATGTTAGCTAGGGATGATGGGAGTTATGGTCCCAAAACATCTGGAGGGCCAAGTTTGGCCATGCCTGATGTAGAGGTTCCTTGAAGCACAATACAAGCACTTGACTGAGACCCCCCCCCCCCGTGAAAGGACTTTGAGATGATTCTTTACCCGCTATCATGTTTTTCTTTCAGAGACAACTTGTATCCTACTTCTGTATTCTATTTTCGCATATCTTGAATACTGCTTTTCACTTCTTTAAAAATTGACACAGAATTTAAGACCCATATCTTATGTGCAAATGCTGCTTTTGAAGAACTAAACTAAATGCCTTACTCCAAAGTAGGTAACAGAGATCATTACCTGCAGATAGTAGAAAATGATGGTTGTTGGGATTAGACTTGCTCTCCTCATCTAGGGTCCGTGGGCTGCTAGCTTCCGAGAGTTTTCTTCTTGCAAAACCACACACACACACAGAGGCAGGGACTGTTTCAAACACACCAAACAACGGTCTCTGTGTGAGGAGGAATTGGTTGCCCTTCCTTCCCGCCATCTGCTTAAGCCAGTATTCCCCAACCTGGTGCCCTCCAGATGTTTTGGACTATCCTAAAACATCTGGAGTGCACCAGGATAGTGAACACTGGCCTAGAGAAATGTGTTGTGTAGACACTTCACACTGAGGCCTTTTTGTGATGCTTTCTTCTTTGAAAAGGAATCACACCAATGAGATGTATGTGTTTGGCCATGTGGATGGTGTGAGCTGCACAAGGGTCAGAACTTGGCCGGCAGTGTCTGGCGATTAGTTTAATTCAGAGTGCTCTGTTTTGGAGAATTGAGGCAGCTGCCAATTTTTTATAAGCTTTGAATTGCAAATTTTGATATTACACATCTCTTCCAGTTCAGAAACAGCAATCTCGGTTCACCAGAGGCGAACTTGGAACAATTACTAGCAGAGCCAGCAATTCCTACATTCCTAGCTTCAAATCAGGCTGTTTTTTTGCTGACCTGAAATCTGATGCAGGTCATGTCAGCAAGAGAGGTTTGCTTTCTGTTGTTGCAACTAGAATCCAGCAAGGCCTTACATGACAACAGAGGTAACCTGGTCTCCGTTCCTACAGCACACTAAAGAATTCTTCGTCTTCTTTCAGGCCATGGGCTGTTTGCTGTACAAACTCTGTTATTTTACTTTGCCATTTGGTGAGAGCCAAGTAGCAATTTGCGACGGAAACTTCACCATTCCTGACAACTCGCGCTACTCTCACGACATGCACTGCCTCATACGTGAGTATCTATTTGGGAATACAGCTCAACTCTGGTTTTGAAAAGCTAACTAGCATGAAACTGCTTCTACCTCCTGCCAGGTGTTTGGGTATGGAACCCAGAATACTTCTGTTTATAAGGACAAAGGTTTTGGGCACAAGTCTAGGAGATTTATTTTGGTGCCCACTTCATCAGATGTTCTTATATTGATTCATCTCTCCCCCCACTGTTGCCTCTACCACAACTGCCATCAGTTGTAGTTGTAGATGGAAGTTGTAGCCCAAAACATTTGGAGGACACCAGTCTGGGAAATGCTAAAGGGGCAGGGGTTAACTGAATAAACAGTTTTGAGGGTTTTTGTGGGGAGTAAGTTCTGTTCCATATGCATCAAACTCAAGGCTTTTGCACCCCTACCCTGTGATGGAAAGTAAAGGAGTGCCACTAGCAAAGTAATTATCCAATTAGAAGCTGGAGCTGTCAAGATGTGAAACTGTACCTGCTCCTCCTACCGTCCCCCTCTTCTCTGCCAGGTGTTTTCCCTTTATGGAGAGCTTGGAGGAGATTATAGCAATGTACCAAACAGTTCCCATCTTAGAAGGTCTTCCAAGACTCCAAAGCCATTAAGTAAGACCACTTTGAATCCTCTTAGAGAGGAGAAGCAGGCAAGCCCACCGGTCACTAAGGCTCCTTCTAGTAGTAGTAGACTATGTTTTGCTGTGGTGTCCGAACCAGGCTAATAAGCAGTGTGGGATGTCCTTGGGTTTTGGAAGCTATGCAAGTCCCTGTGGGCTGAGTTTTCCAGCATCCATATCCTGAAAGTGATACTGGGTAAGACTTGTTCTTGTCCCTCCTATGCCATACCTAAATGCCACACCATCGAAGCCTAATAGGTCTTCTGTTTCTTAGGGTATATGCTGGAACCAGACCCTGACAAGAGACCTGAAATTTACCAGGTCTCCTATTTTGCATTCAAGCTCGCTAAGAGGGAATGTCCGGTCCAGAATGTACAGGTGAGTGATGCCTGATCCCTCTTTGCAAAATACCATACAAGAATCCGTAAAATAATCCCACAAGTTCTTTAGTCCTCCTCTTCCTCCAGGACTATTTTTGGGCCTGCAAAAGTCATGGAGTAATTTATTGAGAGGTTGCCAGGAAACAACAAAAGACAACACAAAAGGGAGGGAAACCACCACAATTTAGCTTAGTTTATGGGGAAGTGTGTTTTCTCTGTACAGTATGATTGCATCTTATGTCGGGAGTTCAGTTCCAAGGGTTCTGTGTATACACAAAAGTCACATATACCCAAAGCCTTGGTATTTCCGCATGACTAGTGGGTGAGAGAGTGAGTATGCCTCGCACTCCCAAAACCCACACGCCGAGGAGGCCTTGCCCAGCAAACAAGGTGGGAATTTAAAAGCGTTTTTGTGCCATGTCCACTTGGGTTACCTGGCACAAAAGAGCTTTTAAACTCTCTGCCCTGCCTGCTGGGTAGGACCCTGGAAGGCTAGGAATGCTCAGGTGAGATCTTGCAAGAACTCTGACAGCCCTGCAAGATCTTGGCAAGGGCATCCCAGAACCAGTGTGCTAAGCGGGCCATGCCTGGTAAGCAAGGCAGAGAGCTTAAAGCTCTATCTGTACTGGGGAACCCCAAGTGGGCCCAGTGCAAAAATGGCTTTTATGCTCTCTGCCTTGCTCGGGTTTAAGCTGCACAGTTTTCGCCAGTCCTTCTTCAACCATGTTTGGTTAAAATCATACAAATTAAATGCCTTCTGTACAGCCAAAGCACACTTTTCTCATGAACTGTAGTGAATTTGTATGGTTCTTTACTTAAGAATACACTGGTGGTAGTAGCAGTTTTTGTCCTTTTAGTGTTACATCGCTACTGCTATTTTATTTTCAGATGTGTTTTGTTTCATATTACAGCCTTATAGTTTCAATATTTTGCATGTAAATACATTGTGACCTGCTCTGGAATGGGCAGCCCTGTAAGGCAGGCTATAAATAAATGCAGTTGACCATCATAAACATTTGCCTGACTACAATTATAGAAATAAATAGACATCATGTAATTTCTGTGCTAATATTGCCAGGGTTTCGTATTTTAATTCTGTCTGGCTTGGGATTGTTAAGTGGAAAAGTCCCTGGTGCTGTTTCTCCTCTTTCATCCCAAGGATTTATTAAGTATCTTAATAAATTTTACCTGCCCATGAAGTGAAGCCTAGGAGAGCTTTAGGTTTCCCCATTCAGTTTGCCTCTTGCTCTCCGTTGCCTCTGACAGCCCTCCGTCATTTTCTGCTCTCTGTGTGGGTTTCCATTTGCAGAACTCTCCGATCCCTGCCAAACTCCCAGAGCCAGTGAAAGCGAGTGAAGCTGCTGCTAAGAAGAGCCAGCCAAAAGCCAGGTGAGGATTCCTGACTCTTCCATGGACCATGGCAAAAGACTGCAAAAGGCTAGCAGGGCTGCTTAAGAGAGTTAAGCATTCTGGAGAGCTGGGGCCATTTCATACTGCAGTGCTGGAACTTGAGTTCAAAAATCAGTCAGTCAAAATCACTAATAGGTATATAGCACTTACTGTAATAGGCAAAATCCCTGTACAGTTTACATGAACTTGGGAAGATAATTTTATAAAGGAAAAGGATAATGTATATACAACATTTAGAACCAGAACTTCAAAGAAACACATCAGTGAAAACAGAAGCCACCTGTAAAACTTTTGGTTAAAATCAATAAATAATAGAACCAAATGAAGGAGACCATTATGTCATATGTGTTTAAACATGTTTCTTAATCATGAAATGCATAGTTAAATAGGCATTTTATCTCAATGAACGCATTTTGAAACATAACTTAATCAGAAGGTTAGTTATGTTCCAATCTGTATGTTCATCCAGGGTGTGTGCATTAAGCCAGTTAAAAATGTGAATGAAATCTTTCTCCATCCTTAATTAGTAGTTCCACTCTCAGAAGTGATTAATGACATTTTGACTACGGGGAAGCTTCTAGAATCTTGGAGTGAAACAAATAAAAGACCACACCTGAGTTCATATACACCTGCCTCAACGTTAAACGTATTTATTCTTTTCCAAGTTTCGTAAAATACAAATTTGAGAAAAGAGCACAGTGTAGAAATACAAATGCAAGAACATCCACATGTTCCATTTATCCAGTGTAAAAAAGAAGAACTAGGCATATATTATCCTGCATTTAAATAACCATTTATTGTTTTGTGTCTGTTTTTGCTCAGTGTGGTGTAGTTAATACATTTTACCTACCCATGAAGTGGGTAGAATGTCGACTAGGACCTGGGAGACCAGGGTTCAAATCCCCACTGGCCACGAAGCTCTCTGGGTGGATGACCTTAGACCAGCCACTGCCTCTTAGCCTAACATACCTCACAGGGTTGTTGTGGGGATTAAACAAAGAGGAGGAGAACAATGTAAACCACCTTGAGAGTTTTCTTTAACTATTTAAAAATTGATCATTTAAACAAACAAACTTTTCTATATATGAAGTGGAATTGGGGCGATTTCCTCATAGCCTCCCCCCTGCCCAAGTTTTTCAGTCCTGCTTCCTGTGGACAATCTTGTAACTGTTTTGAGATCTCATGAAAACATCCCCCCCCTTCCAATCTAAAGTTATTAATCTCCTTCATCTTTCTCCCACCAGGCTTGCCCGCTCTAGACCTCCTGTCCATGCCACCCTTTCTCATGTTATTATAGAGACAGAGAAAGCTGTTTTCTATCAGGTCATTGGCCCATCTAGCTCAGTGTTGTCTAAACTGACTGGCAGAAGTTCTCATGGGCTTTAAGGGAGGGAAAATTCCCAGCTGTACCTAGAAATACTGCTAGGAATTGATCCAGGGATCTTCTGCATGCAGATCAGATGCTGTACCACTGAGCTACAGCCAGTGTGGTGTAGTGGTTAAGAGTGGTAGACTCGTAATCTGGTGAACCGGGTTCGATTCCCTGCTCCTCCACATGCAGCTGCTGGGTGACCTTGGGCTAGTCACACTTCTCTGAAGTCTCTCAGCCCCACTCACCTCACAGAGTGTTTGTTGTGGGGGAGGAAAGGAAAGGAGAATGTTAGCCGCTTTGAGACTCCTGAAGGGGAGTGATAAAGCGGGATATCAAATCCAAACTCTTCTTCTCTTCTTCCTTGCCTATCAAAACCATCCTTGAACTCTAGTGCTTATCACAGAATACAGCCCTCTGTTTCATTCCTTTCCCTGAGAAGCTGCTTCCTTCTGCCTGCTGCAGGGTTTGTCTCACTTTCTTGAGGTATCTGGGCCAGTGGCTTGTTGTTTTGTCCCCCCCCCCGTGGTGCACCTGCTCCTTATTTTAGTTTTGTATTGTCTTTGCCAGGGATGAGGGTACCGGAAGGGGCGGATTGCTTAAGTGTTGCTTGAAAGATGTTCCCCACAGCTATAACTGTAGAATCGTGGTAATGGAAGAGAACCAAAGTGATTTAGAACTGGACCACAGTTCTTTTTACGACTCCGGCATAAACAGTTGCATCTGAGGCTGCCAGCTACTGCCAGGCAAGCTCAGGGCCCTTTGGCCTGCTTGTCTGCAAACCTATTAAAAGTGCAGATGGTGTATTGTTTCCAACATTTCTGCTCACAAATTGAATTTAGCATGTGCCAACCGGCCTTTATTTCATGCTGAGTGGGGCGGTCGTGATGGCTGATGGGAGTGATGCAACAGGCAAGACTTTATTAATTGTGCCAGGTGGATTTTGCAAGCCCGCCTTACTTTTTGGGTTCTGCCTTAAGAGTTGAAGAGTGATGGGACCGTCTGATATGTTGCTCCTGAACCTTCTGCCTTGATGGTGTGGTTCTTATTGTGGGCTTTGGATGTCTGCTGAGTAGACAAAACAGTATAGCAGTTTTCTGAAATACTCCTAGTTTCGCCTTCCCTTCTCCCAGGCTCTGCTCCTCTTCCTCTTCTGGCCTCACTCTCCCCTCTACACCCATCAAGCTACTTGCTCTTTCTCTCTGCCCTCCCCACGACCTGCTTCTTTTGCAAAGTAATTATTGAGCCAACCTACCTCTGTGATTAGTGTGTGTGTGTGTGTTTCGTTTCTCCATAGTATATAAAAAATATTTACTGCGTTTCTGTCCCAAGGAGCTCAAGGGGGTTATACTTGGTTCTTCCCCACCTCATTTAACCTCCCCAAGGTGAGGTAGCTTAGGCTGAGAGGCAGCCACTGGCCCAAGGTCACCCCAATTGAACTTAATGGCCAAATGGGGATTGAAACCCTGGTCTCCCAAACCCTAGTCTGACACTCTAACCCAGGGGTCAGTAACCTAAGGCCCATGGTCCACAAGCAGCCTACGGGGGTCGTTTAACTGTCCCACAAGCCGCCCCCGAACAGAGCTGCCCACTTGGTGAGTCCCTGCGCGCTGCACTAAACCGGCGCTGCACTGCGCAGGGACTCGCTTCCGTGGCGCTGGAAATCGCGTCTGCGCAGACACAGATGCCAAAAATCGCAGGTGCGATCGGGCCCATGGAAGGGCCTCCATTGGAGTGGACTGGCCCAGGTGAGGTAAACCTTGCCGCCCCCCTGCTCTAACCACTACACCACACTGGCTTTCAGCGTCTGCTCTTCTACTGCTACCTGTATCTCCTCTGCACTAGTGCCAACTCGCACGACTTAGCGGCTCTAAGGGCCTAAAAGGCATACCTGGGATTCTGCAGTTAAACTTCTGGGGCTGCAAAACCCCAGTTCCACAGCTGGAATGAATTATGCTGTTTAGGAGAAAATATGCATAGAGTTGCTTAAAATTACATGCTTTGTGTAATTTGTGCCATTGTCGTGCATAACATGGATTTTGTGGTCGCTTCTTTCTGTGTGTGATTTTTTTCTGGGGGGGGGGGAGGTTGGCTGTTTCAGAGGGCATTTGCCAACTGGAAGGTTGTGAGGTGGGGGTGCTCCAATGAAAGGGTGGGTCATGGAAAGAGGCTGTTCACTATGCTGTCTTCCTCTAAAATGTTAGTTTTGTGTCCATGTTTCCTTCTTGCAGGCTGACAGATCCTATCCCCACGACTGAAACATCCATCACCCCACGCCAAAGACCCAAAGCTGGGCAGACACAACCAAACCCGGGGATCCTGCCCATTCAGCCTGCCCTGACTCCCAGAAAGAGGCCCACAGCACAGGGTGAGAGGGCGCCCCCACTGCGGGCTACTTCCTAACCTACTTTTCGTTCTCTTCATGGGTAAAGTTGCACTCCTAAATGCCCAGGCAGGCTTCCTTCTGAGTGCTCTGCTGCTCGTGTGGACCAGAGGTTCCCAAACTGTTTTGGGGCCCCGCCCCCTTGGTGCCATAGACTCATCCCCAGTGCCCCTTAAAAGGTAAAGGGACCCCTGACCATTAGGTCCAGTCGTGGCCAACTCTGGGGTTGCGGCCCTCATCTCGCTTTATTGGCCAAGGGAGCCGGCGTACAGCTTCCGGGTCATGTGGCCAGCAGGACTAAGCCGCTTCTGGCGAACCAGAGCAGCGCACGGAAACGCCGTTTACCTTCCCGCCGGAGCGGTACCCATTTATCTACTTGCACTTTGACGTGCTTTCAAACTGCTAGGTTGGCAGCAGCAGGGACCGAGCAACGGGAGCTCACCCCGTCGTGGGGATTCGAACCGCCGACCTTCTGATCGGCAAGTCCTAGGCTCTGTGGTTTAACCCACAGTGCCACCCACGTCCCCCAGTGCCCCTTACCCTACCCTATAAAAAGCTTTATTTCAGAATAGCGGCTTGTGCAACCCACTAAGGAAGACAATAGCACAATAGAATTCAAAACAGTAATGATTTATTCGGCACATTTATTAAAACCCCAGTTAAAGCTATTTTGTTTAATTAATTCAACAAAATGGATGAACTTGATCCACTGATGCCAGCTTTTCAAAGTCTCATAGTCATTTATGCGGTGGTTCAGTTCCAAGGGTTCCACATATGCACAAAAATCACACATACCCAAACCCTTGGAGCCAGCGGGTCGAGGTAGAAAGAGTCCTCTGTGCTCCCTGAGCCCATGCATCAAAGCGGGCCTTGCCCAGTAAGCAAGATGAAGAGCTTAAAAGCTGCTTTTGCGCCCGGTAACCTCAAGCATACCCAGCGTGAAAGTACCTTTTAACCTCTCCCACTTGCTTGGATTTAACATGTGCAATTTCAACCAACCCTCCTTCAACCGCGTATGGATGAAATTGTGCAATTAAATGCATGCAAGATGAGATCTTACCATAATTCTCTTGAAGATTAGGTTGCAAACTATTGAAAAACAAAGCATCTGCTTTTCTTCCATTTGCTGCCTATTGTGCCTTCCTTGCCCTTCTTTTATATTCCAGCCCCTTGATCCATCCTCATTTCATAGAATCACAGAAGTGTATGTAAGGGTCATCTAACCCAACTCCTGCAGTGCAAGAATCACAGCTAAATATTTATGCATTTAAGTGTTTAAATAAAAAGTACACAATTGGCGGGGGGGACAGGAGTAAAGGAAACGGATGCATTCTGACCTCTCCTCTTGCTCTGCAGTTGCTGCTCCAGCGCCTTTGGCTGGGGGTCAGGCCCCCCTCCCTACCAGTGTCCCACAGCCGAAAGCCCTGCCTCAGCCGACTCCGCCTCTCCCGCAAGCTCAGCCTAAGCAGCCGCCCCCTGTACAACCGCCTGCTGCCTCCCAACCACAAGCCCCTCCAGCTCAGCCCCAGGCTGCCACCCCACAGCACCAGCTGTTCCTAAAGCAGCAACAGCAACAGCCGCCAGCGCAGCCGCCAGCCACATTTTATCAGCCCCAAGGACCTCAGCAGCAGCCACAGCCGCAGCAGCCACAGCCTCCCCTGCAAGTTCAACAGGTGAGGCTGTTTGGGGGGTGGCTGGTTTCTTTTTTCTTCACAGGAATTTTAAGGCAGTTGCGACTTGGCAGCAGACAGGAGGTTGAGTCCAATGACCCAAGGGCTGATCTCTGAGTCTCCACTTTTGGAGTCAAAGGAATCTTTCAAACGAGTTTGTGTGGTCATAGAGAAAATATATGAGACAGGGAGTGGGCGCAGAAGGTATTAACAAAATGAAAGCTCCACCATCCCATATCTTGCAAATTTGAGCCTCTGTTTGAGCACATAAAATCAAATATAATGCACTAAGAATACTTAAGTATATAGTACTTTGTGAGCCCTGCATTTGGGCCACTTTGATATTGCTTGCTTGCTTGTTTGTTTGTTTGATTTATTATTTCCAACTCTTCACCCTAAGGTTCCAGGGCAGGTTAAAGCATTAAAACACAATATTAAAAACAGTTTGAAACAACTTAGAACTATAAAAATAAGCTGAGTCCTAAAAACATACACCTCAAGTGTCTAAAGCCAGGGTAAAGAGGTGTGTCCTCAGCATTCTCCTGAAGCTGTAGAAGGGGGGTGGGCCAGGCGCACTTTTGCAAGGAGGGAGTTCCACAGTTTTGGGGCTGCCACAGAGGATGTCTTCTACCCCTTGGCCACTACCACACCAAGCCTCTGAAGTTGGAAGGGCTATCCAGGGGTCCTTCTCTGGCAATCTCAGCACCCGAGAGGTTATGTAGGAAAGGAGATGGTTTTTCAGGTGTTTGGGGTCTGAGTCGTTCAGGGCTTTAAACACCAATGTGAGCACCTTGAATTAGGTCTGGAAATAAACTGGAAACCAGTGCAGCTGTTTCAAAACGAGTTATACGAGATCCAGATGGAACTCCAGCCAGAAATCTGGCTGCTGTTGTATTTTTGGACCAACTGAAGTTTCAAAGTCATCTCCAAAGGCAGCCCAACACAGAGCATGTTGCAACAACCCAGTAACAAGGGAAGGTGAATTTGGGGAGACGCTCTTACTCCATTGCATGTGCTGAAGTGCAAAAGATTGCAGCTGATCGTAAGGAAGGGTTCTGAATGCTTGCTTGCTGTGTTGTAGATCCAAGTGGCGCCCCAAGCACCGCAGCCGCCAGTGAAGCCACAGTTTCCAGTGACGCAGCAAGGAGTGCAACCGCAGCCTGTGCAGAATTACATACAGCAGCAGCAGCAGCAGCAGCAACTGCTGGCACAACAGGGGCCCATCCCACAGAAAGCAGCTGCAGGGCAACAGAAGCCGTCGACTCAGATCCTGCCCCAACCGCAGGTGCAGCAGGTGGCGGCACAGCCAGTCCCTGTGCAGGATCATCCGGTAAGGATTGGGAGGAACCTTTGGTTGGCTTTGCAGTGTTGCTTGTTTACTTCTTCCAGATCCTCTGCCACTGGGTCACGGCCCCTCCCCACTTCTCATGTTGGTGGGCAGCAGGGAAGGAGCGAATGTGGCCACATCCAGAAGACCCTGATTAGATTTCTGTGCCACTTTTCATTCAAATGAATCTCAAAGCAGCTTTAAAGGTAAAGGGACCCCTGGCCATTAGGTCCAGTCGTGGCCGACTCTAGGGTTGCGGTGCTCATCTTGCTTTATTGGCCAAGGGAGCCGGCGTACAGCTTCCAGGTCGTGTGGCCAGCATGACTAAGCTGCTTCTGGCGAACCAGAGCAGCGCACGGAAACGCCGTTTACTTTCCCGCCGGAGCGATATCTATTTATCTACTTGCACTTTGACGTGCTTTCGAACTGCTAGGTTGGCAGGAGCAGGGACCGAGCAACGGGAGCTCACCCTGTTGCGGGGATTCGAACCGCCGACCTTCTGATCGGCAAGTCCTAGGCTCTGTGGTTTAACCCACAGCGCCACCCGCGTCCCTCTTGCAGTAACTAGAAAGCGGCTTACAAACAATAAATAGCAGTAACTTGATAGAACATAATGGAACATCGCAAGTAGAGCATAAATCATATGGAGTATTTAACAAATAATCAGTGAAATAATTACAGCCTATAAAACACTGTTAACAAGCAGCAACTAAAAATGATGAATGCTATCAGACTAACAATGACATTCAAGCCTCAGAGGTAATTTGTGAAAACAGGTAAGAACCCCAGCGTTGTCCTCAGTTTCTCCTCCTTTGCAGGTGCTCATATTTATCCCTTCTCTCTCCCTCTCCCTCCCTCCCTCCCCCCCTCTGTGAACACAAACAGAAGCATGCATTTTTATTCAACTGCCCCAATGCATGCTTAAGACTGGAGGGAAATTTGCATTAGTGCTGATCCAACTAAGGTTATTATCTCCTTTTCTGGCCATGCTTTTGTGTTTCATACAACAGTGTTCTAGAGATGGGGAATCTGTGGTCTTCCACATGTTGTTGAGCTACAGTTCCCATCACCCCCTGACTACTGGCTGGGCCCGCTGGGAGCTATAATCCATCAAGAATTGGAGGGCCATAATTATGCAGCTTAAAACTCACCGTGAACAGAGATGCTGGAACTGAGTTCAAGCAAGTTCTGGCTGAAAAAAGCCCTGATTAATCATTAGATAAAGGATGGAAATTCAACACTTTGCTGCAGAGAAGGGGGGCACAACAAATGTGGTGGGGCAGTGCAGATGCAGGAGAGGCTGTGAGCAGACAGAGAGAGAGAGAGAGAGAGAGAGAGAGAGAGAGAGAGAGAGAGAGAGCCAGAATGAAATCCTTGCTCAGACACTGGTAACTGTGGGCCAGGTCTGACCCAGTGGTTCCCTTTTTTCTTTTCTTTTTGCCTGCACATCACTTTGCAAATTTCTGGAGATTCTTAATGAATCCTGAACAGAAAACTGTGATTCATCCTTTCAAAGGTGAACATGGAAAAACTGTCTGGTTTGGCACCAAAAGACTGCATGTGGGTGCAATAGTAGTTCTTTTTCCTTTAAAAAAATCCCAAACACATTTATTCAAAAGTTACAATACATTTACAATACAATACATTTTTTATCAATATATCCCTTCCACAGACATCTCTATGATGATGGTGGCATTAAAATACCCTGTTCTTCAGTAAAAGAGAAAAAGGGAGACCAAATCGTGTCAAATGTATATTTTTTGGAGATGCCTTTGATTAGCTGCTATGGTATGTGAGGCGTTCTGATAGAGCAATGCTTCAGATGTTATTAACCTAAGCCTCTATTGGTATTTTAGAAGTTTCCTTCCATCGTTGGGCAATAACTAGTCTAGCTTCTGTGAACAGGAAGAAAAATAATTCTTACGTATAAGGGTAGAATTTGGGGTCAAATCTAATGATAATAAGGCAAGTGCTGAATTAAAAGGGATAGATTGTTTATTGATTTTGGAGGTCAGATTAAAAATTTCCCCCCAAAAGGCATGAGCTATGGTACACTCCCACCAAACATGAATATAGGAACCTTGTTCTCTACAGCCTTTCCAACATAATGGTGAGCTTAAAGGATTTATCTTTGCAAGGTGTGTGGGGGTCCAATGCCACTGAAAGATAATTTTAAAGGAAATTTCCTGGAGGCGATCTGAAATTGTTTTTAAAGATGGATTTTGCCATATTGATTCCCATGCTTTTTCATTTATCGAAATTCATATGTCAGTCTCCCATCTCATTCGAATATCTTCCGCGTTTCCTGCAAAGCTTTCTAATATAATACCATATATCATTGAGAATGCCCCTTTTGTGTCATGGCTAGGTCTGTTACACAGTGATTCAAAAGGTGTCAGGGGTCTCAAGCCCTCAACCCTTCATTCCAGATACTTTGCAAAAGTTCAAAAGGGCAGTATCTGTTGATACAGATGTAGCTGGGACCGTTTTATGCCTTTCGCCTTTGCCACCAGGCCCTCTTTTAAAATTGCTTTAGCTTTTACAAACACATCTCTAATTCTATAGAAACCATTTGTTTCAAGATCTAGGAGTTGGTTATATTTGTCTGCATGTTTAAATGAGGGGTGATCTAGCAGAGGCATCAGTAGTGAAGTCCTAGGAGCCAATACTAAGTTCCAATTCTGCCGCGCCATTAAGTATACTTTTTAAAATGGGTTTACCCACCTTTTCTTGTTCCTTCATGAAGGGCAGAGCGTGTGCTGATAGTCTTGTGTGGCCACTTTCTATCTTTATCCATGGAATATCTCCTTTACCTTTAATGAGAGGTATCAATGATTTAATTTGGAAAGCTGCGTAGTATAGTTCAAGATTGAGTATTCCTAAGCCCCCTTTATTCCTATGTCTAAATAAGATTTTTTGACTGAGTCTGGCTCTTTTTCCTAATGAAGTAAAAGAATGTAATTTGTTTTGCCATTTTTTAAGCATAGCAGGAGTGATGCATGTTGGTAAAACTTGAAACAGGAAAGATAATTTTAGTAGAATTGGCATTTTTATAGCTGTGATATGACCTAGCCAGCTAAGGCTTGTGCACTTCCATTGTGAGAGTTTGTTATTTATCGTTTTGAGCAGGGGCTTATAATTTCTTTGATTTAATTGTTTGAGATCAGCTGTTAAGGTTATCCTGAGGTATTTAAACCCCCCCCCCCATGGGTGACCCAGTGGCTCCTTTCTCCTGCTCTGGATTTTTGTCGGGCGAACAAGTTGGAGAAGAGTTTGCATCTTAATCCCAATCCTTGTTTCCAATGTACTCATGACCAAACATTACAAATCCTCCATTTGATGACTATAATGTATGCATTCATCCCAAATAAGTGCTTTTTCACTTAATGAGAACCAGGGTTTTCCCTGTAGCGAGTGGAGCAGCTGCCTAAAGTATAAAAGGAGTGGAAATTTGCCAGGGATCCCCCATCACTGCAGATACTGGAGAATGAAATTTCACATCCGCCTTCTCCTGCTGCACACACACACACACACACACACACACACACACTTCATTACTATTCAAGTGTAATCATTCCTCATTGTTTCTTTTTGTCCTGAAATGCAGCTGCTTTGACTGTTGTGGAGGGGGGTTGTTGTTTAAAAGAAAAGGATGCACAGCATACGAATAAATTACAGTAAATGCCTTCCAGCTGAAACTGTATTTATACCAGGTTATTCTTGCCACACATTTTTTTCCTGTAATACCCAGATTTATTGGTAACCAACTGGTTTGGGGAGCAGATTTGGAGAGAGCACTCTAGGATTAAGAATTATTGGGGGGGGGACTCCCCCCCCCATTATTCATGTTAACAAAATGGGGCTGGGTGAACATAAAAGGGTTGGTTATTTCTGTCACAAATATATTCACAACATCATTTCAAACTAATATTTGTTGCGGTATTTGGGGGGAAAGCTGAAATATGATGGAAAAAAATAGCCCAAGCCTCCAAAAGGTGTAAACATCCCATTCTGTTCGCTCCTCTTTATATTATAGATACATTTTGAGGATTGCAAGTTCTGTTAAGTCAGTGTGGTGAAGGGAGCAGGCCAGAAAGAGCCAGGCTCAAATCCCTGCTGAGAATATTTATATTGAAAGAGAGCATAGAAAAGGATAAAGCAACAGTAAGAGTCCTTACAACAACCTTGTAAGACAGGTCAGTATGACTTGAATCTCTGAGGCTCCTGTCTTGCAGTCACCCCTTGAGCATTTTGGACATTTCTTCAGCCATGACGATTTTTAGAAGCTTTTCTGGGGGAAATAAAAAAAAGCTGAGATCCTGAGAAATCCAGTTTCTGTGTCTGGCAAGCAGGCCAGTGTTTCAGTATTATGGAACAGAAGGGCTTGTGAAGTATATAGAGAACACAAAGATTTGATGGACTATGAAAGAACTTAAGGAAAGGAAGTGACTGAAGAACAGATGTAAAGGTGAACTAGAAACTAAGAGACGTGTGGTGAATGCGGTGGAAGTCTTTTAGAATATTTTAACTAGGATTTATATATTGTAATGTTTGAAGTATAAATTTGGTATTATTGATTATGAAAAGTGTTTTTCTTTCTTTCTTTTTTCTTTTATCTTTTGTCTCTTTTCTTTGCATGTTGGAAAATACATAAATGTGTTTACAGTGTTATGTATTGATTTTTTGCTTCTATTTCTTTTTTCTTTTTATTTTCCTGTACTATTTAATAAAAACTAATATTTTTAAAAAAGGAACAGAAGGGCTGCCAGGAGCTCAAAGTTGTGCCCATGGTTCTCCTTCTCCTCATTTAATCCCCACCACAACCCCATGGGGTAGGCTAGGCTGAGAGGGACACCCAGTGAACTTCATGGTTGGGTGGGAATTTGAACTCTGGTCTCAAAGGTCCTAGTCCGACACTCTAACCACTGCACCATACTGCCTCTTCTGTGAGTGAACGGTTGTGGCTTGGAGATGCTGTGTCCGTGAAGGTCTCTCTTCTGGTATGTTAGTCTTCTAGGTTTGGCTGAATGAATAACACGTTGAGGGAGTAAAGTTCTGGGTCTTTCTTACATTTTTGCCCGAAAGGTGTCTACCTTCTATTTTTATCCTCCTCTCCCTTTTGCCCCCCTCCCCACCACCGGGACAGAATGCAGAGTTTGGGTTGTCCCTTCTGCTTCTAAGAAACAGCTTTGCAACTCCTGTGGTTAAGGAAATCAACTTGGTAACTTTCTCTCTCCCCCCCCCCCCCAGCAAGCGCCTCCACGACATCAAAGGATCCCCACCACCCCGCCGTCAGCTGTCCAGGGGCAGAAGGTGGGCTCCCTCACTCCCCCGTCCTCCCCCAAGACTCAGCGAGCGGGACACCGGAGGATCCTGAGTGACGTGACGCACAGCACTGTCTTCGGGGTCCCAGCCAGCAAATCAACACAGCTTCTGCAGGCAGCGGCTGCTGAGGCCAGCCTCAACAAGTCCAAGTGGGTATTTTTTTTGGGGGGGGGTCTCTTCTTCCTGCTAAATGACCCTTTGTGCATTTTGATTCTCTTTACGTTTTGTTCTGATGTGGGGCAGCCTGCCTCCGTCTGCCTTTCTTGTGCCATGTCCTAATAGCCTTCCTGCTGTTGCTCTTGGAACGAACAGAGGCATGTGCTTGAGTTGCAAGAGGAGCATTTATAACCCTGGGCTAGCAACTAAGCTTAACATAAGAACACCAGAAGAGCCTGCTGGATCAGGCCAATCGCCCATCTAGTCCTGTTCTCACAATGACCAGCCAGAGGCTTGTGGGAAACCTGCAAGGAGGATTCGAGCACAAGAACACCCTCCCTTTCTGTGGTTTCCAGAAACTAATATTCAGAAACATGGCTGCCTCTGACTGTGGAGGCAGAGCATAGGCATCATTGCTATGCTCCTCCATCATGAATTTGTCAAATCCTCTTTTAAAGTGTATGTTATTGTGATTGAAGAGGCTTTTGTCTGGGCCTCTGTTTGGGGAAGAGACGCTAAAGGGTGTGTGTGTGTGTGTGCGCACGTGTGTGCGCGTGTGCGCATGTGCGCACGTGCACACACACACACACACGGCTTGTCTTTGAGATATGGAGCTATCCTGTGGACCAACTTCACTGCTGGGCTGGGTTTCCAGTTGAAAGTACAGGCAACCCCTATTTGTGGTGTGTATTGTGACATTCTAAGGCACCACATGTTTAAGTGAAATTGTTACAGTCATACCTCAGGTTGAAGTAGCTTAGAGTTGAGCATTTTTGGGTTGTGCTCTGTGGCGACCCAGAAGTAACGGAGCGCGTTACTTCCAGGTTTCGCCGCATGCGCAGATGCTCAAAATGATGGCATGCGCGGAAGTGGCAAATCACGACCTGCGCAGACGCGGGTTGCATTCGCTTCAGGATGCGAACAGGGCTCTGGAACGGATCCTGTTAGCATCCAGAGGTACCACTGTATATTTGAAACAATTGGAAAAGCTTGCAAACACCTTGTTCTGTCCCTTTTTGCTTTTCCCGTGTGCGTGTAAATGGCGGGGGGGGGAGGGGAGTTGCCTGTATGAATCTGTGTGGACAATTTTCAGGCTCACAGATCTGAACAGAACTTCAAAGTCTACCCAGTTGCATATTCAGCACACATTCAACAGCACCTGTAGACATTGCAATGCCGTTAGGAAATAAAGATGGCAACTGAATGTCCTGTTTTTGTTCCCTTTTCGGGGTGGCTTCCTCCAGGTCTGCCTCGACAACGCCTTCTGGATCCCCCAGGACATCACAGCAAAATGTCTACAATCCACCAGATGTCTCTACTTGGAACCCTTTTGATGACGACAACTTCTCTAAGCTCACAGCAGAGGAGCTGCTGAACAAGGATTTTGCAAAACTGAGTGATGGTTAGTGCATTCCAGTAGTGGCTAAAGTGCCCTCAGAGTGGAAGCTGTGGCAGCCTAGGCTGTTGAAGATGAAGGGCCTCGCAAAACTTTCTAGGCTGTTCCTTGAGAACAAAGCTGGCTTTTTTTAAGGCTCTCTTGGTCCAGTGGCCTAAATCAAGACCATTGGAGTTCTCATAATCGGTCAGACAGAGGTCCCATCCCCTGCACTTGATAGATTTCATATTTCAAGGTTAATTTGGCACAACATAATTCTACTTGCTGATTTTACTATTGGGTTCCAGTTTCACCTTCCAGGCTTCTGAGGCTACAGAGGGAAACAGCTGTGGTAGCAGTATATGACCATTGCTGGCTGACTTCTCCTGAAATAGACTTGAAATAGACTTCCCCTGAAATCATCTACAGTGTGATCAGCAGATGTGGGCCGGTGTTGTGCGAGTCCACTGGCAGTTGCGTTTATACTGTGCTACCAGCCAGAGTTCACTATCCTCAATGCTTTGTCAGAACCATCAGCGGCATAAGATTTTTAAATGCAATTGTTGCATTTCTTAGTATCCTAGTTGCAACCAAAAGACCTACCATATGTTGTTTCTCTCACAGTGCAAACCTATGCTTGTTTGCTTGGAAGTATTCTCACTCTGTTCAGTGTGGACTATTCCTTAGCATGTTTTTATGATTGTAGACTGGCACCGGTTTCCTCCCCAAAAAAGCATCAGGAACAAACCTAGTAAGAGTGAAGGAGCAACATGTGGAGTTTCTGTTTGGCTTAGTTGCTGATCCTTAAAACTGAGAAACCAGGTCTAGCTCTGGCTTGCAATAAATATGAATAATAGTAATATCCAGGGGGGTTGGAATATTTCCAAGATATGCTTAGCAACTCATGATGCATAAGAGCACTTAATAACCAGGTTCTTGATTAATTTGTAATATAAAGATAAATCCAGCTCCTTTGTTGGCTTGTTAGTAATAATAGATGAATCAAACCAACTTTTATTTCATCCGGAGCTGTTGACATTTTTGCTGGTGGCTGCTTGTTTAGAAAGAGCTAAATGTTGGCACTGTGCAGTAGGCCTGTCAAGAGACTCATGGTGTGCTCAGGTATGGTCTGTTGCTCTGTCCAACAAATTGCCCTGCCAGGTCAGGGTGGCCAGAAACAAGATGAATCCTTTCACCACAGGTGGCATCCATTCATCTCCTATATGAGACATGACAATCGAGAGAACTGCCCCAGACACATGGAAACATCTGGAGAGACCTATTGGACTGGAGACTTTAATATGCATTATAAACCACTTCTAACATCCAGCTGCTGTTAATGCCTTTTCCCAAGAAATGGCAGGATTTTGTTGTTGTTTCTTATTGTATTTTAGATTATATAAAATATATAAAAAAATAACCAGGTCCTTGGAATTTCAGGTAAACTTCCGGAGAAGCTGGGTAGCTCCGCAGAGAATCTGATCCCAGGCTTTCAACCGGCTCCTTCCACAACACAGGCAGATGCGTTTGGCTCATCTCCTCTTGCACCTGTGTCAGGTATGCCCAGATGGGATGTTATTTGCAGCTCCGACCAATTCAGTGCAGAAGGTCTTTCCAATGGAAGCAGGCAGCGCTTGTCAGGCTGATTCTGGACTCTGCTTGTGTCTCTTTCAGTTGCCATCAGGGGAGATGGAAGGCAGGCTACAAGTGGGCATTATGAGGCTGGCCAGGCTGAGGATAGGGGAGTACAGGGCCTCAGCTGCAAGTCGGTCAGCTATGTTTGGGCCAGGTGACCCCCATATCCAGATCTCCAGCCCAGGTTCCCTGAGGGGGAAGGACCTTTATTGTGAAGTGTTTCAGGCAGAAGCTGCTGCCCTGTTGGCTAAGCAGAAGGACCAGGTTCTTGGCATTTGTACCAAGCCTGGTCCATTGGGAGGCTTATTACTGCCTGCCATTCACAGGGGTTGGCACTGCACACTCCAGTCTATCCTGTGCCTGGAGAGGACTCGTGGTCCTGGGTAGTTGTTAGGCCAGGACCCAGCCTCAAGCTGTGAGGCTCTTCATTCACTTAGCCGAGTGCGGGCAGCACCTGCATCAGAGATGAATCAACAAGTGGAAAAAGTGGGGACCCGGGAAGGGCTGTACTTGATTCCATCTGGAGTGGACAGTTCATTAGCTTCCTTCTAAAACCTGGGTGCCTTCTGCAGGCTTAGAGAAGCTGACCAGCCTAGATCCAGTCCTGCCTCTAATCTCATGGAGAATGATCAGGTTTTTATTGAGTCTGGCTGGTTTCTGGAGCTGCTGGAAGCCCCTGCTGTGTGCTGAGACCACCTGGGAGAAGAGCACAGGGCTTTAAGAATAGTCGGCAAGTAGCCTGAATGTGTGCTTTACCTGCTATATTTTCATGTTAAATGCTAAATGCGATGAAGCAGCAACGGTGGCCCAGAATGATGTTTTTTAGAGCTTTGGTGGATACTCCATAAAACACAAACCTGGTAGTTGTCATAAATTCTGGAGTGACTTCAAGATTATGCTACTTAAGCTTTTCCCAATCCGCTGTCCTCTAGACATTTTTGGACTCCCGTCATCCTAGAACATGGCAACTCGGGCTGATGGGAGTTCCAGGAGCCACCAGTTTGGGGAAGGCTGTCCAACTGCAATGTGCTGTATGTGTGGCTGACTTTGAAGATAGTTTGGGAACTTCCTTTATTTATTTATTAAAAACATATCCTGCTTTTTACTATGTAGGTCTCACAGCAAAAATAAAATACACAATGCACAAATTTTAAAACTCGAATTAAAGCTCCAAAGTCTAAAACTTCAGGAATTTAAAATCTCGAGAAAAGAAAAAAGGGAAACATCTGAGCAGCATTCAGGGTGCAAAGGTCTACTTGAATAAAACAGTTTTGACCAGACACCTGAAACTCAGTTATGGGTGGTGCCAGTCTAACTTCTTGTGGGTAGGCCCTCCATAGAGTTGGGCCCACAACATTGAAATATGAGTCATGCTTCCAGCTTTCAGGTAGTGCGCAACTCAGAGGTCCGCCTGTGAACAGTTGTGGGCCTATCTTCTCATCTCTTGTCTCCTGAAGCAGCTGCGCTGGCTGCCATTTGATCATGGGACAATTCAAAGTGCTGGTTTTGACACTTAGAGCCATAAACTGCTTGAGTTCTGATTATCTCAGGGGATGTGTCTTTACATTTAAGATCATCTGTAGAAATCCCGCTGTGTGTTCCAGATAAACCATTGCAAGGAGCAGGGAATATGGGATTGTTTTATATCGGTTTATTTGTTTTAATGTTTTGTATTTTTTTTTACAGAGCAGGGTCTTCTGTGCAGCAGCCCCATTGCTCTGGAACTTTTCCCCAAGGGAGGTTCATTCAGCCTCAGCCGTCTTGGAGAAGTCCAATGTTTTTCAGAGGGCCTTTGATTTCTGGCGCTGCTTGCCTCTGCTCTGCTTTTTGAGGGTTTTATCGATTTGATTTTGCCATTTTTATTGGATGGTTTTATAAACCATTATGAAACTTAATGAATAGTGGTATAAAGCTGTCGGTAAGAGTAATAATATAGTATAGCCATGCATCTTGATTTAGAGACTTCACTCAGTGGCGACACTCTCAAAGAAACACAGTAGCCCTCCCCAAGACTAACAGAACATATGAATAATGAATTAATCCTCGTCATGTGATCTGTTGAGTCTGGAGAGGGTAGAATGACCTGATACCCTTGGAAGAAGAGTTGTTACTTTGGTTCTGTGGGTGGTCTACTGTGACCTTGGATCAACTCACCAATAATTCACTGATAAACTTTTTGGTTGAGTGGCAGAATAATATCTGCAGCTTGCTGGAGGGATCCCATGGGGGTGGGAGGGTAATACTGCCGTACCCCCAGATGCATGTGGCAATTAAATGACTTTTCAATGCATCTTTGGTCTGTTTGGCATCTCCCTGTGCTCTGCTTGACATCTCTCTCTCTCTCTTCCTCTCTCCCTCCCTCTCCCCATTCCTTCCTTTCCTAACTTCCCCCTTGCTGCTCACCCAGCTGAAAAAACAAAAGATATCCTGGACTCTAGCCCTCCACTTCTGGCTGTTCCTGATCCTTTCATTCCTCTTCCACTATCAGATACGCCAGGTAACTGTGACTTGCATAAACAAGATGGGATTTAGCAGAAGGGATCCCACTCAAACGTGTTGCCACCCAAAGTGACTGTTTGGGTGGCCTTGTATACAAATGTCAGTAAGTGAATTCAGATGGTGTGTTATATCGAACCATTCACAGTACGACTTGAGATTCACCTGTTTGCTTCAGCGTGCTTCCTGGAGGTACCTGGATGCCAGCAGCTACCAAAGGGGCTCCTCTGAGCACCCTTCTGGTCCTAACTTGGTTCTTGGGTGGGTTGGGTTCATTTGGCCTTGATCTTTTAAGATCATGGTAGAAAATGTATTAGTGGATGTTGTCTCTTAGGTAACCTATAAATATTGGCCTGGCAGGCTGTCAGGGACTCATCAGAAGTTACTGGGGTGGGGAGTGTTGCAATAAGAGAATGATGGATAAATCCATATGTACCAGCTGAACATTTTAAAATCTATTAATTCGATGAAAGGACCCTGTTCTGCTTCTCCTTTCATATCAGTGGGTTTTCATGGGATCTGTTCCCAGTGTTACCTGGCTTTTATTTTTATTTTTTAAATAGTGCTTTATTTGCTACTCATGGGCTGCAACTGCTAATGGAAATGTAACTGCTGCAAGAAGGACAGAGGTGACGGCAAAGCATCTGTTCAAATACTGAGAAATGAGAAGTTCAGGCTCAGGCATTCATCTTCTCTTGCCTTGGAATGGAAGGGAGCCAAGTCTCTTTAAAATAAGCTCATGGCAGGCTGTCTTGCTTGATTAGTCATTACAGAGTGTGGTAATGCTTTTAATTCTGTGCACTAGTTCCTCCCCCCTCTTTTTTCTCATGAGGATGAGCCCTCCCAGCCACAAGGCAAGGTAAGGGCGGTGACTGGCTGGCATGTCCTGTCCAGCATAGTTTCACTATCAATGGTTAAATTCACAGCCTTCGAGGAGATTCTCCCTCTCTGGCTGCTGTTTTAACAACATATGCTGCAGTCAAATGAAAGCATAGCAGAACTGCAAGCCCTTCTCTCTGATGTCTGTTATTTCATAAATAAAACGAGGTACCAGTGGTGAGAATGATGATCAGGCCAATAGCTGTTACATGCAAAATTTTGTTTCTAGAAAATCTCTTTTCATCTCCCCACTTAAACCCAGCCCTGCAAAGCAATTTTTTTAATAGTCCTTATAGCTGTATAGACATACTTGAAAGGATAGTGGGGGGACCTGCTTGCTGAAATCTTAGTAGCCACATGGGTAGATTTCCAAAGTCCCACAGCGTAACTACCGTATTTTTCACTCTCCTGGCTTCAGGGATAGCTGCGCAGCCTGCATTCGCTCCACAAGAAGCACACACATTTCCCCTTACTTTTTAGGAGAGGAAAAGTGCATCTTATAGAGCAAAAAATACGGTACTTCTCTGCTCTTCCTCCAAGACTAGCAAAACCCAAAATAATTTATGCAGTGCAAAAGAAGCATTGCGTGTTTTCTGGATAGCAGATTCAGTTTTTTCCTTGAGCTGTGTTTGGATTTCACAGACAAAAGGCATGAAATATGTGCTTTCCTTTCTCCTTCTACAGTTTTAGCCGCCCCTTGTAACAAGCTCCTAAGATGGGATTGACTTGTTTTGGAGAACAACATGTGCCCTTTGGTTTGTTGACACCTCAAAGGTTAAAAACAAGGCAGCCGCCTAGAGCAGCTGCTTGGAAAGGCGCCATGGTCTTTAGCCAGCCTTTGCCAAATTGGTGCCCTCCAGATGTTTTGGACCGCAAGTCCATTAGCCCCAGCCAGCATGGTCATTCTCCCATCAGCTGCAGTGCTATACAGCTGTGCTGGCTAGGGCTGATGGGCGTCGTAGTCCCAAAACATTTGGAGGGCACTAGGCTGGCAAAAGCTGCTCTTAAGCCTGGTATTCTGAATGTGCTGTTTGACGGGATTCTTACTAGATAGTTTTTCTTCCCCAGCTGATGTCCAAGGAAAAGGACTCTGCTGCTGTGTGCTTTATTGAAATAGCTGTCCTTTTCTTTCCTTCCATGGTTGAAGAGTGAGTAACATGCTCAAAAAGCCTATGGGGTGGTTTTTTGTTTTGTGCATCTTGATTATTCAAAGTGATAATTAATAATGGTTGAATTGCATTTTGGGAGAGTTTCTTTTTTCCACCCTAATTAAGGATGCCTGCTGTAACTTGTGCACTGTTTGTTTATTTTTGGATGTTTAGCCAGGACATGCAGACAGCATGGGGTGGTTTTAAAAGAGAAGTCCAGGTGGCAAAAGCAAATATTTTTATCCCCAAGGTCACTTGCTGAAACAGCTCCACCTGACTCAACCGTGCCCACTGCAACCTTGCGCAAGGGTAAAGTAATACTGACATCCACCTTCCACCTGCTTTGCAAAGCTGACAAAGGGAGCAGCAGCCCCTGAAAACCGATGGGAATAAGGGGGGTGGGGTGGAGCTTGCAACAACTTTCTTCTGTTGCCTTTCCTTCTCCTCTCCGTGTGGAAGAGGAGGCCCCTGTTCTCAGCAGGAGCCCTGTGTTGTCGTTTTTTATATCTTGTAGCTGTTGGTATTCATCTGTCTTGAGAGACAATGGAGTGCACCTCCAGGGGTGAAATCAAACAACACCGCTAGCAGCACTGATGACCTTCCTGGGGCTCAAGCCTGGGCAGTGTTTATGGAGGTCCTGGATTGCCCAGATGATAAGACTCCCCTCTTGGCCTTACTAGTGTGGTCCAAAGGAAAGCCGAGCAATAGGTTTGGCACCAGTTTGGCTATAGGAGTTGCTGGAAGGAAGCATACAAGGCACCATCCATCTGCCTTAGGGACTCCACCCTGGCTTTCTCCTTAGTCCTTTCTTCTCCTGAATCCCAGAAGGCAGCAGAGGTTTAGGATCAGAGTTTTCATTCTCATAATTCCCAGGTTGATGAGCCCCATCTGCCCCTCATTTCCCTCTACAGTGAATCATGCAAAAATCACATTCTTGACCATTGGACCCACTCATCCGCCAGAGCCTGTCTTCACATGTAGGTGAAGTCCCTAACTCACTGAGGGTTTGAGGCCCATTGGCTACCCTCACCTGGTTTAGCCATTTTTTACATCACTTATTTTATTTTTATTTATTTATTGCATTTATATCTTACCTTGTTCTCCATGGAGCCCAAAGTGGAGTACATGGTCCTTCCTCTTTAATCTCATTTAATCTCCATAAACAACCCTGTGAGATAGGTTAGACTGACAGCCAAGTGCCCCCCTCCCCATAAATGAGCTTCATGGCCCAGGTCCTATCACACTGGCTCTGATAGGATATCACTGTATGCATTTGTTCAGAAGCACATCCCATTAAGGTCAACACTCCCAGATAAGTTGTACGCTACGGCTGCTGTCGTATTCATCAGGGGGTGGGGAACTGAATCTGGTTAGCGACTGGATCCAAAAGTCTCCCACCCCACAAGCCGCTTTGGCAAGTGAGTGGGACACCCCACGTGTCAGTGCACATGAGGTCAGGTGCTTTAACTTCAAAGGGAGAATTAGCACATTCTAAAATGTGCTCCCAATTCTTCCTTTCCAGCTGGAATTCTGCACTTTTTGAATTTGTTGCTTCAGGTCTAGTGCTGAATTGCACCAGTGGCTGGAAAAGAGGAATCAGTCTGGTTTTTTTATTCCCATGTCCATTTTAAGATTCCCCCCCCCCTTTCATGCAGATCCTGGTTACTTAAATGTGCATGCACACAGCAAATCAGCCAGAGAAAAATTTGCACACAGCTGTTGAGAGATTCAAAGCCCTCTTCATGCAAATCTACTAATTGCAGTCCTCCAGGAATATAATTTGCATAATGCATAATTCATTTTGTCTTTGGGGGACAAAAGGCCAAAAGAGAGAGAAAGAAATCATGTTGGCTTCTGGGATGTGAGAGTCCCAAATAGAGAAGTCAAGCCACTTATCACTGTGTGACAATGGCAGATATTCAAGAGATCTTGGAGACAATAATTGCACCTGCTTCTGCTTGAGTGTAAATTAAGGGAGGTTCTGGCTTTACTGCACCAAATCAACTTTGGGAGCTTCTGTGCACATTATGAGGATGGTGCAAAGCACTGAAATTAAACAAGAAGCTCTGAAATGCTGCACCAAACCTGTCCCCTGTGGTTGCCATGCTGGCTGGGATTGATGGGCGATGTAATTTGTACACCTGGAGGGCATCAGGTTGGGCAAGGCTCCCCTGTGGCATGAGGTCCCAGGTCACAACCGAACATCTGCCATAAAACTGCTGTAGCAGAACATGCAGGTTGCTGAAAACATCCTTGGCAGATTTGGAGGGAGAAGGGACATCTATAGGACTTTCCCCTATACATTCCAGGGAGTGAGACCACAGAAAGTACACAGCCCAGAATCATAGAATCATAGCATCATAGAGTTGGAAGAGACCACAAGGGCCATCGAGTCCAACCCCCTGCCAGGCAGGAAACACCATCAGAGCACTCCTGACATATGGTTGTCAAGCCTCTGCTTAAAGACCTCCAAAGAAGGAGACTCCACCACACTCCTTGGCAGCAAATTCCACTGTCGAACAGCTCTTACTGTCAGGAAGTTCTTCCTAATGTTTAGGTGGAATCTTCTTTCTTGTAGTTTGGATCCATTGCTCCGTGTCCGCTTCTCTGGAGCAGCAGAAAACAACCTTTCTCCCTCCTCTATGTGACATCCTTTTATATATTTGAACATGGCTATCATATCACCCCTTAACCTCCTCTTCTCCAGGCTAAACATGCCCAGCTCCCTTAGCCGTTCCTCATAAGGCATCGTTTCCAGGCCTTTGACCATTTTGGTTGCCCTCCTCTGGACACGTTCCAGTTTGTCAGTGTCCTTCTTGAACTGTGGTGCCCAGAACTGGACACAGTACTCCAGGTGAGGTCTGACTGGAATCCCACTGGACAATTCACCCCTGGCCTTAGGTATTAACTAGGATTAATGCTTTTATTTTGGCCACGTGCAATAAAAGGGGGGCAACGATTTGTAGGGTGTGTGACTCATCGTTCTATGATGTAGCTAATACCATGCATGGTTGTTTTGCAAAGTTTTTGTGAACTAACCACAGCACTTGCACAGAAACAGGAGCATGCAGTTTACAGGTCTCTGTGTTTCATGAATGCCTTTGGGATTCTGCAGCTCTCCTTACACACAGAAGTGCATTTGAGCCGTGGCCTGCTGGTACCCATTCCTGAAGACATGGAGTCGGGGAGGGCGGGAGAAAGTTACTAATGCCAATTATGTACTTTTACTGGGACTGTTTCTTCTCTCCATGTTGATAAGCTGAGAGAAAAGCTGTGTGTCTCTGTCTGGTGGTGGGGCAGCTTCAGATGAAATGTGGCCATTTGAGATTTTTGCAGTCCTAACACCTCCTTTTATTTCTTTACTGATTTTCTCCTTCTATCATTTATGTTAAATGCCCACTTCCAGACATATTCCAGGCATCATCAAGTATGAGTGAGCCTAGAAAACTGAGCACTCTTAAGAGGTTAATTGAAATCCTACACTTTAAAAATCCAGTGTGTCTCCAAAAAAACCCAACCACACTCAAACTAAAAGGAACAGGAAATGCAGATTGATTAATTTGTACAGTTTAGCTTGGCGCTTTGGGTTTTGTTGTGTGTGTGTGTGTGTTTGAAAAGGAGTCAGCAACAATTCTGGGCCAATTCTCTACTGGCTAACAAGATGTTTTAGTGCAAGGATGCTAGAACGTTCACTGTGATGAGCCAATTAAATGGGACACCTTGGGGAGGTTACAACAAGTAAAAAAAGTGTTTGTGGTCTTGTTTCTGTTTATGTGATTCAGTTATTAAAGGACCAGCTGGAAAAATCCAGGGCCCTGACTTTTCAGGTTGTTGCATGCTTAACCAAAGGATCCATATCTGCAATTAAATGCATATATTGGTGAAAATAACCCTGATAGAAATCCTTTAAATGTTAGATGCATTGTTGACCTTGTTGAACAACTGCTGTTCTGCTTTAACCAATTTTTGTGTGATTTTTGCTTTATTTCTTTCTGCTTCTCTCCTTCCTCATTTCCTGCTCTCTCCCCCTCCCCTGCTAGAAAAACTGATTGAGGGCCTCAAATCTCCTGAGCCTGCACTCCTCCTCCCTGATATCCTGCCTCTCGCTGATCCCTTCGGTAGCACCCCTGATGCTGTGAATGGTAAAATCCTGAAAAGCCTCTCTGGCATGTTCTGTCCTGCATGTTGACCCACCAGTATTGCATGTTTTGAACCGTGGCAAGCATGTGCCCAGAGGTCAAGCCAGCCAGAGCCCACAAAAAGTGACTTTGGGAGACAGAGGGTCATAGGATGTTGTTCAGTGTTTGGAATTCACTAGCCTATCGCTGAGTCTGCGAATCAGACATGTGAAGTTCCTTCACCCTGGGCATCACTGCCAAACCATCCCCTTCCCTTGTTCCACTAATTCTCCACTTTCTGTAATCTATCACTTCTTCCTCTCATTTTTATCCTTCCCAAGTGGGAAACTCAGGCCAGATCTACATGTGCAGCAAAAATGGGGTGGTAGAGTCCTGATGTAAATGGACTTCAAATTATACAGGAGGGCAGGAAAGGTTCATTCACTGGGCAGACGCGGGGAATCTTTGGCTCTTCAGATGTTATTGAACTTGCAGCTCCAGTCGGCGCTAGCAAACATGGTTGATGGCTAAGAATGATGGGAGTTGTAGTTCAGCAGCATCTGGAGAGCCAAAGGTTCCCCACCTTGGGGGGGGGGACCAAATCATTGGCTGAGCTCAGATAAACAGAAGTATGAGATTACTTTACTCCATATATGCCCACTTGACCTCTTTGATCGGCAAAACTGGCATTGTTACAGGTGCCACGTAATACCTGTCCAGTGTTCGTAAGAATTTGAAATTTTAGTGTGGAAGCACTGGATCTCGCTGCCTGTGGATATCAGGCAGGTGCCTTCACTGTATTCTTATCAGCACTTGCTAAAAACATATTAGTTTAGGCAAGTCTGTCCAAGTATCTAGAATGCCAGTGCAAATTGTAATCTGTTCCTCTATACCATGCATAATTTTATATGCTTCTAGCATGTTGTCTCCTACTCACCTTTTCCCTAAGCGAAAAAGTCCCAAACGTCATAAGGGAGTCTCTCCATCCCCTTGATCATTTTGGTTGCTCTTTTCTGAACCTTTTCCAACTCTACAATATCCTTTCCAAGGTGAGGCAACCAGAACTGTACCGGGTATTCCAAATGCAGTTGCGCCATAGATTTACTTAATTGTACTGTATTATGATACTGGCAGTTTTATCTTCCGTTCCTTCCCTGGTGATCCCTAGCACGGAGTTTGCCTTTTTCACAGCTGCCCTACACGGGGTCGACATCTTCATTGAGCTATCTACTATGACCCCCAAGGTCTCGTTCCCAGTCATTCACCTACAGTTCAGTCCCTTTGAGCTTATAGGTGAAATTAATATTCTTTTTGCCCTGACGTGCATCACTTTGCACTTTTTTACATTGAATTGCATTTGCCATTTTGCTGCCTATTTCTTCAGTTTGGAGAGGTTCCTTTCGCAGCTCTTCGCGATCTCTTTTGTTTTAAAGAGCCTGAGCAATTTAGCACTGTCAGCAAACTTGGCTACCTCACAGCTCACCCCTAACTCTAGATGGTTATGAGCAAGCTAAAAAGCTCTGGTCCCAATTCTGATCCTTGGGAGACTCCACTTTCTACTTCGTTCCATCCAGAGAGATGTCTATTTATCCCTCCTCTCTGCAATCTACTAACTTAACCCATCCCTGATCCACCAGAGGGCCTCACTTCACCCCCCCTCCCCACTTTCCTGCTCTGAAATGATGCGTTCACCTATTTCTGCTGTGTTTCTTCTTGCATCCTTAGAAATGGTTTGGCATGCCTGGGTCTCTCTTGCTCTTGAGGAGCCTCAGTGCTTTTATCCTCAGATTTTTGTTTCTCTCTGCTGCATTCTTTCCCTTGCTCAAAGACTTAAAAGCCCGGGATACGAAACACCCTCTGGCCCTTGCAAGCCTAAGCTCCCAGAGCATCCTGAATGGGCCCAGACAAGGCTGGCTGGCTGGCCTAGTCCATCCTCTGGTCTCCCTTGTGTCATATCTTCCCTTCACAAAGCTGAGAATCAAATTGGGGTTTTAAAAGCTGTGCATGTATGGAATAGCCATAAATATATACCTGATGTTCCTTTTCCAAAAATGTATCTTGAAGGGTGCAATTAAGCCACCAGTGTTGCAAGCACATCTTTTTTTCAGTTCAATGCATGCCATAATCCTGGACACTTTTTGAAAGCTAAAGAGACCCTTCCTAAGCATTTTAAGTAGCAAATTATTTCCAGCTGCCTATTTGCCAGAAGAAGAAATCGAACCAGCTACCGAAGTTTCATGGCATGTTAAAGCCAAGCCTTATAATGAAGCTGAATCACAGGAGTCTGGGCTGCATGCTTCCGTTTTTGAGACTTGTCTACATGTGTTAGAAAGCACATGGGGGCAATAAGGAACGTGAGCCTGACAGGCTCCATCTGCTCATCCCTAGCAACGAGAGAAGCTCTGCTGTGCAGAATACATCCAAACAGCACAGCTCAGTGGGCAGGGCCAGTTGCCCAGGGCGTCCCCATCTTCGCCTGGCCAAAGGGTCAGGTTGAAAGAACCCCTGCAGTTGTCCCTGCCCACATGATTCTGCATCCTGGAGGGGCATGGAATCTCCTCCCGTGGCTGTGGCATTGCTGCTGTCAGAGGTACGTCTGGAAAGGAACCTCACTGACACTCGGAAGTTTGGGCTTGCACAGGTCTGCCAGTGTGCTGGGTCTTTCTTGTTCTGTGCTTTCCTGGGTGTCCAGGAATGCACAGTTGTGCCGATGGGAATATCCCTTTGAAAATCACCCTCGGACTAAACTGACATTTAGTAGTGGGCAATCCAGGTGTTGGAATGTCTCTGCCTGCAGTAGGATGTCCAGGGCTTAGTGTTTCAGGCTATGGCCTTCTCTTCCTTTCTTCCTCTGCTGAACCTCACCTAACTTTGGCTTCTGCTCTGTTCCTTTGTGCCTTCGGAAAGGAAAAGCTGAACTAACAGTTGAGAGTCTCATCCCAGGCCTTGAGGCTCCTGTGTCGCAGCATATATCATCGCAGACAGACTCTGTGGCTTCAAACAGAGCAGGTTGGTGGGGGCTTGAGCTCAGGCGGGCCATGATGTCAAGCTGGTGACATCATGATGAAGAAATGGGTGGGCTTCTGTGTCTTCCAGTCTCAGCAATGGGGCATTGCCTGCAAGCTGAACTTTCCTTTAGAGTGCTAATTTGAAATCTTAAAAAGATCCATACACCTTCTCTGGGGTATATATATATGCGCACAACCTCTCTCCAAATGCTACACATTTAAATAAGGCAAAGTATTAAACAGCATAACATTCTGCAATCTGCAGCCTTGGCATTGTCAACACCACACTCTCACAGAGCTAACAGATTAGAATCAGTCTCATCTACAGTTCAGCCCAGAGTGCTGTAGCTGTAATCCTCCTATCACATTGAATTTCAACTCCTTAAAATCCAGAGCTGTTAAATAAGCAGCAAGGCATCTCCCAAAGCCCTTTAAGCTGATATTTTTAAGAACACCACCACCACCTGAAATCAATTTATTTGTTCAGAGGCTGCTTGTATATGCCGAGTCCTTTCAAAACGACTAATTTTGTCCCCACTTCAGCCCAGGATTTTAAAAACTGATGCATTAAAGCTCAGGATGAGTTGCAAGCAGATAGCTTGCCAGGTGTGACTGCTAACCTCCTCTTCTCTGTACTGTTTTCTTGCTTGCTAACCGGGGGACCATCAGATTCTGTCACTGGGGAGGACTCCCTGCTTGACTGCTCTCTGCTTTCTAATCCTGCTGCTGACCTTCTGGATGAGTTTGCTCCTTTAGCCGTTTCAACCCAAGCTCACAAAGGTAAAGTACCTTTAAGTGTTGTGTACAAATGGGAGAGGAGGTTGGGGAATGTGAGAAATGTGCAACATGAAAGTGGTGGAAGCATCTGTGTTGAAAGCTGTGGTGGTCCCTGTGTGCCAAGGCAGGATGGTGGTTCAATTAGTAGGATCCTGTTAATTCCAAATTATTTTTGTGTGCCAAATGACAATGCCTTGATTTCTTCTTTCCTGGGTCCAGTGTGATCTCTTAACATGAGTTTCTGGGGGCTGGATGGGGGTGAACCCCTACGTTGGCACGCCCTTCCTCTTCCTTTCTCTTCAGATCCCAGTGCAAAACTTCCTTCTTCCATGAACATTTTTGTCATAGCTCTTTCACAGTTGATGCAGCTTAGTGGCCAAGTGTTTGAGCTGCAAGTTGGGCTCATAGGAAGTGAGCGACACACTATTTCAACCACTCCCAACCTGGTGCCCTCCAGATGTTTTGGTTCGCAACTTCCATCAGCCTGGGGCAGCCTGGCCATATGATTCTCAAGCTGACAGGAGCTCTGCTGTGCTGCCTGGAGATGGTGGGAACTGCAGCTCAGACAGGTTGAGGTGCCAAGTTGGGAATTTGCCCAGCCTGGTCTGAAATAATGGGCTTCAAAATTGCTGGCGTTCCTTCAGCGCTTGCCTGTGGAGTTCTTTCTCTTCCTCTGGTCTCTCCATCCTCACTCTCTAAATGTAAGCTGCTTGTGGGGCAGGCCCACCAACAGAGGCGAGCAGCTGTAAACCTCTGGCAGTTGAATCCTTTGGGTGTAATCTGATATCGAGGGCTGCGTGCCTGTGCTCCACTTGGTTGTGTCAGATGTTGCTTCTCAGCATCGTTTGCTTGTGTTCCCCTGTAAAGAGCAGGGCCTTTTCATTGGTGGCTCCCTGCTTGCGGAATGCTCCCCCTGGGGAGGCTCGCCTGGCACCATCGTTGCATATCTTCAGGCACCAGGCAAAAAGATTCCTTTTTAACCAGGCCTTTTGCTTTTAACTACTTATGACCTTTTAGAGAGGGTGGGATATTTTAATGTATCACCTCCCTCCCCAGTCTTCATGTGTGCGGGTTTGCTCTGGGTCGCCATGACATAAAAGCAACTAATACATTTAACAAATAATAATGATGGTGATACGTGCCCTGGATGCACATGGCTAGCACTAAATAAATTAATTGTCCTCTTGGCACATATGCAGTGCTTTAGGAACGGCTGACCGCTGCCATGTGTGTTTCGCAGTGTAGCTTCAGGCCTTTGGGAATGAGCTTTCCAAATCTGGCCTGGTCCCACCTCCCCAGCCCAGGCTGGCCATTGGCTCTGTGTTGGGCAGGAAGGGATATAAGGACTTCTTTCCAAGCTGAGCCTTGCTTGAACATAGGAGGAAGTGAACATAGTAAGCTGCCTTATACAGAGTCAGACCATTAGCCTGTCCAGAATTGCCTGTGCTGACTTGCAGCAGCTCCCAGCCCTATATGGAGATGCTGAGGATCAGAGGCACCAAGTGCCGTGCAACAATTGGGCTGTTGCATGATCACATGCAACAGGTGGTTGAACCACGCCAGAGGCCTCGTCCTGGCTCATCCCATTTTGGGCAGCCCCATCACCGCATACTTTGGGAGGCTGAGGTCCATAGGTTGCATATGCTGATGACCTGGACCCACATTCAGGTGCTCTGCGGCTGCGACCAGACCTGGACCATCTGTGTTGGCGGCTTTCTGTGTTCTCTCTCTTGCCCGGGCCCCTCGCAGCCGTTTCTCCCCTGCCTGTGGCCCAGGCCCCGCGCAAAACCTTTAGTCTGCTGAGTTCTAGTACATCAGCATCTTTTCCTGGACATAATGAGATGGACAGCAAATGTTATGACAGAACCAGTTTTTTATCAGTAGTTCAGTGAGCAGTAGATCCATGTCACTAGAAAGAGAGTTCTAGCTTTTCTAAACATTAGATGAGGTTCTGGGAGGGTGTTTGGTACACCCCAGAGTGTGGGCTCTTGGTTTAACAGTTAGACATGTCAGGGATTCTTTAGTTGTGGTTCCTGCATTGCAGGGGGTTGGACAATAGTCTCCATATATAACAAAAGAATTAAAATTGGAGACCATCAACTAGCCATTATGGAAAGATGTGTTGTTAATTCCCAACATTAGCCTGGCAGAATAGAAGAGTCTTCAGCAGGTGTTTAAAGATTGACTCAGAAGGCACCTGCTGAATCTCTAGTGGCAGGGTGTTCCACAGGACAATGTTCTGTTTTGAATTGCTGTCAGATGAGCCTTGTCAGCTTGCGGGATGACCAACAAGGCTCTTGCAGATGATCTTGGTGATCAAGATGGGATATAAGGGTTTAAGTGGCCCTTAGGGCACCCTGGACCGAAGTTGTTCAGGGCTTTGTAAATTAATACAGGGACCTCAGACCTGGCTTGGCAGCAGATGAGCTTAGTTAGGGTTAGTTAGGATTCCTTTGGTCTCTATGTTGGAACCTGGGTGTGGGAAGAAGCGAAAGCATATGACATGAGTGGGAAAGGTGATCTGCTTAATTTCAAAATAAGCAAAATAATGCAGGGAAAGGGGTCTTTCTGTGGTCCTCCAGATGTTGTTGGATTCCAACTCACTCACCCCAGCTAGCATGCTCCATAGTTGGGGGTGCTGAGAGCTGTAGAATATCTGGAGCTTCCCCATCTCTAAAAAACTCCTGGTCATTCTTTGGCATCCTCTTGGTGGAGGTAGAAATTAACAATCTTTGTTTAAAAGTTGGGGGGGGGGGATGTTACAGACATTGCATTTCTTCCAGTCAGTAGCACTTTGAAAGCGGATTCCTTTGATTCCTTTGAGAAGTTGCCTTATTCTTGGGGTGGGTGTGTGGGTGTGCGCGTGCAAACTGTCTGAAGCTGGTATGCTGAGTTTCTTCTAGCATCACCTTATGCCACTAGGAAGCTCTGCCGTTGCAGGACCACTAAGTGGCAGCTGCTTTTGCTGGGGGTTTGCCACTTTACAAAGGTGACCCGAAGGGGTCTCTTGTCAAAATCTGTGCCAGAACTGAAACCACACCTGACAGCTCTGGGCCAGCCTGAAATAACCCCTTGCCCTCCACTGTGAGTGCCTTGGGAGCATGTGGGAATGTCACTGAGCTTGTGGCTTGGAGGAGGAGCCCTGTTTTCCGCAACTGTGGCATCTCGAAGGGGGTGGTAGACCATGTCTGCCTTCACAAACGGTGTTCCCACCATGAGTCTGCATTCTGTGAACCGCCCTGAGACCTCTGGGTGTAGGGTGGTATATAAATTCTTTACAAAATTATAATAATAAGTCTACCAGAGGCCCACACCCTCTTGGTGGAGCAGAGCGTTGACTCATCTGAACCAGGGCTTGGGCTTCTCTCTCTCCTCACTGCCTTTTCTCGTGCCTTGTGAGATCAGGTCCCTGGGAACGTTACTAACTCTCTAATGCAGCCTGGCTGCTTTCTTTCTCACAAAACTGCCTCTGCTGCCGCTGCCGCTTCTGTTTATTTTTCGTGTTTATACCTCGCTCTCCTTTTTAACTCGTAACAATTTAAAGCTCCACCTTCCAACCTTGCCTTTGCTCGCCTGGTGTGTCCTCTAGCTGTTTGGGACTGTGATGTGAGCTTTTCGACCCAAACAGCTGGAAGACATGGCGGGTTGGGTCCGCTAATCCTTCTTTGCAACAAAACACATGCAGCTAATGTTGTTTTGGTGGTTTCTAACCAGCTTTCTCTGCTCTATCTTTTTGCTCCTTTTTAAAACTTCCACCCCTCTCCCCATCGTGCTGCAGAAGATACTAACCTGATCTCTGGCTTCGATGTCCCTGAGGGCTCTGAAAAGGTGGCAGGAGACGAGTTTGACCCCATCCCTGTGTTGATATCCAAAAATTCACAAGGTAAGCAGGCAGACTGGGGGTGACTTGAGATTTTAAGGCAGTGTCTTTCTTTGTGGTAGCATGTATGGCCTGAAACTAAACCTGAGGCTCAAGGCTTGCAGGGTCTCCATGCCTGAGCCCAGTTTTCTTCAGCTTCCGTAGTCTTGGCAGCGCTGGGCTCCTTTCAGTTCCCACTTGTTGTGACAAGGACACGTTGAGGAGAGGTGAGCATCCCAACATCTTGAGTAATAAGAAAATTATTTTGGAATCTGGCATAATAGTGTTACTGCCCCAAATCTCCTGATCGTAAGCGGGTGGGCGGAACTACCTCTAATCATCTCCAAAGGACCCTTGTGATTTAGAACCAAATTCCAGTATTCAAGATTTGGTTAGGCTCCCACCAGGGGCCTATACCAACCCAATGAGATTTGCAGTTGATTTCCATCACTACTCTATGGCTCCTTCCAATGCCACACCCTATTGGTTTAAAAAGCAGATTGCAACTTAGCATAATTAGGAGACAACCACCCACCTTGTGCCCATGGAACTAATCCTGAGGGTCTTTGAATCCTGACCCAGAGTTCACTGCTGGGAATAGTTATAATACAAGCTTGATGATTTGTGGTGGAAGGAATCAAGGGGTAGGGCCTCTTGGCCAGGTGACCCATTGGATTAACAGACCCTCTCTCCCACGCACTGCCATCCTGATTTTTGACTGGGAGTTTCATATAGGCCCAACAGCACAGAGTTATATTCTAAAACACAACACACCTTAAAGCTAGAGAGTGTATTGGGGTGCTGGGCTGCAGTTGAACATTTTGTCATAAAGGGATGCGGGTGGCGCTGTGAGTTAAACCACAGAGCCTAGGACTTGCCGATCAGAAGGTCGGCGGTTCGAATCCCTGCGATAGGGTGAGCTTTGTTGCTCGGTCCCTGCTCCTGCCAACTTAGCAGTTCAAAAGCACGTCAAAGTGAAAGTAGATAAATAGGTACCACTCCAGCGGGAAGGTAAATGGTGTTTCCGTGCGCTGCTCTGGTTCGCCAGAAGGGGCTCAGTCATGCTGACCACATGAGCCAGAAGCTGTACATCAGCTCCCTCAGCCAATAAAGTGAGATGAGCGCCGCAACCCCAGAGTTGGTCACAACTGGACCTAATGATCAGGGGTCCCTTTACCTTACCAAAGCAGCTGTGCAGAGAAAACGCGGAATGTAGACCATGAGCAGCTGAAAAGGAGCAGGGGCATCTTTTGATAAGACATGCGTAATATTGAGGCCTCCATGGGAAGACATAGAAGCTCCCCGTTGAATAAGAATTTGGTGCTCCACAACTCTGGAAGTTGCCTTTCCCCCTTTGTCCCGTTGTCCATGCGCAAAGGACTCCCCCTCTCAATTTTTGTCATGGAGCCCTTCTCGGTAACAGATTCCTGCTCTAATATTTCCTTAACACTGTTGTAAAATCATCCTAGGGAAGAGGATACTAAATGAGGTTGCTTAGAGAGGGAGGAGCTCTAGATCTAAGCCGCTGACCATTTATTCTGTTTACTTTTTTCACGTAATCGATACACTGCTTGACTGTAAAAGCAAACAAACCTCAAGAAAATTATCAATAAGAAAAACCAACAATAATTTAAAACTTTGAAAAAGTTAAAACAAAAATAGACCAAGTACAGATTAAAATTCGCATCAACTTTCTGGACAGGCTTGTCTAAACAAAAACGTTTTTAGCAGACACCTGCCTGACTTCTATAGGCAGAGAGTTCTGAAGTGTAGGTGCTGCCACACTTAAAGGTAAAGTTAGTTCTCCTGTTGACATCTGTATCAGGAGTGGAATGTCACAGGCAGAGCCACTGCTGGCTGACTTAACTTTTTAGAAGGGAGCAGCTGAGACCTTTGGTTGTTGGAATCTCTCTTCAAAAACCACATTGAAGACTGTGTCTGCAAAACTTTCTGCATCTATCTACTGTAACTCCAAGAGCCACGCTTGTGTAGATTCCAGACTGCTGCTGCTTTCTCTAGTTTGTAGCTTGCTCTTCCTTTTTGTTTGCTTGTGAGCGCATTTTTCATTTTATTTATTGAAATAAAAAAGCTAACTTTTAATTCCCTTTAATTCTCTTGCTCGATACTGAATTGCTATCTCTCACACTTTCAGGTGGGCATTCTAGAAACAGCAGTGGAAGCTCTGAATCCAGTCTTCCCAACCTAGCCAGGTCTCTTCTGCTAGTGGATCAGCTCATAGACCTGTAGCAGCCACTCAGTAACCAAGGCGGTTTCTGTAACGTACCTTAAATCCAATGTGGTTTTTTTGTTTTGTTTTGTTTTTGTTTTCCCAACGGAGCTAAATCTTTAGTTGTCAGGTGATTTTGTGTTCCTGTTGTTGTTTTGTTTAAAAATAACCCTGCAGATGGAAGGAGCCCACACCCTGAACCCCAAATCATGGCCCCTCTCTTGGGACTCCCCTGCCCTCCGTCTTAGCACGTCCTTGATGCAACTTGCTACCTTGTGCACTTCTCTCTACTAGCCTATCTCTAATGGGAGCACCACTGTTTATTAACCTCTTGGCTATGATTTCACCTCCCCCTCCCCACCAGCTCCACTGGAACCATAACTGTACATGAATTACGTGTAACATACAACTAATACATCTGGGGCCCCCATCCCGCCTTAGTCTAGAGAATGCTAACCAAATGGTATGTCAACTTCTTTTCGTAATCTAAAACCAAGAAGGAGAAGGACCGTGAAAATAAGTCACCATTGCCCCTCTCTGATGTGCAAGGGGGCAGGGGCTCTCTTTGTAAGGCATTGGGGCAGGACTCTGGGCAATGCCTCCTCCTCCACAGCTAAAACTGTGCTTGAGATCTGCTGAGTAGATACCTTTCCAGCTTGGAAAGTGGACATTTTGCTCCCTAACCAGCATTCTGCAGTGTGCTTAGGAATGGGCTGTGCTTAATAAAATAAGATTTAAAAAACAACAACACCCAAGCTATGGAAATTATCCATCGCAAAATAGTTAAACGTAAAACATCATAATGTCTAAAAAGCATGGCTAAGGTTTTTTTTTCCTGTTGGATGAATCCTCAGTTGAAGAGGGCATTTGTAGCAACGGATGTGTACTCTGGTGGAGGGCTTGGCCTGTAGAGGAATTCTGTAAAATTAATGTACATGTCAGACATTCCTGCGGGTGAGGTCGTTTTTGGTTTTTTTCTTTTGGCTGTCTCCCTATGTTGCAACTAGGTATAGTGTTAACACAGTACTATGGAGCCATTTCCCCCCTTCCCAGTAGGCAAAGGACTGTAATCTTTATTTAGATCCTTCAGTCTCTGTAGAGCTCGCATGCACACCTTGTCAGCCAGTTGAGAGTAAGTGCTTTCCAGCTTAGGTGTACCTGAATGGGTTTTACCTTTTATTTCCACCTTGATATGCTCAGTTTCGTCAAACTACTGGATAGAGTAAACTTGTTTTCATCGGCTTCTGATCTTCAAGTCCAAAGTTAACTTGCCACTCTGAAGATGTTCTTCTGAACGGAAGGACCTACCCTGACTCCATAGTGGAATAATTATTAGCTTAATGCTAACTCTGTGTATGTGTATGTAGCTGTATTGGTAAAAAGTGCAGTTTTCCCACGTGTGAAAGTATGAATGACTAAATTTATAGATGTATCAGCCTCTCCTACATGAAGGAAAGACACTTTGATGACGTCCCCTGAGTATTCCCCCTTCCAGCTTCCCCCCCACCCCATCTAAATCTCCCCCTCAGAAATTAGCTTAACAAATTCTGTAAATAGGATTTAATCGTCATGTCCGTTCTCTCTGAATCTTTCTAAGATCTACATGCACACTTCATGATAAAAAGTATTGCTTATGTGTGATGTGTCCATTTCCGTGTTTCTGCTGCACTTTCCTGATGATTTACATGACAGAACTATGGAAATTATCTTAGTAAAATTGTTGATAGATCTTTATATTTTTTGGGGAGGGGGGTGGGGTTGTTTTGACTTCTGAATCCCGAAGCACAGGCGACCGGGTCTGGATTATGTGGACAAAGCTTTAGATAGAACGTTATTGTATAGTCAGATACTGAAAAATATATGGAAAAAAGAATGGATTTTTTTAAACAAAGTAACCACCTGCTGTGTATAAGAAACCAAAAAAAAGAACATTTCTGTGAATTAAAGTACTTTTAAAAAAGAATGTTTAACATTTTAAGTCTACTTGAACTTGTTGAAGAGTTCTGGACACAGAATAATGGAAGTACCTGGTTGCTTGAGGACAGTGCTGTGAGCAAAACAACTGTGAGTGTTGGGACCTTTTAAATTTTTGTTTTCTTTTGTTTTTCGAAAAATGAATCATGCATCTGGATTGGCAAATCTAACATGGTGGAAATAATTTATCCTGTACTAAGGTTTATGAATTGACCAAAAGTCATTGAAATGACGTGTAGCAGATTCTTTAATAAACAGCGCAAGACTGAAATTCTGGGAATGATTATTAGCCTGTTGCAATATATTGCGGGAGGTTGAAGTTCCTTTTTTCAAAAGGGTGATCAAGTATAGGGTGTGTGGGTGTGTTGCAAGGCTGCCGTTAGGCAGAATCAGACAGTCTGCAGCCCATTTTGGAATACCAGTAAAAAAAGGCAGGGAACAAATATTTTGATTATGATCATGCGAGGCATCACCTGGATTTTCTGCCTCCAGGACCAAAATGTCTTTGACTGCTGAAACGTAATGTCCGGGGGAATGACTTGATTTCTCATATCCTTAAAGACAGGGATAAAGGTGTGTCTTCTACTCATGCCATGAGCCCCAATCTCTGTCCCTGTGTCTTTACGGGGGGAAATATTTTTTCCAATGAGTTGCTTAAGCAGCTGCAATTGATGCAGACCAGCAGCTGGGAATGCAATGGTCTAGGCTGACAGCCTTAGTTGTGATAGACCTAGGGTAGCCAACACCCGGTGCCCTCCAGATGTTGTTGGCCGCAAGCTCCCATCAGCCCCAGATGGCATGGTGAATGAACAGGGTTGATGGAATCTGTAGTTCAACAACGTCTGGAGAGCATTCTATTGACTTCCCCAGCAGTCTGCTGGAAAATCACTGGGGAGAAATTCAGCACCAGAAGTGGCATCTCTGTTGTTGAATTTCTTGCTGTCTGAGCTAGTTATTTAATATTTCTGATGTGTGTATGTATACTTTTGTTTTGTAAATTGTGTGACCTGACTTCTGTCTTGCACACTAATAATAATAACAGCAGCAGCAGCAGTAGTAACAACAACAACGAAATGGGCAGCACACCACTGGGTGTATTTTAAATTTGCAAAATAGGAGTGCATACAATTCCTGTATTGTGGGGTGTGGGCTCGATGACCCTTTGGGTCCCTTCCAACTCTACAATTCTATGTTTCTATGCTCAGCATCTCTTCACAATCAAAGCATTATTGTGAAGCTGTGCCAATGAACTGCTTATTCGGAACCACTTCGAGCAGGATCAGGCCAACTCAGCATTCTCAGAAAGAATCTCAGCAAGTAGTTGGCTTCCCTGATATTGCTTGGATCACCCCTGACCTTTGGCCTTGCTCCCTGGGGCTGGTAGGCATTGTGGTGCATCAAGATCTAGTTAGCGACACCTGTTCTAGGTAGCCCAATGAACTGCAGTCTACCTTCAGGTTGCCCCTGAAGAAATGTTTCACTGAAAGTAGTGCCAAGCTCAGCCTGGCATGGACTGTGTTTGGCTAGCGTTTGTCATGCTCTCTTAGATGATAATTGGTAGTAGACAATGTAGTTCAAAGTTCAAAGTGAATTCTGTAGCCCATTGATCATAACACGGCAGTGTGATGCTGATCCACGTCCTGCGACAGCCTTCATCAAGCTGATGCACTCCAGCAAATGTTCTGGACTAATAATAGTAGTAGTAGTAGTAGTAATAATAATAATAATAATAATTTTTATTTATACCCCACCCTCCCCAACCAAAACTGGGCTCAGAGCAGCTAACAACAAATAACAAGAACAAGTTGATTGAAATACAACTTAAAAACAAGCTTAAAATACAACATTAAAACAATTAAAACATTAAAATGCAGCCTCATCACAGGAGGAGAAAGGAAAAAAGAAGGGGGGGAGGGAATCAAATTGGTTCTAAGCCAAAGGCCAGGTGGAACAACTTTGTCTTACAGGCCCTGCGGAAAGAAATCAGATCCTTCAGGGCCCTGGTCTCATGAGACAGAGCGTTCCACCAGGCCGGAGCCAGTGCTGAAAAGGCCCTGGTTCTGGCTGAGGCTAATCTAACTTCCTTAGGGCCCAGGACCTCTAAGGTGTTGCTATTTATGGACCTTAAGGTCCTCCGTGGGGCATACCGGGAGACTACAGCTCCCTGCCCAACCCCAGACAGCATAGCCATATAATTTCTAAACACCACTGAGAAATTCTGAATTAAAGCACCTGAAATAAATAAGTACAAAATGAACCTAGGGCTAATGGGATATGTAGCCCAAGTCATCTAGCGGGCAGCAGTTTAGCAAAGGTTGCAGTGAACCATGTTCTGGCACAGCTGCAATCTCTGAAAGAAGGGGGGAGCTAGCGTGATACTGCAAAGCTTTTCTGGAAGGAGGAGCTGCTCTTATCTTGTCAAAGGGTTGCCGTGGCCTGTTGCTTTTCTGACATGAGTGGAGAGCTGTGCTGAGAGAGCAGAAACTGCTGCCTGCCCTCTGCAACAAACTGCCATGTAAGAACACTGAAGAAAAAGCACTCATCCTGATGGGGAACCCACAAGCCATAGAGCACCTCTTTCCTATGGCTCTGCCTTCCTCTTTACTCTGGTGATGATGCTTTCATCTGCAACCAGATTAGAATATCACTCTTTAGGGGTGGGCTTTTGAAAACACAAGTGGAAACTGGTACCTAGTAGCCATTAACTTGGTGATGGAGACGGAGGTTCAAGCAGACCCTTGTATGGAAAATGCCCAAAGCAATTTGGTGGTTTGTTTGCTTTTAATTGTGCTCCAAATATGCACCAGTATATTTGGTGCTGTATGGAAAGCAAATGGAAGCATTCCCTGCCCAGAGGAGCATTCAGGATTAGCCGGAAAGGTTGGATTCACCCTGATATCACAGTTGCCATTTTAATGGCAGGCAGTTCTGTGGAAGTGAGAGTACAATGATCCAGAAAAGCTTTGTTTATGGAAGAAGAATTTTGAGGGAAGGGACCTCAAGGAGAAGCAGGTTTCCTGATGGGTGAAGAAGGTAAAATTTGATACCAAGCATCAAAACCCAGTTTACAAGATTTCAGATAGCTGTGCAAAACCCAGCCAGATGACAGCCATGCCCCCCAACCTGATTCCCCTCCAGATGTTTTGAACTACGGCTCCCATAACCCCCAGCATCACACAGCCATGCTGGCTGGGACTGTGAGTTGCTGCTGCTCTTTATTGGTCTCTCGCTTCCAAAAAATGAAACACTAAGTGACTTACAAAAATGTACATTAAGAATGAGTATAAAAACAAGAATAAAACAGCTTAAAATACACAAATTATATATATAGATCCAGCTCCACACCACCCTGCTAAAATTAAAGACCCAAAGGCCTGGGTGAATAAAAAGGTTTTTGCCTGGTGTCTATAAGAGAGCTAGTGATGGCAGCAAGCATGCCTCCCTGGGGAGAGCAGTCCCTAAATGGGGGGCCACTACTGAAAAGGCCCCTTCTTGTGTTGCCACCCTTCACACCTCCCTCAGAGGGGGCACCTCAGATGAAGAATGTAGAGTCTAGGTTTGTTCACTTGGGTGGTGAGGGGCAGTTCTTGAGGGTACTGGGGTTTGTGGTCAGAAACATCTGGAGAGTACCAGGTTGGGAACGACTGGAGAAGACTGTGCAGGGAAAAGACAGGCCAACGATCTAAGCCAGTAGAAGGCACCTTTATATTCATCCCTGAGCCCTTCCAACAGCGAAGCTTGTTGGTGACTTTATGTATCCAGAGAAGAAGATACTCACTTGGACCTTTTCAGGTCTCCCTGGCCCAGTTCCTGAATTCTTACAGAATCTACTGTTTTCATTTATTTAAATAATAAATGAAATTATCAATAATAAAACTAACGGCAATAATTTAAACTTTTGAAAAGTTTGAATAACAACAGACTGAAAACAGATTGAAACTCGCACCAGCTTTCTAAACATCTGGGTAGCCTTGTCTAAACAAGGAGGCTTTTTTTCAGGTGCCCAAAAAGTGCAATGATGGTGCTTGATATTGAGGCAGAGGGTTCCAAGGAGTAGGTGTGGCCCCACCATCAGGTGAAGACCCAATTCTGTCTGTGTTCCTGTAATTGTGGAGTGCCGCAGTTTCCCTACTTACGCTGCTTTGTTGTCTCAAAAAGAGGAGGTGGGAAGCATGTTTATGAAAAGAGAAGTTGTCACTACAAAGGAGGACACCACTTGGTCCAAGATGTGAGCGCATGAGTGCTTTCTTTGATGTCCTCGTGGCCTGAGGACACGGCCCCCACACCATCCTCATCAGATTAGCCCCCCGCAATATCGCTATCTCCACAGCCTTGCAGAAGACTGCACAATAAGGTGTGGCCTTTAAACCAGAGAGGTGGAGCCCTCCTGTGTATCCCTCCAGGTCTTGTCGACCTACGGAAAGGTTCAGTTCACTGTAGGCGCCTTTGCAGAGACAACATTGCCCTGCTGCAGCTGCCTTAGGAGGAGAATGTTTCAGTGGAGCTGTCCATAGTACTGTTCTTGCCTGGCCTCTGGTTTGACTTGGCCTGCCCTGCTTTGCCTTTGCCAGACACTGCCTGCTTCCTCTGTGAGTCTCAAGCTCCTACAGTGTAGGTGGAAGGAGGGCTGTAGTTCAGCGGCAGATCATCTGTTTTTCTTGCAGAGGGTTCCAGAGTCACTCCCTGGCATCTGCATGTAGTGGTTGGGAATACTGAGTGGATGGACTGATTGTCTGACTTGGTGTAAGGCAGTTCCCTAGGTTACAAAATATGCAGGCTTAGAACAGGGGGAAGCAACACCAGCTTAAGCTCTGCCATCCTGAGAGAGTGACTACAAAAAATACCCCAATATTCTTAGCCTTTCAGAGCCCAAAGCCCAGGCTTCCTCAACCTCGGCCCTCCAGATGTTTTTGGCCTACAACTCCCATGATCCCTAGCTAGTAGGACCAGTGGTCAGGGATGATGGGAATTGTAGTCTCAAAACATCTGGAGGGCCAAGGTTGTGGAAGCCTGCCTAAGCCCATCTCATTCTCAAACTGGACTTTTTTTTGTCTCTCTGTCTCCAAATCTGCTTTTATTCTATTAGCACGCACACAGATCTTGTTTATATCTTGTTATAGCAAACCACCTTCACCCACAGTCGGATTAGTTTCTCCTGTTCAGAACAGTCAAGGAAAATCCAGCTGTTTCTTGACTAGTGAGTGAATACCCACTGACCATTCTGAGTCATTAGTCAATAATTTGCTTGGTCATAGATATGGCTAGGCCAGCATCCTTAACCAATGCATTTGGGTTATGTAATTGAGTGTTTGGAATTAAAAACAAGTGTAAGGGTCTCTACACTGCTGGAAGTGTGTGTCCCCCTTTATTGTAGTGAATCCTTTTTGTGTTATTTAATGAAGGTAGCATCACTTTGCCTGTATGGGAAGGAATCACAGTTTTTTGTTCTGTGTTAATATTAAATTTAGTGTACTCTAATAATAAGATCTAGTAATTACAGCAGGGGTGGGGCCCTCAAAGCCCTTCGACCTGGCCCTTGGGACTAGACCAGGCCCCCTCTTCTTCAGCCCTGCTTTGCGCTGTTGCCTGGCTCCAACACACCCTTGAGCTGGGGTAATGCCTCTCGCTTGCCTGGATGGAGGGTTGTGAGTGTGCAAAAACCTCTGTGCATGTGTGTGTACCTTGTTGCACAAAGTCAAGAGGCACTTCTGTTTCCCTGCCCGTTCTTGTTTATGTCTCTCCACACCCACCCACCCCAGAAAACTGCCCACAAAGCAACTTGGTCCTTGGGCTGAAAATGGTTCTGTGCCTCTGAATTACAGGACGGACTCAGACATATTCTCAGAATTCTCACCAGTATGTGTCTGCCTCAGCTTTCTCCAACCTGGTGCCTTCCAGATGTTTTGAGCTGCAACTCCCATCATTCCCATCCCACACAGCCGTATGTTGCAGCTGTACTCCAAAACATCTGGTGAGTGCTACGTTAGGGAAAGCTGCTGTATAGGATTGCAGCCTGAGTCCCATAACTTTTTCTTATCGTACCTGCTGGCTAGGAATGCTGTGCTGGGACCATCACAAAAATTCAAGCTGGAAATCACAGAAATGGGTCAGAATTCTAGATAGACCTTTAAACCGTCTCTTAGCTTTCTGCCCTTTCTCTTCTTGTCTCTCTTGGTTTCTGGATCCTCCTTTCAGCACACACACTGGGCCTCATTGCTCATCCCGTTGTCTTGGTCCTGCCCTTCCAGAGGGTCTCATCTATGCAAGAGGTGGGTGGCGGGTGGCGAACATCTCAGTGGCTCACCCATCAGTCTTATGCATCCTGCAGTACCAAATGTATTCAGGGCACGTTGTTATTGTTTTGATTATCTTACAATTAACTGGACAGTTCTCTTTATTCTCCCATGGACTATAGGCAGATGTGTAGGAGGTTTTATGTTGTTACTGAGCTATGCAAACTAGATTGGATGAAGACCATGGGGAATCCGTTCCTCAGAATGCATTGTGTTCCTGCACAATTCCCATTAAGTCCCATGAACTTGTGTGGGAGGCATTTGCAGGGAATTTAGAAAGCCTTGGCCCATCACATAGTTAGTCAGCCTTTCTGCCAAGGAACACAAAGCAGCGTGAACTTGGGTTCCCAGGCAATGAGGTTCATAATATGCAATTTTGCAAGATGTTCCGCATCCTCACTGGGTTTCTCCTTCTGGTTTCAAAGTCTCAAGAGGCAGCTGACTAGTTGCAGGGCTGCCATTATTGGTTTGAAACCTACTCAGGTCTCTGAAGTGCAGTAAAGCAAAATCCTTTCTGCAATTGCTGAAGAAGAAGAAAATTTATTGCCAAGTTCTTCAAATGCCTGATCCCAGCACTGAGCAGGTCGCCATTCCAATTTGTATGGTGAAGATTTCTCTCCCTGGTCCTCATAGTATGGTTGCTGTATGTGCAGGAGGCCTAGGTATGCTGTAGACCGATTTGTGCACTCTTTTCTTTTTGAACTGCATTTTGTGTTTGTTTAATCCTTCTGCCATTGCATAGTTGAAAAACAATATATTATGGCTATATGCAAGTACATATATTATTGCAGAGTCTAATTGTATAGAATAGATGAAATGCAATTCTGTAAGTACTGAACTGAACCAAAATGGGGCCTATTGAACTAGGCAATGGGTGGGCAATGGGGATTTTCTGCGGGGGAATTGTGTAAATCAGATCTTCATACGGGGCACTTGTGTCAACCGCTGCTTTAGATGGTTGTTGAAGTGAAGGGCACCCTCTGCCAAGCATGCAGGAGAGCTGTATGGCACCGTGGCAGGTGATCAGGGAAAGTAGCCTTGGCCCAAGGTGTTTTCCCTTCTGCATTATAGGGTAATAAAGGGTAAGAAGGACTGAGCTAACATATGTCAAGCAATTGATAATGATCTTAAAGCACTATATAAATGCCAATGTTATTATTATTATTTTTAATGAGGCTGGTGAAAATGTAGTTTGATTTCTGTTTTAGAGCTCCTTGCTCTGGAATGAGAGACAGAGAACCCAGACATATTTCTCTTACATACATACATACACACACACACACACACACACACACACACAGCTTTCATAGCTTTAAAGTGACTTTCCTAGTTAGCACATCCACTAGGCTTGGAAGCAGTGCCTGCTGCTCACCTGGAGCACCTGTGCATGTCTTTCTAGTGGAATTAGTGAACCTGAAAGTCAAAGGAAGCCTGCCGCTTGCTGCCTTGAATCCAAACGCAGCAAGACAGGCTGGCTTTATTTGTATCCTGGCAAATATGACAAGCTAGTATTTAATGCAGATACACACACAGCCCCTCCAAAAGAGAGAATATTTTAAAGGGCCTGTTCTTGCTTTTTACATTCAAATGGCGCCCTTAGTTCCTAGCTGAACCTGCATTTCAATTGGTTATAGCCAGAGCAACTGATGATGATATTGCAGCCAGCTGAAGCCATGACCCAATCCACTGTTTCTCATATGCTCTCTTCTTCCTTTCCCGTTTAGCTTTTTTTGTGGTGGGGACAGTTGCAAAGCTCATAGCTTTCTTTTGGGGAGGGGGGTACCTGAACCTCTTGGGAAAAAATGCATATTACACACCCAACGTTCAGAGTGGTTGTGTTTCAGATTGGGGTTTTTTTCTTAGGGTGCTTTTTCGTTACTGCAGTGGGAATGATTTAAAATATAAAAGAGGGAGTCCTGTTAACGGAACGCTGCATATTGGCTTCAATAGGCTTTCTGTACAGCATGTTACATTGGCTCCCATTTCTTGCCTACAGTGGCCATGCACTTACAGTGTAATGTATCAAAGCTGATGGTCTCTCAATAAACAATCATTTTGATGCTTATCTTTGAAGTACTGTCTTTGATTATTGAGGGGGGAAAACTAGCTCCAGTGTCCTCAAAAGCAGGTGACCTCCATTGGAATTTCCCCCCTCCAAAGCATGAACTACTTTCTCCCTCTTTTTTTAATTAAACAAAAAACAAAAAACAGCAGCACAACAAGGACAACCCTAGTCAATCTAAGTTAGGCTTGCAAAGCAAGAATTAATGCTCCAGGATCTCTTCAAACTGGAGGCATTGTCCACCTGTGCTCAGTGGTCTTGAGGACACAGCCTTGCTTAAGGATGTGTGAAGGGCCTGGCCAGATAAGAACAGGGTCTGCTAGTCCAGAATCCCCAAAACTGGCAGAGCATAGCTTGTGTCCCCAGGTGGGCTGTGATCTGCACTTTGCCCTATAGACCACACAGGATTTGGTCCCTGTCCCCCCGCCCTTCTAAAAGGGAGTGAGGCCCAAAATCCTGTTCCGTTATTTTAAAATGGATGATAGCAAATGTGAATGCTTTGGGGATTTGGTTCTCAACAGTTTAGTTTTCATGTGCCTTTTTCCTGTCCTCTTGCTAACATGAGTCCTATGCCATGATAACCTGCTACTATTTCTTGGAAGGTAAGCTATCTTGTGTTCTGATGACTGTTTGTGTGATCCATCTGGCCTGGGAAAATAAATTTGGATTCCTCCAGTGAGGTAATAAGAGAAAGTCCTTCCATTTCCCCTCCATTCTTCTGCTTAACCAGGCATTAAGCTTCTAGTAGTTAATATGGCTTTGGACTGGATTGAGCCAACATTGCAGTGGTTCATGCCCCATTCCAGCCTTCCCCAGCCAGATGTTTTGGACCACAACCCCCATCAGCCATCATGCAGCCATGTTGGCTGTGGAGCTGATAGGAAATGAACATCTGGAGGGTAGCAGGTTCAAGAAGGCTGCCATAATCTTTGCATCTACCGAGCTAGGATGTAAATAGAATGGTCACCACCTGTGATTAGCAGCCATTGCTCTTTCAGCAAGTGGGCAAGCAGAAATCCCCAGGCTGGTTTATCCTCCTTCACCAGCAAAAGATTAGCAGAGAATTTGAGTAGCTGGAGAACTGGCCTCTCAGGAGTCTCTTCATGTCCTGGAATCCACTAGGATTGGTGGCCATTCTTTAGGGTGGCTCACAAAATTAAGAATCCAAAACACTGTCCTGAGACACTGGAACTTCCCTGCTAAAAACTAAAACTCAGAAGGGAAAAACACCTCAGATTGGATTCATTCCAAGGCAGCAAATACAAATGTTTTATTTTGTTCATATGGTTTGGATTCCCACCTCCCCACTACCACGCTCAGCAACAACAATTTGTTGCCGCATGATGTGGGAGAGAACCAGTGGGGATTGTTGGCCATTGGGGGGGGGGGCAACAGGCAGGGAGACAGGGTGCTGAAAACTCTCTCACCAGCTAATTGTGCACCCTGTTCAACCCCACACTTAGTTTCTCAACACTTAGCAGAACCTGACCACACTATTCTAGTTCCTTCACGCAGCCCTGCCACCTTGTCTTCCTTGTTTCAAATTAAAAAACACAAAACCAAAAGCGATGGTTGTGTGCTAGTGACCCTCAGCTGTGCAGATTTCTGTGGCTGCCATCCCACTCGCCTCCTACTCCAGTCAAATCCCGAGGTTTGAATGTCTGTGTATTTATAACATCCTCCATCTTTTTCCAACACACATTTTTGTGGAGTCCTGAAATGTGAAAGGACATAGAGTCGTGTTCCAGTCTATGTGCTGTAATTTACTCGGCTTCATCTTTGCATATATTTATTTATTATTTTAAATGTATTTCTCCCTCCCTCCATTCCCCACCCCCACATTTGTGCTGCTGATTTTGGATCAACATCATAACACATCTGTGCCTTAGTTCTGCCAAGAGAATCCTAAGATCGGCAGGTTAACTCTCTTGTTTTATGCGTTGTAGGTCTGCAGGGGGAGCCAACCATATATTTTGTGGTCAGCACTGAGCACGGTCCTGGAGTGTCTGCTGTTGGCTGCTTCCCGGTGAAGAAACGGCAGCCTGAGATGCTGGATGGAAGATCACGGAGCGCAGAACACGGAGAAGAATCGGAGTACTTGTCGAGGGATGGGCCTTCAAGCAACAGCTCTTTCCATAGCAGTGAAGGGGAAGGGACGGACCACGAGGGGGACATCTTGGACTGCAGTGGGTCCAGGCCTCTGCTGATGGATTCCGAAGAGGAAGAGGAAGCTTATAAGCTGAACCCTCAGCATCTGGAAAGGGGTAGCATTCCCCAAGAAGACCTTAATCTGCAAGTTCCCCAGAGCATGGGGGTGCAGCTTGATGCTTTCCAACAACCCCCCGGAGGAGCTTCGGACGAGAGAGACGTCTTTGCCACAGCTCCATTCCGAAGCTCCATGACTCTTCACAACGACCTGGACATCTTTGCCAAAGCGCCCTTCGTCTCCAAGGGCCACGGGCTGGCGAAGCAACAGGACGAGGGCGACGTCTTTCTCCGGGCTCCCTTCACGAAAAAGAAGAGCCAGGAAGAGTTTATGCCGCACAGCGGGGCAAAGGAATCTCCTGTCCCTGCGGGGTTCTTGGGCTCCGCTGGAGCTCCCCAGTACACCTTTAACGCTTCCTTCCAGAACCTAGATACAGGGCTGCATGGTTCTCCTCTCTCGCAAGGTCAGTATTCTGTGGCCTCGCTGCCCCAGCCATCCGGTGCTCTCCCTCATTCTGCCAGAGCAAGCGAAGGCCCCGATCCTCCCAAAGATGCAGCTCAAGAGCTGGGCAGCATCCCCAACGACACGCTCCAAGCGCACACACTCCCCCAAGACGTCCTCTTGGGCTCGAAGGCCAACCAGCCTTTCCGTCCACAGTCATTGGCAAAGTATTCCCGTCACTACAGCCCAGAAGGGGACCAGGGCGTCGGCGCCCAGCCCATCGCAGCTTACAAAGTGGTGTCTCAGACCAACAAGCAAGCCATAGCGGGGTCCGTTTCTATCGCCTCTCTTTCTTCCAGGACTAAAGAGCTGCCCAGCTCTGACCCATTCTCGTCAGCCCCCTTTCCTTCTAAACTGGGAAAGCAGAAACCCTAAATGGTTTCCATTGTGACAGGAGGAGGAGGCAAGGCTTTGAATGCGTTATCAAGAGCCTACAAGCCCTTTGGGCAAAATTCACTCCGTACGTACCTAGAATGTCGAAACTACAGTTGCTGTGATACTCACCTGAATCATATGAAGCTGGTTTCAGGCTGTGAACGACTTCCAGGCTGTAAGGTTTATCACTTGCTTTTTAGATGCTCTTTCCCTCCCCACACTCCAAGTTTCTTCCCAGCGGGTCTTTTGTTTTTGTTTGGTTTTGGGTAATTATTTAAGCCAGGGAACACATGGGACAGAACTGATTACCTCTTGATAGTAGCACCCACTAAGGATTACGGAACATATTAGCAGCACACCAGGAATGTTTCAGAAATGCTAGCCAGGTGGGACATTATTTAATTTTTCTAAGCAAGAGAGAAGGATAAGCACACTTTTATTTTAGTTGCTACTAATGAATCTTCCCTTAAAACCCGTAACTGTCAGTTTGTAACAGAAGTCTTGTTCTGCAATGTGTGCTTAAGCCCTCCCCACAAAAGGCAATTAATGTCTGGGTGTCTTAAACCCTAGTGGTTCTAAGTGACAGTGACTCCGTTCTGACTGTTGCGGAAGTTATACCCTCTGTGGACATGGTAAGTGAAATGCAGAAAGCGTGGGAAACGGAGTTGGCTTTTGCATGTTCCCAAAGGGAGGGCTTGACTTTCCCACCTGCGATGCCTAGTTTGCAATGCCAGTTTTCTGTCAGTGAAACAGATCTAAACCCAGATGCCACCCCTGAGGAGCATCCCCCGAGCTCCTCTTCTGCGCATAGAGAGGAAAGCAGCTCCCTAGTCCGGCCCTCAGCACTTCCACATACAGCATGCGCTCCCTTTTCAGAGGTTGCACCAATTGTGCACCCACGTTGCGGATGGGCCCCATGGGTTTGCTGACAATGAGGGCGGGGCAGCCACCTCCCATGCGCTTTCTATAAACTGGGGGCAGGAATGACAATGAGTGAGCAGGACTCCAGTGCATTGATGGGTTGGGTTCTAAACACACATGAGCTAATCAACAAGAACTTCTAGTGCAGTTACTTTTCTGGCGCATCTGGAGCTGACAGCGCTCAAACATCCCTTACTTTGTTTTCTGTCTCTTGGGGGGGGGGGCGCAATGCTTTGACTCTCCAGCAGGTTTGAAAATAAAGAAGGGATGTTGTGACAAAGATGGCCGTAGAGTGGTGTGGAAAGTGTTAATGTTAATTCTGCTGACCTCAGTGACTCTGTGACAGTTCTTGATGGCTTAAAATCTGATTCTACATCAAGGTCCAACGACTGAATGGTAACTTTTGCGAGTCTTCACTACCTGCTATTTATGAAGGACAATCTTGTGGTTTTTAACAGACAATCCAAGAAGCTGATGCATCACTTGTGAGAGAAATCCTTGTGAACTATTGAAATGTAATGGCAAGTTGACTTAACGGTAGTCAATTTTGTTGAATTGTGCCTTTTGTGGAAAGGTGTCCTCACACCCCGTGGCCAGACCCAGACGTTCAGAAATACCCTGCCAGCTCTTTTACCTCACATTCTTACAAAGGAATCTTTAAGTGCCCCCTGCCTGAAAGGGCCTTGTCTGCCAGTTGTCAGAGGCAGCCCTGCCCTAAAGTCAAGTGATGACAATTTGGAGGTGGTTTTAAGGGTCCAGCATGAAAGATGGATCTGGCCCAGGGGACACAATTCACCGGGCAGTTCTTCATGGCAACCTTTCCATTGAAACGCATGGGGACCTTCTTGTACAGCTTCCATCGCTTTGAATGGGGCTGGCACAGGAGAGCTTTCCGGCAGATGGTGCTTTGTTGGAGAAGAGGGTGGCCTTTGAATTTCCTGTCTCAGGCACCTAAATATATTGGACAAATCCCAGCTATGAATCATGAGCATGGCTAGCTGGCTGGTCTCCCCCACTCCAAAGATTTTATCCTCTGCTTATGTGTTAACTGTTTGGTTAGGAGGGGTGGGGTGGGGAACCTTAGCTGCTCTTGATGGGACTGTATTTTATGGTTAAGGACCTGCTTGAAAGTCCTCAGACTCCAAAAGGGTCCTTAATGACTCAAGATCTTTCCTATTCTTTTGGTACTTTCAAATGAATTCTATAGCACTTTGTTACTCCAAATGGGGACGTTTGATAGGGTGGTGGCTTGAGGCAGGCTTTGCTGAAGCATTTTTAAAAGTTCAGGAGACAGATGTGAAGGCCTTAACTGTTTTTTGACATGCAACTTGTGAATCTGTTTCCTTGCTCCTTACTGCCAGCTGGGAGTCCTTGCACCTTTGAGGACGTTCCAGTCTGATAATGATCACGAAAAGGTTCTTTCAGTCAAGAGTCCAACTGCCTGGCAGAGGAAGCGATGTAGACTGTTAAAGCAGAAGATTTGCCCCAAGGGAATCACATGCTTGCTCAGCGCTTCACAAGAGCAGCGTGCTCCTGTTGTGGCCCTGCATCTGGAATACATTCACTTGGACTGTCCCAGCATCTTTAAGCTAGTTTGGATGCACCGCTGTCAATGTGCAAAAAGTCCTTCCTGCAAGTTTTCATGGCCCATCCATCTTGCTGTAGAGCCAGGACTCTGTTTACCAAAAAGCTTGGACTCTGGATACTCTTCTTGTGAACTCAAGCACTGCATTTGCTGTGAGTCCTTGCTAATACGTCAATCTTCATGCTGCACCTACCTCTACTCTTTAAGCAGATGCTGGTGTGCCTGTGCTTCTTTTTGTCTGGTTGGTTTTTGACATCTTTTGCTGTAGTACTTGTGCAATTGACAATGGCTTGTAGGGAGAAGCAAAGAGGAATTTGATGCTGCTTAATACCCTGCAACGGGGTGGGGGAAATAATTCTTGGAAAATGTGCTCACACAGACTTTGGTGCCTCCATTGTTCAAAACACAGGCGACCGAGAAAACATCATTTTGAGCTTGCCTTTTTAAACAAACAAACAAACAAACAAACAAACAAACCTAGATGATTGCTTATCTGCTGTGTCTTCACAGGTTTTTTTTTTTAATATATAAATCAAATCAAGAAGACACCTTTAGGAAGCCATGCTCTGTTTCTCTGTGAAGTGTTCGCTAACCCATACATTGGAAGTTTAACTTATTTTTGTGTTTGTGTATTGGAGAAGAGAACTTAGGTGCTAGAATGAGAAAATTAAGAAATGCAGAAGATTTCATGCTTGCAGTGTTATAGATTCCAGTGTAAAATTCCAAGATGGAGTGTAGCCTGTCCTCTGTTGATGGCATCCGGCAGCTCAGCTTTGAAACTCTCCTTGATTCAGGGGGTTGCATATTCAGTAGGAATAAACAGAAGCTGGAGCTAATTAGATTGCCGTTGAAGTCAGTGGCATTTCCCGCCTCCCTTCTGACCAATGACAAATAGTATTTCCAGTTCTAATTCTGCTCCTCCTGAAGGAAGTCATGGCACTTGTTACAGTCAGTCCCGAAACTGCCGCCAGTATTAGTCGGGTGCTTTTAAACTGTTACAAAAACCCTACGTCACTCCACAAATAGTTTTTGAAGGAATGCATTTTGCTTAGTTGTTTCCCTATCCTTGTTGAACAAGACGGTACTTCAGCAGAGTTGTAAGTCATGGCCAAAGACCAAAGCACAGTTAGGCTCCAGTCCTCATAAGAACATCCATGGATGGGGTAGTTCCTCTCTTCTTCTCACCTATGTGAGAATGCACCTCATTCTCTGGAAAGTAAGGTGCACTTAGCCATTTTAAAACTAGCTTCCCCCTCATATGTGCTCACATTCCTAGGTGAGTCAACTTGAAATGTTGGGGTCACGTTCCTGCTGACCATGTGGGTTTACTTCCCACCCTCATTTCTCTGCCCCCAGTGCTTTGGATTACAAACCCCCCTCCCATGAACCCCGGCACCATATGGTCATGCTAGCTGGGACTGATGGAAGTTGTGGTGCAAAACATCTGGAGGTTGGAGAAAGCAGAGCTACGAGACTGTGACTTGCATGAAGGGGCTGGGTGGTGATTCCTGGCCCCACCTGTTCTCGTGAGGTAGGGTGCATCTTCCTGGCTCGCCAAGTGTTGTGCAACACACAAAGAGAGACCTCCAGCTGAAAGTTTGCCCTACAGCCCTGGCATAGCAAAAGCCTGGATGGTTTTCCCTCTCTGTTTTATAAGGTTGCTTAGTAGATTTAGACAATCTTAATAAACTGTTTAGTAGTAATCTGAGTGAAGCTTAATGACACTGTCATGAAGCCAGTGTTCGTCTGCAACACTGCAGAACTAAACAGCAGCAATTGCATTTGGGCGATCATCTGCTTAGATGTGATGCCATATCACTTGATTCCAGCAGGGCTTACATAGGAGTTGCGCCTTCCAGTCAAATAAGTGCAGCTAGGAATGTGTTCCATGGGTCTTGGTCAGCGGATGTGGAGCCATTGAGCTCCACTTTTCCCTTATGCAAATCATCCGAGCACCTTTCAGGTGGTTCAGATAGTCACCTCATTAAAACCTCCCTAGTGTTGCCCTTCCAGTTCTGCACAATGTTACTCCCTGTGTAGGTCTTGCTTCTCTGGTTAAGCTTTGAGTTGGGATCTGCTTCCTGGTGCTGTGGCAGCTTTGTCTGTGGGGTGGGTGGTGGGTGGGCCCTATTGAAGAGCAGAAAGTTTAATTTTCCTGTTCCATTCTGGGGTTGGACAGGATCCCCTTGGGATTTTATGTCTCAGGTGCCAGAAGGATTTCAGCCCAGTACAGTTTATCGCTAAAAGATGATGGCTTTCAATCCGAGAGAGAGAGGGGGGGGACCTGGTTGTCTTTCTTCTCTCCTTTGTGGAACTGCTCCCAGTTTAAACCGGGTTCATGTTGGCTGGCTGAGGCAGAAAAGGGAGAGGCTAGCTCCCAAGAACACTGGTTTTCCTCCTGAGGTTCCCTTCTCCCTTTCCCACCTGTGCTCCACCACCATCCCTGCCCACACCCCCATTACAGCTGGGCTTGTGGATCGCTGCCTCATGTTTGGGATCAGCATTAAAGCCACAGGGCTATGAGATCAACCACTCTGAAGGAACACACAGATTTCCATGGATTCAGCTCCCACCAAAGAACTCTCATGCTGGAAAGGCTTCCCCGCTTTCCTCCTTTCTTATGTTTGGTGGTTTTTAGATGTGTCTTGGGTGTAGTGACATTTCCTTCCATAAGTGTTTTTGACACAAGGGTACCTTGTGTGTCTCTGCTGTTGGAGCCATCCCTGCATCCGGACTTGGCCTGTCATGATGCTACAACGACTGCAGCCGATTAGAATGGCGGCCGTTTTGTTCTTTCCTGTCTCTGTGTGTACACTGGGAACATTTTTACCTTTGTAACACTAGTCCGCTGTGATATCAGAGAGCTAGTCTCCCAGTAGCTATTTCTTTCTTTCATTTTTTAAAAAAGGGATTATTTCTTGTAAAGGAAGGCCCAATGGTAATTGGATCGAAACACCTGGCCCCACAGGTGAAATTGCAAATGAGAAGAGGGAAATCTGTATGCAGATAATAAAAGAGAATTGTGACTCATTCTAAAAGGCAGCTCTAATTGTCTTTACTGTCCTGGCAGCTTGAGGAGGTCCTTTGAGAGGGTCGCACCCTTCTGCTGCTGCTAATCTGGAATTGTCTCTGTGTGCAGTTATGAGTCATGAGACCAAGGCTTTGACTCCCAGCTCCTCTTGATACAGTCAGAACTCAACAGTGTTGGATATACCTCTCTGATATGATAAACTGTTTGGAGGCTGGAGTATATATATATATATTTTCCCACTCTGGTTGCATTAAGTCTTTTATGAAGAAATGTTAGCGCTGGGAACTTGTATGCTTTATTAAAAACTATCTGATTCAAACATCCTCATCTTGCTGTGTGCTTCTTCTTGCTCATAAGAGGCTTTCCGAAAGCTTAAATGCAAAGGATGTGTCCGTATAAACTTGTTGATTTTCTGCAAATGCCAAGGGGGACGAAACCAAGAGCTAACTCGAAAACTACCCACCATTTCCTCACAAATGTTTTCAGCCGGGCTGAAATTTCATCTCTCCCCAACGAAGTTTCAGTGCACCTTAAAAAATATTTGCCAGCAAGTTTACATTCCTCTTCCTTTCACTCACTGTCAGTTGCCTTCACTTGCTCTTAGTCATGGTCCATGTGGTCAAAGCTCATTGGGTGTAAGAACACCAGAAGAGCTGGCTGGATCAGGCCAGTGGTCCATCTATTCCAGCATCCCTTAAGCAAAAGAGCCCTCTCCCCTCCCGCGGTTTCCAGCAACTGGTATTGAGAAACATAGCTATCCAGACATTTTGGCACCTGAAGCAGACTCCGAAACAGTGCCTTCCTCCCCGCAAGGGAAGATCTACACCAGGAACAGAGCTGGGGTGGGGTAGGAGGAAGATTGGGATCTGCTGCCTGGTGGATCCTGCCACCTGAGGCAGTCGCCTCACCTTACCTCATGGGTGAGCTGGGCTTGGCTACCTCCAACTGGGGAGGCAGAGCATAGCCATCAAGTCTAGTAGCCACCAAAAGACTCTCCTCCATGAATTTGTCTAATCCTTTTAAAGCAGGGGTCAGCAAACTTTCTCAGCAGGCGGCCGGTCCACTGTCCCTCAGACCTTGCGGGGGGCTGGACAATATTTGGGGGGGGAATATGAACGAATTCCTATGCCCCACAAATAACCCAGAAACGCATTTTAAATAAAAGGGCACATTCTACTCATGTAAAAACATGCTGATTTCAGGACTGTCCGTGGGCAGGATTTAGAAGGTGATTGGGCTGGATCTGGCTCCCCGGCCCTTAGTTTGCCTACCCATGCCCTAAGCCAGGGGTCGGCAAACTTTTTCAGCAGGGGGCCTGTCCACTGTCCCTCAGACCTTGTGGGGGGCCGGATTATATTTTTTTGGGGGGGGTGAATGAATTCCTATGCCCCACAAACAACCCAGAGATGCATTTTAAATAAAAGCACACATTTTACTCATGTAAAAACACCAGGCTGGCCCCACAAATAAGCCAGAGGTGCATTTTAAATAGAAGGGCACATTCTACTCATGTAAAAACATGCTGATTCCTGGACCATCCACGGGCAGGATTTAGAAGGCAATTAGGCCGCATCCGGCCCGCGGGCCTTAGGTTGCCTACCCATGTTTTAAAGCCACCCAGGGTTGAGGCCATCACTGCCTCCTATGGGAGCGAGTGCCATAGTTTTAACTATGAGTTGTGTGAAGAAGAACTTTTTTTATCGATCCTGAATCTTCCAGCGTTCATCCTCATTGGATGTGCACAGGTTGTAGTGTATGCAACTTCATCGAACCATCTTGTGCCTCACACGATTTAGGAGAGTCTCACAGGTGGCTTGCCCAGGAAGGAAGCCGCAGCAGCAGTGAAGCCTCCTCAGCCAGCAACTGTGGGGCAGCGGGGATTATACCCTCCAACATTTCTCTGATGAAAATACCACCCAGTAGTTAGGGGTGTGGTTTCTACTGCACAGGCTTTCAGCTCCATTAAGAATGTCACAGCTCAGCTGTGTTTTTACCCAATGCTGTTGCAGAGGAAATTGCATGTGCTTTGATCTATAGCAGGGTGATTGGCAGCCTTTGATGCCATGCCTACCCTCTGCAGCCCTTCAGCTCCCTTCCCAAAGTTGGCTAAGTAAGGTGCTGGGCTTTGGGAAGGAGGCATGAGGCTCAGAGAGGGTCATAGAGTCCTTCCACCTCCTTCCTAAAGTATAGTTAGCACTTTCACATCTTTGAGAAAGAGATGGGAGGACTCTAGGACCCTGCCAGATCCTCACATCTCCTTTCCAAAGCTCAGAGCCTCACTTAGCCAGCTTTGGGAACATGAGGGCGGATTGGGGTGTGTGTCAAATAACGGCGGTTCCACCCTCCTCCCCACACATAACAAGGCAGTGTGCGGCCCATTGGTTCCATTTCAAAGTACTCTTGCCGCCCACTTGGTCTGAAAAGTTGGGCCAGCCTGATCTCTATCGCAGGCATAGGCAAGCTCGGCCCTCCAGATGTTTTGGGACTACAACTCCCATCATCCCTAGCTGATAGGACCAGTGGTCAGGGATGATGGGAATTGTAGTCTCAAAGCATCTGGAGGGCCGAGTTTGCCTATGTCTGATCTATAGCCTGCACGTGAAAAGGTATAAAACTTTGAATGTGAAAGTCCTCAGACTGTCAGGAGGACGCACCCTGTTCTTCTCACTGAACCAGGTATCCAGCTCTGATAATGCAGGCCTGCTTCCCCTCTGAGAACCTGACAGTTTCTACGCACATGTAAAGCTAAGGCAAGGAAAAGCCTTTATATAAGTATGTGAAATGTATAGGCTCCACTTTTGTGGGTGGTTCAGCGGTGGCGGCTGTTCTGACCAAGTAAAGGCATCTGAGGCGCCACCAGCTAAAAGGTAAAGGTACCCCTGCCCGTACGGGCCAGTCGTGTCCGACTCTAGGGTTGTGTGCTCATCTCGCTCTAGAGGCCGTGAGCCGGCACTGTCCGAAGACACTTCCGGGTCACGTGGCCAGCGTGACGAAGCTGCATCTGGCGAGCCAGCACCAGCGCAGCACATGGAAACACTTTACCTTCCCGCTATAAAGCGGTCCCTATTTATCTACTTGCACTTAAGAGTGCTTTCGAACTGCTAGGTGGGCAGGAGCTGGGACTGGACGACGGGAGCTCACCCCGCCTCGGGGATTCGAACCACCGACCTTAAGATCGGCAAGTCCTAGGCGCTGAGGTTTTACCCACAGCGCCACCCGCGTCCCTCTGAGGCGCCACCAGAGTTACATACAAACATTGCAAGTGTGACAAACAGTCAAGACAACAACAAATAAATGAAGCAAACCCTTCCGGCACCTCTGTCCTTCTGCTGATGCTGCCCCCAGTCCAGGAAAGTAGGGTCATGGACTTTAATCCCACAGCAGAAGCTCGTGCTGCTACTTCTTCCTCTTGTCACCCTCGAGCCCCTCAATGTGCATCAAGCCTGCCTACGAGTGATGTGTCCCATAGACATTCGCACATTAATTTATCTTTCCTCGTGGGGCTATGAGAGCAGTCATAGCAGCATTCTAGTTACAGAGAGACTGGGCAGTGGCATAAGGTCCCACCCACCGGGCTTAGGCCATAACCCTTTGCACATTTATCTAGGATTAAGCCACACGCTACATTGGTGTGCTGGCTTCTGAGTAAGTACACCAAGAGAAACACAGAATTGTAGAGTTGGAAGGGTTCCTGGGGAGCCCAGCCCCCTGCCATGAAGGAATCACAGCTAAAGCATCCCTGGCAGGCAGCCATCCAGCCTCTGTTTAAAAACCTCCCAAGGAAGGAGAGTCCACCACCTTCCAAGGGAGTCCGTTCCACTGCCAAACAGCTTTTGCCATCAAAAAGTTATTCCCAATGTTTAATTGGAATCTTGTCATTTGAATCCATTGATCCTTTCCCTGGGACAGCTTTTCGGATATCACCTCTCGGTCTCCCCCAGGCTACACATCACCCAATTCCCTCAATCAGTGCCGGATTTACGTATAAGCTAAACAAGCTATAGCTTAGGGCCCCACTCTCTTGGGGGCCCCCCAAAAAATGTAAAGGGAAACAACAACTGGATGTACATTTCCAAAATATAAGATAAAAAACAAGATAAAACCTACATACAGCAACAGTGTTTTGTATTGTGTAGGCTCCTATTTGTTATGTGCAAATGGCTTTAAAGGTAAAGAGTAAAGGGACCCCTGACCATTAGGTCCAGTCGTGACCGACTCTGGGGTTGCAGCGCGCATCTCGCTTTATTGGCCGAGGGAGCCGGCGTACAGCTTCCAGGTCATGCAGCCAGCATGACTAAGCTGCTTCTGGTGAACCAGAGCAGCACACGGAAACGCTGCTTACCTTCCCGCTGGAGCGCTACCTATTTATCTACTTGCACTTTGACGTGCTTTCGAACTGCTAGGTTGGCAGGAGCAGGGACTGAGCAACGGGAGCTCACCCCGTCGCGGGGATTTGATCCGCTGACTTTCTGATCAGCAAGTCCTAGGCTCTGTGGTTTAACCCACAGTGCCACCCGCATCCCTTATGGCCATGTCCCAAATGGCTTTAGATAACTATTAGGTCCATAAACGAGGGACGCGGGTGGCGCTGTGGGTAAAACCTCAGTGCCTAGGACTTGCCGATCGCATGGTCGGCGGTTCGAATCCCCGTGGCGGAGTGCGCTCCCGTCGTTTGGTCCCAGCGCCAGCCAACCTAGCAGTTCGAAAGCACCTCCGGGTGCAAGTAGATAAATAGGGACCGCTTACCAGCGGGAAGGTAAACGACGTTCCGTGTGCTGCGCTGGCTCGCCAGATGCAGCTTGTCACGCTGGCCACGTGACCCGGAAGTGTCTGCGGACAGCGCTGGCTCCCGGCCTCTAGAGTGAGATGAGCGCACAACCCTAGAGTCGGACACGACTGGCCCGTACGGGCAGGGATACCTTTACCTTTACCTAGGTCCATAAACGACCATGTAGCATATATTCAACACAAAAAAACAGCGACAATTTGTTGTTGACCAAAGACAGCTGGACATATCAAGGGCCCCATTACCTTCAGTAGCTGAGGGCCTCATCAAACCTAAATCCGGCCCTGTCCTCAATCATAACAAAATTATAATAAATTGAATTAATTTGTTAATATAATAAACAAAATTATAATAAAGTAGCAACAACAGTACTTGAACGAATTTGTTAATATAATCAATCACTGCCCCGCAGAGAGTGAAGAGGAGTGGGCGGGGCCTCGGGACATCTGACGCGAGACGCCCCTCCCTCCCCTCCCCTCTTCGCGTTTCATTCCCTTCAGTTCCCCACTCCGGCCAGCAGGGGGCGCCCGACTCCAGCGGGCGAATCAGGCGCCTGCGCAGGCAGCCCCTCGCGAGGGGTCCTTCGGCTGCCGCCCCTCCGAGAGGGAGAGAGAGGGAGCAAGATGGCGGCCGCGAGGCGGTTGGCGGCGGCGGCGCTGGGCAGCCGGTAGGTGACTGCGTCCGTGCCGCCCCCCCCCCCGTCGTGGCTTCTTTCCCCCGGCCTGGGGAGGGAACGACAGCCCCCCCCGCACACTTCACAGAATATATTTATTTTAAAGGGGGGGAGGTGTTTGGCTTTTAAACGGGGCAGCCTGTCCTGCCTCGCGGGGTTGTTGTGAGAGGCGAAGGGCCGCTTGTGTTGGGCCCCCTTCCGAGGGGAGGTGGGCTCCGGAGGCAAGGAAAGGGCGGTGGGATTCTGTGTGGCCTGATCCCCCTCGGGGTCTCTGCGGGGTCGCCTGGACTCAGGGCCAGATTTACGTATAAGATAAACAAGCTGTAGCTTAGGGCCCCACTCTCTTGGGGCCCCCCCCCAAAAATTAAAGAAAACAAAGTCTGGGTGTACATTTCCAAAATATAAGTTCAACAATTACTTCGATAAAATACGTATTTTGTTATGTGCGAATTGCTTTCGATACCTATTAGGTCCATAAATTACCATATAGCATACGTTTAACACACAAAAACAGCGACAATTTGTTGTTGACAAAGGACAGCTGGACATAAAAAGGGCCCCTTTACCTTCAGTAGCTTAGGACAGGGGTAGGGAACCTAAGGCCCCGGGGGACGGTCCGAGAATCAGCGTGTTTTTACATGAGTAAAATGTGTGTTTTTATTTAAAATGCATCTCTGGGTTCTTTATGGGGCCTGCCTGGTGTTTTTACATGAGTAGAATGTGTGCTTTTATTTAAAATGCATCTCTGGGTTCTTTATGGGGCCTGCCTGGTGTTTTTACATGAGTAGATTGTGTGCTTTTATTTAAAATGCATCTCTGGGTTATTTGTGGGGCATAGGAATTCGTTCATTACCCCCCCCCCCCAAATATAGTCCGGCCTCCCATGAGGTCTGAGGGATAGTGGACCGGCCCATGGCTGAGAAAGGTTGCTGACCCCTGACTTAGGACCTCATGAATCCTAAATCTGACCCTGGCTGCCGTCCCCAGCCACAGCAGGCAGGGCCAAGAAGCCTTGGGGTGGGGTGACCTTGGGCGGCTTTCAACAGCCACACCGACCTTGCAGGGTTGTTGGGAGGATTAATGCCTGGGGGGGGGGGTGAGGTTGGAGAGAAGACAGCGACTGTCCTGAGGCCACGCAATTAGCTTCTTAGCCGAGTGGTTGGGATTCAAACCCTGGTCTCTCCCTGGTCTGGCACTCTTAACCCCTAGACCACCCCTGGCTGCCAGGGCTGCTGTGAGAGTGGCATATGATCTCCCCTTTGAGGAAGAAGGAATAACAGAGCCTCGTGGCTCTTAACGCCTAACCAGGTTTTTTTTATGGTTTCATGGCGTATTATGGCTTGTTTTGGACTACAACTCCCATCAGCCCCAGCACCATACAGCCGTGCCGACTGGGAGCATGGACTACTGCTGGTTGATGGCCGTAGTAAACTGATTGATTGATAAGCAACAAAGGCAGTTCCCTGTCCTGAGGAGCGAAAGTGTCCCCAACAGATATCTTAAATATTTGGTTCCATTTGTTGACGAAATAATAAGTAAGCTTTTCAGTCCTTGGCACTTCACATTAAAAAAAAAACAAACCTGTTTTAGCAAACTGGTTTAATGAAAAATGCCCTCTTTTAATTTTGGGCCATCACAGCTGTCCTCATACTTTGGCTTCCTGAAACTGTCATGCAAATGACAATACTGCCTGTTTTGCTAACCTGCACTTTTTAAGCTCTGGAGGCGTCCTGCATGCTTCCTGTTTTGTCTTTATAGTTAAAAAAAGATGGAGACATCTTTATGAAGCCCTGGATTGAAAGCAGGAACTGTAATCTAGAGGAGTAGTTACCTTTCCTGCACGGTGCTGACCTCATACACTTACAAACCCTTTCCAGTAGCACCTTAGAGACCAACTAAGTTTGTTATTGGTATGAGCTTTCGTGTGCATGCACACTCATACCAATAACAAACTTAGTCTCTAAGGTGCTACTGGAAGGAATTTTTTTTTATTTTGTTTCGACTACGGCAGACCAACACAGCTACCTACCTGTAACTTACAAACTCTGTTTCTGTATAACATCTCACTATCTTCTGCCCTCGTCAAACCACAAAGGAGAAGAACTTCAGAGCTAGGGGACTCTGTTGGATTGGTTGTTGGAGTCGTGTTTTCAGTCTTCACTCAGCCATCGACTGTTTTCAGTGTTCTTCTTCAGGTCTGATCAACCAAAGTAGCTGAGATCATGAAAGGCACAAAGGAATATTTTTGCTTAACTTGAGCCATAAAATAGGGAAGGGTCTAACTTTGTAGGATGGACTAGTTAAGCCTTTATTGAGCCTCAGGACTATAAGGTGTCTGAAATTGTGACATTTTTGGTAAAGTTGTTTTTCTTCTTCTTTAAGATTCTGCCACTTGGGATTCAAAGGGGTGAACGTCACTGCTAAACAACCCCTACACATTGCCTCCCAACAGAACCTGCTCCTTCCTCCCACAGTACTACAGATGAAAGGTGAGTGCTAGGCTTGTTGGGCAGTTTGCGATCACAATTCTGTGGGGGAATGCTGTGATAAAAACTTGCAATTCTCTGAAATTGCTACATCACGACAAAAAGTATATTGAGTAAGCATACTGTTCAGTCCAACATCTCTTCTTGAGTGTGTATGAGTATTTCCATAAAGTCGTCAGAATTATTTCCATGTATAAAGTGTGTATTTGCTTCTAACTTTGGATCTGGGCTTCTCAATTTTTGTTGAGTTTCTGTAAGCCATGAAAATAAAAATTGAGCCGAGAGAGAGAGAGAGAGAGAGAGAGAGAGAGAGAGAGAGAGTTGTGAATGCCCAGTGGGCAGAAGATGGACTGAGAAAGGCAACGCCCCCACACCTCATTGACCAAGGCCATTCTCGGCTCTTTTTTTCTTCACAACATTCATTTTTGTTATTTGTTTGAACTCCTGCAGCAGAAGGGAGGGGTGGGGAGAGACAAGATTGCCTGTTCGAGAAACTTAGTCCATCTAAATAAAATTGCCATGTTCAGGGACAATATGCCTCTGAGAATCAGATGCTGGAGACAAAGACATGGGAAGGTCTTTGTGTTTGTGCCATGTAGTTTGTGCCATGTGTATGTGCTACATATTTGTGCCATGCTCGTAGGCACCAATAAGTTTGTGGCTGGTCCCTCTGGGGGCCAGAATACTGGACTAGATGGGCCTTGTGTCAAATCCAGCCCAGCTCTTCTTGTTTGTGTTTTATGAAGGTTGGGTGCAAATCAGATTACTACAAACCTAACAGTTTTTTATTCTTTTTTTTTATTCCAGTGAGGTCTATGTTTGTTCAGACACAGGATACTCCAAATCCAAACAGCTTGAAATTTATCCCAGGAAAGCCAGTGCTGGAATCTAGAACTATGGAATTCACTTCTCCAGCTTCCACGTATTGCTCACCCTTAGCAAGGTTTGTTGTTGCCTTGTTGTTGGTTGTATGACAATAACTTAGTTATGTGTCCAGATCAAAGTACTTTTAAGTGGTACTTACTTAGGAGCAAACTACATATTGCACCGTAGCTGCTGTAATGAAGCCCTGGGAGCATATTATCCCGTGCAAAGCTTTATTGGGAAGTGGATGCTTTGCATCAGAGAAGGGAGTGTTTAATCATCTCCCTGTCTTCCTCTAAAATGCCCCCTTGCCCAACTGTGGTTGCCCCTGTCCCTGTTCTGGACTTATTTGTGCCTTGCAAGCACTAATCAGGACCTTGTGAGATTGAAAGCAGACTGGGGACAGAGTTTGCAGCAGAGGGGTTAAATGTAGTTTACCCCTTTAAAAAATCTGTTCTGTTGTTGGAATGGGTATTAATCAATTCCAACAGCATAAGAAATGTTATTGGACCCTAACCCCTCCCCAAATAAAGACGGCCCACAAGACAGAAGAAAAACAAAGTGGGGGGAATGATTAGCGCAAATCAAACCTAGTCAAATCAAGTCAAGAAATGTCTAGTCAGTCCAGGGTGCAGTTCCGCAGGTGTCCATGTGAGGCAGGCAGGCAGAACCTATGTATGTTCCTTTACAGTAGCATAATCAATAAATCTTGCTCAAGTAGCATAACATTTATATGATGTGGTTCCTTTGAGATGAGCATAGATTTCACTTGTTAAATGTTCCTTTAAAGTCAAACTCCATGTCAGCGTAGTCCATTCTCACATGAGGTTCCCTGATAATGTCCTCCAATGTTTTGCTATCATAGGTCTAGCAGCTGCCAGAACAATAGAGTTAAATCTTAGCACGTTAATTCTCTGGAGTCATTATCTGAAATTGAAGGAAGGGCAAATCTGGGATCGGGAGTCAGTAATTGGTTGGTTATTGATTCAGTCTCTCTAAATATTTTACATGAGTAGTTTCCCCTTTTTATATATATATATACAATGAACTCATTCTCATGCATGTTTACATGCAAGTATTCTGGATTCAATGGGATGCAGGTGGCGCTGTGGTCTAAACTACAGAGCCTAGGGCTTGCCAATCAGAAGGTCGCGGTTCGAATCCCCTTGATGGGGTGAGCTCCCGTTGTTCGGTCCCAGCTCCTGCCCACCTAGCAGTTCGAAAGCACATCAAAGCGCAAGTAGATAAATAGGTACTGCTCTGGCGGGAAGGTAAACGCCTTTTCCGTGTGCTGCTCTGGTTCGCCAGAAGCGGCTTAGTCATGCTGGTCACATGACCTGGAAGCTGTCTGCGGATAAATGCCGGCCTATAGAGCAAGATGAGCACGCAACCCCAGAGTTGTCCGCGACTGGACCTAATGGTCAGGGGTACCTTTACCTTTATTCTGGATTCAGGGAAGTGTTCTAGGGTTGGAGCCTTAGTGGCCTACAGACCTACAAACGTTCATGGGTATACTGATACAAAGAAACCTGGAAGCTCACAGTGAGCAGGAGTTTTGAATGAAGATCTTTATTTTTCTTGTTTTTGTTTTGGTAGGCAGCTCTTCAGGATTGAAGGAGTTAAAAGCATTTTCTTTGGAACAGACTTCATCACAGTCACAAAGGTAACCGGTAACCCTAAAAGAATATTGTAGTGCGTGTCTGCACAGGGAATGATAATAGAATCAAAGAATTGTAGAGTTGGAAGGGACCCTTGTCCAACCTCATGCAATGGAATCTCAACTAAAGCATTGATGGCAGATGGCATCCAACCTCTGCTTTAAAACCTCTAGGGAAGGAGAGTCCACCACCTTCTGAGGGAGACTGTTCCACTGTCAAACAGCTCTTGCCGTCAGAAAGTTCTTCCTGATGTTTAGTAAGAATCTCCTTTCTTGTAACTTGAATCCATTGGCTCAGGTCTTACCCTCTAGAGCAGGAGAAAACCAGCTTGCTCCATCTTTCATGTGGCAACCCGTCAGATATTTGAAGATGGCTATCATATCTCCTCTCAGTCTGTTTTCCAGGCTAAACATACCCAGCTCCTTCAACAGTTCCTCATAAGGCTTGGCTTCCAGACCCTCCACCATCTTGGTCAGCCTCATTTGCACAAATTCTGTATAAATATTCTAAACCAGTGATTCCCAGTTGTTTTTCTGAAGATCCCAGGGGGTCTGCGTAACCCACCCAGGGAGTCCATAGCACATCCCTGTTAACTGTATGGGGCATCCTGTTTGGCCTGGAAGACACGCATCCTGGTTTTGCACTAGGACATGTTGGAGGGTATGGTGGCACCATTCACATAACAAAAACTAGCACAGAGATAGCAACATTTTCAGAAGTAGGGGGTCCATGGCTTGGCTTTTGAAAAACAGGGGGTCTGCAGTTCTTAGCTAAATGGGAACCACTGTTCTAAACATCCCAGAAGAGTGCACTTCTGCTATCCCTTACTGTGCAGACCATGCTCTCCTTAAAACCTTCCAAAAATAGAAGATACAAAAGACATGCCAGTTTTTAAGTTGCTATAGTGCCAGAAACTATGTGCTATTCATAGATTCAAAGGACCTACATTTTCCCACAAGGCTTTAAAAAACTGTTTTTGGTCTGATTCAGCAAAGCTGTTCATGTATACCTAACCTAATTCTTGAAATCTTTGTAGGAAAATGAAGAAGTGGATTGGAACTTAATTAAACCAGATATTTATGCAACTATTATGGATTTCTATGCTTCTGGCTTACCTGTTATTACTGAAGAGGCACCTCGTACAGACACAGGTAAATGGCTAATATTGAATACGTTGATGGAGGAGAGTATTGGATGTTAGTGGCAGGTTACATCCTCTACTTGTGAGCTTGCCTGGCCACTGTTGGAGATGCAGTCTTGGGCTAGATGGCTCACTGGTGAGAGAGAAAAGGCTGGTTCATTATTATTATTAAATGTATATCCTGCCCTTCTTCCGTGGCAAACAACAAGGAACAAAACAATGCAAACATGAGAAATGGTTCCTGGACAGATGCAAATGGTGTTCCTGAGGGCTGCTTGCAAGGTCTTTGCTGCTGTGATAGGCCAGGGCTTACAGGGACACACTCTTGGTTTTTTCCAATTTTTCCAATTTCTCTGTTCAGCTTGCTCTAGGCACAGTTTTCCTTCTTATTACAATACAGTATCTGAGGAGCTTTTGATATGGGAGGACTTACAGGACTTTATTATTGGATTGGGGTATAAAATCAAACAGAAGGTCTTAAATTTCAGGTTTTACTGTGGAACAATTAATAATAGAGTTTACCAACAAGATTCATACAACATGGAAATCCAGAGGAATCTGATATTTGGGAATTTTTATATTGTAAACTCCTGCTGAAATAATTTATGGTAATTACATTCAGAACTCCCCATAAAATACCTAAATATGGTGGCTTGGCAGTACCTGATAATAGCAAGCAGCCTTGTTCTGCCACAACTTGGTGGTAGAAATATTAAAACTTATTGGGTATTAGAGCAAATAGGGATCCCAATATTAACAGTGTTGGTGTGGAGATCAGAAAGAAGCCAGTAGATCAGTCATTGCAATATGTGACTTTTTGAAAGCAAATAAGATAGTTGAATTTATGAAAACGTGAGACTGTGCTCACAAGATGATGGGGAAGTTTTTAATATTAACATGCCTGGTAAGCAATGGAATGATTCATGTTGTAATAGCACAATATCTTTTAGAGATGTTGCTGCCAGGGAGATTTCTTTTTTACAAGATTTTGTACTTATGGTATTACCTTCCATACAAGTTACAGAAAACGCATAAATGAGACCATCTTATTTGAAATGTGGCCAAGGGTGTGTGGAGTTTGAACATATTTGTTCTTGTAAAGATATAACACAAGTAGGCTATGAAGCAAGCAGGACAACAGCTAGCACACAAGGGCTGGAAGTCTCAGAGCGGCTATTACCAAACACAAGTAAGAGCGCACCGTTGTGCTTCTTTTGTGGCAGGGACAGTGGTGATGCAGGCTCACTTTTCTGCAGTCATTTTATCCCCAAGAAGCTGTCCAGCAGAGCTTTTTCAGGCGGTAAATGGATTATTTTCAAGGAATGTTGTGGAAACATTTATCAAGTAAGATAAGCATGATTCATTCCTTTTGTCTTGCATATACCACACAAGCTCCATCTGAAGAAGACGACGAAGTTGTATTAATGATAAAAGAGCTCCTGGATACTAGAATAAGGTACAGCTACAACTGTGTTTCCTATACACTGTTGGTGTTTCATGAAGGTGGCAGAGTAATGAATGTGCAATTCTGCTGATAGCCAGTTTGATGGATTGGCAGAGATGCTGGTGCTTCTTCCTAGGTTGCCTCTGAAAAGAGTATTTTGTTCACTTTGCGGGATGCTTGCTGTGCTCCCAGCCCACTTTCCCCCAAGAGCTTTTACAATGCTTTGAAAGAGGCATGTGACTTAAAAATTCACTTCAGAAAGAGATTGCAGTAAACATATTCAAAATAGGGGAGGTAAGAAGAATTTAAAATAGACGTTCCCTTTGGATCTTTAGCTTTTATCACTCTGATCCCTGAATATATATTTCTGTTAGAATCCCTTGCCCTCTGATGTTAGCCAGGAGGACAGCAGGGAAATTTTTTACAGTTGCACATTTATATATTGGTGCTTATGTCAATATCTGCACTGAAGCGCTTCCAGCATTTTAGTGAGTGCCAGTCTGACAGACAGAGCCTTCGTTGTTCCTTTGGAAAATAACAGCCTGTCTGTTGGGAAGTGAAAGGGCAGTATAAGTGGAGAATGAAGACGCTGGTTTCATTGGAATGTAGGTGCAGCTTGTTCTTGAATGAATACCCAACCCCTGAATTGCATGCATTAATTTGCCAGCTACAATCCAGTTTGTCTGTTGTGATGACATTTCAGAAGCCAAAGCGGGATTGACAGGAGCAAGGACTTCAGCATTTTACATAGCTTCTCATTACCACTACCCAGATTGCAAAGAGAAAAGTTGCAAACTGGGCAAATGCATGCAAAATGACTGGATTTGTATAATTTATTCCAGTTTCAGTAATCAGCTCTTATTGTCTACTGACAAAGTAGGGGTTGCCCTGGCAGAGAGCATGCACATAAAATAAACAGAAGATACTCAGCTCGGGATCAGCTGTTCTAAGAAAAATTTGCTGATGGTGGATTTGAAGGAGAAGGGAGGTGTTTTGATGAACTGCAAGAGTTGGGCTGTTCTGAGAATAAGCGTTCGTGCAACAGAGAAGGTATAGAGGTGGGATACAAAGAGGAGGTGGCCAAAAAAGTGGGGGTGAGAACTACTTCTAAATGTATAGAAATGTTTGGGGTTTTAAGTGGTTTACCCCACTAATACTTTGAAATCTTATCGACAATGTTCCTCAGGCCAACAGTCCAGGAAGATGGTGGGGATGTCATCTTTAAGGGCTTCGAAGATGGGATTGTGCAGTTAAAACTGCAAGGCTCCTGCACAAGCTGCCCCAGTTCTATCATCACCCTGAAGAATGGGATACAAAACATGCTGCAGTTCTATATTCCGGAAGTAGAAGGTGTGGAACAGGTAGGCACAAATTGAAGGCTGTTAAAAATTGGGGTGGTTTGTTCATTGAATTTCTTCTCCACATCTCAAAGCGTCTCTGTACAAGCAAGTTTTTACGAATGAAAGTTGACACTTCAGATCCGATAACTGGGTTCAGTGCAAAAAAAATTAGGTATAGAAGGGCATTATAGAAGTAACAACAGATTATGAAACAGGATTTCTCTGGGCACAAGTGAGACCAGCATCAACGTGTTGCAGTTTCCTTTTGTACCCCTACCCCACCTGGAGTGTTTCTCTTCAGGGTTCCAGCAAATCATGCTGTCCACCAGAATGTTTTATTCCATTTCCCCACCCTCTGGCTGTCTTTCCCCCTTTTTTCCAACCGGTATGCAATATTTCAGTCAAAACAGCAGAGTTGTGCTTGCCAGCATCACAGAAACCGTGATCCAAGGCATGGGGCCCAGTGAACAACCAACAAATCACAGAATGTATCTGTGGATACAGAGGGGATGAGTGGGGCGGTGTCTGAATCAGCTGTGGGGAACCTTTGGCCAGCCAGATGCTGGACTACAACTCCCTTCATCCTTGACCATGGGCCAAGCTGGCTGGGGCTGATGGCTTACAGCAACATCTGCAGGGCTGCACCGACTGTGTTGTGTTGAGAAAGAGATGGCGACGGCATGGGCTTTACTTTGCTTTCTCCAGTCTGTGGCAACAAGAGTTATGTGGGAACAGTGATCTTCGGTCAAGAAGACGGCTTTTCTCATATTACTGACAATCTCATCCACACTCTTAGCAAGTCATAGTTCTTTGGAAGAGCTGCTTCATTTTGAGCTGGAAATGCTGGGTTGGATGTAGAAAGGAGGTTATTCCATGGTTTTCTTGAGATAATTCTACTGGTGTAAATTTAAAGTTACAGTAGGTGTAATTATAAATTTATACTAAGTGGCCATTTGTGATTTTAAAAAGCATAACTCTGCTTTTCAAAATAACATTCAATACTTGTGTTTCATCTGTATTGTGAACTAAAAGGATCTCGAGAACCTTTTGATTTCTGACACCTGTATGTGCATGTGTTTTTATTTTTTAAAAGCTGCCTATCCCTTAGTATTGCAATCTTATCTTTCAGGTTGTCGATAACGAAGAAGAAGAAGAACAAGCGAAGTCAACCTAAATCAGGGAAAGCTTTGGACTCTTGAGCTAAAATTATTTTGCAAGCTGATTTGTCTAAATTAGCCACTCGCTATAGAAAAATGTTCAGCTGTTGTCACAACTTTTCCCAGACACAGAACTGTTTCTTTCACTGCTTCATGGTTCTAAGAAAACACGTGAAAAGTATTCTTGAAAGTGTGGCTGTCCGTTTGCTGCTATTCTTGTAAACAAAAAGAAGAAAATGTATAGATTTTGTTTGGTCAGAATGTGACATTTATAAAATATTTCCCCTCTCTGTTGGATTTAGGTAGCTTTTGTGGTGACCTACAGCCCATACTGTTGGAAGAATTATGTAGTGATAAATACAGATATAAATTATTGCTTTATTATTTTGAGGCCTTCCTGTTATATAAGCCATGTTTTTATTCTTCTTCGTGGGTCTGTTGTCTTATCAACACTGTATATATATATCTTTGCTACTAAATGCACAATACTGGGTGAATCCTGATAACGGTTTCCTTATTATTGGTCACAAATGGGGATTAGAAACTGAACTTAACCCTTGAAAATAAGAAAACCAACTCTTTTGCTACTGTACTTTCTTGAATACATCAAAGTAGTTGCAACAGCAAAATTAAAGTGTGTTATGGTCCAGCAAACCCACATTACCGTATTGGCCTGAATATAAGCTGCACCCATATATAAGCCGCACCTTTAAAATTCAAGAGGGGAAAAGAAAAAAAGACAATACCCGAATATAAGCCGCTCCCTTAAAATTCTGCAGGCACTCACACCCGTTCTGTTTTACCGTATGTCTGTTTCAACATCGGTACTGTAAAAGCCAATTTTTGTACGGTTGCAAATCTAAGCTGCACTTTTAACTTTTCACGGCTGGAATTTGGAAAAAAAGTGAGGCTTTTATTCAAGCCAGCACAGTAAATGAATTTTAAAATGTGCTGGGAAGAATGTGTGAACTATACAGGAGCTGGGACTCCCCAAGGAAACTGGATGCCTTTTCAATAAAGGCAAATGGGAAATTGCTTTGCCTAATACTCAAGTAAGCATATGCTGTGTGAGGGCAACCACAAGCAACCCATGCCCTGCTTGTCTTGCGTAGGATGCCACCGCAGCTCTTGTGGCACTGTCTTTTCCTTGCCCTGGGCTAAGAATGAGTTGCTAGTATATGACCACTATCGGTTCTGGCCATCTTGAACTTTTTAATGGTTGACGCACTTAATAAGTTCTGACTCATTCCAAGTTCCTGGAAGAGAACCCTTCTGTATTTACTGTTTTACTTTTCCCTGCCTCTGAAAACATCACATTACCTAACATGATGCAATCAGCACACCTGATCTTCACAACAGTGTTCCTTCCTTTTATTTGAAAGGGCAAGTACAGTGGTATGAAAAGGATAGCTTGTTACTTGAGAATTAGTAATCCAGCACACACACCCCCCCCCCGAGACCTGGAAGACTCTATTCAGCCTTTCCTGGTGGATCAGCAAAAGGGGTGTCTGAAACAAGTCAATTCTAAGTTAAACTGGGTGTCAAGTTTGTCAAGGCTACTTCCATTCTCAGGAACTGCCAGCAAGTGATCAGTTGAGGTAGTAGCGCATGGATCTTGCCTGCAGCAGCTCCCTTCGGTTTTAGGTACCTTTTAAGAGCAAGAAATGACATACAGACATTTATAAAATTATGCATGGCACGGATAAACTGGATAGATTTTTTTTCTCTCTACGCTAGAACTAGAACAAAAATATCAAAGGAGGCCTTGTTGAAATCGAAATATGTTGCTTCCATGGTGAGGGACTCTTTAACGTGCATGAATGGCAAACCAGAACACCACCAAATGTGGTGAAGCTCATTCCATGGGAAGGAAGGTGAAGCAACGTTGGGGAAGATTGTGTTTCTAGTGTGCTTCACAAACCAGGCATGCAAAAGGTTGCCCTCTCCTGCTGTGCACCCCCAGCACCTAGTGCACTGTCACCTTGCACATTATTTATTTAAATCATATCCCACCTTTACTCCATGGAGAATCAAGGTGGCATACATGGCTGTCCCTTTTCTCTGTGAGGTGGGTTAGGCTGAGATGCGGCGTCTGTGACCCAAAGTCACCCACTGAGCTTCATGATGGCAGAGTGGGGATCTGAACTGTGGTCTCACCCATTTCCAGGTTCGACCCTCTAACCACTGCACAGCATTGGCCCACAGTCGCTACAAGAAGTTGCCTTACACAACCTCTGGCCATTAGCCTGCTTGGCCTAGAATTGTCTCTTGGGACTGATGGCCATTTTCCAGTATGGAAGGGGGCCAGGGGGCCTTTTCTGCCACCTGCCTCTTTTAAGTGGGAGAACGGGTGGGGCTGCCAGGGCAGGTCAGGCAAGACCCCTTTGCAATCAGTTGGGGGCATGAAGGTGGCTACTGGACCACCACCACTCCTTGCTGCTTGTCCCCTGCAGCAGGTACCAAGCAATAGACTGTTGCTGAACATGGAGGCTCCATGAAGCTCCAACGGGCAACTCTGGAGTTTTGCCGGAAGCTTTGTTTTAAAAAGCCCCACAATGCTCTGGTGCTATGGCAAAGAAGGAAAGGCAAATTATTTTAAAACTGATTTCATATTGTGTTCTAATCCCACCCTGGGATTTTAGGGCAAAGGGCAAGAAATGAAAAGTCAAAAAGTGAAGGGTAGTAAATACAGTGGTATCTCAGGTTACAGACGCTTCAGGTTACAGACTCCGCTAACCCAGAAATAGTACCTCGGGTTAAGAACTTTGCTTCAGGATGAGAACAGAAATTGTGCTCCGGTGGCGTGGCGGCAGCAGGAGGCCCCATTAGCTAAAGTGGTGCTTCAGGTTAAGAACAGTTTCAGGTTAAGAACGGACCTCTGGAACGAATTAAGTACGTAACCAGAGGTACTACTGTACATAAATAGCCCCAAAAGGGAGTCCCATTTTGCCCAAGCCTGGAGTCACCAGCTAGCGGACTGATGATAATAACGACAACCACACACAAAGAGGCGCCTCATTTTGCTGCAGCGTTACCATCAAAAATCAGAATGATGAAGATAACTCCTAAATCATAGAATCATAGAGTTGGAAGAGACCACAAGGGCCATCGAGTCCAACCCCCTGCCAAGCAGGAAACACCATCAGAGCACTCCTGACATATGGTGGTCAAGCCTCTGCTTAAAGACCTCCAAAGAAGGAGACTCCACCACACTCCTTGGCAGCAAATTCCACTGTCGAACAGCTCTTACTGTCAGGAAGTTCTTCCTAATGTTTTGGTGGAATCTCGTTTTGCTGCAACCTAGAGTCACAAAAAAGCGGACTGATAAGAACAGCAATCCCAAAAGGGTGTTGAAAAATATATATATATAATTGTCCAGTATATATATGTCTTGACAGACTCTAGGGTTGTGCACTCATCTCACTCTAGAGGCTGGGAGCCAGCGCTGTCCGCAGACACTTCCGGGTCACGTGGCCAGCATGACGAAGCTGCAGCTGGCGAGCCAGCACCGCACACGGAACGCCGTTTACCTTCCTGCTGGTAAGCGGTCCCTATTTATCTACTTGCACTTAGGGGTGCTTTCGAACTGCTAGGTTGGCAGGCGCTGGGACCGAACGACGGGAGTGCACCCCACTATGGGGATTCGAACCGCCAACCATGCGATTGGCAAGTCCTAGGCGCTGAGGTTTTCCCCACAGCGCCACCCGCGTCCCTTTTCCAGTAGCACCTTAGAGACCAACTAAGTTTGTTCTTGGTATAAGCTTTCGTGTGCATGCAACTAAGTTTGTTATTGGTATGAGCATGCATGCACACGAAAGCTTATACCAAGAACAAACTTAGTTGGTCTCTAAGGTGCTCCTGGACAATTTTTTTATATATTTCTACAGCGTCACACCAACACGGCTCCCTACCTGAATCTTTTTTTTTAAAAAAAATAGTATTTATTACTTTTCCAAAAATTGAAACACTAAAAAAACAATACAATACAATACATTAAACTAACAAAGCAAAACGAAAACAATAAAATAAATCAAACAATTTCATTATCCCATCTTTCATTCACTTATTTCCACGACCTCCCTCCCTGAATCTAACTTATTAGCCCCCCAAGGGGCGCATTGTTTTGCCCGGGCCACGAGCCACCACCAACCAGGGGACCCAGAATGGTAGCATTAACCTTATTGATCACAATAAGGCCAAGGGGGCGCCTCGTCGGGCCCCGGCCTGCTTCCCCCTCCGCCTCCGCCCGAGCGCGGCCCTTCCGGCCTGCGGGGCTCCCGCTCCTCCCGCTCCTCCGCCTGAGGCGGATGCTGATCCGGCTGCCACGTCGCCCCGAGTGACACGGCAGCCCGGAGGCCTCGTGAGGCGGCGGAGGCGGAGGCGGAGGAGGAGCCGGGCCCGCTAGGCCGAGCCGGGCCCAATCGCGGGCCAGGCAAGGAGCCTGCGCCCCTCTGTCCGCGGGAGGAGGAGGAGGAGGAGGAGACGCCGTTGCCGCCGCCGCCTCCTCAGCCGCCAGTCCCGCCGGCCCGTCAGCGAGGAAGCGCCTGTCCAGCCTCCGCGCCTCCCAGCCGCCCTGCTCGGTCTCCTCAGGCGCCACCATGTGCGGTGAGGAAGGAGGGAAGGAAGGCAGGCGGCCGGGGGGGAGGGAGGGAGGGAGGCTGCCCCGCCGGGAAGGCTGGCGAGGTGGGCGATGCTGAGGGGCCGAAGCCAGGGCGAGGCGGCTTCTCTCGAAAGGGTTGCCCGCTTCCCTCAGGGCAAACGGCAGCGGGTTGGGCTAGATGACCCTGGGGCCCCTTCGTGCTCTGCGGCCGCAGGCAGTAGCCTTTCCTCAGCCCATGTGCAGAGTGCGCCTGAAGAGGGGAGGGAGGGGCAAGGCCAGGCCCTCAGAGCAGCGCCTGCCTCTCTTCTTGCCCCCCATTCTGAGCTGCGGCTTCCTCCTCCACCTCCTCCAACTCTTTCACCATCATTGTAGAGAGGGCCTTGTCAAAAGTCCGACGCTGGCTCTCTTGAGCATGTGCAGAGTGCCTTCGCCTTCAGGGTGGTTCGGAAGGGAGATAATAGGAGGGTAGTGGGGACAGTGTGAATGTGCAGATGGAAATCAGGGGGGTGAGAGAGATGGTTTGTTTACAGGCAACCCCATGCTTGAACATTGCGGAACATTTAGGAAACCTAATACAGTGGTACCTCGGGTTAAGTACTTAATTTGTTCCGGAGGACCGTTCTTAACCTGAAACTGTTCTTAACCTGAAGCACCACTTTAGCTAATGGCGCCTCCCGCTGCTGCACAATTTCTGTTCTCATCCTGAAGCAAAGTTCTTAACCCGAGGTACTATTTCTGGGTTAGCGGAGTCTGTAACCTGAAGCGTATGTAACTTGAAGTGTATGTAACCCGAGATACCACTGTACTGTAAAGCAAAATCAGGAAAATGATGAAGAGGGGGGAAAAGCTCTACAACTGGTTTAGCAATAGTGATCCAGTACAGTAGTAGTAGTAGTAGTAGTTATAAAGTGGCATCAGGGTCTGTGGTGCTTTGAAGACCAGTAGCATAAGCAAAACACAGGTCTCTGCCCCAAGGAGCTTACAGCCTAAATCTTATCTGGGTGCGAAGTTGAAGGGGACAAATGTCTTGAGGGACTGGCGCAAGTGAGGCTTGTGGGGAAATTAGCGTGAGAGTAGACGAGTGTGTGATATTGGGAAAGCGGGTTTAGATTGCTGATGATAAAGGAAGGGGGTGAATTGGCAGAATTCAGCAGGGAGATATTTTCAACTTCGTTTTCCGTTAAGCTTAGGGTGCCTAAATACAACAATATGGCAATATGTTAACCTCCTAGAAATATAAAGGGGAACAAGGGGTGGGAAGGGGTGGCAGCCATCCGTGCAGTAGAGGAAGAGCATAGGTGTGTATCAGACAGGTAGAAAAGCAGATTTGCCTGTTCAGGAGCTTTTCCACACCAACTTCAGGGCTGTCTGCCTTTCTAGCAACTTGTACTGAAGCTAGGGTTTGCCAGCGGTGCTGGTGTTGGTAGGTGGAAGGGCTGCTTCCATATCTCTGGCTTGCATGTAAGTTCTTACTCTTTACGTGGTGTTTGTTTTGCGCACTGAGCTGTTTACGGTGGTTCCAGAAAGATTTAATATTTCATTTAATCCCCATTTGACGTTGTGTTTGCACATTGCCTACAAGCACATCCTTTTGATGTGTTGAAAGGTGCTGTTTAACCTTACTGAGTTTCAAAATCAGCTTCTAATGTGGCACAGAAGAAGAGGGGACGTGGAAGCAGAAAAGAGAGTCCTCTTATGTAGGCAAAAGGCAAGGGGTGTTTGGATCAATTCCAGAGGAATCATCATTAATAAGATCATTGCTAATAAGAGATTAAATGAAAAAAATTTTTTTTGCACCTTTTTTCTTTTTAAAAATGTTGTGAGATGACTACCATGAAATACATATTTAAAACACCAAAAAGAAAGAAAGAAAGAAAAGAAACACTTCAGAGCACAGCAAAAAAGACATAATAAAAGTATAAAGAAGAGATGCTAGGCACATATCTCTGGTGATGATGTTCCACTATGTGGTGCATAGTTAAACTATGGAACTCACTCCTCCAGGAGGCAGTGATGGCCACCAACTTGGATGGCTTTAAAAAGTCATGATGGAAAGGGCTATCAATGGCTGCTAGCCAGGATGGCTAGCCTCTGCCTTCATGGTCAGAGGGAGCAATGCTTTTGAAGACTACTTGCTGGAAACCACAGGAGAGGAGAGGCCTCTTGTGCTCCATTCCTGCTTGCTGGTTTCCCGCCGGCATCTGGTTGGCCACTGTGAGAACAGGACGTTGGATTGGATGGGCCATTGGCTTGATCCAGCAGGCCCTTCTTCTATTCTTAAATTCATAAAGGGTGCAACTACAGATGAGGCTCCCTGATCTTCACCCGCCGAACTTTTTCAGAGAACTTAATGATAAGACTGCCTCATTATTATTTTAATAATATTGGAAGTGTGTATGTATATCGCTCTTTTTGTTTTCACGTACATACATTTATCTTCTGCTTCGAACAGTATATAAATTTTACGAAATAAATAAAATCAAAACAAAACACATGACCCCACTCATCCTTACAAATTCCTTCTAAGTTAAATTGGTCAGTATGATTCTCCCCATATTCCAAAAGACTAGGCGCTGAAGAAAAGCAAAACTGGCTTGCTTGAGGCCACCTAGTGAACCAGGACCTTCAGGTTGAGCCCTGAATTACCATTTGCATTCTCTTGGTGTGCAGACGTAGCATAGGTCTATATGTGCTTATTGAATCCCAGGCCATTGGGCCCATCTAGACAATTGTCCACACTGGCAGTGGTTCGCCTGGGTTTATAGCAGGAGTCTTTTCCAGCTGCACATGGAAGGTGTTGGAGATGGAACATGCTCTGCCATATATCAACTTCCCCATATATCCACTATTTTTTCGGCTTTCTTAACACTACTCTGTCACCTTCAGGTATTGGTGTGGGGGTTTTTTTGATGTGGGACACAGGTTCACGAGAAATTTCTCCTGAAGAGCGAAGTGAAAAAGAGCTGCAGTCACAGTTTGCTCATGTGCATTTAATGCTATGCAAATTTGCCTCAGAAAATGGAAAATGGGGCAGTGCTAAGAATAGAATAGGCAATTTATGCTATAAATAGTTTGCTGTGAGCACAGTTCAAGTCTTTCTGTGAATTCAATCTTGGGAATGTGTGGGATTCTCAGATTGCATAGCATAATCTGTTCTTTGTCTACAAACATATCCTTTAAAATATTTCTGAATACAGTTATAGCCTCTTGACTGCCTTGTTCCAAAATGAGAAAGCAGAATTTTGTGCCTTTAGAGTGATGGAGACTGACAAAGCCCAATGCCTTTTCTTCAGGTCATATTTCTGAGGGGATTATTTCTCTTGCATGGTTGAAATTGTAGGGTTTATTGCCCTTGCAGTTTTATCTTTACCTTGACATTTCTGTATCTCACTTGCTTATTCTTTGATGGAATAAGTATAATTCATCTCTTGTTAACGGCCCAGGTAGAATGTAGATGTCCAGACAAACCAGTGTAGCAGATATATGCCTTGTTCATAGTTGAATGTGAAACTCATAACCAGTTTAAACTTGCTGCAGAGGTAAGGATGGAAGCAAATCTTACAAGATCACTTTCTTTTAATAATTAAACTGGTGCAGCATCAAACTGGAATAATTTCAAAATCTGATACGTTATTCATAGCTTAGTGGGTTACACTGCCATGGGTGGGAGAGGGGGGTTGACTACAGGACTAAGAGCAGATTCCAAGCATTGATTTATAGGTAAATAAGAAATGCCCGAACTGACAGAGCAGTTTTTTCCTGTTCAGCAAAATAGAGTGAGATTGTTGGCTCTTCGTAAATGGGTAGTTTGTTCTGGTTTTCAGTGTACAACTAAAATTTGGGACCTGACTTGCTGTGAAATTGTCCACCCTAGTAGAGCACACAGTGTTCATTTCTGACCATTTGGTTTGACTAAGTGTAGAGACTGGTGCTCTGTTTAACATCTGCAGTGAAATAAATATTTCTACTGTTGACATTAATTTGTTTGAGCAATTTTTATCCTGCCCTTCAGCTCAAGTGCTCTCATAGCAACTATCATATCCAAAGGATCTCTCTCCACTGTGCCTCTTAACCCCAGTATGAGCTATGGGGCCAACTAAAACATTTTTGTTGCATGTGGTCATACTTTACCTTCTCTCTGTTCCTTTCTCTCACCCCCCTTTTAAATTTTCCCTGCATTCTATCATTCTGCTGTGTTCTTTATCGTCTTCCAGAAAGCTTAACCCATACCTTAAACAAGTACAAAAGGAAGTCAAGTGTGGCACCTGAACCAATCTGGTTTAGGCTGGGCTGCAATCGAGTTTCTGGTCTCAACCCACCAGCTGAACCCTCATGTTTCACAGCCAGGTGTTGCCACCAGGAGTGAAACAAGCACCTGCTCTTCCTTCTGCTGGGTAGCTTCCAATTTCTTGCTGATATCAAGCTAAGGAGGCCAATATAATTCTTTTGACTTCAAGGTTATACAAACACAACCCTTCTTAACCCCCCCCCCCCATTTTTATCTGAATTCTGAAGTATTGACTTGCAGTAGTCATGGCTGAACACAGCTGAATTTGTGAATTCTAACTGGGCTCTCTCAGAAGAGGGACAGCAGGAAATAATTATTAGCGCAAATATCTAGCCTTACAGAAGTGACCCATTGGAAAACTTACAAAGGAAAATATATTTGAAATACAGTGGTACCTCGGGTTACATATGCTTCAGATTACATACACTTCAGGTTACAGACTCCACTAACCCAGAAATATTACCTCGGGTTAAGAACTTTGCTTCAGGATGAGAACAGAAATCGTGCTCCGGAGGCACGGCAGCAGCAGGAGGCCCCATTAGCTAAAGTGGTGCTTCAGGTTAAGAACAGTTTCAGGTTAAGAACGGACCTCCGGAACAAATTAAGTTCTTAATCCGAGGTACCACTGTATAGGATGTGTCAGCTATGTGAAATAGCTGCTAGGAGGTTGGGCACTGATTCTTGTAATTTTGTAATATATTACTGTACTTTAGGTGACAAATTATATTTGCTTCCAAACAATAAGGTAGAGAGCTTTGACCTGCCAAAAGTTAGTGATTCTTCTTTCCATCTGCCCCTTTTAGGTGGCTCTCTAGATGAGCTAATAACAGTTCTTCTTGGGAACTTATTTTCAACCCTGTCATCACAGAATTTTCATAGAGAACATTTCCTCCTATGGACTATGATCTTATTTATGAGATGAATGAGTAAATTTATTTCACTGTAACATTTTACTTCCTTTCTTCTTTTCAACTCATGCAAATGAGGAAGTGGTCTTGGGAGTTTGCTGTGTATGATTAGTTGGTAAAAATATGTGATTAGCAGCACACCTTAAAATTAGTGTAGTGCTTGTACACTTGGAAGGAGCAAGGGCTAAGGTAGGGTTGCCATATGTCCAAAGTTTCACAGACATAGCTAGAATTTGGCCATCGGAAACAGTGTCTGAGTAGAAAGCGCTGAAATGTCAGGGAAACTCTGGACGTATGGCAACCCATGTTGGAAGTGTAGATGTTGGCGAATTTCCTTAAAAATAGCTTAAAAGCGTCTTTCTTTTTTTGAGATTGGGCAAAATGAAAAAAGCCATGCATCAGAATGATTTGCAATATCCAGCCAAAAATTATGAAACCAATAGTACGATAGGGGCTTCAAACTGGTTTTGAACAATATATCAATATATCGCCTAGCCATGAACAATACATCTGTGGAATGTGCTTCTTTCCCCCTGGGTCAACCAGTGTTGGCTTGCCTTAGTAACTAAGAAATCCCACAGCTTTTTGGGTGTCTCCAACGCTTGTGGTATAAGGCTGGCACTTCTTCAGGCATGGTGTGAATGTGGGGTGTGTGTGTGTCTTTCTCTGATTCCATGCTCTCACCAGAGCCAAAGATATGCTTGCTGGTAGATCACAGGTCAACATTTGTCCCTAGATGAGGGACCATAAGCTGCTAGGAAGAGGAAGAGGAAAGGGATGAGGGTATCTGGTGAACTGAAAGCACACCATGTTAACAGGCTGCTAATGCTATGTGGGGCAGATCTTTGGCTACAGCTAAATGAGCAGCGTTTGCCAACATGGTCTTGCTGACCCACCGCAAGCACCCTGTTCACATGCTTCTGGCTTATGTGAGTAATATGAATACTGAAGCAGCCTTGAATGATGGCTGGACTGAGCCAGGGAGCCAGTGAAGTGTTGAGCAAGAAAGCGGGCCCTTTTCCTGAGGCAAGAGTGACTGCTGCTAAAAGCAGACAGTCTTGTCCAGGGGTCAGCAAACTTTTTCAGCAGGGGGCCAGTCCACTGTCCCTCAAACCTTGTGGGGGGGCCGGACTATCTATCTATCTATCTATCTATCTATCTATCTATCTATCTATCTAAAATGAACGAATTCCTATGCCCCACAAATAACCCAGAGATGCATTTTAAAAGGACACATTGTACTCATGTAAAAACATGCTGATTCCCAGACCGTCTGTGGGCCGGATTGAGAAGGCGGTTGGGGCAGATCTGGCCCCCGGGCCTTAGTTTGTCTACCCATGGTCTTGTCAGTGGTGGCCCCCTGTCATTGTGATGCATTCCCAAAAGAGATCCACTCCCTTGGTCATTCTAGGAGGGGTTTTTTTTTGCCAGCTGTGCACCTTTTTGAGAGGTAAGGGTTAGATTCGGAAAGAAATGTGAACGGTTGCTGCTGGGGGTGGTCACTGTAAGGCAGGGGTCAGCAACCTTTTTCAGCCATGGGCTGGTCCACTGTCCCTCAGGCCATGTGGTGGGCCAGACTATATTTTGGGGGGGGAAATAGAACGAATTCCTATGCCCCACAAATAACCCAGAGATGCATTTTAAATAAAAGCACACATTCTACTCATGTAAAAACACCAGGCAGGCCCCACAAATAACCCAGAGATGCATTTTAAATACAAGGACACATTGAGAAGGTGATTGGGCCGCATCCGGCCCACGGGCCTTAGGTTGCCTACCCCTGATGTAAGGATTAGCCTAGGCAAGAATGAGAATTTTGAGACTCAGTCTAGTTGTGAGGACAGCAGAGCTCTCTGTTTAAACCCAGATGTCCTCCAGTCCAGTTACGTAGAAAGGGGCAGGGAGTAGCGAGGTCTCTCCCCATTGCTTACATCCCTCCAGTTCATGCATTTTTCTTGCATCTGACTTTCAATATTGGAGCATGTCTAAGGAGAAGAGCACCTGGCGGGATAGACAGACTTTCAGCAAGATCAATTGTGCCAGTTCCAAGAGTTAATCAGTCTCTTCTTTGTTTTTTCTTAGTTATATTGGGGTGGGGAGGGTTCCAAAGCTCTTCTCTTGAGTTGGAATGCTTTGCTGCAGTGAAGTGTTCGTAATTTCTAACTTTGTTGGCTATAATGAAATTGAACACTTCCTTGTAGCCACTGGGAGTTGACAACCTGTCTGAAATCTTGATAAACTGGAATATCATGACTTAAGCTCCCCACCCGGCTTCTTTCCCTGTTTCTTGTGCCTTGCCCACTTTATGGCAGTGCCCTTTCACAGAGGGAGTTCATGCATGGAGATTATAAGGAATATCCTTATAAATCTCAAATGCAGTGCTTATTGAGCATGCAAGTCATTATTGTGACAAGGCAACTCATTTGGTGTGCGTGAGAGGTAGGAGCACATTATTGACTTTCCAGGTGCTATTTTCTGAGACTTCCCAGGAATTGTGGGATCCATGGATTTGTTATTGCTTGGGGTTGACCCATTGGGTTCACTCTGATTTGAACTAGCACTGAATATATCCCACAGTGTCTAAAAAGTAAAAGTCCCAGAATGTGGGGTGTATTTTTTCTCATGCAGATGGTAGCAGAGATGAGGCCTAAATCTGGAGCTACTGAGATAATTCAAAAAACCCATAAGAGCTTGCTAGATTTTCTAGGACCAAATCTAAGAATGGGTGTTTTTTGTTTTTTTGTTTTTTGGAAGGAAGGCTGTAATGGAGGGTTCCATTCTGCAAACTCAAAATTCTTTACCCTGCGTTCTTGCACTCCATTCTAGAGTTTGCAGAGTGGAGCCACTTCATTGCACTCATCTACAATATGTTTTATACTTTTTAATGGTTTTTAAATTTTATTTATTATTTTATTTATATCCCATCCTTCCTTCAAAAAACCCTATCTTAATGGATCCTTCTCTCGTCCCTGGAGTTGCTTTTAGATTCTCTCTGTTTTACTTACAATTTTAATTGTGTATATGTACATTTTTAAAAAATATATAATACTGCTTGGGAGAAATGTAGCAAAAAAAAAGTGTGGTGCTTTTTCTTCTTGTGGCTTGTAATGTTTTATAAAAATGAGTTTATTTACAACACTTTGGGGCTGTGCTAATAGAAATCCTACACAAGCGCTGTTTCAGTTCATAGTTGTGGTTACAAAGTGAAATGCAGTATTGCATGTACAGTGGTACCTCGGGTTAAGTACTTAATTCGTTCCGGAGGTCCGTTCTTAACCTGAAACTGTTCTTAACCTGAAGCACCACTTTACCTAATGGGGCCTCCCGCTGCCGCCGCGCTGCCAGAGCATGATTTCTGTTCTCAACCTGAAGCAAAGTTCTTAACCTGAAGCACTATTTCTGTGTTAGCAGAGTCTGTAACCTGAAGCGTATGTAACCTGAAGCGTAACCCGAGGTACCACTGTATATAGTCTTTGTTTTAATTTCTAATCAATCCTGCAGGCATCTTTGCTTACCTGAACTACCACGTTCCCCGGACAAGACGGGAGATCCTGGAGACCCTCATCAAAGGGCTTCAGCGGCTGGAGTACAGAGGATATGACTCTGCTGGTAAGCTGCTCACCCTGTCCTTGGATTCCTTATCTTTCAAACTTTTTTTCTGTGGATATGGTTTTAAAAGGATGTGGTTGCCAGTAAAGTCATGGTCTGCAGTGTGTAAGAAGCAAGGCTTGGTGTGACTTATTCCACCTTTCAGTTCACATGCAACAAGTTTACATGTTTAGTTGTATATCTTGGACATAAACCGTTATGTGCACAGGTATTTGGATGAAATTAAAATCTCATTAGGCTTTTTGAGATGTCTTTTCCCAATGAAAGAAATCTCCTTTTCCTTACAGAAGATGTATTGTTTGACAAGAGTCTAACGGCTAACATAACTGACCCTGTGCAGTTGGAATGCTTGGATATTCTTCAGTGTCCCAGCAATGCAGCCCAATGGCTAAAAGGGAACACCTAGGCAATGTTATGTTTCTAAATCTTGCACTGGCTTTTCTTGTAATTATGTACAGCCATAATGTTCTGAAACCCTGCAATTTTATTCTAGCCTGTAGAAAAATGATTGTGGAAGTTAGGTTAATGATCCTGGAAAGCAGAACAATTAATATTTCAAGCCAAATGAGGTGTGTGTGATTCACCTTAAGCTTTCTGTGTATTAGGAGTTGGAATTGATGGAGGCAATGATAAAGACTGGGAGGCCAATGCTGGCAAAATTGCACTCATCAAAAAGAAGGGGAAAGTGAAGGCTTTGGATGAAGAAGTGAACAGTAAGTCCAGTCCTACACAATCCGCCTTTTCTTTTTGGTGGTCTTTGTTCCTGATTTCAATACCATTCAGCAACCATCTTTCAATGTATTGTTAGGTACAAACTGAAAACACTTCCCACCACATGCTGTGCTCATTGGTACAGTGGTGCCTTGCAAGACGAAATTAATCCGTTCCGCGAGTCTCTTCATCTTGCGGTTTTTTCGTCTTGCGAAGCACGGCTATTAGCGGCTTAGCGGCTATTAGCAGCTTAGCGGCTTTAAGAAAAAGGAAACAAACTCGCAAGAACTCGCAAGACGTTTCGTCTTGCGAAGCAAGCCCATAGGGAAATTCATCTTGCGGAACGACTCAAAAAACGGAAAACTCTTTCGTCTAGCGAGTTTTTCGTCTAGCGAGGCATTCGTCTTGCGGGGCACCACTGTATACTAAATGATAAACTATATATTCATTTCTATAATGCAGTTCTCAGATAAATCAAATTTTCTAATCCTCCCTGTACGTCTGCCTTGCCTGTTGAGAGCAAATATAGAGATATTGCATGATCTCTTGTTGGGTCATTCTTTGGCCAATTAGACTCAAACATCTCAGTCACCTTTGGAACACAGACCCTTTCTCTCTCTCTCTGGTTATAGTAGAGGCAGCATGAATAGGGAGAATGGTAGTGGAGAGTATTCATGAAGAAAAAGTGTTCACAAGATAGCGGAATTCACATACTCTGCATTGTCTTGCCCATCTCTTTCCAGAGTGGACAGCTGAGACTTCATTTCTTGTCTGTTACTGATAAACTAGTGTCATATAAACTGATAACAGCAGATAGCCAGACCACCTTTGCCTAGTGAGAAACTACTGAAGTTCCCAACCGTGGATTTATTCACACACATTGCCAAACCATGGTTTAATGCTGCTTGAGTGGCCTCATGCGTGTTCCCCTCCCTCCCGCACATTATGTCAGGCACAGGTGGACTCCGGCCCTCCAGATGTTTAGGACTACAATTCCCATCATCCCTGATCACTGGTCCTGTTAGCTAGGGATGATGGGAGTTGTAGTCCCAAAAATCTGGAGGGCCAGAGTTTGCCTATGCCTGCATTATGTGCTCCAATGCAAGTTGCTTCCTCTTTAGCACAAACCAGAATTTGCTGTTAAACTAGCCAACTATGGTTTGGGCTTGCCCTCCAAACTGGGACCACCAACCAAACCATGTTTGGAAGCTGGTTTGCAGTCCTGCGTTGGAGGGCACATACAAATCATAGTTCAGCTGTTAGGGAATTTGCAGTAAAGGCAAAAGTAAAGAATTAAAATGGAATGTGTGAGTAGAATGCTTGTTCATATTGCAGCCAATGATTTAGTTTATACAGCAGTCATGTATTTCTGTTGCTGCTGGTCTTAGGAATTGTTTAAATCAAATGTTGATGCTCTAAGCATGGTAAATTGATACAGCCACAAAATAAGATGGGTCTTTTCTTAACTTTCTATGTACTAGAAAAATGCAAGTATTAAATTGGTATGATCTCTGGGTGGGAAAACTGTAAACAATGGAGAAGCAAACGTTTCATGTTTTGCGTTCCGTTCAATGCCCTCTATTCAGGAAACAACAGTGTGTGCTAATATTGTGGATAATACTATGGCTGTTTTCAGAGAGGCATGGTGGAGGACCTCTGCATTGTGGACTTACTTTTATCTTAGATGTTGCTGACTGAGTTGGCTGGCTTTAGTCAGAACTTAGGTCGGGATGGTTGATGTTTTTTGTCCCAAGCCACATTCCCTTCTGGACATCCTTCCAGGGGAACACATGCCAATGGTGGGCAGGGTCAGAAGAAAAAGTTGGTAGAGTAATGAATCTAAACATTGCCTTTGTTCATGAGGCTGGTTTCTACAATCACTCATGCCCCTCTCTGTCTGCCATCCAGATCAGCAAGAGGTGTGATTAGAGCTCAGATACACATTTCAGCCAGGCAAAAACACTCCAGCAGGGTGCAGAGTATGGCTGGTAATTGGGGGGGGGGTGGCCTGGGGAGAGTCCTGAGGGCCAGATGGAGAGGTCTGAAGGGCCCCATTTGACCTTTAGCCCAGAGTTTCCCCACCTATAATTTATGTGTTGGTGGAAGTGGACCACTTAACACATGCAAAAGACCTGTAAATGTTAGAAAAGAGCTCACATTCATGAGTAGCCTGAAAGCCTTGGCCTACTTCGTAAAGCCTCACTGAAGCCAGTGGGTGATGTCAGCTGAAACCTTTCCCTCCATTCAATAAGAGTAGGAGATCCTCTTAGGAATTAACTTTTCCCCACTTTACACAGAACAACAGGATATGGACCTGGACATTGAGTTTGATGTGCATCTTGGAATTGCCCATACCAGATGGGCCACCCACGGCGAGCCCAATCCTGTCAACAGCCACCCACAGCGATCGGATAAAAACAATGGTAAGACATTGCCGTTACGTTTTGGTGGGTGTGAGGGATGAGGTGACACTTGGACTTTTGTCCTAGCTTCTGATGGCTGTTCAGAGTTGATAAAGTGTCGGGCAGGCAATCTTCCTGGACAACTGTGTCCATCTTCTTGAACAAAGTACCAAGTAGCAAGACATGTAAGAAGTAAATCTTAGTGGTCTTAGCTTTTATTTCCAGGTGGGAGGAGGCAGATAGTCAGACCGGAGAGCCCCAACAAACCAAAAATCAGCTGCATTGGGAAACAGAATTTAGTTCTTTTATGGATTAAAGACTGTTTCAAGTTAAAAACAAGGCTGGTCTCAACTCCTTTTAAATATGCAGAATGTTCACAGATAATGATTTTAAAATTGCTTTTTAAAAAGTGAGTCGTAGATTACAGAATAAATAATATATTACCTTATAGAGATTTTCAGAAAAGGTTAAATTTGAGTACTCACTAATTATATTGTTTCTAGATTAAAAAACTGTGATCTGAGGCACTGTAATGACTGTTATAAAGCCCTGCTGTTAGTATTGCACTAAGGTTAAAATACTACCAAAGTTACAAGCATGGGTTATAATTCCCATTAATCTGTTGTAAGGGTTCGTTTAATCTGTTAAGTGTCTTAATTCTAAAGGCTCCTCGGGGCTGAAATTGAGCTGCCGGCTGCCTTGTACTTTGTTGATACATCCTGTTTAGCATAGGCAACTGGCATTCCTGGTGTAGTTAGTACAGAAAACAATTTTGGGTAATGGCCCACATGGAAGATGGCCTACATTCTCTCTTACATTAGGAAATTGAACTGTAAATGGGTCTGGGATAAAGTAAATTAATCCTGCAGTTGGATGCAGCAGGTGGCATTAAACTACTCTAAGTTAAGCAGCCCAGCAGGGATTGTACTTTCTTTATTAAATTCGACCATCCATCTATCATGTGCTTGTGCTTGGCTTTGGGAATCCTAGTTTCTGTTTCAGGCTTTTGCCTTTGAGCAAGGTGCTTGGCACCTCTCTTTTCTTCTCCTCTTGGGATGCTTCCCTATTTTTGCGGGCTCTTTTATGATCATAGCTCCTAAAGTGTTTTCTCCCCCTGTGTTTCAGAATTTATTGTTATCCACAATGGCATTATTACAAACTACAAAGACCTGAAGAAATTTTTGGTAAGTGAAGCTCCTTGTGCTGTGCTGTGAGTTTAAACAAAGTGGGAAGTCTGAATCTGCTTGTGTTTGTATCGTAGGAGAGAATCACTTGGGCCTGGTAGTTTTGTTCCCAAATTATGCCAGCATTCTTTGGATGCTGAGAAGGGAGACACTTTAGAAGCCGTTGAAGTATCTATTACATGAGCTGGTGCTATAACTTTAAGGAGTGGTTAGATTGCATGTTCCACTGGGCTGATAGGTATCTTCTGTGTCACCCTGTGAAGTGCCTTAGGGATGCAGGAAGGCACCTTATCTCAATTCAGGTTGTTGCTTCATCTCATGCTGTACTGTCTGCACCAGGCTTCCCCAAACTGATGCCCTCCAGTAGTTTTGGAATATAACCATAACTATAACTCTCAACAGCCCCAGCCAGAAATGGTAGCAGGTTCTTCCCTTTCCTGCCTGCAGATTGCATTTGGGACCTTCTGCAGTCAAAGCATGCACTCTCGTCACTGACTTTATGGGCCTTCTCCCATGAACATTAGTGGCATTATATAATAATATTACAATCTTACCAAAGCTGGATAATTTTATCTTGCTTCTAATTTCTTTCAGGCTTAAGTGTGTAATGTGATTGTGTGTCTATTAGGTTAATGGTACTGTATTGACTTCAGAGGAAGTAGTAGAATTAAGAAATCTAAAGAGCAGATGAATATACTTCCAGGAATAGTCTTCAAGGTGCCGCAAGACTTTTTGTGGTGCTTGCAGCCACAGACAACACAGCAACCCCCTCTGGAATTTTTCTTTGCAAAAAGAGGTCGTGGGGTTATTAATTGTTTACGGTCATATGTGGCACCAGATATATTATCAGCTGCTCTAGAATGCTATTGCCACTCTTCCCCTCCCTAACCAACAAAAATTGAATCCCGACCCATTCTGGCCTTTGAGAACTTTGCCATTGGGTTCCATACTAGCTTGGTTGCATTGTGTGGTTAGCATCTGCTCTGCTTTCTGTAGGCGCGCAGCAGTGAGCTGGAACCATGCCCATCAAGACATGGTTCTTTTGCTTCTGCATTCCTTTATCTATTCTATTTGATTCTTTCTCTGAGCAGGAGAACTTGAAATTAATGAATGAAAGTAGAGCAGTTGTAAGAAACAGGAGCAGCCTGTGCAATATTTTTAGAATATGGTTGCTATGATACAAAAATAGTGCGTAGTAGATATTCCCTTGTCCATGTGCCATGTTCCATATTTCCATTGTTTTGACTAACACAAGTCATACTTCTTAAATGTTTTTTCAGGAAAGCAAAGGTTATGAATTTGAGTCCGAGACTGATACTGAGACAATTGCTAAACTTGTCAAGTACATGTATGACAACCGTGAAAGTGATGATATCAGCTACACCACATTGGTAGAAAGGGTCATCCAACAGCTGGTAATTCTACATTTTTTCGTAAAACATTTATCACCCATAGGAGGCAATATACAATTCTTATGTTTTGCCAGACCTTTTAATATGTTTCATTGTGAGGTTTCAGGAATTGCTTAGTCCATTGCTGGTATAGAGCAATCTGCTTTCTCTTACAGCTGCTTTAGTCAGCAATGTAAGACATTCCTGCGTTGCAGGGGGTTGGACTAGATGACCCTCTGGGTCTCTTCCAACTCTACAATTCTATGATAAGCCAAGAGCAAATGAAAGAGCCAGGATCCTGTTTGCAACAGTAATGTTAGTTCATAGCTTTTACCAAACTAGATGTAAGATAATTGACTAATTTAGAGAATATCCTGTGATACTCAGACTAGGGATAATGATGATGAGGAGGATAATAATAATAATACTACCAATACCTCTCAGCAGCTTTTGTTATAGTCAGTCACAGTGTCGAAATCCTGTTCATCCAGATTGGTCTTGGGAGTCTTTTCTTGTGGAACAATTAAGGTTGTGTTGAAGGCGTTCTGCTTTATCCTATGGCCATTGACTTATACGGTGCCACAAGAGCCTAACCTGCCCCCTCCACATGCTTTTTAATGTCTGCATGAAACTTCCAGGAGAAACACATAAGGACACAAGAAAAGCAGATTCTAATCAGTTATCTGGAGATTTGGCTCGAGGTGTTGCCAGCTGTGACACACAGCTCCTTCTCTTGTTTCCAACTTCTCATCCCTCTTGAAATCCTGAAGGTGGTTCTGGGTGGGTGAGGGCAAACAATCTGAGATTATATCCAGATAAAACAGAGCTGGGTAGGGAGATTGCCTGCTCCCAAGCTTGATGGGCTGCGGGTCCGGAATGGGGTTACTTTGTCCCTGAAGAACCAAGCGCATTCTCCTGGACATTGGTGCTAACTGGGAAAGCCAAGAAAATAGTGGTGGCACAAAGTGCATTTTACCAGCTTGGACTGTCTCCCCAGCAAGAGAGGTTGGCTCTTGCCAGTCACGTTCAGACTGGACTACTGCAGTGCACTGTACCTGGGGCTGCCTTTTAAAGGTGGGTTCGAAATTTTTGACAGTGCAGAATGCAGTGTCCTAAATTTTGGGGGGAACTGGGTGGTAGGGACATGAGATAGTCCTACTGTATCAGCTGACCTGGTTACTAGTGCATTTATAATGCTGATTCTGACTTTTAAAGGCTTAAAGTGTTTTGTGTCCGAGATATTTGAAGGGTTGCCTTCACTTATGCCAAGCTCCTGGTGCTCTGAGGTCAGCAGCGGGGGCCCTTTTAATTTGCTGTCTCCAAAAGCAGTGGAAGCCAGAGGGGCAGCTCCACAGCTTTGGAATTAACCACTTGTTCATGGCTTCCCTAAAAGGTTGGTCTGCTTCTGCTGTTGGCTTTGATGATACTTTAGTAATTTTAGGTTGTTTCCCTGGTCTCTCAGTATAATGTTTCTGAGACTTTTAAGCTGCAATGTATTGTAAGCTGCCTTGAAAGAGTTTTCTCCCAAAGGCTGCATATTAATATTTTAATTAAAACATTTAAATGATGTTAACTGAAAAAGTAAAGTGTTTGTTTGTTTGTTTGTTTTTCCACAAGGAAGGTGCATTTGCCCTTGTCTTCAAGAGTGTTCACTATCCTGGTCAAGCAGTTGGAACCAGGTAAATACCGTCCCAGTAGTATGTTCTGTGTTTCCCTAGGTCAGTTTCATTATTTTTGCACCCACACCTTCTTTTTGATAGGCTATCATAGATTTTAGCCAATTTTGAATTGGAGGAAATTCTATTTGCCATATCTATTATGCAACCTTATGGTATAATATTCCCTGTTTTTCATGTTACCTGCTGAAGCAAAAATATTCTCTTAGAAAAATAACCCCATTCTTTAATGTTGTTTCCTGCTATCCATGAAGTACCACAAACAGTTCAAAATTAGCAAAACAATTAACATCTTGACTGCAATTACTGTTTGGATTTTCCAGCTGAATCTGGGTAGTTAAAGTCATGTTTGCACTCATATCAGTTCTATAGCTTACTCCAAAAAATTGTGAGAATTGTAGTTTCTGAAGGGTCTGGAAACCTCTTTTGAAAATCCTTTGCTTGCCTCACCCAGACCTGTAGTTCCCTTGGTTCCATTAGGTGAAAGAGGGACTTTCAAGGCAGTGATCTTGTTTGCACTTAACTGATCTCAGTGGTACTGACTTTTGAGTAAGCATGTCAGGGATCATCTGATATGTGTAAGACAGACAAGTCCTCAGATGGGAATCAGTTTGGTTTTTTAAAGATTTTCTATCAGTTTGGTTCTTTTAAGATTTTGCTTGGTCTGCACATCATTGCAGTCTCAAAATTCAGGGCTCTTGAGAGTTTGTCCCACAGATTGTGAACTATAAATTCAGTTTGTCTGGGATGCTTTTAACTGCATTCTGTCTTGGCTTAAAAGCTGCCCAACTCTGAACTATATAGATCTTGAGTTAGTGCTGTTTGCCATCTGCAGGCTATAATTGAGATCAGATTAGTGAGGTTTCCCCCCCATCTTTTTTGTTCTGTGCAATTTTGAAGCTTGGATCTGTGTCCTGGTCTGACACAAACGCCCCACCCCAGGCCCATAACCCTGCCCCCTCCTCACAGGGTGCTTTGCTTGAACTTGCTATCTCCAGGCCAAACTTTCTTCCCCTTGGTTATATCCTTCAACTTGGCTGTGCTGACACTTAGCTAAGCTGCAAATGTGATCAGGCCCTCCAAAGGGAAGAATCAACGCAGATACCCGTGTTTATTGGCCATGACAGCTGGATATCTTGTTTTCAGGAGAGGAAGCCCCCTGCTCATTGGAGTGCGGAGTGAGCACAAGCTTTCTACTGACCACATTCCAATACTGTACAGAACAGGTAAATATTACAGCTCGAAGAATTTCTCAACTCATTTTCGTCTTCTTTTTTAAGGCAAGTGTGGCAGAAGTGAGAAGTTTGGTACTATCTGCTAAATTAAAACAAAATAAAAAAATTCCTTCCAGTAGCACCTTAGAGACCAACTAAGTTTGTTATTGGTATGAGCTTTTGTGTGCATGCACACTTCTTCAGATATGCTAAATTAATACCTTATTAATATGGAGGTGAGATGCTATGGGAGCCTTCTAAAAAGCAAACCCTATTGGGTACAGGGACTGATTTAAGGTACTGGTTTTGACCTTTAAAGTCCTTCATAGCCTAAGACCCTCATACCTATGGAACCGCCTCTCCCGGTATGCCCCACGGAGAGCCTCAAGGTCCATAAATAGCAGCACCCTAGTGGTCCCGGGCCCTAAGGAAGTCAGATTAGCTTCAACCATAGCCAGCGCCTTTTCAACCCTGGCTATGGCCTGGTGGAACGCTCTGCCTCATGAGACCAGGGCCTTGCAGGATCTGATTTCTTTCCGCAGGGCCTGTAAGACAGAGTTGTTCCGCCTGGCCTTTGGCTTGGAGCCAATTTGATTCCCTCCCCCTCTTTCTTCTTTCTTTTTCCTTTTTCCTTTCTTCTCCTGTGATGAGGCTGCATTTTAATATTTTAATGTTTCAATATTTTAATGTTGTATTTTAATCTTGTTTTTAAGTTGTATTCATTCAACTTGTTTTTATTATTGCTTGTTAGCCGCCCTGAGCCCGGCCTTGGCTCTTGGCCTCTTCTTCCCCAACTCTCACAAACCCTGTTCTGTTCCTAGGGATTTCTGGGCAGAGGGAAGGAATGATTGTTAAATCATTCCACCCTTAGATACACAGTGAGCAGCTTGGTTGTAAGCTACTCCCCTCATTTTGCATAATATCACTATATACCTTGTGCACGTGGCACCTTAGCTTTCTGGTATGAAGACTGACCAGTATCTTCAGCTCGTCTTGTCCCCCAGCAGAACATCCCTGTGGCTGTAGGAATGTACCGTATTTTTTGCACCATAACACTCACTTTTTTCCTCCTAGAAAGTAAGGGGAAATGTCTGTGCGTGTTATGGAGGAAATGCCTACGGGTGGCATGCCTACGGATTTTCCTCCTCTAAAAACTACGTGCGTGTTATGGTTGGGTGCGTGTTATAGAGCGAAAAATACGGTATTCGTTCCCTTTAACTGGAGGGCAACTAATGCTACAGTCTTATTGGCTTGCCTGAGAATTCCAGTATCTCCACAGCAAGGTTTATTGGCGCCTTCTTTATTTATTTTATTTGAATCTCAACTTTCAGCAAGCAACCCAGGATAGGTGACTGGCTGAACACTGTCTAGCAAAGTTTGTGACTCGGCAGGGGTTTGTAGCTGGGTATCCTCCCACTGTTCTGCTCCAAGTATCTCCATGCTGATACTTCACCTTTCCATGCAACTTGTCATTTAGTCATGTTATGAAGGTTTATTGGAAGTATCTATCCCAGGTGCAAATGCTAATTCATGTATTCAAGTGGGACAATGGGTGCAGGAGCCTTCTTCTGCTGCTGCAAAACAGCTTCATCTCAGCCCCATGGGACGGAAATTCACAGGACTTAACACAGCTCAAAAAGCGCCGTGTGAACTGCACTTCCAAGCCAAAAGTCTGCCTTCTGCTTGTCTCTAATTTTTATTTTAAATTGACATTGCTGAAGTTTCTCTTGTTGTCAATGACACACTGAAGTTATTTTTTTCATATTGCACTTTCAGCCACACAACCTATGGATCATTCTATTGATGGAATATCCATAAAAATGGAGAAAGGTGCCTGAGACATAATTCTTCATTCGATGAGGAGTCCTGAAAATGAATTAAGACAATCACTTTCTCTTTAATATGTAGCTGATTGCTTTCCATTTGAGAGGAGGGACCAGCTTCACAGGGTATAGTCTGCTACTATGTTCATTTGAGCAGAACTTTTCATTCTTTAGCCTGCTTTTCTGGGTGCAGAAGTGCATACAGAAACAGTGTTCTTGGCTTTTGATTGTCAAGATGTGTAACCTTGTTTGTTCAATGGAAAGTGGTGGCAACATATTAAAGAGATGGCATTGGGGGCGGGAGATTCTGCATGCGAGTATCCTAATGGGGCTTTCCCACTTAACCAAAAGGTCCTCTGATCCCTCTCTCGCCTTCTCTGGTTTCTCTGCCTTCTGCTGATTTTGTTAATTTGAAACCAACATCCGGATTTGAGGATGTCTGCCTTAACTGGAACTGGCCTTTTTCTTTTTTAAGTCAGTATCAACATGAGAGCCATGTTTTAATACTAAAATTTAGAATACATTTAACATTGGTGCTATCAAGTACTGATCTGAATACTAACAGTTTGCCAGTGGGTAGATAATCACAGTAAAAATGGGGGCAATGCCAGGAAAAATATATAAGCAAATCCAAATGTATCTTTGCCTTTAAGGAAGAGCTGCTTGTTCTATGATTCACTGCTGCTTTAAATCATTTGTGTGCAAATGTTCTTCGCAGAACATGCCCATATTTTCAATAGCTCTGACTGTCAGGTGTCTTAAGGCTTCAATCCATCTTGTGTCCTATGAGAGCCAGTTCCACAGTTCCATAGATTTTACTAGACAGTACAGTGGTACCTCGGGTTAATTACTTAATTTGTTCCGGAGGTCCGTCCTTAACCTGAAACTGTTCTTAACCTGAAGCACCACTTTAGCTAACGGGGCCTCCTGCTGCCGCTGCGCCACCAAAGCACGATTTCTGTTCTCATCCTGAAGCAAAGTTCTTAACCTGAAGCACTATTTCTGGGTTAGCGGAGTCTGTAACCTGAAGCGTATGTAACCTGAAGCGTATGTAACCCGAGGTACCACTGTACATGCTAAAACTATGGAGCTCGCTCCCACAGGATGCAGGGATGACCACCAGTTTCTATGGCTTTAAAAGAGGATTAGACAAATTCATGGAGGAGAGGGCTATCAATGGCTGCCAGCCACGAAGGCTATCCTCTGCCTCCAAAGTTGGTCCTTGGTATTTCTGACAATTGTGAGAGTCATCCTGAATCAATACTTTTTCAGGTACAACATGCTTGACTCTATTTTTTTAAAAATAATATTTATTATTTTTCCAAAAACACTAAAAAAAGAAGAAAAAAAGAAAAAGAAAAACAATACAATACAACACATCAAATTAACAAAACAAGACTAAAACAATAAAATAAATCAACCAATTTCATTATCCCATCTTTCATTCACTTATTTCCACGACCTCCTCACACCTCCCTTTTTGTATTCCACTTCTGTTAATTATTTCAGCAATTCCTTTCCATCTTCCTCTGTTTTCTATCCTATAATTATCTTAACTCATTCTAACCTTATTTTTTCCCTTTAATACTCTATTAACCTATCTGTACTTAATTCCTTATAATATTTCTACTAAAGCCATATAACTTCATTTCAACATTTTTCTAACATTCATTAATTTTACAATATTTCTGTAGATAGTCTTTAAACTTTTTCCAATCTTCTTCCACCAACTCCTCTCCCTGGTCTCGGATTCTGCCAGTCATTTCCGCCAGTTCCATGTAGTCCATCAACTTCATCTGCCATTCTCAACATGCTTGACTCTAGAGCAACCTGTTCAAAATACATTCTTCACTGCCCCAGTCCAAGTTCTCCTAATGCAAACTACTCCAGCCAGCTCAGTTGTCTTCAGAAAAGCTATTCTGGCTCTGAGGTTTTGAGGGCAGCAGCCCAACACCTGTATTAGCTGCCTGTCCAGGGCCCACGTTGAATTAAAGTTTAAGAACACCTGATTGTCATCTATTTTTTTAAACTGACAAACACAGAACTAATTCCAAAAGGCTTGGATGTTGTGCATGTGGAATTGCTTAGAAATTGGCTAGTTTAAATCATGTTCTTAAGAAAAGCTAGACTGTCATTTTTACATGACAGTCCCCACTCCACACCAAAAGGCATTCAAATGTTTCACATCCTTCATCCTTAGTCAAAGCTGAGAGCCAGTGTGGTGTAGTGGCGAGAGTGTCTGACTCACTCAGCCGAGAAGCTCACTGGATGACCTTGGACCAGTCACTGCCTCCTAGCCTAACAGGGTTGTTGGGATAAAATGGTGATGCAGAGGAGAAGTCCGCCGGCCTCCCTGAGCTCTGTGGAGGAAAAGTAGGATATAAATGGAAGAAGTACATAAATAAAATAAAATTGCACAAGGCAGACTCCCTGGGAAAGCCTCCTGCACAGCTCCTGTTGAAATGAAAAGGCAGTGGCATTGGTCTTGCCCACTTCCTTTCAGTGGTGCTTCTGCAGGAAATATTCCCGTGGACTATGCCAGCAACCTTTAAGAAAGTGAAGCTTCATGTTGGTACTGTGACTTGGTGACTTGGGGTGAATTTTATCAATGGAATGAGGTGCCTTCGTTTGCTGTCAGTTGCTTTGTGCGCTCTTAATGGCAGCTAACTGAGCTCTCTTGCCTCCGCAGGCAAAGACAAGAAGGGGAGTTGCAGCCTTTCCCGGGTGGACAGCACCACCTGCCTCTTTCCTGTCGAGGAGAAAGCGGTGGAGTACTACTTTGCATCGGATGCGAGGTCTGTGGCCCCCGTGGAGTCAGCCAAAGTTGCCTTGTCCTTGGCTTCCCACAGCATGCACCAAGGAGGAGGTTGACTGCTAGGCTAATGCAGTCAGTGACAGGCCACCTCTCTTGGATGAAGGACCAGAGGGGAGAAGAGATAGTGACTGGCATTTGTGTGTCACTTTCAAGTAGCATGTGTGTTATATGTGGCATAAAATGTTTCCTGACTCAACCTGTTTTGTAGACACCTTCAGCACCTAGTGTACTTCCAGTGGAACGGGAAATGGGTGCGAATCTAGGTACAGACTAGGTACTCTTGGTGTCAGAGCCTCTAAGGCAGGCTTCCTCAATCTCGGCTCTCCAGATGTTTTTGGCCTACAACTCCCATGATCCCTAGCTAGCAAGACCAGTGGTCAGGGATGATGGGAATTGTAGTTCCAAAACATCTGGAGGGCCGAGGTTGAGGAAGCCTCCTACTCTGAGCCTTCTGATTATTCTAGAGCCAGCAGGGTATAGCTGATAGTCTGGGACCAGCTTGTTGATATTTTAAATTGCTATCCTGCCTTTTCTGCCAAAGGTGCCCAGTAGGGCTCATGGCTTCACAGTTGTGTGGGTGTTTGAAGCTTTCCAAGTGGCCTCAGATCAATTGCTATATCTCTGCCTAACATGTGGTGAGGAACCATATATGTTGGTGTCAGCTCCCTAGAGGGAGAGAAGGATGGCAGTTAACTTTCCTGCCCTAATAGCATTGCTGTGGACCGCAGCAGATGTTTGGAATATTTGCAAAAATAAATAAAATTATTTATTAGCAAACCTGAATAGCTTCCTACTCCTTAGCAGTTCTGAGATCAGTTCTCCTGCAGTGTTTCAGCTCCCTTTTACCCACTCACCTACTGTTTAATTTACTAAGCTTATCAGGCGGCCTATTTGGTCCTGTTGAAAGAGGAAAGTGAAACTACCAAATGGGGTGTATTCTGTCCCCCCACAACTTCTCAAAATAGGGTAAAGAACACCATAGCATTTTGTGTGTGTCATAAATTTCATTTTTATGCTATTATACCACTTCAAAGGGACGTGGCTGGCACTGTGGTCTAAACCACTGAGCCTAGGGCTTGCCATTCAGAATGTCGGCAGTTCGAATCCCCACGATGGGGTGAGCTCCCGTTGCTCGGTTCCAGCTCCTGCCCACCTAGCAGTTCGAAAGCATGTCAAAGTGCAAGTAGATAAATAGGTACCGCTCCGTCGGGAAGGTAAATGGCATTTCCGTGCGCTGCTCTGGTTCGCCAGAAGCGGCTTAGTCATGCTGGCCACATGACCCGGAAGCTGTAAAGCGAAATGAGCGCCACAACCCCAGAGTCATCCGCGACTGGACCTAACGGTCAGGGGTCCCTTGACATTTACCTTTTACCTCTTCAAAAGCAAAGGAATATTTGGGTGTGTAGTTTAATTACAGTTCTAGTCAGCCCAACTAAGTTCTACTCAAAGCAAAAGTATTAAAACTAATGAACCTCAGTCATGTGCTTTAACTTCAGTAGGTCAACTATGCGCAAAACTAGCATTGGATAAAAACCATGTTTTATGCAGGGTGTTCTGTTTTTGGGTACGAAACAACCCACAAAACGATTTCAGGGGTCTGTCGGAGCCCAGGCGAACATTTTACCCTAAGGGTTAATTCTGCTCCAATTCGACTTTCTTGATACAGGAGTTAACACACTCAGTTAACACACTCAGTGTACAAACCTGCTACACTGATTTCTTATTTGCAATGTTCATCGGGGAGGGGGCACCTTTCATGCTATTTGGGTACATTAGACCCACTCCTTCTCTGAGCACAATATTTAGGCATCTTTTCCCTTTTCTTTTCAAGAGCTTACTGATAGATAGTCCAATGAGGAATTTAAATTAACATGGGGGGGGGTCGGGTCCAATTAGACCATGTTTTTGGAATGCACAGCCAATTAAATCTATTTTCTTATGTTAAACAGGAATGATTTTGTGATCAGTCATGATCTTTGTTTCTAGCTGGTCTTAAAAGGGCCTGTAAAAAAAATGGAAGAGTGTTAAATAATGCAATAAAATTTGCATAAGAGCTGAAAAGTAGGTTACAGTAAAATGATAAAGTAAGGATATTAAAAATGATCCAGTTAATATGGTAAGTTGCAGACCTTTCATAGTTTTTTGGAGGGGAGGCTGTAGTTGTATTCCAATTCAGCATTGTATTATTTATCATTGTTATTAGTTGTAGTAGTATTTCAAAGTTTATATAAAAATACAATAGGATCAGTCAGCTCAACTCTTATCTCAAGACTGGTATATCTACTCTTGCAAACACTCTGGTTCTAATATGGTTTCATTACTGGATAACTGGAGTCCAATTGTTTTATAATGTGCCTATTCAGTGAATCTTACAAGTTATTTGCCCTTAAGCATGATAATCCAGATTCTCCTCCTTCTAGTTTCCATAGATGGAAGTTGAACCATTCTCTACTCTTTTACAGTGCAGTTATTGAGCACACCAACAGAGTGATTTTTCTGGAGGATGATGATGTGGCAGCTGTTGTGGACGGCCGTCTCTCCATCCATCGAGTCAAGCGCACAGCGGCTGATCATCCTAGTCGTGCTGTCCAGACCCTACAAATGGAGCTCCAGCAAATCATGAAGGGTATGTCTATGTTGATAGTCAGGGCTTCCCAGTTTCAGGTGTGTGTGTTGTTTGTGAAGATCCTTTCTGGAGGTTCGCGGGAACACAGGCTACCCACCTGAAGGCTTACATTTTTTAAAAAAAATGGCACAAAATGGGAAATAGACAGGGAGGGAAGAGGGAAATCAGAATCAAAACTCAGGTAGTAATTTCTAAACAATTGTTCCAGGTGGCACGGTCCAAGAGCAGGACTCCATTGGCTCTGCTGCTTGAGTCGTAGTTTATGTATCATAACTGAATTGGCTGCGTTTTATTCTTTTCTTTACATTTCCCAGGCAATGTTTAGCCCATGTTCACTGTACTAAAATATTTATATATAAGAAGTTGCAATAATAATAAAACACCACGTTCTGAAATAACTAACAAGAAAATATAAAGAATTTCTGCATCAGCAAAAAGGACAAAATTATATTAGCATGGCTACTAGTACTATTAGGATACATTCTAGTAAGCAGGACATTTTTCAGCCAGAGCTCACCAGAACTCAGTTCTGACACCTCTCAGGTGGTCGCCATTGCCATCAACAGGTAGCTTTGTTAACAGAATAAACATTGCAGTGTTGTTTCCATCCAGTCTACATTTTGCTGCTGTTTTGTTTTTTTTAAAGGTAACTTCAGTTCATTCATGCAAAAGGAAATTTTTGAACAACCAGAATCCGTTGTCAACACCATGAGAGGAAGAGTCAACTTCGATGACTACACCGGTAACTAAGTCAAAAGCATGTCAATGGTGTTTTGGTTTTTGAGGCGCTTTTGCTTAATAAAGTACTGCTGATTAAGGGGAGAGGGGACACAACAGGATGTTCTGTATACGGAGAAATTCTCTGCCCCTTTTGCAAGGATGATTCATAGAATTGTAGAGTTGGAAGGGACCCCAAGGGTCATCTAGTCCAACCCCCTGCAATGCAGGGATCACAACTGAAGAATCCCTGACAGATGGCCAGCCCAACCTCTTCTCAAATACCTTCCATGAAGGAGAGTCCTCTACCTTCTGAGATACTTGGTTCCACCATCAAATAGCTGAGGTAGAAGTTCTTCCACACTATTCCACCTCTGCTTTCTGTTGATTGCATTTTGACCACTTTGCTGCTGAGCAAGTTTCCCTTCTCCTCTGGGATGCTTAGTGGGACTGGGGGGTTATGCTGCCACACTTGGTACTTGCCTTCTTCCTGCTTAGGAAAGTGTCTAAGGAGATGACATTTGCTTGACCCTACTGTGTACTGTGGGACGCGGGTGGCGCTGTGGTCTAAATCACAGAGCCTAGGGCTTGACAATCAGAAGGTCGGTGGTTCGAATCCCCGCAATGGGGTGAGCACGTCAAGTGCAAATAGATAAATAGGTACTGCTCCAGCGGGAAGGTAAACGGCGTTTCTGTGCGTTGCTCTGGTTCGCCAGAAGCGGCTGGCCACATGACCCGGAAGCTGTCTGCGGACAAACACCGGCTCCCTCAGCCAGTAAAGTGAGATGAGCGCCGCAACCCCAGAGTCGTCCGTGACTGGACCTAATGGTCAGGGGTACCTTTACCTTTACTGTGCACTGTAGATGATGAGAGGAGGGGAAACTCTGACATTCCTCTAAATGAACAATATAATTCCTGAAGTCTTAGTTGAAATGTCTCTTATGTTTTTCCTTGAGTAGTAGTAGTAGTAGTAGTAGTAGTAGTAGTTATCATGTTAAATACCAAAACCTTTGTGTCTACATTTATAATAGTGAATCTTGGGGGTTTGAAAGATCACATCAAGGAGATCCAAAGGTGTCGACGTCTCATCCTAATTGCTTGTGGAACAAGCTACCATGCTGGAGTTGCAGTAAGTGGCTGACTTTGGGTTTTCCTTTTGAGTAGCATCTCAAACACATTGAACAAATTATTAGTGCTGTGATCCTACGATGACGTCTGTGAAGCTATGGAAAGTGGATGCTGATAGGTGAATGCGGCTCTTTTATGGCTCCTTGTAACTGTGACCCGTCCTTGTAGCATCATTTCATTGGTCTGTTTGGTTCTGCAGATGGGAGGCATATCTCACTGAAATTACCTACTGGGTCATTAATTCTTAACTGGAGCATGGAAAGACATACTCAGTAGAACACGTAGGTGACAACTCCTAGGGACTGAGGTTCCTTCCCCCTTCCCGAATAAAATATTGGAGGGGGCCGGCCCCCTGCAAAGTTGATGGGTATTCAAATGGTGTGCGTGTGCCGCGTCATGAAATTGATTGTCCCCCGCCCCCCCAATATTTTATTCAAGTTGGTACCCCTGGTTGAACATTTGGCATGTTGGGAGTCTTACCAGAATTGGAAACTCACTCCAGTTCTGATGTAATAAATCACATTTTCTTTGAGGCCTGTATAGTTTATTTTGCCTATGAGAATATGTTTTAATGATGCCGACCTTGGACCCGCTTTTCATTTCTTGCACTGAAACTGAAGAGCCAAAATGACACCCCTTGTCCCTGCACACTTTCTCTCTCTTTAAAAGATGGAGAGTGGGAGCAGGAAGTGTTCCCTCCGGAATCTGCTGCACTGCTTCATGGGCTGAGGAGTATGTGACTTCCCCCCTTTTTCTTTTCTTTTCTTTACCAGACACGTCAAGTTCTGGAAGAGTTGACTGAATTGCCTGTCATGGTAGAACTTGCCAGTGACTTTTTGGACAGGAACACTCCAGTCTTCAGAGATGATGTCTGCTTCTTCATCAGCCAGTCAGGTACGGACGGGTCTTTGGCCTGGGAGCAGTGCTGGGCAGGTGGCAGGCCAAACAGACCAGTAGGTGGCTACCTTTGGCTAGGCTCATGACCTTTGACCTGGCATGCTACCGAGGAGGGAGGTTTAGAATCCTGTAGAGCCAGGAGCCACCAAGTCCAGTCAGGATTCTCCCGGCTGGAGCTCTTAGCACATGGTACTTCTTGGCCATTGCTCATACAAACAATGTGTGTTTCTGTTTGTTTGTTTGTTTGTTTGTTTGTGTTTTTAGAAGTAATGAGTTCGGCATGCTTAGAACCAGACATGTGCAAGTTATCCGGGGCAAAATGTAAGAGTTTCAAAACAAAGGACAAACCCTATGTGAATGTAGTGAAATGCAGCCTGAATTTCATGCCTAAAGCTGAGTTTCAAATATAAGCTAAAAATTAAATCATGTGGATACATATTTATTAATTATGTGTTTGTGATATTTATCTCTATCTCCCGCCTTTTCCTCAGTCCGGGACTCAAAGTGTGTCTTACACAAATTAAAATGACACAAATAAAATGCAAAAAATGAAAATGGTTAAAAAGTAATTAAACTAATAGAACTAAAACAATATTATTATTTTTTTAAAAAATCAGGTGTATTTTTACTGAAGGACCCTTTCTACTTTACCAGAATAGTAGTTTTGACTATTTATACCAGGGGTCAGCAAACTTTTTCAGCAGGGAGCCGGTCCACTGTCCCTCAGACCTTGTGGGAGGCAGGACTATATTTTTTTTTGGGGGGGGGATAAACTAATTCCTATGCCCCACAAATAACCCAGAGATGCATTTTAAATAAAAGGACACATTCTACTCATGTAAAAACACACTGATTCCTGTCTGTCCGTGGGCCGGATTTAGAAGGCGATTGGACCAGATCCGGCCCCCGGGCCTTAGTTTGCCTACCCATGATTTATACTATAATATAGTATAAGTAAAAAGGGGCTAAATAGCCAAAACTGTTTTTTATAATCACTTCCAGCACCGCTGCTGCATTGAAAATGAAATGTTACTGTTCAGATGAAATGGCTGAAGCCTGGGCACTTTGGTTTGCCAAAAAAAACCTTGTTCTGTGGAATAAAAGCTACAAACCAATTGTAGAATCTTCTGCCCTCCTGGACACATGAGTCGTATTGGGTAGTCACAAACAGCAGATTCCTTGCAGGGTTTCCCATCCCTCTGGGGCAGCCTTCACCGACCAGTGCCCTCCAGATGTTGTTGGACTGCAACTCCCATCAGCCCCAGCCAACACAGCTGATGGGAGTTGTAGTCCAACAACATCTGGAGGCTTCTTTACCGCACAGTGATTTCTTCCTTGGCCAGGGGAACTGCTAGAATATATTTTGAGCGTAGAAGGCGCCTCTTAGAATGCTCCCTGCTGACCATAGTGATAGTAGCCGGCCAAAGGAACGGTAGGCATTGGCAGTCAGCAGGCTGGGGATTTGACACCCTCTGCTGGTGATTTGCAGGCATGCTCGTAATCTTCTTTGCCATGCACTTGGTATTCCTGTTGTTTCAGCATTTTCAGTGTAATAATATAATGAATTCTCTAAATTCATAAGAAGTAGTTAGTAGTTTGAGTTGTTTTATGAAAAACAGCTGTAATTATGTCCTGTAGTTTAACTCCATACACATAACACACACAGCCATCTAGACAGATCAGTCTAGATTTGCTTGAGTGCCAGTGGAATATATGAATGGTTCATTGGTAGGGAGATTTCTTTCCAGAATGTATTGCTAAAAGGATTTGGAATCCTGTAGATATTTGCCTAGGTTACCTACTTTACTCTTGCCCTTTGCATCATTCCAAAAACAGTGTGCAATTTTGGTATTGCTTAAAATGAACAATACCCCCTCAGTTTGCCTTCTTAACATCTGGCTGCTATTCTCATTACAATATCTTGTCCGGTTTATTTAGATATTTTATATCTTGCCTTTCTGCATCTGGGTATACTCCAGGCAGCTCACATAAAGGAACAAGAACAAATCATAAAATCCAGATCAGCAATAATATGTTTTCCCTAGCTAGTATTGTGTTGTAATGCAGCTGTCTTCTGTTCATGATGCTGAGCAAAGAAGTGGAAGAACTAGAGTTCTTCAGAGAGCATTGCTGCTTTGCTTAGGTCTGTGGTTTCTCATCTATGGTGCCTATCTGCAGCAGCAGAAAAAAAAAAGTTAATGCATTTCTAGGCTGCATAACAGAAGTTGAGTGTCCAAATCAAGGGAAGTTATAACAACACACTATTCTGCCTGGATCATAGCTGTCAACATTTTTTAAGGGAAATTCCCTTATTCCGAATAGGATTCCTCGCAAGAAAAGGGAAAAGTTTGACAGCTATGGCCTGGATCATACCCAGCCTGGAGTCCTGTGTCTAGTTCTGGACACCACAGTTTAAGAAGGATATTGAAAGCTGGAAGGTGTGCAGAAGAGGATGACCAAAATGATAAGGGTCTGGAAACCAAGCCTAATGAGGAACAATTGAGGGAATTAGGTATGTTTAGCGTAGAGACGCTAAACATATAAGGGACACGGGTGGCGCTGTGGGTAAAACCTCAACGCCTAGGACTTGCCGATCGCATGGTCGGCGGTTCGAATCCCCGCGGTGGGGTGCGCTCCCGTCGTTCGGTCCCAGCGCCTGCCAACCTAGCAGTTCGAAAGCACCCCCAGGTGCAAGTAGATAAATAGGGACTGCTTACCAGCGGGAAGGTAAATGGCGTTCCGTGTGCTGCGCTGGCTCGCCAGATGCAGCTTGTCATGCTGGCCACGTGACCCGGAAGTGTCTGCGGACAGCGCTGGCTCCCGGCCTATAGAGTGAGATGAGCGCACAACCCTAGAGTCTGTCAAGACTGGCCCGAACGGGCAGGGGTACCTTTACCTTTACCTAGCGTAGAGAAGGCTGAGAGGTGATAGGATAGCCACCTTCAAATATCTGAAGGACTGTCACATAGAAGGTGGAGCAAGCTTGGTTTCTGTTGCTCCAGAGGGTAGGATCTGAAGCAGTGAATTAAAATGAGACGAAATGAGATTCTGATTAAACATCAGGAATGACTTTTTGATGGCAAGAACTGTTGGACAGTGGAACAGTCTCCCCTGGAAGGTGTTGGACTCTCCTACATTAGGGGTTTTTAAGCAGAGGTCAGATGACCATTACTCAGGGATTTTTTTAGCTGTGATTCCTGCATTGCAGGGGGTTGGGCTAGAATGATTCTATGGCCTCCAGGTTGAGCATTTCCTGACTCTGATGGTGTCTGTCTCTCTGCAGGTGAGACAGCAGACACCCTGATGGCCCTACGCTACTGCAAGGAGAGAGGAGCCCTGACTGTAGGAATCACAAATACTGTGGGGAGCTCCATATCTCGCGAGACAGACTGCGGGGTTCACATCAATGCTGGGCCAGAGATTGGGGTTGCCAGCACAAAGGTAAGGGTTCCTTGTGTCATCAGAGGCACTCACACTTGGCACCAATAAAGCTCAGTTGAGTCACGTAGATTTGCATATCTTGTAATACATGCATCTGTTCTGAATCTTATGCTTCACTGCAGGGGGTTGGTCTAGATGACCCTCAGGATCCCTTCCAAATCTACAATTCTGTGATTTCTCAAGGAAGCAGGGGCAGGCATAGGGGTTCTTTCCCAGTTCATCTACAGTGTGCAGAGGGTGTTTAGAAATACCCGCATTTTGAATAGTTCAGGTTGCGTTAAGTTGAAAGAGGCATAAGTTCTTAAAGAAATCCTCATTTGAAGTGCAGGCACACAGCCCAACCCCTTTCCCAGCTATTATTTATTTGAATTTTTAGCTGCTTGTTACCCAGAAGCCTGCAATCGACTTACAATATATTTATTAAAACAAGCATTAAAATGTTAATGCATTCATGCAAAAACACAGTGCATAAAAATATACAAAGCAGCCTCCCCGTAACAGTCACAGGAAGCACGGGAGTTCCCATGGGGCTTCCAAGGCTTGCGCACAGCAGCCTGCAGCCTGAAACCTGGGGAGTGCAGCGGAGCGCACCCCGGGCTTTGGGCAGCTTTCCGCAAGCCTTGGGAGCCCCGCGGGAACTCTGGCGAGCTCCCAAGGCTTGCGGATAGCTTCCCCCCCCCAAAAAAAAACTAGGTGCGCCCTATGGGGCGAAAAATACGGTAAATGATAGGTAATCTCTTGGTGTATGTCATTTTCATGTGCATGTATAACTCAACAACTTTTTGTATTAAATTATTCTTTAAAGCTTTCAAAAAACATACCATTAACACCCAAACATTGGAAGAGTCTTTGAGCAGTGAATAAGGCAAGATCCCGGGTGATGGGATCTCTCCCTATCTCAGTAGATTCCCACCAGGGCTTCCTACATCTCCTCCCTGCTGCCTAGAGCTGCTTTCCATGGTTTGTTGTGTGAGCTGCTGCTGCAGCTGGCCATTCTCCACTCTTCCCCCCTCCCTTCCGCAGACCTCCAGGCTGTAGATCCCCTGAAGAACACCTTTAAGAGCCAATGGCCCTCCTAGGCCACCATCCTATTCTCACAGTGGCCAGCTAGATGCTTGTGGGAAACTCGCATGCAGGATCTGAGCACAAGAGCTTTTATCTGTCCTGAATCCTCGCAACACCCTTCCTCGGGGTAGGGTGGGGGGTCAAAGAGGGTTCCTGGCAAATACCTCAATGTTTCCTCAAGGTGATTGAGCTGCTTCCTTTTCCCCTTAAAATTTGAAATGAGGCATTTAACAAAGAACGAGCCTCGGCCAAGATTTGTATGCTAAGGCGCCTGCTGCTTTTTCATGGGGAACGTGCTGCAATGTTACATGAGCTGAGAGGGTCTGAATTCACTTGTTCAGGGTATTCATTGCAGCTGAGAGTCCAGCTCATTTTTAGCCTGCATTGGCAGTTTTGAAAATATTGGTGTTCCTTTCCGCGAAGCCAGTTAAGAACTTGAGAAACTGTTTCTTAGGCTGTTCCAGAGACCCAGGTAAGGAGCCACTGTTCTGGTCCAGAGGCACTGGAGCCTGGGGTAACCTATGGCAATGAGAGGGGAGAGGGCCACTGGACCAGATAGCAGGCAAGGATCAATGGTTCCTAGCCAACCATGGCTATGTTCTGTCTCCACTGCCAGGCAATATACCTCTGAATACCAGTTGCTGGAAACCGCAGGAGGGGAATGTACTTGTTTCCCACTATTTGGCCACTGTGAGAACAAAATGCTGGACTAGTTGGGAAGTTATTAACTGGGTGGGGTGATGGTCACCCAGACCTTCCTGGTCCAAGCACAGCACTCTGTCCTCAGCATCTGGCTGCCCAGGTCTGGGAGGAGTATAAACCTGCCTTTTTGTTTCAGGGGCGCTATTTTTTCCTGCTCAGGCTCCCGAGCATGTTGGCGGCATCCCAAAATGAGCAGATGTTACACATTACATTCTCCCCCCGCCCCCATTTAAGACTGCATTTCTGGAATATGTAATCACCGTTTAGGATAAAGAATCGAAGTTAACTCAGACAATGCTTTCTGGAGGAAACTATTGATAAACTGAGAAGGCAGCTGATGGAAATTGTCAGACAATGACAGGCCTTTTTCAAGTTGCAGTGGTGGAACCTCCAAACTAGAGTCAATACTTAGGAGTCAATAGAAAGTAGCTCCTCTAAATTAATAACAGTTTGAAATCAGTGCTTTTCCCTACATCTTGCCATTCAGTGCTCTAGATACTGGACCCCATCGGTCTCTAGAAACAAGGTTCTTCCAAAGAGGGATTTGGATTTAGGGCTGGACTAGGATGCACACCCTCCCTCCGACACAGACACACACACATTTCCTCCTCAGAGCTAGCCTTTCTCTGCACTGAGCATACCCAGGTTCTCAGCCTGCTCTTGAGTTGCTGGGTTGGGCCTGTTGTTTCCTCTCTAATCAGGCTAGAAGGAAAAAGGAGAAGATTGCAGGGCCTGCCCCTTTCTGTCAGCCTTTAGACAGAATTTAGACAGAATTCAGGGGTATTGACTGGCTCCCCCCCCCCCCCCCCGCCCCGACACTTTCCTGCCTAAGGATGTGAAGATGTACGAGTGCGAGTTGTGCCTTGGGTGCAGGATCTCTGCCTCTGCCCAGGCATGAACAACAAAATTACAGAGCCTCCAGCTGTAAGGACTGGCCACACACTCAGCTGCTCCCTTATTCTTACTCTCCAGGTTAGCTAGGGTAATTGTTGTCATCAAGTACGTTTGAGGGTGGCCAGATTAGATGCCTGGTATAAGCTTGACCTGATGGTGTCCCTTTGCTGTTAGCTGGAGGTAAAATGAAAAGCCTTGTCTGTGGCGATGGAGCTCCCTTGGATTTGGTGTCCTCTTTCTCACTGGAAGAACCAATCCTTTCTGGTGCTTAGGGGCTGTGCTGGGTTTATGCCAGGGTCAAGTGGGATAGTGAAGCCCTGTGGGCACCTGAGGCCCCCACTTTTATCCCAGCAGTACCCTCCTGAGCTGCTTTCAGGTGTGAGTTTTGGGCAGCTTGCAGCATCTTAGCAAACCTGGCAAGCATATGCACAGTGATGTCCTCTCTTTCCGCAGGCCTACACAAGCCAATTTGTGTCGCTAGTGATGTTTGCGCTCATGATGTGTGACGACAGGATTTCCATGCAAGAAAGACGGAAAGAAATCATGCGAGGCCTCAAGTTATTGCCAGGTGCGTACGGGCGCTCTGAGGCGTCATGACAAAATGTGATTCTTTGAAGGAGAACAGCAAGGCGAGGATTGACTCAGTGAGGGTAGTGGGACCTCTCACTTGCTTCCTGGTTTTGTGAGAAGCTGGGAGATTTGAAGCAGCAAGGATCTCATCCAGATCAGGTCCCTCACTGCCACATAGCCTGCATGGAGCTGCCTCTGAAGCCGGAGTGTTCTCTGATGCTCCATTCTTGGTTAATCCACACTAGCTACCAATCCATTTTTAGGCATAGTTCAAAGTGCTGGTTATTAAACAGTTTTGGAGTAGGATCTTTGACAGGCTGCCTCCTGCTGCATGAGCCTGTTTGTCTGCTGCACTCTTGCTGGAGGCCTTCCTCTGCAATCTGCTGCCATCGGAAGTCTGGGCTGGGTTGAGTGGCAGGGCCTTTTTGGTTCTGGCACCCAGATTCTGGACCTCAGGAAGCCTAGTTAGAATCATAGAATTGCAGAGTTGGAAGGGACCCTGAGGGTCATCTAGTCAAACTCCTTCAATGTAGGAATATGCAGCTGCAACCTTGACATTGTCAGCACCACACTCTAACCAGCTGAGCCCCTTTTTTCGTGGTGACTAGTGCTCTCTCTCTTTTGCCAAGCTTTTGGTTGTGGTTTTTTGCTCATTGTTCATCTTACTGCTTTGATTATATTTTAATTGATGAAATTTGTCACTTTGGGGAGCTAAAGATGGTCCCCCCCTTTCCCTTTTTTATTAAAGATTTTATTGGTTTACAAAAGTATGAGCAATGACTCTCTTTTTTTCCAAGTAACATTTTTACAAATGAAACATCAGTTTCATTTGTTGAGACATTAGTGTTATATTAGGAAGAAAAGGGGGAAAGAGGTAGAGGGGGAAAGGTGAGTGGGGGTGGGGTCGGGTTGCGATGTTTCTGTTTTACTTAATATATGTGTGGAGTTTTGTGTCAGCATCGTTTGTGCAGGTTCTCTGCTATTCACTTGTGTTCCTTTGGTGGTGAGAGAGGTTGGGGTTGGCCTAGGGTGTGGTTGTTCATTTGTGATTGGCTGTGGTGATCTTTGTTTTCATGTGTGAGTGGGGTGGGTGGGTGTTTGGATCAGGTTAGCCATATTGGTTCGTATGCTGTTGGTGGATTTTTGTCATTGTCTTGTTGGGCTGTGTATGTGATAAAGGGGAGCCATACCGGGGTGAAGGCGTCTGCTAAAGATGGTTTTATAAATAAAATAAACAGATGAGGTCTGTGGGTAAACTCTTCAGCTGTATAAGATGGGCTTGTGCAGAAATAATCAGTTGCGTATGAAAGTGAAAACAGTCATATCTTCAAGAGAACAAAACATATTTATTTAAAAGCCACATCAAGCATTGCATCAGTGTATCTTGGTTCTTTATTGTCACATCCTCAAATGTGGATCACTTTATAAGTTACGAGAACAGGTTCCAGAGTTCTGTTGGAGGATTTAGAAAAACCACCTCCCACCTCTTTTCTTCGGTGCCAATGAAACCCCAATAAAAATTGGTGGTCCAGGTGGTGGTTACTATTACTTTCTGAAGATCCACTGATTTGTGCAGTTTTCAGTGCAGCATTTAAATGCCACATTGAACATTGTTTCCAAAGTGCATGTAAGTGTGATTGCAGATTGTTAACCTGTGTGTTAATACGTTGCCTCCCTCTTGCTACTTGCGATAGACTTGATCAAAGAAGTCCTGAGTATGGATGATGAAATCCAGAAACTGGCCACGGAGCTTTACCACCAGAAGTCAGTCCTCATTATGGGCCGTGGTTATCATTATGCGGCATGCCTGGAGGGCGCTCTGGTAAGAATCCCCATTTCCTTCAATATTAATAATAATAATAATAATAGGCTTATCCATCATTATTTGTGTTCCAGTTTGGAGGGTCAGACCTGAAAATGAGGAAGGGCGTTTTTAAAAGCATGTCTCTAGTCATTATAACTGCAAAGAGAGGGTTTGAAGCTGCTGTCCCCAACCTGCTGCTCTCCAGATGTTTTGACTGCAACTCACATCAGCCCCATCTTGTGTGGGAGTTGTTGTAGTCCAAGTGAACTGGAGAGCACTGGATTGGGGAAGGCTGGTTTAAAGTGTATGGGCAATCCCTGACAACAGAAAGAATCCCAAATGGACTGAGTAGGTTTTCTAAAGGTCAGAAATGAAGGTTTTAAATCAGGCCTGCAAATATTGTTGTCTGCTAAACCGAATGCAGCTCAGCAGCCGTCTCCTGTGACCTACCAAGAGTTTTGCAGTTCTCATGGTAGTTTCTTGCATTTCTGCAGTCTGGGGCAGGCAGAAACCAGCTGGAGGGTTTTGGAGTCACTATCCACAGCTGTTGGTTTGCTTTTGGCTTGGTGGAGCATCTTTCCCCCCAAAGAGCTCATGGTGGCATGCACGGTTGCCCCTTCTCATTTAATCCCCACAAGAACCCTGTGAGGCAAGTCGGGCTGAGAGGCACTGACTGGCCCCCAAGGTCACCCAGCGAGCTTAATGGCTGAGCGGGGATTTAAACCCTGGCCTCAGGAGGATCTTTGTTTTAGAGAGAGACTTCACAGACTAATGTGTTGCACCTTCTCTGCAGAAAATAAAAGAAATCACCTACATGCACTCGGAAGGCATTCTGGCCGGGGAGCTGAAGCATGGGCCCCTTGCCTTGGTCGATAAACTGATGCCTGTCATCATGATCATCATGAGGGACGGCACATACACCAAGTGCCAGAACGCCCTGCAGCAAGTCATTGCCCGGCAGGTGAGTTCAGGCAAGAAGAGACGGAACCCAGCTCTGCTCCACAAAGTCCCGTCTTCCTTTGTTCCTCCTCAGGGATAAAGGATGAGGCACTAGAATTGGCAGTGGCCAAAGGTATCGGAAGTGGGTGGTGGGAAAGAGGGACCTGTTTCCTCTACCCCTCAATCCTTGGTCTAAGGGTTTCGTTCACCTCTTGCTTGTGTGTGAATTCCAGGTTGGAATGTGGGATCCTCAGGCCCCTTTTGAGGGGTCAGGGTCACAGCCAAGGCTGCTGGCATTCCTCAGGCAAGATTTCCTCCTTGCACAGCCAGACAGTTTTACTTTTATTATTTATTGCATTTATTTCCTGCCTTTCCCCAAGGAGCTCAGGGTGGCATACATTCTTCCCACAACAACCCTGTGAGATAGGTTAGGCTGGGAGGCCTGAGATCGCCCAGTGGGAATTTGAACCCTGGTCTCCCTGGTTCAACACACTAATCACCACCACTGGCTCTCCTTGCCCTCTCCTGCATCTGCTTAGTTGTCTAGAAGTCTTGCCTGCTTAAGGCATGGATGGGCAAGCTGAATATCCAAGATGCTTGGGAGGGGGCGTTCCTCTTTGAAGCTGAATAGCTCTTTCCCCTTTACGGATGTTTCTAGAGGACAAACGTAACCGCATCTGTTCCCGTGCTCCCCCTGTAGCCAACCCCTTGGTTGCGAAACCCATTCCTTCACCCCCACATTTACGTATAAATTTCTGCCCCATATTTCTGTCAAATGGGAAGCCTGAGCGAAGGGAGCTGGTCAGTGTCTCCAGCTTTTTATCTCCTGCCGTTCAGCAGCTCAGGAGGCACTTTGACCTCCGCCAGCTCTAATGCCAGAACTGAGTGGCAGTGCCTGGAGCAGTGGAGAAAAGGGGTGAGGGAAGAAGCGGGAGGGCAGCACTTCTTCCAGCCATGAAAACGAGGCTCTGAACCTGAACAGGAGCTGAAGGAAATAGCCATTTCCAATGGTGTTTGCTTCTCTGTCCCTTGAAGACTTGCCTCCTGGCTTTCTCCTCTTATGATCTTCTCCAGAGTGAAACGAAACTAACCGCATCCGCTCTCCCCTGTGTTTTCCCTCAAGAGTAACATAAACCAATAACTAGGGAGATGGTAAATAACTGAAAAGTGTGTTTCTTGACTACGCACATTGTTTTCATTGGGGCCGACAAAAGTGGCATGTGGCAAATGAAATGGCAAACACCTGCTGGTTCCAGGCTGAGGCCCTCTTCAACTCCTTACAGGCACAGCTTGTTGCTGGAAAAAACGAGGAGGCCTCTTCCATCCTCTGTAGCCCCACCTGAGCCAGCACAACACTTTGTGAGGCACCTTCAAGGCTCCCAGGCTTCCGTTTCTCCCTTTTTTGGTGGGAACCAGCCAGAATGATGCCGAGGAGAGTGGCTTCCAGACCAGCCCCATCTGGCCAGCAAGCAGAAATCACCTTCCAGGCTGGCTATTGTGACACCTTTTGAATTCCGCTGGCGCAGCCTTATTTCACTCGTGGGAGAAAAGCACTTTTTGCCCTGAGACAAAAGTCTGAGGAGACAAAAGAGTTCATGGGGCAGGATTGGTGGGGGTAAAGAGACAGCCATCCCTCCTAGCTTGGTTCCCCCTCTCCCACACAGGACAGGGGCACAGCCAGAGCAAAGGAGACTGGCTTGCGCTGCTCTCTGGGTACCCATGTTCCCTCCAGCCTGCCTGCCTTCTTCCTGGCCCAGGAGCTGGGTCAAGCAGTGGCCCAGCCCAAGTGATTTGCCCCGAGTTTTGCTCAGCCACGCTCTGTGGCCTGGTGCCATCTGCAAAGCAGGTGCAGGAATGCTGCCAGCAGACACCAGTGTGACGCTTGCAGGGGAGAGGGACTGAGACTGCTCTCCTCTGTCACAGTTTGGGGTCTAGCACTCCAAGACCTGCTTGCAGCAGCTGTAAAATGCCACCCCGCAGCAATTGGAACCCACAGGTGTCAAAGAAAGCTGTGAAGGTGCAGTAAATCATACCCTGAAGGTGGTGGTGGAGGAGCAGTGTGATTCTTCTGGCCTGCCATTTCCCTATGGTGCCTCGGAGACCTCTCAGCCTTTGTCTCATCTTTCTCTCAAGGGTGTGGAGAGACTGAACCTAAGAGGTGGATGGAGGCCTCCTAAGTTTGGGAGTGGAGAAGGGGCTGCCCCGCCTTTTCCTTTACGCTTGTGCTCCTTGCAGGGTCGGCCTGTTGTGATTTGCGATAAGGAAGATATTGAGACCATCAAAAACAACAAGCGAACCATCAAAGTCCCCCACTCTGTGGACTGTCTGCAGGGGATCTTGAGCGTCATCCCTTTACAGCTCCTGGCTTTTCATCTTGCGGTACTCAGAGGCTATGATGTAAGTACCACACTTTTAAAAGATCACCTTTAGTCCTTCAGTGAACATAAGGAGAGCCTGCTGGACCAGGCCAGTGGCCCATTTGGTCCAGCATCCTGTTCCCACGGTGGTGTTTCACAAATCACTAAAGGTGGTGTGAATCTACCAGCTTCAGCTGGGCTAAGTGGGCAGCTTGGGCGCCTTGCCAAATAAACCAGCAAGCAGAAAGAGCACACGTGTCTGTAACAAAACAATAAGTCTCACATTGGCTGTTCAATTTAAAATATCCTTTTCAGGTTTTTTGTGTGTGTCTTTTTGTCTTTTTCAGGTTGACTTTCCAAGAAATCTGGCCAAATCTGTTACGGTTGAGTAGCGTACTCTGTCATTAATGCTTTGGCAGATGTCAGCAAGAGACACTCTTTTGGTACTGGGACACATTGATTTTAAAAGTCCTTCCTTGATCGAATCTTAATCCCCTGTTCAAGAGTCTTTATAATTCTGTTGCATTTGTGACTGTTAAACGTTGAATCCACAGGCTATGCCAGCAACATTGTTAAATGATGATCATTTCAAGGTAGTTTGTTCTCTTCAAAAAGTCATAATCCTCCTTTGTTGTCTAGCTGCATTGTTTCAGGCCTCCATAGTGCTGAATTGCATAATTGTCTAAGTATCTACAAGACATGCAGGCTCGTAAGATCTTTCAAGAATGGAAATGGGAAACGAGAAGGTAGTTCTGGAAATTATAAGAACAGAGATGCTAGGGCTGTGCTCTGCCACAGGAAACCAACTTTTCCCATCCTGCAAGGATGTTCACTGTCATCAGAACTCAACTGTTTTGAAGGGGCCTGTTTCATAATGGATTTCTGCACCTCTCCATGCAATAAAGATGGGAGTAGTTGGCCAGAGGAGGAAGGACCCTCGCATTTGGTGCTTGGCCCCTGGCCCTTTCAACCAGTTCAGTTCTGGGTGGACCCACCATTCCTTGTCTGCACAAGCCCCCCTCTTTCATCCTCTTGAAAATGCTGTAATAATGCAATGCCTAAAGAGGAAAGAGCCCTGGTTGGTTGCTCCTGTAGAGTGTAGATTGAGGTGGAGGCCTCTTTGTGCGTTCATTTTTCTTAATGGTGTAAAGTCACCATAAGCTGGGTCACTTCCCCTTGCCTCTTTCACCACATAGTAAAGACATCCCTCACCATATAAGGAATGCAGTCGGAAGAGAGAACTGCACCCCATTTTTACCTCCTGGAGGATGAAAAGTTGGGTGACCCCTGGGTGAGAGAAGACACAACTGAGGTCTGTACCGGTTCCCACTAATGTTATTCCCAGCATCTTCTCTGAAGAATCAGAGCAGTGGCATAAAGTCCATTTTATTTGGAGGACAGCTCTTCAATTAATGATCCCAAATCTATTAATGTGAACATGTCCCACATAAACATGTGGAGACCAAGCTGCTATTTTCTAGAGGTTAGGGGGCAGATGGTGAAACTAGGGCTGAGCTGAAGTGGGGGAGGGAAGGTGGTGTGAACATGCTCTGTGCGAAAGCCTTTGCCCGCTGCAAAAACCACCCACCCCTTGGCACTTTGGGAGGGGGTCTGTGAATAGGAGCAAAAAGTGTGTGTCATTTTGTAAAAGCAAATGCATCTTTGTTGCCGTTTGCCTAGGCCAATTTGACCGATTTTTCAGCACCAAGTTATTAATAATAATTGTTGGCAATGAATCCAGCAGACTGCAGAATGGGAAGATAGAGGTGGAATTTTACTCCACTTGAGTTAACAATGCAGAGATGTCTTCCTTCTCTAGCTCTGCATGAAAAAACCTTTGAGAAATGAAGCAGCCATGTGTTTTGTGGTGAAGGTAGTAAGAGAACATACAATACAACATGAAGACCAAAGATGAGCTTCAATGCCAGACTGGTGTACTAGGGCTGAACAGGTTTGGAAACCACTGATGCAGCAAACATAGATGGCAAAAATCCAAGTTATCTGAATGAGCAGCCTCCCAATTCCCTTGTCCTTAGGTGATGGGGCAGAGATGGTACCAGAGGGCTGTGAATAAGCTTCCTTGCTGAGGCTGCTTTCACAGTTTTATTTCAAGGGCAGAAGAACTGTGAAATGTACAAAAGCTAAGAAATATGGCAAATAAGCCAATTTGCAGAGCTCAGTAGAACACCAGCTTCTCTGCATTCCCTTTTATCAGTTAAGAAATAAATGTCCTAATAGAGAGGATTTAGGGATGCTATGATGTGGGGGTCTTCTTGGGCCAGCAGTTGTGTGACCCTCTTGCCCTGCCTGATATAAGGACAATGCGATGAGGCGCACGGTGTGTCTTGAGTATTCAGAAAGCCTTGCACCCTGATGCTCAGCTTCTCTTGTACTCACCATAAAAATATTACCTGCCATTCAGTTAAAGGTTTAAAGTGGTGCATAACTGCTGTTGAACGTTGTAGAGTTGTGAAGTATTGCGTTAATCAAAAGTCCTTACCTTGCCAGTGGTTATGCAATGTCGGGAGGAGCGGTGGTTTTCTTTCATTTCAGTGGATATGTGTCTGAACTGCCTGTCATGCAGTGTAAAGGGAAAGGCAGGGCTGCTAGAAGAGGTTTCACTTCACTTGTGACTTGGGCTACTTTACAATAGATGTAGAGCACCAGCATGCAGGGCAGAAGGACTTAGCATCACTTCCAGCCCCTACAGTTCTAACTGATGTGGGAAGGTCTGCGCTCTCTTCCTGTGCAAGTTTCCCTGTGGGATTCCCCCTCAATTTGAACTCCACGGTTCCAGAAGTCTGCAAGCCTTTTAACAACCAAGTGAACTCATGTAACTCAACAGTCCACCAGCGTGGTCTTCAACACTTCCATTGTGGCCAACCTTGTTAAGTACAAGTTGCATTATGTTTCTTGTGTGTCCTGAAGAAGACTGACGTGGTTTACTACTGAAGACGACTAATGTGGACTCTGGCTGATGAAATCACAGCTCTCTCTCTCTCTCTCTCTCTCTCTCTCTCTCTCTGTGTGTGTGTGTGTGTGTGTGTGTTTAAAACTGGAACATTTTTGCAAAATGTTAGCCCTCTGTTTCTCTGCTCGTTTTCCTTTTGAATGTATATATACAGCTCGTCATGGTTTATGGGGACCACTCTTTACTAATTTTGTGCGGTGTGCTCTACACAGCTCAGAATTTTATCATTTAGGTTGTTTCCTAGCTTACTTTTTTGTATTTTGCTCTTTGAATAATAAAAAGTGCCCAACCTTACCTTGACTTTGGCTTAGAAATCCTTGTTCTCTTGTGTTCTTCCCATAAAAAGAACCACCCAAGGCCAACTTGTGAATTAAAATGGCAAACCACAGTAGCTCTTGCCCGCGGAATGCACAGGTATCATTGTAAAAACGGGGGGTGCAAAATTCTACAGCCTTCTAACTTGAGAGTCCTGTGTGGCCCACAAACACTTCCCTTAGAACTGCAGCTCAGCCTTTTCAAAATGAATTAAATGCCTAGCAGTGTCCACCAAACATGTTTTCTTTTGCAGGGTTTTGCTTCGTAGTTCTGCCTGCCCTCTGCCCCCCTTTGATTGGCCGGTCTTTAGCCTTTGCCTTGAGAGAGGTAACAACCTGGGGAAACTCAGTTGGTAGGTTCACCAGAGCTCAGCAATAGGATTCATTCTCCAAATCCAACCAATTATTGCAGCAGCCTTGGGGAACTGGGAAGAGGGTTTCCATGCTGCTAGGAGCAGTGTGAACAGAGCCCTGGAAGCAACAGCCAAAGGCTTGGCTATTTTGACTTGAACAGTGTGTGAGAGGAACTCCCAGCTTTAACAGTCCAGTTTTCAAGGGCCACATTCCCCCCTTTGGGTTCTGGGGTCAAAATGCTTCAGTGACACAATGGGCAGAACTGTCCTCTTAGGCTTCAGGCTAAGGATGGGGAGCCCTTGGCTCTCCAGATGTTGCTGGTCTCTAGCTCCCCTCACCCATGAAAACTGATATTCTCTTCTGGGAATCGGCGTAGCCATGATTTATGCTGGGCGGGGGCCCCAAAACCAAGCTATCTGCAATGCAGTCGGTCAGCTTCTGCTGCACAGCTGCCCTTTCCCCACGTCTATGAACAGAATACATGAAGGCAGAGCTCAAATTAGTTCTTTAATAACATCAAAATTTAAAAGAGTAATGGCTGTATCTAAAAAAAACAACCCCACACAATTCATGCAAATAAGCCAAGGGCACAGAACAAGCGTCTTCTGCTTGCTGAACAGACATTTCTCTCATCCACCAAAGGTCACCACACCTACAGAGAAAAAGTTCTTTTCTGACTTGCATCACCTCCATTAATTGCTAACCTCCTCTTCTCTCAATCCTTCCAGGGACTTCCAAGAATTGCAGATTGGCCACCGTTAATTATATGACATGCACTTGGCTTTTGAATCTAGGAATAAATATTTTCAACCAAAGTAGTTTCTCAAGATTTGGTCAAGTATGATTTATCAGTATTTATTCAACTATTTGAATCTGTGAGCCTGTGAAGTGGTTAGTCATTTTGCGATTTAACACTTCCTGAAGCTGCAGAAAAGATGGTGTCTCATCCAACTGCTTCCACTCTTCTTTTTGTTATACAAAGAACTCTCTTTAGAAATGGCTAGTTCTGAAATATTTGCTATAATGAGCTCAGGATTTTCTACTAACAAAAGATGTATACACAGTACTATATGTCTGTATATAGTACACTGGCCAGTTCAACCTCTCTATTACATAACATTAATTGTTCCTGGAAAATTAATCAGAATTTGAGGTCCATGGACACAATCCAACCAAAGTTAAGCGCTGATATCTCACAGATTTCTCCACCTCTAACATGAAAATAGTTTTGAGCTGATTCAGATTGCTCTCACAACACCTACACAATGTCAGGCAAGTGGAAAATGGCTGAAACCTGAGTTCTGAACAGCCCCTGCTCTTTCTCCAAAGAGTTAAGAGTGGATTGGGTCCATTTTCCTCTTTCTCCACCACCTCTTCCACACAAATAGACCCCCCAGCTGCTGTTTACAACTGTCCATAATGGTTTAAGTGGAAGATCTTCTGCTCAAGAGTCTTCATGATTACAATTAATGCTGTGTAAAGGAGGCATTCGTCATTACAGGGACTATCCATACATTAATAATAGCAGTACAACCGTAAAAGGGGGAGAAATTAAACAAAAAACAAGCACAGCTTGATACAATAACATGCCATGAAATATCATTGGCTTTATAATAATTTACTACAACATGAAAAAAAAGATCTTTTATCCACACAGGATAGGAAATGCTTCCACTTAAAATATGGCAAGCATATAACAATAAAATATACACCACAGATTTGGAATTTTGCTTTTAAATCATGCACAGAGAAGTTGTGTACTTAAAAATAAAACATCCTTGGCCTAACTTACACTTTTTAAATTCATTTGTTCCCTCCCTCTGTCCTTAAGTTTTTTAAACTTTTAAACTGGGAAAACAAAATTCATCTTTAACAAAACCGGAAGCTATCAAAATACACTTATTTTTCCTCTGAGATTATTTCAGCATTGCCACCAAATTGCTAAAGAAGTGTTGCATTTTTCTAAAAGCTTTTTTATTCCAAACTTTGGGGGCACCTCCAAGGCTCTGTAACAAGTCAAACCTACTCCCTGTATTACTTTCACCCCATTTGTTCTATACTTTCCAAGCAGTCTCCCAGGAAGTTCTCTTGGCAAACCCCGTTACAAGTTGCGCTGTTCTGCACCTCCACCAGGTTTGCACAAGAGAACTTCCAACTGGACTGAGCGCTCCCATCTTCCAGCAAGACGAACTTCTGCTCAGCTAAATTGTGGCAACCAGCTGGACCTTGTGCCGGAGCTTCTCGGACAACGGCAAGGCCGCCTTGTGACCGAACTGCAACTACACCCTGAAAACCCAAACAGTGGCTATTTCCGGAGAGGTTTGTGACCAGGCAGAGTCCCGAGGGGTGCCTTTGCTATTACAGAAGGCTGCTTTGTTCTGCCTGCAGACTGAGCAGCTGTTGCTGGGGAAAGAAACGAGCGGGGAGATGAAGCGGCAAAAGGCAGGGGAATCTCTCTCCACTGGCCACTCTTAGCTCATGGTAACTGCTGACACCACAGCCCTGGAAACAGATTAGGCACTTCCAATCTGGATTAAGTTGCTTGAGTTGCAACCTTATACAGCTGTCTTTAGGATGCTTTTGAATGTTGTTATAGGCAGCAGAAAACCAGGAAAGCATCAACCAAACCAAGGGGTTGTCTAGTCTGGCATCCTGTTTTCAAGAGGGCCCTGGGAAGCTCAAAAGTGGGACCATGGAGATGATCGGGGACCTGTTGTTTGGTAGCATACGGGACAGCTCAGCACTATCCTGCCTCGGACCATGGGGTATTCCATGTAGCTATCATGGCAGATAGCTTTGGGTTGACTTACCAGCCATGAATTTGACTAAATCTTTTAAAAGCCCATTCAGCTGATTCGCATTATCTGAATGTTGGAAGATTTGGGGCAGATGAAATAAAGCCCTTCACACAGCACACAGTTACACTATGGAACTCGCTCCTATAGGGGGCAGCGATGACCACCAACTTGGATGGCTTTAAAAGAGGATTAGACAAATTCGTGGAGGGGAAGGCTATTGATGGCTACTGGCCACAAGGCTGTGCTCTGCCTCCAGTTAGAGGCAGCAATGCTTCTGAATCTCAGTTGCTGGAAACCACAGGAGGAGGAGAGAGTGGCTTTGTGCTCAAATCCTGCTTGTGGGTTTCCTGCGGACTAGGTGGGCTATTGGCCTGACCCAGCAGGCTCTGCTTATGCTCCATGCACATCTGAAGATTATGCATCTCTCCCCCAGGGCAGATGCACAGGTTCCCTTCCTTGGTTTTCTGCCACATGCTGCGATGTGCAAAGTGTTCCAGCCCAGTCATTCTCAGAGCACCCAAATAGCCAAGTCTAACCATTGCAAGGCCACCTTCTGGCTGCAACGACCCTGCAAAGAATTTCCTTGCAACCTACCTTAGCAATGAAGGTGGGCATGCCCTATGGCAGATACATGCGCAAGCAATTCCCCCTGGACTGCGGCCTTGATCTCTTGCAGTGAATGTCTATGGGAGCCCAAGGGAACCAAAGGCCACATTGATTTTCATGTCAGCAAGGGAGAGTGGAGTCGGCATATCGAAGTCACTGAAAGCAATGCAAGCTCAACGTGCTAAATGCTGACCAGATCCCGCCCGTCACCATTTTGAACAACTTTAGGATGCATAATTCTGCAGAAAGGTGTTAAAATCCTCCAGAAACACCAGGAGGTATGTTTTCCTTGGGGAAAACTGATCCTAACGATCACATGGGGCTGCCCTTACTGATGCAATTATTTTATCTACTTCTAACATCTGTGTTACTAAGGCAGGTTGTCAAGACATTTTACTACAGGTAAAGTACGTACATTTGCAGGACTGGAAAACCGAGTCAGCTCCCATTTATAAAGGGAACGATGCAACCTGTGCATCTCCTGGGAGGCTCAGCGTTATTGCACATTTTGGTATTGCCCCAGCAAACTGCCGCACCCCCCGCTAACTAAGGCTAGTTTCCAGTGGGTGCCGCAACGTAACTGTCTTACAGCAAGTCAGGCCATTGGCTTACCTAGCCTAGCACCATCTACCTGGGCTCACAGTCGCTCTCTGGGCCCTTGCTCTGTCCTGTAATCCAAACACCTTGAGCTGGAAACAGCCTTGGACCTCCTGCATGCAGATCCCATTGAAATCGGGCTCCTACCCAGTCAAAGGCAGGCATGGAGGGCTCCTTGCATCAGTGATGGAGGTGTACAAAAATGCCAAGAGTAGGCAGGCAGGTACGAGGTGGCTGTGTGAATTGCCCCTTCAAAACAGAAACAAATCAACATAGATTTTGTAAAATAAGTACTGGAGGAAAAGAGTCTCACACCATGTTGAAGTCAATGCATGAACTTTTTCAGGTGACACCCATGGAACCAATTCCCAGGCCACTTCCAATTTGTGAGGGTCTGCAATCTTTAGCTCCCCTCAACAACAGTGGTTCTATCCCGCTACGTGCTCTGGAATCCCTCTTTGACAGCTTGCATCTGAGGCCAAGAGTGGCTTTCCCATGGCCAAATACTGAGTCAGCAGAGGACATGAAACTCAAGTCACACCTCTCAGATCAGCATCCATCTCGCTCTCCTTTCCAAAGTACTCTCTGAACACACATCAAGAGGGCAACTTAACATGGCTAAGCCAGAATGTAGTAGCTCTCGCTCAGTCTAGGCACCACTTGAGACCAGTTCAGCATGATCAAATCCACTAATAGAGCCTCCTTGAATTGACATCAACATATGGTTGTCAGGACCCATTTGAAAGTAACTACTAAAGGGGGAAAGTTGTCTAGTCTTTTTAAAACCGTGGCAATTCAAGTCATTTCATCTCTCTGCACACTGGGGAAACTTTTGCGTGAAACTCCCTTCCCTTCTGTTCCTCCTTCCCATGACGGATCTGTGTTGTTTTTCAAAGCCGGCCAACAGGAAGCGGATTCACTTAAACTGCCAACACACTTCCTAAAGGGTCCTTGCAGGGCCTGCCAGATGTATTGTTGTTGGTTTTCAGATCTCCCATGGAATCAACCGCTTTGGGCTGCCCTTGGGTGTCCTGCAGATGCTCCTTTTGGAAATCTCATGGGCATGTGCCACAGAACTTCTGCCCCTTGCCTGGGCAAGGCCAGCCTCTCCACCCAGCGGCTGCATTTGCTCTGCTTCTTCACAGCATCCCAACTCCTCTGGACTCCTCCTGTCAGCTGAGAACATGGCAAAGGCCATACATTCCATTTCGGGCCACTTTCTGCACTTCCATTGCAGGGTTCGGACCGTATGACCCTGGGGGTCCCTTCCAACTCTACAATTGTACATATGATTCTTCAAAGGACAACGTGTTGACGTTTCCTTTGCTTCCAGTCATCTGTTCTTCCTCCGAAACCATCAGACTTGAGTTCATTGCACCTACTGCCTTCCTTGTAGCAACATATCAAATCCAGGCGTGCTCAGGAATACCTTCCATGTGGCAATACCAGCGTGGGCTCCAGGGGCAGCCTTGGCTGCAAGGATTTCTGTGGCCCCAGCCATGTTGTTCTCCTGAGATCCCCACCACTCACCTCTGAGGGATGATCTACTCAACCTGACAGGAAGAGGATGACTTTCAGGTCAGTGGCTGGTAGTATCCTGAACACACAGGGCTGTGGGCCGCATCCAGCGACTGTTTTGCATTTGCCGTCAGTCTTATTCTTTTTAAAGTGATGAATGGCAGAGATTTCTTCCGA